GCTGCTGCTCTTCCTCCCGAAGCTGAAAACACACGCTGCCGGACAGGGAAACACAGTGGCCCTGAGGGACGGAACGGCGCCAAAATCGAGCCCCAAAACCGCCTAACGTCCCTTCTGAAACCCTAGAAAAACAATAGTTTTCGACCAGTTTTTGTACCGCTGTTTGTACAATGAGACATAGTGAGACATAGTGAGACATAGTGAGACATAGACCTTAGAACCCTCCTGCTGCTTCTGTTGCTGCTGCTGCTCTTCCTCCCGAAGCTGAAAACGCACGCTGCCGGACAGGGAAACACAGTGGCCCTGAAGGACGGAACGGCGCCAAAATCGAGCCCAAAAACTGCCTAACGTCCCTTCTGAAACCTTAGAAAAACAATATAGTTTTCGACAATTTTTTGTACCGCTGTTTGTACAATGAGACATAGTGAGACATAGAACCCTCCTGCTGCTCCTGTTGCTGCTGCTCTTTCCTCTCGAGACATACAGGGAAACCCCTCGGAACAGCGCTAAAATCGAGCTGCCTAACGTCTTCTGTTATATAGTTTTCGACCAGTGTACTGCTGCTCATTCCTCTGCTCCTGTTGCTGCTGCTGCTCTTCCTCCCGAAGCTGAAAACGCACCCTGCCGGCCGGACAGGGAAACACAGTGGCCCTGAAGGACGGAACAGCGCCAAAATCGAGCCCAAAAACTGCCTAACGTCCCTTCTGAAACCCTAGAAAAACAATAGTTTTCGACCAGTTTTTGTACCGCTGTTTGTACAATGAGACATAGTGAGACATAGAACCCTCCTGCTGCTCCTGTTGCTGCTGCTGCTCTTCCTCCCGAAGCTGAAAACGCACGCTGCCGGACAGGGAAACACAGTGGCCCTGAAGGACGGAACGGCGCCAAAATCGAGCCCAAAAACTGCCTAACGTCCCTTCTGAAACCCTAGAAAAACAATAGTTTTCGACCAGTTTTTTGTACCGCTGTTTGTACAATGAGACATAGTGAGACATAGAACCCTCCTGCTGCTCCTGTTGCTGCTGCTGCTCTTCCTCCCGAAGCTGAAAACGCACCTGCCGGACAGGGAAACACAGTGGCCCTGAAGGACGGAACGGCGCCAAAATCGAGCCCAAAAACTGCCTAACGTCCCTTCTGAAACCCTAGAAAAACAATAGTTTTCGACCATTTTTTGTACCGCTGTTTGTACAATGAGACATAGTGAGACATAGAACCCTCCTGCTGCTCCTGTTGCTGCTGCTGCTCTTCCTCCCGAAGCTGAGAACGGACGCTGCCGGACAGGGAAACACAGTGGCCCTGAAGGACGGAACAGCGCCAAAATCGAGCCCAAAAACTGCCTAACGTCCCTTCTGAAACCCTAGAAAAACAATAGTTTTCGACCAGTTTTTGTACCGCTGTTAGTAGTAGTAGTAGTCGTCGTCGTAGTAGTAGTAGTAGTAGGAGACATAGAACCCTCCTGCTGCTCCTGTTGCTGCTGCGGGAAACACAGTGGCCCTGAAGGACGGAACGGCGCCAAAATCGAGCCCAAAAACTGCCTAACGTCCCTTCTGAAACCCTAGAAAAACAATAGTTTTTGACCATTTTTTGTACCGCTGTTTGTACAATGAGACATAGTGAGACATAGAACCCTCCTGCTGCTCCTGTTGCTGCTGCTGCTCTTCCTCCTGAAGCTGAAAACGCACGCTGCCGGACAGGGAAACACAGTGGCCCTGAAGGACGGAACAGCGCCAAAATCGAGCCCAAAAACTGCCTGAAACGCCATACAAAGCACCAGGTGTAGATACAGGGAACAGAGACTTTTTTTTTAGTGAACACTACGTGGAAACCATCAGACGTTTTGACGCAAATTGATCGCAAATCGATCGTAAACTGATCGTAAAAAAACGCACAAAAACTGTCATAGCATCTGTGCATTTTGATGTCGTTTTCACTAGGTCATCTGTCTTTGTTGATGTCCCTTTTTGTTTCTGCACTGGAAAAGTCAATTTCTTCCAGAGTTTCTATTTATCCTGAGTGTTCACTGCTTGGTGGTTTCGATTTTGGCAAGGTTTCAAATGTGAATTTTTGTTTGATGTCATTTTGATGGAGTTTTATGTCTGTCTCGGTGTCAACTTGATGGAGGTTCCTAACATATAATATTGCAAACTAAGTTATATAATTAAAAGACGAAACCACCAAGAGAAATGAACTCACTTATGTCATCTTGGATTCTATGATCACCAAACCATATGAATATATGAATTGGCAAGTGCCGTTTTCTACAGGCCTTAGGTTCTTGTCGATGTCATATTGATGTTGTTTTATGGCCTTCTTATTCGTTTTTAGGCCGATGTCAAATCGATCGACAAAGGATCGCAAAATGATCGCAAACCAACGTCGAAATCCTACATCAAAATGACACATTACAAAGTCCACACTTGAAACCCTGGCCTTGCCAACATCAAAACCGCCAAGCAACGAACACTCAGGATAAATAGAAATTCTGGAAGAATTTGACTTTTCCAGTACAGAAACCAAAAGAAACATTAGCAAAGACAGATGGCCTAGTGAAAACGACATCAAAACGCACAGATGCTATAACAGTTTTTGTGCGATCAATTTAGTTACGATCGATTTGCGATCGATTTGCATCAAAGCGTCTGATGGTTTCCATGTAGTTTCCATTAAAAAAAACTCGAACATGTTCCCTGTATCTACACCTGATGATTGTATGGCGTCTTCCTTGATGGAGTATCCACGCAGGTTCCATGGAGAATTGATGTAGGTTTCATGGAGGTTTCATGTAGGTAACCGTTGTTTCTTGTGTCTAAACGTGATGGTTGCATGGCGCCTTCTAACTGATGCAGTTTTCATGGAGGTTCCATGCAGGTTCCATGGAGAATTGATGTAGAATTTCATGCAGTTTCCATGTGCGTTATGGAGGTGGTGCCTCTATCTACACTTGTTGGTTTTATCAAAAACTCTGACTGATGCAGGTTCCATGGAGGTTCCATGCAGATTCCATGCAGGTTCCAGGGAGTTGTCATGGAGGTTACCCACCAGTAAGCTAAATTTACAAACCCAGCATGTAACCAACATGAAACCTGCATGGAAGCTCCATGGAAAATCCATGAAACCTGCATCAGTCAGAGTACAGGATAGGACCACATGGTTTCAAAAAACTGTCTTTCCCCCATTTCAAAAATAAATAGACAAGTACAGAAAAATGCACTAGAATTCAATAATCAATTAAACAATCACGTGAAATTATTGGTGTACATTTTCCGAGATACAAGATGAATATCAATTCAAAAACAAACCTAATCTGGTAGCAATCATTGTTGTTGTAATTTTTTTCTTTATTTTCAACGATTTCATTGTTTGCAGGGTTTGATATTTTTTGTTTTTTCTAAGTTTACAAAACCACCAATTCCCAGACTTCCAAACCACCAACCCAAACCACCACGTAAGCACAAGTTGATTATGGTTTATATTATTGGTTTTATTATTATCTATAAACTGTTGCTCCCCTGTCTTTAGTATTTACCCCATAGGATTTGGTTGTATCATAATCTGGGTGGGTAGATGAGAAAGACGGGGGAGCAACAGGCTAACTGATATTATATAGTGGACATGGTATTAGCTGGTACCATAGCGATAGGTTGAATTAGCCGAGTTTAGGATAGTTGGGGCAAATGGGGTTCTGAACGAGTAAAATCTCAGCCAGATAAGGGAAATAGGGAACTACTAGCTGATGGGTTGGCTAGTACAAGTGGTTGAATCTGCCACAACCCACAACTTGGGGGTTTTGACGGTAAAACGGATATGGAGGAAACAACTGTTTTGTTGAACCAGGCCAACAAAAAATGGACGGGGGTGCAAACGTGGTTTCGACAGCGGGAATGTCTTGGCAGGCTGGCAGTGTCCAAAACCAGGACATTTCTATGGGATGATAAAGGGGAATCCCATGCGTTTCGTTCTGAGGTAAGAGCAAGACTTCCTGAGTGGTTTTCAATGTAGCTGTGGTGCTTCCCCGGGACCGCTTGAACTTTAGGATACCAATGAGGAACTTGGGTTGCAACAAAGTCAGACCTTTGTCCGCAGAAATGAACGGCAGTTTCAAAGTGGTCTACTCAGTCCTTGGGGCCAACGCATTGATCTGATGTATGACAGCAGGGCGAATGGGCTAAAGTGCTTGCTGGGGTTTGCTGCAGTCAGAAGCTGTAGCGAAATCCACACTCAATTTGGAGTGCCCGTGATAGTTGTATTTTTTCTTAATCTGAGAGGGGTTTCAAGAAGACGTTACTTTTGTCCCAGTAACAATGAAATGGAATATCGCGAATGTCAATTGATTCGTCAAGCAACTACCATCAGCAGTGTGTTGTGTTGATACTTTCGTTTGCGTGGCACTGTGTAGAGATTCTGAGCTGCCGAGCTCACGTGAGCTATTCTTCCAACCGCTCATGTGGGCCTTGTGCCCAGGGGCCATGGCGGCCATGGTTCAAATTGGGTGATCCGATGGCAGGATCGTCTTCCATCGATCTGGGGATTTCACCGGGGGAGATCAGCTGGTCATATAGTTGGGAGCCTGCAGAGTCAGCTGTGTATTCGAGTTTTACTTTAAAGATCTTTTCAGCAGGAGTAATGTGGTAAACCGGTAAACCCAATAATAAACCATAATAAACCCATCTGGGAATGGTTTATACCAACTATTTTATGGTCACTTTGGGGATGCTTTATAGTCGTCAAAAAAAGACATTGAGTCTTTTGATTCTGAGCCATCCGGGATCCCGACAGCTCCTTACAGAATACATCTTATTTAACAGACTAGTTTTGAACTTTAAGCTTCGACCCTAGGGTCGAAGTTGCCGGCTGCGAATCTGGCTGTGCCAGGGACAGGCTCAGACGGCAATTGCTTTGAGAGGCATCAGCACTGCTTGCGCAGCGCAAAATCCTGCCCTTTTTTGGCTGCGGGAAATCAGCTGCATTGATGTTGGATCACTTACACCACTTCGATGGAGGTGGAAGCCTTGAGCTTGGAAGACTGTACCGACTTCGTCCGGGCGTCCAATGGGATGGGTCAAGAGTGAGCCCTGAAAAGCCGAGTTTTGGCACTAGACTCACTAGACCCTCTGGTAGAGAAACCTTATCATGGGAAAAAAAGTATTCCATAATTCCATATTGATATTATAGATTGATCATCTATGAATGGGGTTTTTATGGTTCGTTGCAAGATTGGATTGTCAGATGATAGCCCCACTTGGTGATGACCCAGATTGAAGTGCTGGACCTTGTGGAGAATCCATGGCCTGAATTTTTGGTTTTTTGGCAGCAGATGTTCCCCTCTTGACAACTGATCATGCAAGAAATGTGGCAAACCCCATCCAATATTTACCATACTCATAATTCAGCATGTGGGGGCACGGGCGGGAGAAAATACACCAAATAATCTTGGTGCTTATCAATCATATAGCATTTACATGCATTTACAACAACCCCAGAAAGATAGACGCGATCATAGTGGTAATTGGCCTTTCCATCTTTTGGAAATTACTATAAAACCAATTCGATACCTCAACTTGTTTCAACTTGGATGTGCATCCCAGATAGGATCTGTGGTTTCGTAACCTGTATATACGTATATATATATATAATATACATACGCGCATATATACACACACCATATGTAAACTAGATATACATATCCGATATAGTACTGTAACTGGTTTATTCAACTATATCTATATATATATATATCTATATAATATCCCATATACAACCCACAAATATCCCACATATAGCCCACATGCAACCCACATCCCGGCTTCAGGTGGTCCATTTGGGCCTTCCGGCCGACCTGGCTCCGCAGCTCTTCGCAGAGTCCGGAGACTCAACGAGTCAAAGCTGGGTCCGAGAGTCCGTGTCTGAACTGGTTGGTTAATAGTGGGATAATCTATATTAATAGTGGTTAATAGTGGTTAATCATGATAATCAATAATGAACTGGCTATGGGTCAATACCGATAGATACATGACTTTAGTGGGATGAACATCCATTTTAACCCAGCTATGACTTGAGGTGAACAAAAGGTACCAGGGTTTTGACCCATCCCCATATTATAATCATCTTAATCATCTTAATCCATTATAATGATTATAATGTATATAGAAAATCCGATACCATGATGGAATTTACTAATATGGGGTTCCCTTTTTGGTATACCATGATATATCCGATATACCCAAACTTGGGACCGTCAATCCACAGGATTTTGTTCTCGTGATTCTGAGGATTTCCATCGTGGGATACTGTGGATGGTTGCGAAATCCGATAAACCACCGAAAGGATGTTTGAGACCCTATAAATAATGGCATAAACCATCTATCAACTGGTGCAGGATTTCGCCACCATCCACAGTATATAGGATGTCCTCCAAATGGCCATTTGAATGGGCAAAGTTGCGATCAACCAAAGCCATCCCAGGGTTTGAAGCAGCCGAAATCAGCCTTTTTCGCCCAGGTTGGAAGCAGAGAACAGCCTGTTGGCTACTGAGGTGCCGTTTGGAGATGGCTTTGTCTCGAAAAACATCTGATGTGCGCACCCCCAATTTATGGCAATTTTACGTTGATGAACAGACTGGATGGGGGGAAAACCGTGTTTAAATGAAACCTCTTTAAAAGCCCTTGCGCTTTTTCCATCGACCTCCGGTTCTTTTGGGCGTCGCGTGACTCCATCATTGCTGCCAGAGCGAAGCCAATACGTCCCAAGACATGGAGTGGCTGGCCCGCGTGCCCAGTGACATTTGAGCTGCCAACATGGGCAGCACTTCACCATTTTCAAGACCTTCGATCGAATGGGTGAATTCTACCAACTCCCCCGAAAATCATTGGGGTCGGTCAGTTCTGGTAGCAGTTCCCCGAGCGTTTCAGTTGGTCAAACTACGCCTGCTCAGCCGCTCTCCAAGGTGAGTCATTTTGGTCCCAAGATCGAGACGCGGTTCTTGCTCTTCTGGCCACAGATGGTTCCAGCGCTCAGGTTCGGCTGCTGTGCCCTGTGGGTCCTAGGTCCTAGGGATGATCTGAGGTCAGGCAAACAATCTGGGTTGGTGGCTTGAAATGGTCGATTTCTCTCACTTGTTCTTTGAGAAGTTGGAACCACTTACAAAGCAGTCAACCTTTGGGATCCACTCAGCTGGTGGCTCAAATTTCGCCCCGCAGCCGCAGCCAATTTCTCTCAGGGCCTGTTTAGCACAGGAGGATGGAGCCTGGTCGCTGTGTCCATGTGGTCCCACATCGGCTGGACGGGCCATCGCCCCCAGAAACGTTGTATGCCCTGGGTGCACGAACGCTGGCAAGGATGAAGGGAAAGGACTATGGCCTGCTAGTCAAAAGTGGGACCCAAAGAAATACACAAAATTGGTTGTTTAGTCTTCAACCATCCAAAATAGGGATCGATACTTTGTGTGACACCAAGTTCGAGACGGTTTGAGTGGACACTTTTTTGGCCGAAGTGAACACAAATGGCAGCGTGCGAAGGTTTCCCACCCCTAGAAATCGCTGGGTTAAGCCATCCCTACGTAACTGGTGGTTCGAAAAACAGATCCGTACCACCTCAGGATAGTAAGAATAACCGGTAATCTAAATTGACCCCATTTATAGATGGTTTACCTGGGTTTATCTCCTAAAAATGGTGATTTTCCATGGCTATGTCCAATAATCAGATGGTAACTTTTTCAGAAAGGTGGCCCAACCCCCAAGTCAATCTGCTTCTTGTGGGCAGGATCTTGCGGAGTCCTGGTCCCTATTTGCGAACATGCCTGTGGTGGACCCAAAGCAGTCTCCAGTGTTGTGCCGCACCGGGACCGCAAGAGGGAATGACACGTGCATACTGAAAGTATCGCTCGGGTTCCAAAAGACTTCTTCTATCATTTTGCCCAGGATTCTGTTTTGCATGTATCATTATATCATTTTGTGTTCCTTTCTTTTTCGCGGCTCTGCAAACGCTTTTGTTGTGTTCGATGTTTCGATTTAGGTGTCCCAAACCATTCAACTCAAAGTTCCCTTTGGAATTAGGGACCCAAGTGTTTGTCGATCTCAACAAGTTTGGGACACACCTTTTGGGGAGGTAATAAGTTGGTGTTGGCTATCCTCATAGACCAAGTGATTTCTTTGACATGGGAACGAAGGCAACTCCTCAAATGAAAAGTTCCCAAGTTGAACATTGGTCCGTTCAAACCACGGAAAACAGCAAAAAAACTCTCAGCTTTGCCTGTCAGTTCTAAGGCTGGGTGCCTTACCATCTCATGATTATCCTCCAACGGCTGCTATGTGCCGTGCCCGTGGACGATCTCAATGGCCGAGTCGTCCATACCTATGACAAGCACCCGGGCCCCATCGAGGGCGCTCTGGCGGAGGCCTTCGGCTTCACAGAAAGAGCGCAGCGCGTGATGCGCATCGGAGAGCTGGAGGAGATTTTCCACGCCGTGGAGAGGATGGAGGAGAGTTCCAAGTATTTCCAAGTTTCATTTGATTGTTGGTTATTCATGGTCATTCAGATTTTTGCAATCAATTAGTGTAAATTGTGTAAACTACACGATTTCCGCAAGTTTTCTTGGTCAACATGTCAGCGTCCTGATTTTGATGGGGTGTGTAGATCTTGAATGAGTTTGCGATGTTCGGAGGAATTTTGATGGGGTATGTTTGAAGCTTGCCACCAATGTTTTGGGATAACATCATGACATATTGTAGGACTCAATCCTCGGCAAGAACTCATGTGAGTTGGATTTTCATGTCAAGGATTTCCACGCTTTTCGTGGGAGTGCTGAGCCTTGGGCAGTGGTGGGGATGCGCAATTATGTAACTTCAGTTTGGAGGGTTCAGTAGTGGTTGACGGAACCAAAAGGATGTTTTAAGGATTTGGTTTCTATTTTAGTATGAGGGAATACCAGAAACCCTATTGTCAGCCAGGCAGATCTGTTTCCTTGAGCGTATCCAAAATGTTTGGAGGAGGAAGAAATCAGCACACGACTGCGCAGACGCCTTGAGTGACTTGCTTGAGTTTACTTACACCGCGGCAGGGCTAGAACTACCAACACGGGGCGTTAACCGGGGTCTACCACTGAAGGGCCACGAGGCGCAGATTTTGTTTATTTACATGCTGAGGTGAAGCAAAAGAGTTTGCTTCAAACCTCTTTTTGGTTTGAACAGTTTCATAGTTCTTTCCATAAGGTTACTGTACTTTTCGTGCTTGGAGGAAACGGCGTTCTTGTATTTGTGCAAGGTTTTTTTCCGCCCGTCCTCGGATGTTTCAAAATTCAAACTTCAAGGAAAGTCACAGACCTGCTGACAGAGTTCGGCGAGGAGTATGGCTCTGTATGGTTTGAAGGCCAGAGATGGGGGATCCTTTGGTGCAGCCAATCCACAGACACCTTTTCTGGTTAGCCAAATTCATTTTTGGGCTAAGGGGTCGGCCGTAGGGTGTCCCACGGTGACATAAGTTCTTGATGATTTTCGATTGAACCATTTGAAGATCTTTTGGTATGTCCTGCTGTGCTTTGGCTGATGGTCCGAAGAAAAATCACCATTTCTGGGAACAAAGTCTATTTCTGAAAAACATCCGGTTTGGAAACGCGCGGTTCTCTTTATATTCTTTATTACAATTCCCCATCTTGTGGAATTCCCCAACCTCTGGAGAATTAAAGGGGTTAGCCTGTATTTGGAGGCAAAACACTAGAAACTTAAAACATCTTAAAACAATCCTTTACTTCCCCGTACATTCTTGAAACCAATCCACAACTTCCCTGCGGGGCAGGCGCAATCAGCGCTCCTACCTTGTACTTTGCCAGCAGCTGGGCTTGCACAAAAGGGGACTGGCTTTGCGTGAATACATCTTTGAACAAGGGCAAGTTCAAACTGAACAATTGTGGATTTGGATTCACTATGATCATGAAAGGCAGGCGATTATACGTACAATTAGCAGGCAGAGGAACTTTACTTGCGAACATGGGGAAGCAATCCAAAAATGCTGGCCTTTGATAGGTGATTAAAGCCGTGTATTTTTTTTTTCGGATTTGTCAGGAGGTGATACATAGATTCCCGCGGCCTGTTGGCAATGGAGATCCTACATTTGAAGCGACATTGGAACCGAGGAAATCGTGCTGGGCACATCCTGGCTATCCTTGGGACGAAAGTGTCGCGACAATCTGATGGAACAAATCGCCCTGGAGAATGGTCCAAGTGGCGCTGAGGAGCTCACCTCCGGTGATCCTTTGACCGAGCTTCGGTCAAAGAACTCGAGTAGTTTTCCTTCTTCGCCCGTTTTCAACGAGCCCTGGCGGGGTTCGAAAGTGTGGTGATTGGAAACGCTTGAAGCCCATTGCACCAAGTGCCCTGGGATTTTGCACGCTGGAAGGTATTGATTGGATCACTGCCAACAGGGTAGTATTTTCGACCAACAGGTAGAAATTTGAATCGTTTTATTGCTTCCCATTTGACAGCCGTGGTGTAGCGACGTTGCCGCCACTGTTTATATGTTCCGCTGACAGAGATGTATGATGGCCATGAGCTCCCTGTGGGGATTTGTACTTCCGGTAGCAACATAAATATGAACAAAATGAACACCCAAGCTGTTGCTGGCGGCTAGTCACGGGATATGGCCTGATTCTCTGGTGGCCTGTGGCCTGATTCTCGTGTAGCACACCTAAGCGGAAAAGGCTTGTCAATGCTTGAGATGGCCCACTCACTTGTTCTTTGGGAAGTTGGAACCACTTACCTAGCAAAGTCAACCTTTGGGATCCATTTTGGCTTCCCCAGCTGCTGGCTCAAATTTTGCCCCGCAGCGCATTTCTCTCAGGGCTTGTTTGGAGGATGTTGCCCAGGCGCAAATCTATTTGGCCCGTCGTCCGCAGGACGAACGACCTCTGCCACGGACGCTGCATGCATTGGGCGTGCAGATGGTGGGAGAAGTGTGGGGACAGGACCATGGTCTGCTTGAACTTTGGCTATGGCTGGCTATGGCTCAAACTTATTCCAAAGTGGGATGCCATGAAACCCAAAAAGTTGGTGATGTTTAGTCTTCAACCATCCAACGAGTTGGGGTTCATTCGGGTTTGGATGGACACTTTTTTGGACAAAGGAAAGACAAATGGCAAGGGGCGAGCATTTTCCACATGTTTGAATGCAGTAGATGTGTTGCGTTTCAATTTCAGACGCATCAGCCGTTACAAGTCACCGGGTTAAGCCATCCCTTGCTGGTGGTTCCAGAAAAAAGTTTCATCCCACCTCAGCATCGACACATGGCCCACAGAACATTATTTTCGCATCCAACCTCAGGATAATAATCTCAATTGGCAAATACAACATGTTTCAGAAAGGCGACCCAACCACCAAGTGGATCCCCTTGGGGCAGGATGTTGGAGACTCCTGGTCCCTGAGTGCGAACGTGCCTGTGGTGAACCCACAGCGATCTCCAGTATTGTGGAGCGCCGCGACACGCAAGTGGGAATGAAACATGCATAATACTGAACGTATCACTTGGTTTTGATCAAATGTTTTTTTTAAAAACATTTTTGGGCAGGATTCAGTTTTGCATTTCGTATTTCTGTTCTTCATGGCTATACAGATGTTTTTGTCGTGTTCGATCTTTCCAGCCGTCCCAAACCGTTTAACCCCAAAGTTCCCTTTGGAATTGGGGACCCGAGTGTCAAACCCCAAATGCAATTCCCAGCTTTGCCTTAAAAGTCCCTCAGGCGGCTTGCTGCCCTTTGGTGACATGGAGAACCTCCAACGGCTGCTACGTGCCGTGCCCGTGGACGACCTCAATGGCCGAGTCCTCCATCCCCACGGTCAGCACCCGGGCCCCATCGAGGGCGCTCTGGCGGAGGCCTTCGGCTTCACAGAAGAAGCGCAGCGCGCGATGCGCATCGGAGAGCTGGAGGAGATTTTCCACGCCGTAGAGAGGATGGAGGAGAGTTCCAAGTATTTCCAAGTTTCATTTGATTGTTGGTTATTCATGGTCATTCAGATTTATGCAATCAATTAGTGCAAACTGTGTAAACTACATGATTTCCGCAAGTTTTCTTGGTCAACATGTCAGCGTCCTGATTTTGATGGGGTGTGTAGATCTTGAATGAGTTTGCGATGTTCGGAGGAATTTTGATGGGGTATGTTTGAAGCTTGCCACCAATGTTTTGGGATAACATCACGACATATTGTAGGACTCAATCCTCGGCAAGAACTCATGTGAGTTGGATATATTGTAAGACCCGGCAAGGACTCGCGTGCCTTCAGTGACCTTCAGTGACTTGGAGTTCGGCACTGCAGGGTTAGACCAACAAGGGGCGTCAACGCTGAAGGGCCCACCAGGCCATTTTTTTTTCCCCTACAGCTACTGATAGCTGCTGTATTTTTCATGGAGGACATCGATTTCTTGTATTTGGGCAAGCATTTTTTCACCTCCTATATTTCAAAGTTCAAAATTCAAGGACAGCCGTGAAGCTGCTGAAGAAGTTCGGCGGCACAGAGTATGGATGCGCATGGTTTGAAGGCCCGAAGATAGGAGATTCTTTGGTGCAGCCCGCCAACAGACGCTAGATGGATAGCCAAATTCATGAGGGCAACACACACACACACATACACGCACACACACACACACACGCACACACATAATTATGTATATATATATTATATATATAGATTATATAGATAAGTAAGAAAGAAAGAAAGAAAGAAAGGAAGAAAGAAAGAAAGAAAGAAATAAGAAAGAAAGAAAGAAAGAACGAAAGAACGAAAGAAAGAAAGAAAGATAGATAGATGGGTAGGTAGGTAGATAGATAGACAGATAGACAGACAGATAGGTAGATAGATAGGTAGGTAGATAGATAGATCGATAGAGAGGGTCCCCCACGTTGCCAAAGTTTTTGATGATTTTCGTGAGAACAGATGGTTTGAAAGTCCTTTCTTTTTAACATATCCTGATGTGCTTGGGCTGTAGATGCTCCGAAAAATCCACCATAGTTCAATTTGGAAGTAATATCCAGATGGTTTGGAAATACACCGTTCTCTATATTACTATCCCCCATCTGGTGGAGCCGTTCAAAAACATCCCCGAAATGGATTGAGGGGAACCAGGGGTTAGCAATATATTTGCAGGCTAAACGCTGCAAACCGTGCTTTCCCGTAGCTTTTCCCTGAAGCCAGTGGCAGGCGCTAACGTCGCTCCGACGTTGTATTATGCCAGCAGCCGGGCTTGAACAAAAGGGGACTGGCTTAGCTTGAATCCATCTTTGAACCACGGCCAACTCAACCTGAACAATTATGGATTTTGATTCATCATTATCATGATGGGAGACTATACAATTAGCCGGCAGAGGAACTTTACATGCGAACATGGGGAAACAATTCAAAAATGAAGGTCTTAAATTGGTGATGAAAGTCGTGCTATTTTTTTTTCGGATTTGCCAGGAGGTGATAAGGTTCTTGCAGCCTGTTGGCAACGTACGATGTATTCCTTCTAGACCATCTGATATAGGAGATCCTACATTTGGATACATTTGGAGCGACATTGGAACCGAGGAAATCATGCTGGGTACATCCTGGCTATCCTTGGGACGGAAGTGCAAAGGAGTGCTCTGCAGCTAGCTGCGGCTGGCCAGAGAATCGGAACAAAAAATCGTCCTTTTGGATGAGAATGGTCCAACTGGCACGGTGTTTATGTATATACTGTAATTTGCGGTCAAGTCGAGTAGTTTCCATCAGCTCTTGTCAACGAGCCCTGTCTCTGGGTTCTCAAGGGTGGTGATCGGAAACGCTCGGACCGCCCACCCTCCGCACCAAGTGCCCTGGGATTTGCACACCGGAAGGTATTGATTGGATCACTGTCGACAGGACAGGGTAGTATTTTCGACTAACAGGTAGACTTGTTTTACACAGATTGATGATGGCCTTGCGGACAGCTGCTCCCTGTGGGTAATTTGTAGCAACATCATGTGAACGTCCAAGCTATTGCCAGTGGCTAGCTGTCAGGGGATATGGTGCTAGCGGTTCCTGTATCGTAACCGGAATGTGTTGGTGGCAGTTTAAAAAGGAGCAGCCGGTGGCCTGATTCTCTGGTGGCCTGTGGCCTGAGTGGCGTGTCACTCGTAGCACACCTCGCAGCCGAGAAATCAATGGCCTCTGGGAACAGTGCAGATTCGAACATCAGCGAGTAGAAGTGGTTCCAGAAACATGATGCCAGCATTCTCCCCTCTGATAATTGAACAGAAATCAGCCATTTTTCCATAGCTATGTTAAATTGTCCATAGCTGGCGATGCTTCCAGCTCTCAGGCTTGGAGACCTGTGATGTAGTCCAGTGGTTCTTGGAGAAGTTGGAGCCACATATCATGGAACCACATGCCACATACATCCGCATGCCACATAGGTGAGAAGTCAGCATAGTGAACCGGATCCATTTTCGATTCCTCAGCTGATGCCTCAAATTTCGCGCCGCCCATTTCTCTCAGGGCTTGCTTTGTGGATGGAGCCGGATCGCTGGATCTGTGTGGTTCCGGACGAAGGTCCTCTCCCAGCGACGCTGCATGCATTGGGCGTGCGAATGGTGGGAGAAGTGCGGGGACAGGACCATCGGACCATGGTTTGCCAGTGCCAAAACCGGGATACCAAGGGATCCACTTAAAACTGCTCGATTTTGTTGGAGGCGGAGCAAGCAAATGGCAACACAGAAATGATCCCCACATGTTTTAATACAGTAGATGGAGTTGTGGTTTCAATTGCTGATGCAACAGCACTTACAAGTCCCCAGACTAAGCCATCCCTGTGGTTCCAAATCTGTTTATATTCCATCGCACTCTGAGGAGAGTAAACCTAGTAATCCTAAACACAGGTGTTTGGGAAAGTTGGCTAAACCACCAAGTGGATCCCCTTGATTTTCGTATCCTCATCCTGCAGGAATTGGACTCCTGGACACTGCGGGCAAACGTATCTGTGGTGAACTCGAAGTCTCCAGAGTTGTGGGGTGTCCTGGCGAGTATCACTTGGTTTCCATCTGTGATTCTATCATTTTGCACAGGGCTTAATTTTGTACAGTATATTCAGTAATTATATACAGTATATACAGTATATATAATAGAATATTATATTTATAATATAGTATAATATAATAGAGTATAATATAATATAATATAATATTATACTATATTTATATAATATATTATATAACATTAGAATATATTATATAATATAACAGTATATGATTGTCGATCTAAAGGTCCATGTAGAGATTGTCCAGTACAAAGGCTGCCAGGGTTCATATCTAGTAGTTTCTTTACAGATGTTTTTGTGGTGTTCGGGTCCCCAAACTGTTGGACCCTTCACAGACCAAGGGTGGATGCCTTGGCCCAAAATGATGGACCTTCAAGAGCTGCTACATGCTGTGCCCGTGGATAGCCTCACCGGCCGAGTCGTCCATTCCTATGGCAAGCACCAGGGCCCCATCGAGGGCGCTCTGGCGGAGGCCTTCGGCTTCACGGAAGAAGCGCGGCGCGTGATGCGCATCGGAGAGCTGGAGAGGATCTTCAGGGCTGTGGAGATGCAGGAGAGAGAACTTCTTTCTCTTTTTTTGGAGTTTCTCATTGTTGCTTACGCTCTGGTAATCTAACGTAGCTATGGCATATATATATATATATTATATATATATATAGATTTGCCCAGAAGTGTTTTTTCATTGCGAGGTGAGTTTACTGGAGGCTATGATTTAGGCAGTGAATAATGTGAAATCCCCAGTTTTATACGTCAACATCACCGTTTTGATGGGGTGCGTAAGCGTAAGCTTGAATGATTTTGGGATAGGTTTCGGATAGATCGTTCAAAGGTTTATAGGGAATGGGCATCCATGCGTAGTGAATACCAGGGCACCATGTGATTTGACCCATATATAAATGGAGGAGTGGATGACTGACGTTTGGGAGGAACCATTGATGCTTGATAGGAACTTGTGTGCGTGTTGACGCTTGAATCTCAGTTTCATTTAATCCTTGTGTCATCCAAGGGGTTACAAAATCTCATGGGACTGTTTCCGCAGTTTCCAGCCAGAACGAGAATGATGCGTAAATGGAACACGTGCTGAACCTTCGGCAGTGGTATCCCTCTGGCAAGTCGAGCTAGCGAGGGTCTTATCACATTGTTGCAAGGTCAATCGTTTTTATTTACAAATTCCGAACAGTGTGTGTACACCACTTTCGTTGACCCGCCAAACAGCTGATGGTTGTAGTATTCATACTAAAGTTCATACAGGGAATATCACGGACCTTGTTGCTAGCTAGCCGGACTAGTTTCATGGAGGGTATGCTAAAATGTTTGGAGGACCAGAACACAGAAGTTCGCCAACGCCTTCAGTGACTTTGGATTTGCTAACCACGGGATCCAACACCTTCAGTGGGGCGATGTTAACCAGCACAGAGTCGGAACATGTCGGAACCAACAAGGGTGATTATTCAACCAGGATAGAGGAGCACCGTGAAAGGTCACAAAATGAGGGTACGAGGTACGATGGACTTTTTTTTTTAGTTTGCATACCGTCCTGAAACCTTCAAGAATTACCTTTTGTGGATTGGACAGTTTTCGAGTTTTTCCACTTTTTCTTTTGGTTTCCCTCCTTGGATGTTTCACAATTCAACCTTCAAGGGAAGCCACAAGCCTTCTGAAATGCTTCGGCAAAGAGAGTCATGGCTCTGTGTGGTTTGAAGGCCGGCAGCCGAAGCTGGACGGGCTGTCTGTTGATCTTAGATGGAAAAATATGTAGCTGTGTTTATGGTATTTCCATGCTTCTGCCCATGTGAGGAGCCTGCAACCATAATCCGGATACTTTGGCGCACCCTGCCCAAGGACGGAATCTAAACTGTAGAGAAAACAAAACATCTACCCAGCATGGCAAGATGAAACGATCCACAGACCCCAAACGGATAGCCAAATTCATGAGGAGAGGGTTTCCTCTTTGACCCAAGTTCTTGATGGTTTTTGCGGCGGTGTAAACCAATGTTTTTGGAAATCCCCACATTTTATGCCCGCATGTTCTTCTTACATGCGACCGGGGTGACCGTGGTCCAAAAAAAAACACCTTGCAATCGGGGAACTATATACAGTAAGTCTTGATCTGAAATACTTCCAGATGGTTTGGAATCCATTTTATAATCCGCCATCTTGTGAAGCAAATCTACAACATCCCGGAATGACAGGGGTTGGCCCTATATTGGAAGGGCAACAACTAAAACAACATGCTTTCCCGAGATTTTTCCATGACAGGGGCAATCAGCGCTCCGACCCTCTATTTTGCCAGCAGCTAGGCTTGGAAGGTCCGGATGAGCTGTGGGTTTTATCTTTGAACTGTGGCCAATTCAAGCAGAAAATCCCTGGATAACCATGAAAGATGGGAGATGAATCAGTAGGGGATCTTGCAAACAGACATGCTGGTCTTAGGGTTGGTGATTCAAGTCCCATTTTTTCGTGGAGTTGTCAGAAGGAAATAGATTGGATGGTATGTCTTTGGAAAAGTACACAGCAATAAGTCCTGAAGCTTGGTGATCAAGGGACCTACTTCAAATGGGCCTGTCTTTTATAGCTGACAGAGGCGAATTGGGGCCTTTAAAAGCAATGTGAAAGGCCGAAACATCATCAAGCAAAGCAGATTGGCCGATTTTGCTCAAACAAGACCAATTGTTTGCATGCTATCTCAGCCTACAGCCTGGCAACGTACAATGTATCCCTTCTAGACTCTAAGACCATTTGATATAGGAGATCCTACATTTGGAGTGACCCTGGAACCTAGGAAATCGCGCTGGCTACATTCTCGCTATACTTGGGACGGAAGTGTCGCGCTCTACATCAGCAACACGTTGCACTATACTCTGATGGAACTTATTGCCCGGTTGGATGAGAATTGTGGCTGTCGAAACTTCCTCAGGCCGAATTGTTTCACCTTTGCGGTCACAGAACGTAGGTAGCCTTCCCTGTTCACCCGTTTTTACGAGCCCTGGAGGGTTCGAAAGTGTGGTAATCTGGGAGCTGCTTGCACCGCCTTTTAATGAGCCAAGTGCTTTCTCGGAAGCTGCTTGCACCGCCGTTTCACTGAGCCAAGTGCCTAGGATCCACGCCGGAAGGTGCTGATTTGATCACTGCATACAGCTGCTCTGTTTGGAAGAGAATTCGCAATCCATGCTCTTGATGTCCTATCTTAAGGGATGTGGTACTAGCACTTATCCCTGGAATGTGTTGGTGACATGCGCAACGTTCAAGGAGCAGCTGAACATAGCTAAAGTATGCCAAGTATGCTAAAGTGCCTTATTTTCTGGTGTGTCAAGCTCAAAAAACGACTCTCTTCTCATCTAGCACACCTCCCAAGCAGAAAAGGCTTGCCAATGTCGAAGCAAAAAATGCGCCGGAGCGGATTTGAACATCCAGCAGGTTTGACATCCAGACCGTCTTTGTTGGGTGCAGGAAAGGGCCCCCTAGAAGTTGGTGAAACATGGTGAAACTATATAATCCGCAACTAAATATAATATATATATATATAGATATGATATATCATATATATATATATTCATTTATATATCCACCATAAATATCCATAAATCAGTCTTATTATATGGTGCTCATACCCACATTGTTGGTGATGCCCGCTTGGTCTTGTACGCAGGCGTTGCGTGGACTTTGGCTTTGAAGGTGGAGCTGATGATGGTCGCTTGAATCATGAGTACTCCAAAGAAATCCTAGGTCCTAAGATTCCAAAAAAATGGGAACGTGTTGAACTGTAAATTCCCATCACTTCTGGAGATCTTCCCATGTTTTTCCCATGTTTTTCTCTCAAAATCGACCGCGCCTTAGGAGCTCATGGGATCCGGCAAGGACATGCATCCATCCAGCTGGGGATCCTAGTCATACTAGTTTTTGCGGTAGCCAAGGGAGGCAATGGGATTTTAGCAACAAATATATGGGACAATATATGAAAATCAAGGGCGATATTACCTGGTTTGTTGGGATGGTGTTGTTTTCAGGACATAACATGGGAATATCATGGGATATGTTGATATAAGCAACAAAAATAACGATACCATCTGGTTATTTAACGTTGCAAACCATTTTTAAGGGAGGTAAATCATCATTTTTATCATCGGGCTAGCTATGGGCAATTATCCATAGCTATGTTAAATAACCTGAGTATATATATATATATATGGTTGATTAAATTATATTGGATATATAAATATATCTGTACGCATACACACACACACAATTCCATCATATTTGTCCCATCACATGGATGATATATTATTATTAATATGATTTTAAGGGAATATATTTAGTGTAGAATCATGTTGATTCGTAGCCACTTTTTTGGGGAAATATTCTAGTTTTGCCTTTTTGTTATCTACCCATTTTCCCCCAATGTATCTGGGGTGTGAGGAGCAACCCTGAAAAGGGGGGGGTTATATGACCAAGCAACTTCTGAGATTTAATGGGATGTATAACCATGGTAACCAAGACTATAACATGGGTTTGGCCGACGTTTGGCCATTTTGAGAGGGAAAATGATTCGCCAGCAGATTTACAGTAAGGGCATTTATTTTGGACAAACCCATGTAGAATAAGGATATGATTCATGATGTTGAGCAAACTCATCCTTGGTGCTGGTCTGAAGTGAATGGCATGCTTATGCTTGTAGAAAATAGCAACCAGTTTCATCCTTTAAGATGTATGTATTCCCATAACATTTGATTGTTTTCAAAGGTCAACTATCCAAAAAAACGTTGCCGTTAGCCAATGGCTCATTTGTGATGCTCCCGCAGTCGCGAGCGTGTGAGTCACCGAAGATGCTGAGATCTTTCTTCAGGAAACAGCAAAATTTGGCCATTGGATCATCAGGAAGCACCGATGCTTTGTTTTTGGCAGAGAATCCTGGCAACTCTTGGCGCTAAGCCAGTTACACTCACCCTGACCCCCCAACCCATCTCCGTCATGGAGCCAACCAGCGGCTGCCATGGCTCATACACATCCACTTCTGGTCTTGGATGTCGGCTCCTTGTTGGCATTTTTGTTGGGTCAGAGCTCTGACCAGCAAATTGGCTGGTCTAAAGTTGGGTCTGAAAGTTCACCAATGTTTCAATTTTTCTTTTTTTTAACAAAGATGAGAAGAAATTCTTCGTACTTTTTATTTTAAACCCTGATGGTATTTGTCTGGATGCATTTCATCCTTCAAGATAACATGATCAGATAATATTTCGCTGATAAGCTTGTCGTAAATCCGTTTCTGTGGGATATCATCTTTATTCTCTATATATATCTGTATCTCCTCATTCTTGCTGGGGTACGCTGTTACACCCAACATTTTTCAATGTTCAGACGGTCGAACCCAGATTCTGACTGGCTAAAATCTATCATTTTGTTCATTCACCCAGTCTTCTCGCCAGTGACCTCCACCTTTTCTTGGCTTAGACCCTACATGTTCATTGCCTATAAAATCCAAATTTTTGTTCTTAAATTCCGATTTTGGATGATTGTTACCCCTAAGCCCAGGTTTCCCCCAGATTTTCCTGGTTCAACCCATGGTAATTCCCTGGGAGTTCATCCCAGGTGGTGGCACGTTACGCCTGGGCTTTGCTGCCGGCGTGCCCTCCTGCGGCCGGCGAAAAGGTGCGGTCCGCGCAGAGCCCAACTGCTGTGGAGAGCCGTGGCCCAAGCGAGGCGAGGTTTGGACCACGAAAAATGGGGAGAATTGGGGGTTTTGGATTTTTTTCTGGATGATTTTTTGGAGAATGAAGCAGTTTTTTTGGGTCTAAGATTGACTAAGAATGGGGTTCATACCATTGTGGGGGGTTGCATATTTGAAGACGAATCCATGTTGGTGTAGGGCTCAGTTGCGGCCCAGCTGCTCCAGACTTGACTATGGAGATGCCCAATTTTTTCTGCAAAGGTGTGGTGTTCTGGGTAATGATCACTAAGATACACAGAGAAGTTTCCAATAACCACGAAGACTTTCGCGATTTTTGGATCTTCCCCACCTTTTTGATCCTGGTTTTGTTCCACTGCCACCAGTGCAGGTGGCGCAAAATCACTGCGACTCTATGGTGAGGAGCTGGCGCAAAAGCTGCCATCGTATCAGCTTCAACGGCCCAGCCGCAGGGGGCTGCTGCTGGATCTGCAGATGCAGAAGAAGATCTGGATGGATGTACTGAGCAGGTTGGACCTGCAGGGAAGAGACTTGCCTTGCAAAACGTGTTTTGATTTGATTGAAAAAAGGATGAAAAAAGGTGGCAGGTGCCACTCTTAGCGGAATTCAGAGAAATTTTGCCGGTCATCTGATAGGTATTTTGAACAGTTGCTCTGTTTGGGAGTATATAGGTAATTTGGAGTTCTCACTTGGCTAAGGAGTGATAATGCCACAACTGGTGAGTGATAAATCGTTGGTGACGTTTGGTAGGGAAGTAGGTGGCCTAGCTGTGAAGAGAAAATAATGAATGTCACAAGTGATGTGGTCTCGAAGGGTGCTGTTAGTTCGAGTAACGCTTTTGGGTATCTCGGATAGTAACTCTTTGGATGATGGTGTAGGGACCCCACATTTGACTGGCAATCTGGGTGCTGGAATCCTGTAAAGGGTCAAGAATCGTGAAATCCGAAACTGCATGCACTACTAGAAGGATCTGCAAATCTTTGGATTGAAGTGTCTTGAGTGTTGATGCAAAATGGCCTCATAGCTAAAATGGGTCTGTCTAAAAATGGTATACCCCCAAAATGCCAATGTATCCAATGTTAGGGGAAATGGAACGGAAATTATGATTCACTGGATTTTGAGGTAATACCAATGGGAATATCACGATCCTAAAATGGAGGTACGTTAGTACCATATTTTTGGCCATATCTTGTGGGGATATTCCCACAAACATAGCCCTGAAAAATAGGCCTGTTGTTATAGCGAAACTGGGCGGTGCGTAGGAAAACTCTCCGACTTGGCCGTGCTGGCCGTATTGGCACCTTTGACGCCCGACGCCTGGCAGCAGCAGCCGTTGTGCTGTGGAGTCGGCCACTCCAAGGGGATGCGAACTATAGTCAATTCGTAGTAACTAAAAAAGCGAAAGGTCATTCATCAGTATTTTAAGATATTTTTAAAGTCAGATTTTTGTTTTTGATCTTTATCTGGGGCTATACCATTGACAGTCACAATCCGTGCGTCTTCTCGGGTCTTGGACTAGTCACAACTCATTCTTTGGATCCTGGATTCTTCACATCTGTTGTTGGGAAGTGTTAGAGGATGTGTGTATCTTAAAAGTTGGGACCTGCTGATTTTTTTTCAGATCTATATACATACGAAACATTGCATAGAACCTGGAAAATGTACCCCCGCTGCCATTCTGGACACTTTTCCCTTTCCATCTTGTTTCCCTCTGGGGCTTGTCTGAACATTTACTTTATATACTACCAATTTCATGACAATTTGTGGCAACGTTACCCTAGTCATGGAACATGGCCAGGTTTCAAAAGTAGATCATCCACAACATTTTTCACAGCTTTTTTTACCTTTAAATTACCAGAGGGGAAATGTGGTTTGAACCATAGGAAAAACGACCTGGTGGCCCTCCATTGCTTTTCAGGAGGTGGTGGTGCAGGAGGTGGTGGCCATTCTAGTAGAAGACCTGGGCTTCGCCGATGCTTCGGTCGTGGAGTCCTGTAGTGTTGCGCTGAAGAGTCCAGGTTGGGGCCATGGAAAATGGGGCCATGAGCAGCTAATTTGGTGGCGATTTTCAGAGGGAACATGGTGATTTCAACTGAATGGAATGTGGTTTTGCCTTAGATTTTGAGGGAAACGAGGGCATTTTTTGGGATGTGGAAGCCAGGTTTGAGGTTTCAAATCAGTGAAATTGGAGAAAGATGGAAAGACGTGAACAATGACCAGATTGTGTGGCTTATGATGAAGAGTTTCGCACCTGCGAATGGCCTCCGCGACTCGCAGATAGGCTTGTTGCCAAGTGCAACAGAGCCCCAGAGAATCCCAATCCCAACTAACTATATAACTAACTATATAGATACTCTAGATGCTCCATAAATCCAAGGTTTTGCCAAGTGAAATGGCTTTGTCCGGTCTTTCACCATATTTCCCATTAAGATGGTGACTTGATGGTTCCTCAGACAAACCGCAGGCCTTTCGTCCATGCTGCGCAGCTGTTCGCCATCGCCCTGCTGCACCGTGCTGAGTCTGGGCTTCTCCGCCTGCTTCGCTCAGCCCTGCGTGGAAGGCAAGGCCATCGGCTCCGCGGGCAGGCGATGTCCGGTGGGAGGACGCGTGCTGACGAATCTCTTGTTGGACACTTGGCGACCACAAGGTGGTGGCCCTACAAATCCCCCAATAACTATAGAAATAGCTACCACAGACCATGGTTAACCATGGTTAACCTAGTTGCAAACCAACTTAGCCATCTCAGGGCCCCACTTTGCAGGCATCTTGTGGCATTGTAGGTGTTTTTTTTTTTTTTAACCTTCAACGGTATATCATAGAAGAAAAAATGTGATCCATCACCAGGCATGACCTTGGATAGAGTTTCTCACCTGTTGTGCTTGTGAAAGGAAAGTCTTAAGCTTCGACATTACGATCTCTCGCACTCCTGGTTGCTGGCCCAAGACATCCTCGAAAAGACTTGCCTGGTGGTCCGCGACGCCAAGCAGACGCAGATCCCTCCCAAGCCGGTGACCTACGTCCTGCCGGACGACAAGTGCATGAGCGGATATGTTGCGGAGACTGAGAATGAAGATGCTTGACATGGTGGGATTTGATTCTGGGAGAAGGCTCCTCATCTTGGGTGTGTCACCTTTTCTTCCTGACGAAAAGGACAACTTAACCTTCAAATGATGGATGAAATCAACGAAGAATATTAAGCAACCATCAGCTGGTGGATAAAATCACCACTCAACAATGAATCAACCATTGCATGTTGGATAAAAATGGATAAAATACAATCAACAACTAAATCAACTATCAAATTCCGGTGCTAAATCAATATATCAGGTGTTCTTTTCCATGAGTTTTGGGATGCTTTTTGTGAAAACTTCCAGCTTCGGTGCCTAGGAGTCTACCGAGACCGGCTCAAAGCAGAGCGTGACACTGAGCCTGGAACGACTGATCCCAGAGGCCTTGTTCCGACCGCAGGACTTTGGCATTCCATCGGCTGGGGTGGCTGGGCTGACATGGTGGACTCTGCAGTGGAAGGAGAAATGGCTGGAAAATCAGGATGTTGTTTTTGTTTCACCGTCCCTGTTGGAGTGGCCAAATGATACCTATACTTTGCTGCGGTTTTCCCTAGCCCCCCCCCCTTTCAACAAAAGATCCAGTTTGCTTCAAAATTCTACAGTCCACATATTCCCCATCCCAAGCTCCTCGAAAATCCCATCCCCTCATCCTTCCGAGGTCTCTGAATTGGTGGTCCAGGCTATCACGGCCGTGTGCGAAGTCACCTGGCGTCCCTTCCTCAGTCGCCTTGTCCTGTGCGGGGCCCTGGCGAGGCTGCCCGGGCTGTGCCAGCGGCTGCAAAGGGAGCTACGTGCCGAGTTGCCGAGCGAATGGCCTGTGGAGTTGCTGATGGAGGAGGAACCGGAGTGGTCCGTGTGGCAAGGTGAGGGGTTGGGATGGGATGGGGAAGGTGGGGATGGAGTTTTTTGAAATTTGTTGGATGTTTTCGTGTGTTTGGAGGTTTGGAAAGGATGAGCTCTGACATGTTTGAGGGCCAGATTTGCATGACCCGACAAAAAAAGGGATTGGTATGTAGAAAACTTAACTTAGGGGCCGACCAAAATGTTTCATCATTCCAAGATTCCAAACTGAACAATGATCAGCTTGGAAAAGCAACTGACTCTTTAATTTAAGATATTGAGGAAGATTTACGGGGCATCCTAGATGCCCATTGGACATGGGCAGATGGGGTCATGAATGGCATGCCAGGTGCAGTGCAACATGCCCTGCATGCAGAGGGTCTGTGGGGTCGCGTGAATCCAGCAGATCAGATGGACGACGAAGAGGTGGAGGAGGAGGAGGAGGCTGGGATCGGAAGGGGTTGGGGCAACCAACGTTTGGGGAGAGAATCAATTGGCAGATGTGCCTGTAAAAAATGGGGTACCGGGTGAAAGATAGTAAAAGAACTGTGACTTGAGACAATCCAATATTTCCCGAACGGTTAACCTTCGAGAACAAGGTGATGTTGTTGAGGATGCAGCCGTAATTCCATAAGCATAGACCTTTGTGTGATCAAGGTCTAACCAGTCAGTTCCGTATTGGTACCCTTCACCAAGCATCATTGTGGAAAAGCCACAGCCACCAAGATTTCAACAAAATTTCTCAAAAAGGCCTCTAGGGTTTTCAAGGCTTTCAGCTGGAAAGGGTCCAGAAAAGTGAAGGACCAGCCGTCGGTCCCTTCCCCGGCGGCACCTGTGGCTCCATCAGCACCGGTGATGCCACTGATGCGAGCGAGGGGCAAGCGACCTGCAGCAGAGCTGGCAGTCAAGCCAGGTACCAGCTGGGGATGGATTGACATACCCCAACATTTGTGGGCTCGGGCCCCCCAACTTTCCAGTTGCGATTTTTCTTCAGATTGGGCTTGTCCATCTTTTTTTCAGATGATAGTTGTTGATTGTTGCAAGACTCACACTGCCGATGACCTTTTCGACTCTTTTGCAGTGCCACTCTTCAAAACTCACGGAACATGGGGTCTCCAAAGACGGTGGTCCCGATGCAGCATTTTGTCTCTTAAGGTTTTCAGCTCAGTTTCCCATGGGTGTCCATTTTTGTTCTTTCCATCTTACCCAAAGATTTCCAGGTTTTTCCACCCCAGGAGCCCCACCGCTGGCCGACCCCGCGCCCCCGGCCGACGCAGCCATCGCTCCTCGGTCGCTGCTGAAGCGGCGGCCCTCCGCTGCGAGTGACGGCCCTCTGGAGCCGACAACGGGTGTGGCGAAGAAAAAAAAGTGGCCTGGAAAGGCCTTTGGGATGGAAAAGGGGAGGAGTTTGTAGTGGTTCTTTTCGACGATTTTCATCGATTTTCAACTTTTTTTTCTGCTTTTGTTGATGTTTATCGTTTCTTTTTGATTGCACACCACTTGAAATTGTCTTGAAACGGTGATGAAATGATCGCGAAGTCCCAGAAAAGCCATGTCAAAAGGGCCAAGGCGCAGAAATGACAGAATCTTGACTGACAACGATCACCAACAAATCATTAGTTATTAGATGTTATTAGTGATTAGTGGATATATTTTTGGACCTCAAACAGTCAAGCCGTGGCTCTGATCCTGGAGCTTGACCTGGAATCCCTTGCACGACAGCCTCTGTGGAGACTTTTCGCAGAAAGATTCCAATTTTCCAACAGTACCGCTTGCCATAGAACTTGTGGATCTTGTGGCATTTTGCTCTCAAAACATCAATTTTTCTTCATGCGCCCGTGCGCTAAGGCCCCGAACCGCACCACCCAGGCACGAAACACTCTGAGACTGCCATAAACTTGGTGCAGAACAAATATCTCAAGAAACTGCAAGGTTTTTCATGGTTTTCAGAGGATGATAGCCACGAAAAAGGTTGAAAAGCAAATTACTTCAACGGTTTTTCTTTTCTATCAAAAGTAACTTAAGATAGTTTGAGGTACAAGTTATAGTTTTGAGCTTCTTGAGCTTTCAGTTTGTCTTCCTTCTTTGATGAATCCTGTATCACTATTCTAGTAGGATGATGCCAGGCCTGCGGCTTTCCGATCGCGCGGCGGACCGCCTTACTTTGGGCAGGAGAGACTTGGGCAGGGAATGTCCAAAGAGGGCAAGTCATGGTTTTGGTTATGGCTATAAAGGCCTAAGGCGTTATCATCAAGGCGTTATCATCACCATCACCACCATCATCATCATCATCATCACCACCACCACCACGATCTTTCTTCTTCTCCTCATGGTTCTTGTTCTTATCCTTATTATTCTGCGTCAGTGTAGATACTCAGAATTCAATACATCTCGCTGACCTCAGCCAGGAACAAGCCTGTGTGTGCACCATGGAGGCCCGGCTGTTGATGTTTTGTGGTGATGCTAGTGGGCCTCATGCCAAACCCGGGTGTGAAACGAACAGCCGGGAAAGACATTGTGAAGATGTAAGACTCCCCAATCTCTTGGCTACTTCGCATTGTTTTCTTTTTCGAATTTCCATTGTTTAAGTGGTCCAGTCTTCTCAGCAGCAGAAATCCTAAGTCACCATCGTCCAACCTTCAAGGCCGACTCGCGCCCGGCGAGTGAATGGGGTGCGACGTCTCAGTCGTCGGTCAGATGGGAGGGCCCAACGTAGAAGGTTTGACGGGAGCACCGGAGCACAATGATTGGGGAGCCATTTACCCTCTAGTAAACTAAGATAACTATGCAAAATCACCATTTTTGATAGGTAAATCAATGATCAATGGCTATTTTCAATAGCTTTTTGTATGTTTACCCCCAAACGTTTTCCTATCCGCCTCAGGCTTCGAGCGGCTTCATGGCCCGATGGCTTCCGTCACGGCGCGGCGGCCGCCGAGTCAATGGGGTCCGGTGCCGCAAAGGTGGAAAAACATGGGTGATTTTACAGGATTTCAGCAACAACGACCATGGTTTTTGTTGGATTTTGTAGGGGATGAAGTCATGGGGGATCCCCAAAAGCATTAGGTTACTCACATGGATTTGGATGATTTGGATAATTTGGGGTACCCGGGGTACCCGGGGTACACATCATTTTAGGAAACCACCATTAGTAATGGGAATATCATGGGGAATAGATTGGAATAATGGGGATGATAACCATTGCAACCCCAAAATGTGGAACATGTGGTTCATAAACTCCATTAGCTATATATTAGATATCTCCAATGAAGCCTACTTAGACCCTCCAAGTACCCATGAAAATGGGTAAAAGTCCCCAAAAATGGGTGTTTTACTGCAGGTTTCTAGGTACTTTGAGGGGGGCAGAATGTGCTGTGTGCGTCTTGGGGCACTTGCACCTTCAAAACATGTTTCTTCTTCTTTGAGGGGTGCAGGACCCCTCCCCATAGATAGAAGAAGTGGAGCCTGGAGATTATGGGGAAGCCCATTGATTTGATACCCTCATCTTCATGTAGGTATCCCGATGATATCCCCGTTACATCCCTATTGCATCCCCATTATATCCCCATAAACTGGTTGGCTTTACACACCCGCGTTCGATGGATTTTATGTATATATGGGCTTGCAATGGGACAAGGACAAAGATGTCGCCCGGTCGTTGTCACTTTGGGCTCACAGCCGCCTGTGAACTGCACGGCAGCAATCTCCCCTCGTCAATCACAACAAGACGTCTGCCTCGTGCGGACGCCGTGACCCGTGGGACCAAACATAATGCAGCTGTCATCCGCCCCTGAGCTGCAAGGGCGCAGGGCGAGGGCAGGGCGAGGGGGCTGTGGATGGCTGTGGATGGCTGTGGATGGCTGTGGATGGCTGTGGATGGCTGTGGATGTGGATCAAGATTGAAGACAAAACCTGCCGATTTCGAACAGTTTTTTTTTTAAACATAGCCAGCTTTCGAGGTTCAGATGATGTGCCGTGCGCTTCTACTGATTGCCGCGGGTCTCAGCACCAGCCTAGCGGCAAAGTTGGCTGCGGCGCCCAACATCCAGCAGGAGCGCGGTCGTTGGTTGCTGGCCAGTGCCTCGCAGTGTACCCTCTGGTAATTTAACACAGCTATTGAAAATATACCATTTATAGTTGATTTACCTATTCAAAATTGTGATTTTCTATAGTTATGTTAGTTTACCAGAGGGTAAGTACTTCACGTAATTTGTATACATATTCAACCAGAACTGAGGATAGCAACCAACATCCAGTTAAGAATTATTGGGGGGTCCACAGAAAAAAATGGCGCCATGTCTATGGGTTAAGAAGATCAGCCACATTTGACAAACATTTTGGGGCTGGCTGGCTCAACATAGCAGAAAGGTACTTGATAACATCTAAGGCATCCTTCTTGATTTGCACAGAAAGGGACGTTTTTCACCGCTTAAGAGACTTTCAAACTGTTCAATCCTTCTTCAAATTTCCTTCCAGAACCTCAAAAACAAACCTTGAAAAACCAATCTTCAACACCTTAAGAAAAAAACATGCTTGGGATATGCAACCCAGCAAGTGATATATGTATATCCATATATATATATATGTATATACATATATATATATATACATATATATATACATATCCACACACACACATATATATATATATGTATGTATATATATATATGTATGTATATATATATTATACACACATTATGTATATAGCCCGGGATGTTCCAGGGCTGTTTGAGTGCATCCTGCGCCGTTCGTGAAAGGATGGCATTGTGAACCTCCTGGCATCGTCTCAGCCGGCGCCGGGCACGCCCGCCTCCAAGAACAAGGCGTCAGAGATGGAGCAGATGGTGCGGATGTCCCAGCGTCGGATGGGAAATTTGGTGCAGGTGTGGTCCAGGAATTGGGAAAATTCACCAGTGAATTAGTTGTAGATTTGTTCTCACCAGTGTTCTATTGATTGACATGGCACATATATTTCTAGATATATACACATGTATATATGCAATGTAAATGCCGGACGTGATTTGGTCACTCTTTGTGATGGGTAGGAACATGGGTCAATTATTTGCAGTCTTGAAGGGAAAAAGACTAGCCCAGCAATCATTGTACCTTCTGCGGGGTATTTGGATCAGCAGCGAGATGGGAATGAGGTTTGAATGCCTTTTAATGTGTATATATATATATTATACACTTTCTACATAGATAACAATTACATTATATATATATATACATATTTATGCATATGCATATATATATATATGGTTTTGCAGAATTAAAAGTCGCAGACAGTTCCAACACTGCCCATTCCACCTTTTTCTTGTGGTCCTTTCATCCGCCGGTGCTCATCCATCCATCCATACATCCATCCATCCATCCATCCATCCATCCATCCATCCATGAAACCTGATCCTCAGGTGTTGCTCTTGGCGCAACAAGCCAAAGTGGCCAGAAAGAGTTCGCAGAAGGCGGCAGAGTTCGCGAAGGGGGAAGCTGGTTGGAATCCCATGGTTGATGCTCTGGCTATGGAAAGTCATCATGTTTGATAGGTAACTCATCGAACTCAAGGGGTTATTTTCCAGGCTTTAAACTACCAGAGAGTATCATCAGTAGCCCCATTGAACTTGCTGTAATTTGTTCCGTGTAAATTCCATGTTTTTGAGACGAAACAAAAGGAGTGTTGACGATTTCCAGGACGATTCTCCGCTTCTTTCTGGATTTGGTGACCAGATAAGAAATAGTAAGAAACCCTGAGTCCAGATGATCACCATTTCTCGACTGGAACATGTTCTGTTGATATTTCCCCTAGATCTTCAGGGGTTGGTACATGTCCCATTCTTTTTCGGATTTTGAGCATCACCTTGAAACGCTTGTGGCCAGATGTTCCCCTTCAAAAATGGTGACGAAAATCTGCCTGGTGAAATCACAATGTTTGGCTGGTGAAATCACAATGTTTGCTGGTGAAATCCCAATGTTTCTGAAACATTTTTCTTACATTTCACATCCCCGTAATTTTCATCCAAGATCTTTCATCCGCCTAGAATCCTAGAATCGAAACCAGGCCGATGGAAACCTCGATGAGTTCGTTGAGATGATCAAGAAGGAGAAGGGCTCTGCTATGGCTCCGTTGTGAGTTTCCTGCGACGAATCAGACTGGGTCGAAATTCCCAAGAGTGCAGTACGTATTGCCACATCTCCAACTCATCAGTAAATGATAGCTGTTTTTTTGGGGGGATACTAATGATTTCACGGATCTATCGAGTTTACCCCTGGTTAATAGCGACAGCCATGACCAAGCCCTTCAGATGGGAAGTGGATTGGGGAAAGCATCCCTGGCTGCCGTAAAAAATCGATATAGTTCAGGACATATTGTGATTATCCTACAATGATTCGGTTTGTAGCTGCAGGCAAGAATCCCTGTCTTTACTTGCTGATATTCTGAGATTGCCTTGTTGTTGCCAAATACCGTGTGTCTCCGTCTCCCAAGTTTCCCAGAATTCTCTGAGAAAATTTACACGACATGTCAAAATGGGATGGCCGAAGTACCAAAAATCAGCTTGTCGTCCGGAAAGGTGCACCTTTCTGGATCTCCACACCCGGGTCGAAAAAAAGAGGGGGCTGCCCCAAGTCTGCCGACAGTGGGGTTCCCCACTGTCCTTCCCATCCCTAGGAGCTCTTAAAGATGGAATCCAAGATCAAGGACGCGGTCGCCATCGTGGACTCAGGTTGTAAGGACGGAGGGGGCGGAGGCATTGGACCATAGGGGGATAGAGTAAGCCCCCAAAAACACGGGAAGTAAAGATTAAATGGAAAGTAAATCATCACTATTCTAGTAGGATTTTTCTTTTCAGCCTCTTTTTGGGTGTTGCTATGTATAGCTATGTAGCTAACTGGTGCCATTGACATGTGGCGGATGAAACAAGGCATGTTTTTGTTTGTTTAAATGGGATATTTAATTCAGGGACTAATGCGGATACAACCATTAGAAGGTGCAAAGTGGTGTGTCATAGCTGGCGAAATTCGTTGACCGGATTTGGGTTTCAAAGGTGGAGATGTTTTTGGTGACGGGGGGCACCAATTTTTGCACTGCTTGGGAGGACACCTTCGGCAACTTGTCGGCGGGCTGCCCGGCCTATTTCAGCAACACCACCTTCCTGCCTGCAGGCGCCGGCCAGCGGCGTTGGGACCGTTTGGGATCAGGTTTTCCCCACATTAGCCAAGATAAATAGTTCTTTGTCCTATGATAGGGCTCAGAATCCCTACATATGTAACAAATGGTTGGAACTAGGGTAACCGCCATTCATCTCTGATTGTTGGGGGTTCCCATGTCAGAATTTGGCGGTTGGATTGGAACCTGCGGGAAGACCATTAATGGCACCGCACATTTCAATGCCGCTGCTATTCATATGAGCATGGCTCAAAATTTAGGATCCAAGGGACCACGGAATTTCGTCGATTTGCAGTACTAACGATCCATTTTGTTTTGGGTAGCCCTGTTTTGATCCAGACATCCGAAGCTTCGTCGCCGGAGGCTTTGATGGAGATTTCACCCCTCTCAGGGAGGTGCGACGGTCAGTCCATGGGGTATCCCTGGCTGGGATGATAAGTACCGACAAAGTATGCTTCAAAGTGGCGCCCCATAGTTACAAGCTTTTTTTCGGCTACTTTGTAGGTGGCTGAACTGTGGCTCTAAAGGTGATTATATCAAATTCGATCAGTGCAACTAAAGCAACCTACGGGGAGCACCACTTCGCAATGCTTGGGAGATATGACATGTGCCAGGCGCATTCCAGCTGCCGCTCCCAGATTAGCTCTCGCAAGCAGGCGCCGAATCCAACAGACAGGTCACCACAAAAGGACCCACGCAAGACTCTTTTAAAGGGCAATCCTACAAAGATGGTTGATGAGTCATCAACAAATATGGCTATGGGGCAGCATCAAACAACCCCAAAACTGGCTTGCTATTCATATTCTCACCATAGACAATTCCAGAAAGATGTTTGGGATGTACTGTAAACACCGCAGTGACCAGAGTAAAAAGAACCATTGCCATATGGGCATGGCTCAACACTTTTTTCCACCCCAGAAATGACATAAATGATTTATACATGGTCAACTTCAATTGGATTTATAAATGGTTTCCATGGCTCAACTGGTCAACTTCAATTGCAGGTCCATGGTAGTTCACAGGTACCAACCCTTTGGAGCCAATGAGCCCAACGGGTGTTTCCTGGGTGAATCTCGGGATATCCATCTGAGCCCATTCATCATCTGGGTTCATCAAAATAATCTATGAATTGCGATATATATATATACACACATATATATATATAGATTTCAAATGATACCAAGACGTATCCATGAAATATGCCTTTGATGAGTTTGATACACTCCAATTTCCCTACTTTTTTTTTCTTAAAAAACCACGTTTTGCCATCGATTTTTCTTGGAATCGGTTGCGCCGAGATTCGGGCAATCCACGTGGCCAGGAGATGGACAGCTGCAAGTCAAGCCGAGAGAGTTTGATCCTGCAGGAACACACCTTGACGGCTCAGTTCAGGAGTACTTTGGCCCGGAAAAAAGATGGGGAAATTCACATGAAATTATGGTGACCTTGACCTTTGGGATGAGCCAATAACAATGGGGGGATTTCATGACTGTAGACTAGTATAGGCTTTTGACCCTGGGAACCAAAGGTGTTGGCTGCAAAAAGATACTCAATTGTGACCAATGCCCCTACAACCAAGTAAGAGCGGCTCTACTCAGTGGGTCTTGAAAAACCATTGGCATGGTGAAATTGGGAGAGACATTGGAGATGTTCCAAATGGGCCACCCATTGAAAAGCGGGCCATTGGCTCATGGGAAGCGCAACGCCCATCTCCAGCGGACCGAGGCATCAACGTGTTTGAGAGTCCGGAGGAGTGCGCGGTGACAGGCACTGATGTGCTCGGTCTCGTGGCACCATCTGTGATGGGTGGGACTGGGGACTGTTGGATGATGGAGTGAACCACGATGACGATGGCGATGACGATGATGATGATGATGATGATGACGACGACGATGACGATTATCACTATAGTTATAGATTATTGGTGTTATCACTAGCAGTATTGTTACAACATATTAGATGATTGATATGAAAACAGCAGTCGTGATGACTATGGCCTGCAGCCTGAGGTTACTTGGCCGCCATGCGAGACCACTTCGATGGCAAAAAGGCACCAGGGAGATTGTTTTTTTGGCATATCCCATTGTAGTATTACAATAGCAACACCCGAAACTATAGGACAGTCAATTTTCTGTACCCGATTTTCAAACAAAGCCGTACTGTCCCATATTACCACGTGTCCAAACTAGGCCGTAATTAAGAAAATCCAATAGATCTTCCAAGTCGTGGATGTCTGTCCATCAGACTACTTGGTGGAGCACCTATTACAAGCTGGAGAACGTCACTCAGAATATCACCAAGTGGAACTGCACTGAGAAGGCGTCCGGACCATTGTCCATGGGCAGCCAAACCCCAGTTGTGCCATGCTGGGAAAAACATATGGAAAAATGGGGATAGAATGGGGGTAGCATGATAATCTGATAGAATTGGGAATCTTATGAGATTGGGGGATATGGAACCAACAATATCTGCGATGGTCAAATTACAAGATCTATATTTTCCCAAGAAAGAGAATGGTGCTCCCCGATTCATAGGCTTGAAATGCTCGTGGATTATTGCAATCCCAAAAAATAGTGTGATGAACATAGCCATGACATAGCCTGCTTGACCATGGCGCACATGGGAAACGAGATTTTACGAAACCTTACCCTCTGGTAATTTAACATAGCTATTGAAAATGGCCATTTATAGTGGATTTTCCCATTGAAAATGGTGATTTTCAATTGCTATGTTAGTTTACCAGAGGGTATTGAGGAAATCAATTGGAAAAAACTAGACTATATCAATTGGAAAATCACCATTTTTTACCAGTTTTTTTCCCCCAGCAATTTTGAGGAGCCTGGTTTCCAAAATTGGCTACCAAGTCTGAGGTGTCGACACCGAAAAAACAAGGCTGACCAACAGAATCTCTGGTGGTTTACATATGTATATATGTATGTATATATATATATACATATGTATTTACATATGTATATGTATATATATATATATGTATATGTTTACATATATATATATACATATGTACATATATACATTGTATACATATATACATATATATATATACACATATACATATATATATATACACATACAAGTATATATATATATGTTTGTACAATTAAAAAGGATAGTTATTATATATAATATATGCATATATGGTCATCCTGGAGTATATGGATTTTCAAAACATGATCACTAAAAATGGGAATCTTTCTCAAACATCTGTATTCTATCTATGTACTCAGTATTATATATATATGTATATGTATATAGCGGACAGCGGATTCATATACTCATATATGCTGTATAGGGGATTCATGCATTTTACCTTATCATTGAACCATATAAGTTAATATACATATATATGTTACATAGTATGTATATATATATATATCTCTCTCTCTCTCCAGTTCCGACCTGCCATGGACCCCATGGGCTCCAGGAGTTGGCCTACTACAACAAGCTGACGGAGTGTTCGGAAAAGCAATTGACCCTCGAAGAGACCGCCTGCGAGCTCCATGCCAGGCGCAAATGGGGGATTTCCATAGGGATTTCACATGATTTCACTGGGACTTTACGATAGAAAAATGGGGATTTCACCATAGAAAATGGTGATTTCATGAGGTTTAACCGTTTAACCATGAAAATAGGAGGCCATTGGGATAAAATGGGGATATAATGGGATATGCAAAGTATTGTGCAGGCCAGGTGTGATTTTGTGGGTATAAGTGTCGGATTCTAATCCCTATAAGTTGGGATAGAACCCCTGTAACTATGCTTTAAGATATCCACTCAAAAACTGGAACTGCACCCCGAAGTAGGCTAGTGATTCCTCAAAGGCAAAAATGGTGATGTTTGGGACAGCCTGAGTAAGTCAACCGAGTTTCAGTGACAAATGGCTTGGCCAAAGCAGCACAAAATGACCGGTTTCGTTTTCGGGCGAAATGCGTGTTGTTTGCTCCTTAAAACAATTTCTTGAGCTCGGAAAAGTCCAAGCATGTGACATTTATACTTCTCACCAAAAAGCTTGAAAAGTGAAGCACCATCAAACTGTCGTAGGATCCCCCCCAAAATGCTTCCTTCCATTGTTTCTGCTGCCCTCTTTTCTCCCGCATCATTTTGCATCCAGGACCAAGGAAGCCTGTGCCATGCTTCCCTCTTGCTTCGACAAGAATTGGGACGGCTACTCCAAACAGGTGACGTTCGGAAACTGGGAAACCGCTTCGCTGGTTTCCGATCTGGGGCCATCTGGGGTGTAAAGATCACTCGACCAAACCTTGAGTGGTGATTTTTGACCGAAGTCTCCGATGATTTCAATGAGAACACAGTGGTTGAAACCGTGTCTGGGATCAGACGACTGATAAAAGCCATGGTATCTGGTGAGTTGCAAAAACCCATGGGATTTTCCATTGCCCAAAGCGGGATGATCTGACAGCATCTGAACCATGGTTGCAGGTCTTCAAACTAGAATGAACCTTTGACGTATATCAATATCGATATTTATATCTCTATATCTCTAATGATCTATGATCTATGATCTATAGGGTAACATCTATACCATATATACCATCTATATAGCTATATCATATATACCATATATGGTCTATGATAAAGCTTATAGATATATCAACATGTATACCTATACCATCTATGATTGTATCATTACCGGCCCCAGATCTATCCCTGGGTATTTTTTCCTGGCAGGTGTCGCTGGCAAATGCCACCATCAAAGATGCTCGAAACGTGAGAAATTCGGAAAATTGCAGGGTACTTGGGGATTTTTAGAACATCAAACATGGTGGATATATGGTGATTTGATAGGATTTCATGGGGATATCAGGGGAATATATGAGTTGGGCTGATTTTTCTGGGCAAAACAATGGGATTCTATTCTTGAGCCGCATCCCCAAGTGCTTCCAGGAATCAAACCTGGCCCTGAAAATCCCCCAAATGGAGGTCTTAAGAGGAACGTACCATCTGGTTATGACTAACATAGCCAAAACCACCATTTTTGATAGGTAAGCCCAGGTAAACCATCTATTTCGATTAGGGCCATTATCCATGGCGAACTGTTAGTCATAACCAGAGGGTCTCAATTTAAAAATGGGGAATGTTTCAAAAATTGCCATGTTTGATGACCGGAGGGTATATCTTCCTGACATTTTTCGCAATGACTATCCTTCAGCCAGCCAGGGATTTTCCCATACCAGGGGGGTCCTTTGAGCTCCAACTGGCTCCCATTGTTTGGGAATGGGTCAGTTTTTTTTAGCCCTATGGTCCCACATATTTATTAGTATATGGGGGTTTCTTAGAATGGGGGAAAATTCCAGGTTACCATAGCTTTTTCAATATACCTAATAGTCATGGTCTCATGACTTGGATGGGCTCCTTTTTTGTTTAGTATCAAGCATCGATTGGGGTCCCCACTTGACCCATGGCCTCAGGATCTGCGTTTCGAGTACGTGGCTGTGAAGCGCATCACGTGCATGTTGGACGCCTTCACCGCGCCGGATTTGGAGGCACCAACGATCATCGTAAGAGAAGTGACCAACGATCAACAAGAGAAAATGTAGATAAACATAGGTAATACGGGTAATAGTAATAAACATAAGAATAAGAAGAAAGATCGGATGAAACTTGATGAAACCTCAGAAGATGAGGGTGATGGCACGACAAAAATCATAGTGATAGTCATAGTAATAGGACGGAATAGTAAATCGTAATAGCAATCATTTCGTTTTCCTGGAGACCTCACAAATATTCAAATTGGGCCATTTTTGATGGGGAAGCGAGAGGTTTTGGGGTATGCCACTTTTGAGACACTTTTGAGATGTGCATTTGAGGCGTCGCAAGTGGTTAGATTCGATTAGATGTTACCCTCTGGTAAACGTTTATTTACATAGCTATGGAAAATCACCATTTTTAATGGGAAAACTCACTATAAATGACCATTTTCAATAGCTATGTTAGTTTACCAGAGGGTAATAGCCTGTAGTCTAGGTCTATACCATGGGTGTTAGCCCCTACTCGTAACTGTCCTAGAGTCAGTAGCCTAGGATACCCTAGGCTATAGCTGGTTCATGGCGATTGATTCCCCCAGTTGGCAATATTGGTTTTGACCCATCCCCAATACCATTGTTTCTGGGAAAGGTTCCGAAAAAATTAATCCACTGATAGCGCCGGCATTCGAGGCCAAGATCGAAGAGTGTATGGCCAAGCAATACAGCGGTGCTGCCATTAGCAGTGCCTGCGTTTCTTGGTAGGACTTAGTTGGCTTGGTTTAAAAGAAATCGGCAAAGAACTTTCAGACTTTGATGGTTACCCTCTGGAAGTCACCAATTTTTGGTGGTTTCACTAATCTTCCAAGCCTTGGGGCCTTGGTCAAACTGTTAATTTACTGAAGGTTTCATCAGAATAATTACCACCCTTATTTTTCATGGGCATAGGTTCCGGGTCCCATTTCGTAGAGCCGTTGTAGAGCCAGGGTTTGGCGGTTCAACAGCTGTCAGCCATGAGAGAATCTTCCAGGAATGGTACCAAATTGACATTATCTTACATATTGGTTTAGTGTTGGATCTACTAATGTTGGGGTCCCTTATTTTTTATAATTTGGGGATTTCACATTCCATGTATTACCAGAGGGTTTTTCAGTGATTATAATGTCTATCCCCATTTCAGGATAATTAAGCAATGTTAAAGCCCATTTTTGATGGCCAACACCCAGTTTTGATGGTTAGCCCCCATGTGTATTCAATCATCAACCACTAGTAATGGATATATGCCATTATTCACCATTTAGATGGGGGATAGGAATATCACTATTATTCCCAGGACAACCATTATTAATTAACCATTATGAGAATATATATATATATTATTATTAGTCACCACTATGAATCACCATATTTGGATTAATTTGATTCACCATACGCCATGATGGAATTAGAATCGGAATATATGCCATTCTTCACCATACTATCACCATGCTTGTTATTCATTTGCAGTGAAGCCATCACGAACCATCATTACACAACCGTTAGATCGGTCATTGGTTTCCCATGATCAACCATTCTTCACCACGTTTGGAATGATCCGGTGGGTGGAAGATATCCTGCACCACCGAAAGGATGTTTGAAACCCCACAAATAATGGGATGTTTACCACCTATCAACTGGTGATTCGGATTTCTTGCATCCACAGTAGCATCACCATATCTTGAATGATAAACTAAAGCTTGGAAATCAGGTGGAATATTCCCCAGTTATAATTCCCTATTGGAATAATCCCTATTCGGTATCCTTAGGTGTGAATATGATAGAATGATAGCGTCATCCAGGAAGCTTAGCCCTGCCACACCAATCCCCTTAGGTGGAGGGCTTCCTGGATGCCACCAAGCCAAGCTTCATCACGCCCGACGTGTGCGCATCAGGCGCTACGCACGTGGCTGGTTAACTCCGTGAGTTTTGGTTGACAGCTCGAGAGGAGAATGAGTGGTTCTTTTCTTCAAATACTATAGTAAATTTGAACAACACATGTGTTTTTTTTCTGACTTTGGCTGATTTCTCAATCACACTTTGGTTTAGGTCCATCAAAACCACGTTTTGTTTTGCCACCCATTCACATTTGACTTGAATCACCTGCCAAGAACTGACCTTTGGTCCATTTTTTGCAGGTGTGAAGTCTATCCTGCACCCCAACGACGACAACTTCAACGAGACTGAATATGTTTCTCGACTGCTGAGGGCTGAGGGCACAGGTTTTTGCCGAATCTTTGTTTTACCCATTCTTTGCTCCTGGTTTCGGACATCTTTGCTCCATGTTGGGTCAATTTCCCCTCTAAAGAGAGGGAAACCAATCCACAAATCCGATGCTTTGGATTCTCAATGGATGAACATACTGTGGATGGCGAAATCCGGTTATCACCAGTTGAAAACGGTGGCGACAACATGATTTTGTTGGGGTTTCAACCATCCAATCGGTGGTGCCATTTATCCGTAACTTGACCATGGCTAATAGATCTGAGCACCCGAGGCTTCCCAAGGCATTGCTGCCAGTTCCTGCATGGCATCTTGCTGTGAGTTGGAGTTGTACCATTGGCAGACCTACACCAATGCGTTTCTGGGCTCCGCGAAGCCCTGAAAGGGATCATCCAATGGTTCAACGTGATTTTCATTTTTCTTGTGAATTGCAGCTTTTCACAAATTCTTGCGACAAATTCAAGCGAAGTTGAGACATTCCCTATGGTGAAGTCAATCGGACTAGATGATTAGGATGGGTTTAGAAACCAAGAGTCGGTCATGAACAGTCAGCTGCATGACTAAACATTTTTGTTGGAGTGAATCAAATCGACAGGTGATTGTTTGAAGAACATTTTCGTGAGTATTTATTTTCGCTTGATTTAAACCAACAGTCGGGTGATTGAGAACAGTTTTACTTATCATTTTGCTGTGTCAAACCGGCAGTTGCGTTGGAGATTTGAAAACAGTGCCTCCGTCAACATTATCATTCGGGTCTCATTTTCAATGAACCGTTTTGTTCCCGATCGGATGAATTTGACCAAAGTTTGGTAACTTTCTACAGCCAAGTAAACAGTATTCGTAGTAGAGGCCGCCCCTGATACCAGTATTTGAATCCAGTGGTTTCAACTGATTCAACTTCCCGACGAAAAATCTGCTAGTCCAAAGACCAGCGGAAAACATTGGGGTTTGTCTGAAAATGGTTTTTTTCTCCGTTGAATTTGAGGCTCATATTTCCCCTCCAAGTATGGAAAATGACTCAAATGACCATCGCTTGGTGGGTCAACACCGAACGACGTTCCGAATCGTTCCGAACCACGAGGTTCGTGACGTCGGACCACTACATGTACGACAGCGACAGTGGACGCGTGGTGAGCTACACCAACATGGCCGAGGCCAAGCAGGCTTGCGAGACCATGGGCAGTGTGTGCCTTGGCGAAGTCAGGTGATGACTTGGGGTTCCAGTGACACTGGCATGTTATTTTTGATGTGGGTAAAACAATGCCATAAACTATCCCCCAGGAAAATCACCATTTTTATAGGGTATGGTTACCATTCCCAAATGGGTAGTTTATGGCATTGTTTTACCCACATTACTTCAGGATGTTTTGTGTTGTTGGACGATCCCAGCTTCACCACAGGCTTTGCTTCGGAATCTATGATGCCAACTGCGATGGCCCCAGCTATGAGAATCCCGTGAAGATTGTGAAGGCCGCGGGCGGTGCCGCGCTGGGTGGTGGATTTTCTCCACTTTGTTTTTAGGATAGCAAAAAAAGTAGTAATAGTGATAAGAATGATAAGAATAAGTCATAATAATAGCCGGCGGCTCCTCCACCACCACCACCACCACCACCACCACCACGACTACGACTACGACTACGACTACGACTACTACTACTACTACTACTACTACCTCCTACTACTACCTCCTACTACTACCTCCTACTACTACCTCCTACTACTACTACTACTAATGATAATGACAATGACAATGAGGAGGATAATGATAATGATAATGATAATGACAATATCAACGAGAACAATGTTGATAATAATAATAATGATAATCATGGTAGCAATAATGATAATCATATTGATGATAATGACAGCAACAATTCCCACATTTTTATGGTCATTAGTTATGGGTTATTAGCAACCCCCAAGGAGATAGAACAGTCAAAATCAACTCAGACAGTGGTAGATTACTTTCGATTTTGTTGGGGGTTACTATACATAATTAGTACATCTCCCGTTTCGGAGACAGGTCACCCTTCATATTGAATACACCCTTGGGCCAAGTCATGTGACTTCATTCCTTTTCGAATGATGTGTGGAGGAAGTCTTGTCATCGCCATAATATTACAGTAATCCCCATTGCTGATGGTTGGATCCCCCCAAAACTGGCGAACCCATACTATACTTATAGGGTGAATCCATAATGCTCCCTATCTCACCATGTCCTCCAAGAGGGACAAAAAAACTACACGGCTGGTTTGTTGTGGTCTGGATTTTTGTTTTGGATTCCATGGGAAGCATGGCCCTCTTTAGTGAGAAACATGGGAGCAACATGGACCACAGCCAGGCTCCTGGGATTGACTTGGAGTCTGTGAAGGAATCCTCTGTAGGCAGCTGCGTCCAGAAGTTGATGAACGGCTGCTGTCCAGCACTGATGGGTTGACACGACTGGGACATCCCCGTGAAAAATATGGAGGTTGTAAGGGAAAATCATGAGAACATATGAGTCATATGAGTCATATGAGAAACTAAGGGGAAATCTCCGAAGGAGAGGGGTATAGATGGTGACATGTGAAATCATCAAACTAAATGGAGGAGTTTCCAGCAAGCCATGTTTGGTTAATAGAGGGTCTTTTCATGTCTTTTCTATTTTCTCCAAAACCAACTCACCGTGATCCACTTGAAGGTTGAACCACCTAAGTTGAGATCAATCATGATGAATGTGAGTACTTGGCAGGTCAAAATCAGCGTTTTTTTTTTTTCAGTTGCCGACTTGAAATGGCAAGGCGACCTCAAAATCATCAAGCCCCCGAAATGGATGGGGTCAATAATGGTTCGCCCTAGGGGCTTGACCCAATACCCATGAAAAGTCATGGAACATGGGCTATTTGGGGCCTGAAACTGAGGTAAACCCTTCAACTTCAAGTAGGGGAAAATGAGAATCAGCCATCAATTTTTTGGGGTATACAGTATACATGTTTCATGGTTTATATCATGGTTTATATCATCATTTTCCATACTTAAAGTAGCCCTACTGAAAGTTGCAGATCAAAATTTTACCATCAACTTCTGGGAAAACTTTAGCCCTCCACGTCGCCAAGGACCCGGCACAACCATGACCACCACAACGGTGAAGGCTTGTATCTATGAGGTCCAGTACACCAGCAGCGCAGCAAATGGGGCTGCAAGCTGAGCCCTAGGGGATGGTGGGGGATGGTGGGGATGGTGGGGGAAACATCCAGGACTTGGGATGGAATCGTTTGAAAAAAGCCATGAATTGGATGGACCAGGTTGATTTACGGATTTTCAGAGAAATTGGTGGAATTTTGATTTCGCAGAAGTTTAGGTTCGAAGTTCTGGGTGTGAAAAGTTATCTGTGCTCTGGAAGTTCTAGAAGGTTTGCAAAGTTTTGGCTAAAACCCACGGCACGTCGGATATAGGTCTTTCCATACTCTTCCGCATGCTGCTGGGAACCATGAATTGGACACCAATTTTTCCAAGGGACCCGCACCAACTCGGGCTTTAGACATAAAATCACATCTCTGTTGGTGAACAAGAATTATTACAAAATCCCCTTGGGGGTGAGGTTCCCTTTACAAAAAGGTGAACAACGGATCGTTTCATGCGGAAAACATCTCCCTTTTCGAACGGTGAGAGATCCGCGTTTCTTCGCCTTAGGCACCTGATGATGTGAAGACCTTGACCGTGGAACATCAGGAGTATGGTGAGGCGTTCCGCTTCAGCGGTTGCGTGCCTTGCCTTGGCTAAAGCGGGGAAGCCCTGGTTTTTCTACACATTTCAGTCAGTACTACCCTCTGGTAAACAAACATAGCTATGGAACATGGCCCTAATCGAAATAGATGGTTTACCTATTAAAAATGGTAATTTTCTATAGCTTTTTGTATGTTTACCAGAGGGTAAATTTTCAGAAACAGGATCGAGCTGGATTGGAAATCCACGGGTTTGATCAACCAGTGAATTCTCACCTTTTGTCCGGCGAATCTAAGCACATCAAAGAATCAAACAAAATCTAACATCATCTACCCTCTGGTAAACTAACATAGCTATAGAAAATTGTTCATTTTTAGTTGATTTGCCGAACTTAAATATGGTGATTTTCCATCGTTTTTTTTTTAAAAAAATATTTACCAGAGGGTAGATGTCAAGCTTTTTCATCCATGGACTCATTGAATCCCAAAAAAGTCGAACACAGCTTCCTTTTTCATTCGATTCTTTAGATCCATTTTTTCTTGCTAAATAATTATCATTCACCAATGATTCACATATATATATATATAATGATAGGATTCACTAGGAAATATCATCCTTTTTTCCTTTCTGGTTACTGCCATGTAATGCGTGGAACATGCATACAACATCTATTGCTTATTCATTGCCTCAATGATTAGTCACTGATTATTTGCTTTAATTATAGATACACAAGAGGATTAACAAAAGAATCATGATGATCAGTGATTCACTAATTAGTTGGATTATTACTGATTACTGATTCACTAATTACTAATTACTGATTCACTAATCATAAGATTCTTTGGATTCTCTTAGGATTCACCAGTGATTCATCTTTCAGAATCTTCGGCCAAGGACAACGAGGAGCTGGACGAGGGCAAGGCATGCGTTTCCTCGGGCGCCCAAAATGGCGTTCGACTGCTGAAGAACAGGCGGCCTGGCGGGCTGGTGAGTCGGATGAAGATCCAGATCTTCAGATGGACCCATCAATGGAGGTTTCCTAAGTCATAGCGGTACCCCATACCATCATCCATTATAGATTGGGATTTTCCATGAAATAAACCATCCAGCGATTGGGTACTGCCATGACTATGGAACCCCCCAATATTTTCACAGCTTGGACCCAACGAAGGTCCTTGGAGTTTACCCTTCCAGGACTTGGTTTGCAATAGGGCGAAGACCTGAAACAAGCTGAAACAAGCTGAAACAACAATCCACAGACATGTTTTTTAAATATCATCATCCTTACTCTCAGTCAATCATGGCTTGCTGGACAGTTCCCCATGAAATTGGATGATTTTCCCATTCACTCCTCCATGTTTTTTGTGGGATTTTCTTTCGAAAAATCCCCAACAAAGATCCAAAGATTCCAAACAAACTCCAAAGATCCTGAGATTTTCATGGATTTTTCCAGGTATCCTGAGATTTTCATGTTTTTTTTCCGATCCCCCGATCTTTTTTTTCACAACCATGGACGCCCTGGCCAGGTACGGCCAGGCCGTGGCCACCGGAAGTTGCTGCACATCGGAAACCAACAAGGTGGGATAGCCTCCAAACTAAGATGTGGAGTTTACCCTCTGGTAAACTAACAGGTCTAACAGTTTGCGAACTGGAAAATCACTATTTTTAATGGGTAAATCCACTATTTCTATGGTGATTTTCAATAGCTGTTTTGACATAACCAGAGGGTACACTTTACCCATGCCACATCTGGCCAGGTGATTCTCTCCGAGGCGACGGAGTGCGACGGCTACAAGGATGAGTACAAGAAGTATGATAGCATGTACCTCACTGCCACTCGACTCACTATGACTATAAATCAACCATTTATAGTTGACTATAATCATTACATATCACTAACCACTACTATTATTGAATCACTATGAATCACTATGACTCACTATGACTCACTATGACTGATTCGGATTGGTTGATGATCTGAAAAAATAGGGACATTTGATGGTTGATTGTTTGTTGAAACCAGTTGAAACCTTGGGTTTTGGTTTGCCAAGAATTTTGGGGGGTGATGAAGCTTCACGTTTCCCCTGGTCCGGGGATGGAGTTCCAGACCCAAGATGAAACCGATGTCAGTGGCTGTCAAATAGGCTTTAGTTTTCTGTTTTCAGGACCCCACCTTCCATTCCATCCATTCCTGATGAGCTTGACCAGTTCGAAGAGGCAAGTGATAGGAACAAAAACACTTCCGGTCATGAAACCTGGCAAAATGGGGGGGAAATCCATGGAAATCTCCCAACGGAATAGGCATTGAATTCATTTCATCATGGGAAAATCATGAAACTGAGGCCTCGAAGCTGATCCGTGGCACATCTTATCACAGCATCAGAGAAGCACAGGTGCCGGGCCGGCACGCCGGGCCTGTGGAATCCATAAGAAGAAAGGCTTCAAAGAACTTTGAACAGTTGGTATTATGTTGGTATTATGTATTTCAAGTATTTCCAATATATACATCAATATACATCATATTTGATGGCGACTTAGTTTTTGAACATGATGAAAAACCGAATACCGCCCGCTGCTTTGGGCGTTTCGGGATGATTTCTCGCTGGGGCCCGGCAGATCGCGTGCTTGAAGATGGGACACAAGTGCTGGGGTCTCTTCGATGACAAGTGCGACATGGGCAACCTAATGATCGTGGACGGCGACCTGAACATCACCACTAGTGACTCGGGTGGCAAGTGGATGCAAGGGGCCCTGAGATTTCAGGTTTTGGAAAGTCCTACTTGGGGGTGCATCCAACTTGGTAAATGGGTCAACAAAACCCCACTTACATACTATATATGATATATGATTGTATATGATTGTATATGAATATACATATATATATATATGGAATATCACCACGTCTATATGGGATTCTCTGGGCTTTGGAAGGTCCTGAAGCCACCTTGACCCAGGTGTGATGCGTGAATCTCACCAGAGCTCTTGTGTCTATGAGAAGCTCCACGTCTGAGTTGAGCCGTGCGAAGCGTCAATCTGACGGTAGAGGCTGGTGGTTCTGAAAGCGCCTCCCAACAGGCTGTGCTGAACAAAAATGGATGAACTTCTGATGAAAACTTTGGAGCCCTGCCACTTCAAGGATGGATGAAGCCTTGCCTTGGCATGTTTTGACGCGCTGCCACCCCAAAAAATAGAACCGATGCAGGTAGGACAGCCCAATACATCGCCGAATCGACCTGCCTGTGGTGCAAAAGAGCAGTTTTTGTTGTGATGTGGGGCTAGATGGCTCACAACTGGAGAGAAAACCAGAGGTCTTTTCCTGGGAAAATCATGGAGTTTCAGTGAGGTACACATCATTTTGTGCATTTTTTTCCACTCAGATTCGATGATGGTTGCTTTTACATCGTAAACAAATCCATTTTATATTCATATATAGATATTATATATATATATATATTCTGTTTATAATCCCATACAATTATATGATACCTAGAATTTCCCATTATATATATTATAGATAATAACATACCATCGTATCCCCATGTAATCTTTCCGTTTTTTGCTTGATCCTCCCACAAAGAAACAGCCAGCGCGTACCGCGTCTTCCGAGGCTTTGAACGGAGCCACGGTCCCACGGATCCTTCCCGCCCCTTGGCTTTTTTTTTTGTTTCTGTCGCCCTGGGGGAGCCTAGCAGAATTGATGTTGATAATGATCAGTAGTGATTAATAATTGATAATTATCAATGATTGATAATAGTTGATCATTGATTGATATTTAATGACTGGGACCTTTTCCCACCAAAAAATCAGCATTTTTCATAGTTAAACCACATTAAATCACCATTTCTATACTGGTTGGTGGTTTCAAACATGGCTTTTATTTTCCATTTCATATATGGGATGTCATCTTTCCCATTGACGAACTCATATTTTTCAAGATGGTTATTGCACCACCAACCAGTCAATAATGATCAATAATGTTTAGCCTCTGGTTATTTAACGTAGCGAACTGGGAAATCATCATTTTTCATAGGTAAATCATCAACCATCTATTTCTATGGGCCATTTTCCATAGCTATGTTAAATAGCCAGAGGGTAATAATTGATAACTGGTTGGTGGTTTGGAACATGCATTTTATGACTTTCCATAGATTGGGAATGTCATCATCCCAACTGGCGAACTCCAGTTTTTTTCAGAGGGATTGAAACCACCAACCAGTTAATAATTGATAATGGTTGATCATAATTGTTTTCATACCACGAATTAATTATCAATAATGATCATCAATTAATTGTATCAGCAACTCAGGAAACATAAAGAAACCCAGGTGTTTCCCTCAGCAGAACTGGTTCCACAGATGATGGTATGAGGTTGTGATAGGAACAAACAATGAATTAGAACTTATCCCAGGTCGCCATCTCCGCGAGCTGCTTTCTTTTGTTGCCACCTTGACATTATCCCCATTTTTATTGCTTGATCCTCACAAAGTTGCTTCACCTGCCATTCTTGTCACTCAAACATACTTAAACTATCTTAAACTATCTTAAACAATATTAACCCCCAATATCCTCCCATATCTTTTTGGGTAAATCCTCCCACTTTCCCTGGGTTTCTCAGCCTAGGCTTCCACCCGCGGCACGGCCCCTCCGGCCTTTCGACCGCGCCGTCGTCGCCCAACACGACCTCGGCAGGGTGCAGCGCCTTTGCGGGGGGGTGCGGGGGCCCAGGGGATCCCCCGGGCTCGACTCTGTGGTGCCTTGGAGTGAATGCTGACATTTGATCGTAGCCAATCGAGTCAGTGGCTTAAATGAGTAAAGTGGAAATTACCAAGATAGTAAAGAGACACCCATTTTCAACCCTGTGACAGGGATGATTCATCCCAGCTGACTCTCCCATTTTCCAGTTGGCTCAACTACCAACCAGAGTCATATTGCTGCTTATATATCCCATTCTATGTCCAATTCGGCCCAAGGGTACACTAACATAGATGTGGAAAACCAATGGTTTCCCGAGGAAAAACATCTCGAAATGGTGGGTTTTCCAGATCTATGTTAGTTTAATCTAGGCTATCCCATGAATATCCCATGAACCAACGAGTATTGGTTCAATGTCTAACTATAGTCTATACAGTATATGTATATTACACACATATATATATATAATTGGTATAAGAATCCCCATGACTATCCCATGAATCCACCTTCAGCTGAGGTTCAGTCCCTCCTTCAACTCCACGCGCATGGCCATGGCTCTGGGAGTTCCTTGCGAGAAGTTGGTGGATGCTGCTGGAAATTCCCCGAACATGTCATGAGGGTTTCCGACTAGTCATGGGGGTACCTCACTAAGTCACTAGCTGGATGGGTACCATTTCATGGAAATTCCATCCATGGATTTTTTTGAGGCGATTTTTTGGGGTACCTCCATTTTAGGAAACCTCCATTTATGGAGTTTGTTTTTTTTGGGAAATCCCCGATATCAAAATGCAGGACTTGGCCGAAACAAAAAGGTGGATGTTCCACTGCCACCCATGACAGATAGGAGGGTTCTTAGATAGGACTTTCATGACATGAGATAACTTTTTCGTTATGACATTTTCAGTCAAATGAAAGTCCATGGGTCAGAAAAGTGGACGCCTCAATGGTGGTGACATGAAGGTGCCACAGAAGCTTCGAGAAATCTGGGAAGGGAAGATGAGGTACACATGTTGGAATCCAGTTGTAGAAGTTGAGACCAAGTCAAGTCCAAATTCAGGATATGAAGACACTTAAGGTGCAACTTTTCCATCCATATGGAGGTCTCAGCTTAATCAATCAAAGGTCATTCAACCCCCAGGTAGCATGCTAACCCCCAGAGGAGTGTATCCGGTTCCAAACCACTCAGCTTTGCCTCATCGGAACATTTTAGTATTGCTTGCAATCCTCGCTCTTCTTATTCCTATATCCATTTACACCGTTTATTTTTCCATGGCACAAGTTCACAAGTTTGATCTTTATTTTTTATTTTTCAGCTAGCAGGGATTACATCAATATCAGTTGATCTCTCCAAAAAGGCTTACTTATCATCACCGTAGTATACCATAGTTACAAGTATAAGATAGTAAAACTATTACTTCACCATACACTAAGTATTACTATGATCATATGCTATGTTATACAAGTTACACTACAGCATTTCCTAGTTGTTATTCCACTTGCAGTATATGACAGCTATGACAGCTATGACAGCTATGATCTGTGTCCTGGCTTCAGGCGATTTCCGCCGAGCCGACCGAAGAGGCTGTCTCAGTCGGCAAATCTTTGATCAGGCCGTTTTTCCATAAGAAAACTACAGTATAACGATGAGCATATATACTACGTTATACAGCTTTGTCAATCAGTTTTTTGTAGGGTTTCGATATTTTGCATTTTATCACTATGTTGGTAAAACATAAGTTTTTATTGTTTTTACCCTTTAGCTGTGTTCTTCTTTCGCAACAACCACGTCAACAACATAGATGTCTCATGAACAATTTCAAACTTAAAGGTCCCATTAGATGGCTAGTGATGTCGTCATCTCTGGCAGCCACCAGCCCTGACAATCATATCATATCATCTCGGAGGGCAGATCTTTTTCGCCCTTTCCATGGAGCATGGGGCGCATGGGTGAGTTGTGCAGGTCTATGTCGCTTTTAAAAAGGTGCCTGATCACGGAATATCTTTATTCATCTATCTTCACTCTCTAAGCATCATTTGGATTTCTCTCCAAGAAATCCATAACATGTATGCAGAGAAAAGAAGACCAGCTGACGGTCGAACTTTTTGGTGGGGTTTCACCCAGTCGTAGATGGGCTAAGCCACTTAGCAAGCCACTTAGCAAGCCACTTAGCAGACTTACTAACCAGGGTTACTAACCAGTTACGATTCGTGGGACAAAAAGTGTCTATTTATCAACGCTCTGTGACTCTGTACGAAGCATCCGAATGATCCTCCAGGATAGCTTGCTCTATGCCGAGATGGGAGGCGGTCTCTTCGCGCCCCTGGCATCTCCAAGGCGTCTGTAAGTCATGGCAAGGCTAGCGCGATGAATCCCATCCTAATCTTAAAGCGGCCGCCAAAATAAATAGCCTCTGGCAATTTCACATAGCTATGGAGAATCACCAGTTTTAAATCGGTAAATCACCGAACGAACTGGTCAGTTGGCATAGCAAACTGTTAAATTACCAGAGGGTAGATCCAAGACAAAACCAGGGGTTTCTGAAACACCAGGCCACCTGCTGGTGGACGGCTGAGGGGCGGCTACAGGTGCGGTTCTGAGCAGAAAAAAAACTTAGGAATGAAGACATGGACTGGAACGCCCTGTGGTGAAACTTTGACCCAGTTTTCCTGGACAAGACATCCGGTCAGCGTTGGGTGCAGTCTCCTTGACTCGTCACATGTTTCTCAGTGCCAGAAATCACAGGACAAAAACCTGGTTCCCAGTGACGAGATGGACAACGTTGAGATGATTTGTCACTTTCCCAATGGGAAATCCACCAGAAATGGGGAATCCATTAGGAATATCTTTCGGTTCTTTGGACGCGGTTGTGTTTTTCAGTACAGCTTCGTGTCAAAAATTCCAGGCCGTTTCTCCGCAGCGACCTGGATCAGTGACCTGAGTCAGTCTGAAAATTGGGAAAAAAACCCAAGACTTGCTATTTTCGTGGGAAAAACATGGAAAACCATCAATTTTTTGAGGGTTCCTGATTTTCAGACAAAGCTGCTTCCAGTTCCTTTTTGCTTGGATACATACTGTTTTTGGATGTTTTTGGTTCGTTTTTGGTGGAAGATTCTGTGTGTTTTCATGATGCTAGTTCAAGAAAAATCCATATTTTTGGCGTGGGCAAAGTTCATATTTTGGTTGGCAAGGTATCCACACACTCACAGAATTGGATGATGGGACAATTTACAGGAAAGCCCTATATTTGATGGTAAAAACCATGGTTTCCTGTAGATTTTCCCTTAAACCAATCCAATCACACACCCATGAAGTGAATATTTCCAGGCATTTCAAGTGGAAGTCTCGCAAGCCATCCTCGAGGTACCAAGCGCAGGTAGACGAGTTCCGAGAGAAATCCCACTGCGCAGCTGGGATGCCCAGGATCGAACTTCCAGACGAAAAATGGTGGTTTTCCATAGCTATGTTAGTTTACCAGGGGGTATCTTATATTATGTGTGTTATATAAGATATATATACTAGGTACAATATAATCACTAGTATACTAGGTACAATATGCTAGGTACCAGAGGGTATATCAAATGATGAAATGATGGATAATAAATGGCCCTGTCATTCCGAATTGCCGCGAATCGCTCCGCCCAAGGCCGCGGCGATTCGCGCGGGCCGGCGCTGCAATGGACCACCGGTTTGGGGACCCGAACTGTTCGACGGCGCGGGTGGGTCTTCCTGCCGTTTCCGAATGAACTTTGGATACTTTGGTGTTTGGTGGCTAGAAACGGGTTCGAATACCCTCTGGTACTTTAAGAAAGCTATAGAAAATCACATTGTTTGAATAGGTATATCATTGTCATCTATATAAACAGGCCATTTTCCACGGTACTTGATAAATTGCTCAAATCCGTGTTGCCAGCGGAGCGGAAAGTTCTCTATTTGTGCCATGCCGCCCAGGCGCCTGCAAAGCGTCAACGGCAGCTTTCGGCCAGGTGGCGGTATGAAATTCTGGATGGGGGCCAGGTAGGGGCGCACCGAAGAACATGTTGGAGTCTGAAGCCGTTGGGAGCACCTCAGGTTGGCCAGGGGCAGACGGTGCGCCTGAAGATATGATGATGGGCATGTTCACGCCTAAGCCGCAGTTTTTTGAAAAAACTGTTCTCGGAAATCTCAGAGAAGTTGAAAGTAAAGCCTAAGTGCGGATGTAACCCCCCAAATTGATAGGGTAAACCCAAAGTGGTGAGAATAGATCCTTGGCTTTTTATCAAAACTAGCAGATAACCAAATAAGATCTCGTGTTTAGTAACAAACCCCAGGGGGCCTTCAGGCTCTGCGAAGCAGAGATCCGGTCTGAAAATTTGATCTTGAAAGATCTGAAAGGATCTTTGAAGCTGGAAGGGCTGCAGCATAGACGACTTCTACTTGCAAACACACCACCCAAAACATATATTATACACTGATGTACACAAATTGCACGACCAAGATGCAACCAAGACACATTTTTTTGCATGAGTTGCATTGTACTCTCCTTGTTCCATACGCAAATAGAGATTGGCAATTTTCATGCCTATATAGTTTGGCCACATTTACAATCTTCTACCAGTAACATACGGCAACATTTACAGTGAATGCACACACACACACACGCATATATAGATAAATATATTTTTAATATATGGATATATATATATATATGGATATACATATAGACGGATATAAATATAAATATATATATATATGGATATATATATATACGGATAGAAATAAATATAATTTTAATATATGGATATATATATATATATATATACACATGGATATATATGGATACGTATATATATATATATGTGGATATATATATATATATGTGGATATATATATGTGGATATATATATATATACATGGATATATATGGATACGTATATATATATATGTGGATATATATATATATATATGTGGATATATATATATATGGATATATATATATAGATGTATATATATATATGGATATATAAATATGGATATATATATATTAATATATATATGGATATATATATATATGGATATATACATATATGGATATATGTATATATATATATATGTGGATATATATATATATGTGGATATATATATATGTATATGTATATGTATATGTATACAAATAAATAAATAAATATATATATGGGTTTGTCTGAAGATTTAGGGGAAACAACAATTCCAATAGATTAAAATGAGCATCATTTTCCCATCTCGCCATGGCTATTTGAATTTGGGTGCAACTCTTCCACCTGCTGCGGCGCGCAGTCGGCGCGCAGAGTCCGCAGCAAGTCGCCAGCTCCAAAGGAAGGGCTGGTGACGCACCACAGATTTGCGACCATCTACATCATTGGAGCAAAACTGTGGTAAATCTTTTGTATTGTGACCAGTAACCATCTATAAATTTCATTGGGGTACCTAGTATTTTGACCCATAGTCATATAGCATCATAGCAATTGGATGTAATTGGATCAACCTTTCCAGCACTTCCAGAGGAAACGGTGAGCTGATCAGTTTTTTTTTGTGCAATTTAATCTTCGATTTCTTGGACTTGTCGAGGCTTGTTTTGGTCCACTATGGTGTTGGAGTGCTAGAACTACAGTGGTCAACAATCCAGTCGTCCAGCCACTCACAGCTGACAGAGCCATATTAGTAGACACCGTTTCCAGAAGCATTTGGTCGGCTGCGGACTGATCTCGTTTCAAGCACAAGAACACCTGGATTTTAGTCGTCATAGCATGTCGAAGGCGGTATATACCATGGCGAAGGGAGCGAGTCAAGTGCAGTTGTAGTACAAACATCAGAATGAAGCCAGTCAAGCGGAATTCTCCCGCCAAGATGCATCAACAAGCGGCAAGCTTTCAGGGGTTTGAGCTGGTTCTGTCGCAACCTTGGAGACACAGCACTTTTCTGAGATGGTCTGTGTGAAATGAAGCAAACAGCCACCGAATCCAACCAACCTTGACAGCCACACATCCAGCAGCCTATCTGCGCCCCAATGAGCCTTCAAGCCATGTCGGAAGCACAGCCATTGCCTGGGAGATGCAGGGAGTTGGTTCTGACGTCAGGAATTTCTGAAATCAACTATAGCTATATTATAAAAGGGTCATATGGTTACTATGACTATGGAGTGATTCTGACCATGCCTGCTTCACTTCCCCTTTTTGGTATCCTTCAGAGAAATGACTGGGGATTGGGGGGCTGGATACCTTGCCCCAATCTCAATTTCTCCATTCAAAACTTCCAAATCCCAATTTCAGTTCATAAAAAATCGGCCAGCCCCAAAATCCCAGCATGAAATGATGATGAACAATGATATCCCTATGTTTCTCTAGATTGAACTTCCATTTTGTTCGGTCCCAACTCCCAGCATTTTTCCAGCCAAGGTGGCCCTCGCGGAACGAGCTCAAAGAGAAGGCGTTTGGATGGGGTCGTGTCATCGGTGGTAGTATTCCACCATTTGTGGGTGAATGTGGTAACCCAATAATCAACCTACCACAAATTGGGATGTTAATGTGGATTAATTAATGTGGGTTAGTTAATGTGGGTTAATGTTAGTGGGTAACCATTTGGGGATGATTCATCCATGATCATCCATTATTATTCATTATCACCATTCAGGGGTTACACCCCATCTCGGAAATCCATGGGCCAAAAAAGAGTGGGTCCCTTAGCGGGCCCAGTACTTCCATTTCATCCTTTGGGACGATTTTCCAGCAATGGCAACTTAGGGGGACTTTCCATTTTTGGACAAACCGAAATCATATACTTGGTGAACTATATCGCACTATAATATATATATATAATTATATATATATATATAAAGACACATATATATATATATATATAGACATAATATCTCAAAATCTTCCCAAAAGGCTTGGTATTTTCTACTCCCAGAACGGCTTGTTGGTGAAATCGCCGTTCTCCAACGCTGTGGAGGCCTTGGGCACAGTGCGGGGCCCGAGCCACTGGTGATCATTAGCTAAAATGGAGAGATATGGGTGTCTGAAAATGGGTACACCCCAAGATGGCCATCTTAATGTGGATGATGATAAACTAGCACATTCGGGAGATGCGTATGGGTTAAAACCTATCTGGCCCGATATTTGGGGGGCTGAACATCCATTGCGAGTCTATTTTATTGTCAAACCCATGTTACCAGGGTTTAACCCATAGACATAGAATGACGAAAAATGGGGTGAAACACTGATCCCCGGGCTGACATTCTGTAAAACCTCCTGTTGGATTTGACCCTCTTCCACATCCCGGATGGGCATCTTGGGGCATCTTGAAGATTGTTGAGGTACCCCCCCAAAAAAATGTCATGAAGCTCAAAGATGGGGTGGCCCACCTGGCATGATTTTTCCACCAGGCTTTAGGGCTCATCACTTTTGCTGGAGCTGCTGGGCTGTTGTGGCGATGGAGGAGCCAACTCAGCGAGTCGCATGGGATGTGGGCAGGATGTTCTGAAACATGGGCATTTTTTTTGGCTTTGGCATGTGGCTATGGATCAATACCTATTATATAATACCATTTTTAGGGGGATGAACATCCATTTACCAGCTATTTTGATGTTCACCAGGGGTACAAGGTTTTGACACATCCCCATGTGGTTTTCCATCACTGTCCTTTCATTCTATCACTTTTTTTTTGGACCCGCATTTGCGAGGAGCCAACGTGCTCGCATCCTGAATCGTCCTTTTGCCCTCAAGGACGTGGCGCTGGAAATGGAAGTTTCACCTGGTTTAACCATCCTGAAGTGGGGATAGCCAATGAATTTTGGTAAACCCCCGGATTTTTAAAGCCTCGCTGTTGATCATTGGGGGAGTTACCATTTTAGTATCAATGACATGACTCCTATTTCGAGAAGCCCCGATGCTCTTAAATCAAAGAGGTGATTCGTCTCATCCGGGGTTGACATGAATCAAGATGGCTCGGGATATTGTCAAATAAAGGCATTTCCCTATGGTGAATTTGCATCGGGTTGGCCATCCCTCAAACTTAAACATCGGAATCCAAGATCAGTGCGGTTGAGCAGGAATTCATCAACTTGTAAGGTACTTTTAATGCACGGGGGTCCCCAAAAACATCACAAGTTATATAATGCAAGTCTTGTCGTTTATCCTCTTGCAGTATCTAATTCTGGGTACGATTCCTATTTTCTTTTTGGATGTGAAGATTTTCAGGCTTTGCCCCTATCAGCCCTATCATTCAAGGGTAAAAACATGTAGACAAAAACATCGTTTCATGGCTTCCGGTGACTTTTCTGCCAGGATTTGGCCGCAGGTGAGACCGTGGAGGAGATTTTTGACTGCTACTATCAGTGAAACAGTTCATATTAAGTTGTTGATCAACCATCATTAAACATCCTTTTCCAAATGTTTACTATGGATATCTGGATATCTATGGGTCATCCATTCCCATGGTAAACATGTGATATATTCCCATCCTCGCTATCCTCGCTGATCAAACAACCAAGCATCAGGACCCTTTAGCCGAGCTCACCCGGGTGGTCACTTTTCTCCAGGTGCGACGTCAAGACCTGAACTGATGCGAGTCGACGGCGGCAACAATGGAGGGTATCGAACCATATATGGCCATCATGGTATCCCAGGGTCACATATCGTAGATATCCATATATGGCCATGATATACCATATATATATATATATTATAGATACCCTCCACATATAGAAATATGACCATTTTGGGGATATCCTGGGATAGATGGCCAACACCATGACAGCCGGCTGTGTATTTTCTTTTAAAGGAGGATTTACACCCAACTTCTGGCCATTGTTCACCGGAAGATGATGGGAAGATGATGAATTTAACCACTGGATTTGAACGAGATCCGATTTAGGTGAGAAAAAAACCATAGGGTTTCACCACCCCGAGCAGGCGTCCGAGTTGATGATGATTGGTCATGAACACTTTTTGCGAGGGTTTTTGAGGAGATTTGCCCTCAGGATGTGATCATTCGACCGCTGGACGCGCGACTTCCAGGACTCAGAAATCGGAACAAGTTCCTCACAGTTTTTGACCTTTAAACAAAAAATTGGACACATAAAATGGTCATGTTGATACCAATCTTGGGGATGTAAACCTGCTGCCAAAATGGGGGTAGAAATATGCAGCCTATTGAGATGGGGGATTTTAAATGTAGCCTTTTAGATTTTAGGCTCCAGTGAATATAGTACATGAAGCTTCCCCCATTCCGAATTTGCTTTGCATTTCTTTTTGTTTTCCCAAAATGTGTTCTAGTCTACTGGAGGGTAGCCAGCCATCAGCGGTGGAGGAAAGCCCTTCGAGCACGACCTGCTGGCGTTTCCCTTCACGCCCATGGTTTTGGTGGTCCCTTGATCTCAGGGGTTTCACAAGCATCAGATAGTTTTTTTTTTTTGCAGGGTTTTGTATACTTGCAAGAACCTGCCAAGTCACTACATAGACTATATGTACATATATACATATATATAATTATGCATATATACAATATATATATATAGATGTATGTGCACACATATATATATATATGTAAGAATTTTATCATATGCAGGAAACTTCTGGTCATTCCTAAATATTAAAAAGATCCTTCAACCAGTTCTTGCGACAGAAATCAGCAGGTTGGAGTCATCCATCGAAAAAAAAAACCCTTGGATCTTTTTGGATTCCATCCTTGTGAAGTGGATACAGTATAGATACCCTTCCGGGCAGATTCAGCCTGGCCATGTTTGAAGCCCTCTTTGACGGCTCTCCTAGCGAGACATGGACACTTTCTTGCGGCACCAGCGTCGAGGTGGGGAATCACAGCGCTGGCAAGTTGGGAGCTGAATTTTGGGGCTGAAATCCTGCGGAGTGCTTGAAAAAGCAAGCATAAATCTGGGTTTCTCCGGGTTTTTACATGAGACCTTGTCCACCTGCTTTTGGCAGCAGCTGCGACCTTGCACTGAGGAGAAATGTCAATGGATCAGGACATGAAGTTTGATTCTAGGATGAGTTTGGCTGTCTGACTTTAAGAGAGACAGCCACATGGATAGAGAAGCATTGCGTCCCTTTGAGTCACGAGTTTCTTGGTGAATTTAGCAACACAACACAGGACCACACACCAACCATCCCAGGAATTTGGGAACCAACTCCTAGGGCATTTGGGGTAGTCCCCAAGGCTGGTAGAACTGAGAAAATCCCATGATTTGCTGGTCATGCCATGCGCGTGGACAACAGCAGGGATCGCTCGTTTGGACGATGCAGCCTGGACCACTAGGAGGATGCGGGTTTGGTATTTGAAGATGGGGACTGTCGTGATAAACCCCAGATTTGGGGGTTTCAAATTTTGAGCCAGCAGCGTTTCAGCAACAATGGGGATCAAGCGCCAAGAAATAAGGCTATGACACTGATGACATCGATGCCGACTACTCCGATACCGATGATCCTACTAGTGGTGGTGATGATATCGTCATTTCTTAGCAGCTCAAACAACCAGAAGCCAGAACAGTCTTGGAGGTTTTGGAACTTGGAACCCATTTTAGCACAGATTCGTCGCCCAGGGTGACCCTGAAAGGATACCCATTTTAGCATATTTTACTCTCAGAATTGGTGAATGGGAAAACTTACAACAACCGCAAGATTTCATGTAAAAGCTGTTTTCAGTCCATAGTTTCCTGATGAAAATCTGTAGATTTTCCGAATGAATCCACTGATTTACCAACGTGCTCAGGTACGAACATCAGCATCCGAAACCAAAGCACGATGCGCACACGCTGGCAGCGCTTGCAGCAGCACATCTCCTCTTGCTGCAGGCCATGGCTTTCCGCATGACGAATGAAGGATTTTTCTTGGAGGATTGGGTCATTAAAACATATTAAAACCATATCCCCCCAAGAACAATCAACCACATCCTATGAGTTTAGGAATAATTCGATTAATTATGATTTTAGGACCGCGCCATACTGCATCTCTACTTTCACCATCTCCCCCCGAAAAAAGAACGACATCATCCACTTTTTTTGTCGATGAACATCCAAGTCACATGTCAAATCCACCTCAAATCCACATCAAACCCAGCTAAAATGCAGCTAAATTCCAGCTCAAGTCATATAACATCCAGATAAAATCCAGCTCAAACCATATAACATCCAGATAAAATCTACATAACCTCATACAACCTCCACATTTTCCTAGGTGAAAATGTCCTCCACATTTTGTTCAGAGCATCTCCAGGTGGTGTTGCTCCTCCCCCTCATGGCCCAGTGGTCCGGCCAGCACGGAGCTGAGGAAACGCTACAAGGAGATGGAGGCAGCCCGGACAGCCCTGATGGCTATGGATCAATACCTATGAAAATAGCATTTTTAGTGGGATGAACATCCATTTTAACCCAGCTATGACTTGGGGTGAACAAAAGGTACCAGGGTTTTGACCCATCCCCAACTGATGAATCTCCAATTCGGGGGATCTTTTTGGGGGGACAACGAAGAAAATACAGGATAAGTGGTGAGAAGTGGTGAACTTCATCTGACGAATCAGAGTCTTGTAGCTCTGTCTCCACAGTATATAACTATATATATAAACTATATATTTTCTGTATATATGTTGATTCATCTAGCCGTTTAGATCATAGCTACCATTTCGATTAAAATGTTGACCAATGTTCGGGGTGAACCTGTCAAATTTACTGGAGGGTAAGTGGTTTTCACCAGCTAACTTGGATTTGAATGGGGATGAATTCGAGTAATTCAAGTGGACTTCTTGAAACAAGACACATTTTTCAACAGAATAAACAAGAAATGGTGTTGATTATGGGTAATGACATTGAACCACAGATGATGGAGACGAAGCAGTCGGATGTCACAGGCATCCAAGGGAGCTTTTGGTGTGGAGAAATTCAACGAATGAAGATGGGGGCAACTCCATCCGCTTTCGGGAAAATCTACAGTCAACCCATGAGTTTTTTTCCAATAAACTGTTGAGTCCATGGGGGTCCTGTAATTTTTCCCTTCAACTAACCCATCGACATAGGGGTTTGTCTGAAAATAGTGTACCCCTACACCCAATGGTTTTGCTGATCATTATCCCTACTAAATGGCTATTTCATTGGGGGTATACCTCATTTTCAGACATACCCATAGCAAGATTCACATCTTAAGCAACTCAGAAAAGCTCGAAGGCAAGCTACGAGGGAATCGTCACCTTGCAACCGAACAGCAGAGGTGCCATCCTGGCTCATGGGGATGGCCTGAAATTCGAAGCAAGTTTTTGGGGCTATGATAAGGTTTATGAACCACCATTAAAATGGGAATGTCATAGTTTTTGCAAAATTTGGTGGTTTTTATGGGATTCCAATGCGATTATGATGAGGTTTATTGATGTTTTAATGGTGACGATTGACATTGACCCATTCGAACGTGTCATCGAACGTGGCTGGCCATGGGATATCCCCGTAAACGAATTAGAGAATTTCCCAGCTAGCCACGTTTGATTGCCAGAGGGTATAAGTAATCAAGACAGCTGGTATATATATATAATGTTTATATATATATATATGTTTATATATATATACATGTATACACACATATATATATAATTATATGTTCCATATTTTTGCATGATTATCCCGTTAACAAATGGCCATTGATGGATGATTTCCCATTCAAACCTTCAGATTTTTGATGGTCATTTCCCCCATCGTGGCCTCGTGCCCAGGCATTGATGACTACTTCATCAAGGGACCGATGCTTGGGCAAGGCGGCTTTGGCACGGTTTGCCAGGTGCGGATTTTCCATGGGATTTCCCCGATTTCCCATTGAATCCGGTTGTTGGCCAACGGAGCGTGCTGGAGTTTCCGAAGAACGTTGTGTTTTTTGCTCAGTTATCTACTAGAGTTACTAGATGTATACGAACTATGTGACTAGGCGAAGATTTTCCCTGGCATGGTCTTTCAGATTTTCGGGTGTCGGCGAGGCCACCCCCACGAAGCGGGCCATCAAAGCACAGCCCGCTCTCAAAGAGGGGAAGGGATACGCCCTGAAACGCGTGAAGTTGCCCTTGCGCGATGCCGAGATTGAAATGATCTCGAAGAGTCACTGGATACTGAGCTTGGCGAGGATATCAGAGGGATTGGCACCATAACAAACACATATCAATAAGGGTTTTGAGACTTGGTGTCTTCAAAATTGGTACAGCTTAAACATGTGGATTTTTTGATATTTTGAGCATCGCGGCATCCAATTTTTGGGGGTCGTATTTTGAGCCTCAAAGCTCTTTTGAGACAGCCTTGCGGTCAAGAAGGGGTCTCTTCAGAGTCCAACCTGTGTCATTCAAGTTGTCTTGAAGGTTGACTCCTAGACATTTGTCTAGCAACCAATTTTTCTGGCACACACACATGTTCTTTTCACTCTTGGTGGTTATTGTGTATACATATAATATATATAATATATATATAATATATATAATATATATAATATATATATATATATAATATGATTATATATATAATATATATATATATCTCGAAACTATCAGCTTTTGTTGGTGTTTTTCGTTCCTTCACCCCCATTCAATGAATCAAAAGCCACACTTATCTGACAAAAGTAGAATAAACATGATTCAAACACCAGATACTCTTGTTGCCCACCCCCATTCAAAAACCCACGATTCGTGAAAATTGGCACTCAAAACGCGCCCAGACGACTCTGAGGCCTCTTAGGCGTCTCTCCCGCACGGATGCTGCAGTTCCTGAAGGCTTCCGTAAACTAACAGTTTGATGTAGAAAAAACCCATGATTTGTAGATCATTTTTGTAGGGAAACCATGGGGGTTTCCACATGGAGGGAAAGCCCAGGAGCTCTGGGCTTTGGAGATCCATTTCCCAACATGGGGAGCCGGAGCTACGAATTGAGTTTCCTAACCACATGATAGATTAATGTGTAGTGTTTCACTAGAAACCGGCAGCCCTTGGAGCTTTATGATTGGATTTAGCACATTAGATGGTGATTTGCCTCCACACTCATGTATAACCTATGGCTACTCACTTAGTTGGTTGTTTCAAGCATTTTCAAATGTCTATTTCAGAGGTTTATGCCATCGGTTGTGTGATTTCGTGATTTCGCATTGCACTTAGCTTCTGCGCCTTTTTGTGTACCACTGAACACGTGCAATTATCATCATACAGGGGATATGCACGTTTGTGGCTTATGTTTGTTGATACTCGTGGCGATTTACAGTGCCTGGAGGTGATTGGAGGGCCCGAGGCCACCCAGCAGCATGTGACGCGGAACCTCTTGCGGGTCTTGGCACCTTGGAACTCAAGATTTTGCTGATTCTGATTGGTTCGGATACAGTACCCTCTGGTAAACTAACAGTTTGCGAACTGGAAAATCACCATGCTATTAATGGGTAAATCCACTATAAATGGCCATTTTCAATAGCTATGTTAAATTACCAGAGGGTACTGTAACTTCATTTTTGAGATTGGATATTTCGCGGTTTCCCAAAATAGAGGTACCCCAAATCATCTATTTTCATTGTTCGCAATTTCCATGTTTTTTTGCATCCAGTTATTGGGGTATCCCCCCATGACTTAGGAAACCCCCATATCATCTGATATCATCATACGGTGGGTGGTTGCGAAATCCTGCACTACCTTGATGGTTGAAACCCTATCAATAATGGGATGTTTACCACCTATTATCAACTGGTGCAGGATTTCGCCACCATCCACAGTAGGTCGCCATTTCGTTGCTGTTCAGAAATGGATCCAGACGACTTGCTGCTCAGGAAATCCCACACACCATGCACATCGCCATGGATCTGCTGGAGGCCGATACCACTTTCTGGTGAACATCCAACAAACGATGAAGGGCTTCGGCAATAATGGGGGTAATTAGCCCAATTCATCACACACATATTCTAATCATATATATATATATATAGATAGATAATTTCGATGATCCCAAAGTCTTGCTCCACTCCCACTCAACGTGTTGCCGCATTGCCCTTGCCAGTTCTGTGTTGCCAGGGTCCAACGCTCCGGGACTGGATGATGGAGAACAAGGCGCGTGTGCCAGAGCCCCTGGCGGCGGATCTCACGACGCAGATGTGACGCGGCGGATCCAATGGTTGTGATTCACGCTGTGGGAAATGACCCATAGAAATAGATGGTTTACCTATTAGAAATGGTGATTTTTTCCATGGCGAACTGTTAAATAACCAGAGGGTACTTGACACTTAAATGGTTGGAAGTGCGGACACCACTTAACTTATCTCCGGGTTGTGCAATGGGTGCTAGGAGCCATTTTGTTCCCATATCCCAACTCGTGGGGGGTTTTAATCCACAAACAAAGCCATGAAAATCACCCCTGGCCATCCCCAACTGCTCTCCATTTTATCATTTGTGGAGTTCTCCCGTTTTTCTCTCCCAAAATTTCCCGGAGAATTGATGGCAATCGCAGTGATGGTTCGGGTTAAAATCCACGTATAACCCTTACATAAGCCATAGAGTTGGGGTAAGAAGTTTTGGGGTCTATTAAAAAAAGTTCTTAGATCCTTATATATTTCCATATATTCCAATATATTTCCCACCATCATAGAAATCGCCTCCACATGTTTTGCGTCTTTGTTCCAACCAAGGCTCAAGGCTGTACACTTCCTACACCGCGTGGCCGGGGCGCTGCACCGGGATGTGAAACCGCAAAACTTCGGCTTCACCCAAGCCCTGCGCCAGGACACCGGTGGATTTATGGGGATCAGTTTGGAGTGGTGGATGACCCAAGCTATTGAAACTGGCCATAGAAATAGTGGATTTACCCATTAATAGCATGGTGATTTTCCAGTTCGCAAACTGTTAGTTTACCAGAGGGTATCTACTTTGCTTGTTGGTGGGTTCATGGATTGAATTTTTCAGGGTCTCGAATTTTGGGGACGGATTCATGCTTCCAACTATTCTAACGGTGATTCTCATGAGATTCATCTGGAGACATTATAAGGACCTCACTGGGACGTCACTGGAATGATAATTAGCGGGGTAACTACACCCTCTACGGAATTTCTTGGTACCTGCAGGGTTGGGACCCCCATTAGGAGGTCTATGGATCTTGCCCCAAAAGCATGGGAGGTCTATGGATCTTGCCCCAAACACATCCAAGAGCTATCCATTCAACATCTCTGGCTGCCTCCAAATGTTGTCAACTTTGTTTCGCCAGATCGCTTCTGATTCGTTTATCCTGTTTCGCTTGCTGGGTCCGTGTGCAATGTGTGACAGATCTTGAGCGATTCAGGATAATCCCAAAACAACCTTATTTCAGGTTAGTGAATTACTATCATACACTAAGATTAATTTATAGTCTAAGCTCTAAATTCTTTCGGCTCATCAGCTTCGGTGATTCTCACGGCAGGATGAGCCTGCCACGCTGCAGCTTTTCGATATGGGCTTGGTTTATGTGCTCCCTGAGCCCATCGTGGAAGCCACGGTCGGGCCTGGGATGATTTGCTGATGATTCGCCAGTGGCAAACCCACCATAAATGGGGAATCTATATAGCGATTTGTGTTTTCTTTGGGCCCACTAATCTTAAGCAAATCCAAGTAAAGTGGAGCATCAAAGTGTCGCGCGTTGTTGGGTGTCTTCAAGTTCAAGAAACATCGCAATCTTCGATGGTTAAATCATTATTATTATTATTATTATTATTATTGCATCCCACGGCTGAAAAAAATCCCTATGAATCCCCATGAATATCTAAGATCTTCCGTGATCTTTTCCCATTCTCCATGCATTTCCCCAGGCTCATGAGCTCTACGCCCTGGGCTTGGGCGGTACCATGCACTGGATCCCGCCGGAGCGGAGGGAGATGCCGATGGCTTTCGAGAAAACCATGGCTTTTGCACAATTTGAGTTACTGTTAGTGAAACAAACATGGGGTATACTATCCAGATTACTAACAGTTGGTACAGTAAGTGATTACTGTAGTTGGTTGGCTTGTACGGGATAATTTATCCTAAAATGGGGTAAATGATCCAACTAATCAACTATCTCCAGATTTTAAGTGATTTGTTGCTTAGTGGTATCCCCCACTTACGGCAGTTCCGGTGAAAGTGGGTGGATTGAAGCATCGTTGCCCCATGGGTCCCAACTTGATGGGGATGATTACGGTTGGTATAGCCGGTAATAATCCCTAACTGCACTCCCAGGTAAAGATCAATGTTTTCTCTAATGAGGAATTCTCTTTCATTGGACTATCAACAAGTAGTGGATGGATGGATATTGATATCCATTAATGTACCTATTGTTGGATCAATATCTAGTCAATAGTAATATCCATTGTAATATCAATATCCATTAGATATTGATATCCATTCCTGTTAGTTGGATATTTCAATATCTAGTACTCGGTGAGGCCCTCCCGGACCTCCCCAGTGAAACCTTCGTGGCTCTCGTTTCAGCCCACACTGGGATGAAGACGTGTGACTATTACATTTTATACCCTCTGGTTATTTAGGAAATCACCATTTTTAATAGGTAAATCATCATAATCATCTATTTCTATGGGCCATTTTCCATAGCTACGAGGGTAATTCTATTTCTGATCTACTGTATTTGTATCTGTATTTGTATGAATCTAATGAATCTAGTTTAACTCATGGCTACGATTTGTTACAATCTATTATCGCATATCGAACATCAAATATCATCAAATATCAATATCTATCTATGGAACGATTTGGGATGGCCTATGCGACCCATTTATCCGAAAAATGTGGAGGCTTCAGTACACTAAAACCAAATCACTTTTCCATAAATATATCAGAAACATCCCATATTCCCGATGTATTGTTTTTGTTTTTTGTTTTTTTAAATGGTTATTTCTTACTACATGAGATCAACCATTCCAGCACTTCTATACGTCTCTTGCAGGAGACGTGGGCGGGCTACAGCGGAGCATGTGTCCTGGCTAGAAATGGATGGACCCCTCTCCTGATAATGGGAATATGCTGGGGATATACCAACCATCATAGTTTTTTTTTCTTTTAATGGGAATTTGATGGGATATAATTAATGAAGGGTCCACATTTTCCTTGTAACATCAGTTAATTTAGAGGTGCCATCAGCTCCATGGCTGGAACATCCCAGATTAGACTGACCTCCATGGCTAGTTCCAGGATTTCCAGTTGCCTTTCGATTTTCCTGCCAACTTTTCTGGCTTTGTCCAAGAGTTGAAAAATACCTGAAATTGAATGGTTCATCATTTTTCCAAATCAAGGTGCACATTTTTGAGGCTATCCCCAGTTGCACAACTTCGTTTTTTTTGGTCCGTTGCTACCCGTTTCCCAGGCAGCGATATCTGGGGCATTGGTCTCATTCTGCATGTGCTGCTGCTGCGGCAACTGCCCTTTGGCCTGCAGTATTGCGAGGACGACCCGACGACCGGTTGCCCTATCTTGGATGAATTCAGGTACCCCCATGACGACTAGGAAACCTCCGAGGGAAACGTTAAGGCCCTACCCGACTGAAAAAGGCCAAGATAAGATGAGGAACGTTGCTGTCTCAGCTGATGTGGTAAACCCAATGCCTTATGAACCTTGTTTGTTTGTTTGTTTGTTTGTATGTATGTATGTATGTATGTAATGTATGTAATGTATGTAATGTATGTAATGTATGTAATGTATGTAATGTATGTAATGTATGTAATGTATTTAATGTATGTAATGTATGTAATGTATGTAATGTATGTAATGTATGTAATGTATGTAATGTATGTAATGTATGTAATGTATGTAATGTATGTAATGTATGTAATGTAATGTAATGTAATGTAATGTTATGTTATGTAATGTTATGTATGTATGTATGTATGACTTTAAAGTCTCCCCAAATGGAAAGTCATTGGGTCAATAGTGTATTGTTTCTTGTTGGATTTGCGACATTATATACATGGCAATAGAACGCACTAGATCAACGAATCATTCAGGTGCCCCTGTGGCATATTTCACACACAGTCCAGTACATCGACCCTACATATAGGCACCTTACATGTCAGGCACCTTGGCACCTTGGCTTTCGATACCTGATTCAGCCTCCCTGAAATTCTTACCAAGCCCCATGATGAACGGACAAAACCACCATTGGCATCTTGATGGCTATACATCCCATAATCTACCCATCAAATGGTTGTATGAAAGGATACTGGATACATCTGGATACCCAATTGAAACTGGACTTCGGGGATTTGATCCCATTGGATTATACGGAGCAGTTGGATATCATTCTTATCCTTGGGGATGCAGTTCCAGTGAACCAAAGGAATAAGCGTAGTGATAGGGCCCCCCATATCCAACTTATTGAGATTTGTACCATATAGTAGCATAGTTATACCCATCCCATCCCTCGTTCATCTCAAACCAAGGTTTCTAGGGGTGTTGAAGGGCTTAGAAGGGATGAATATCTCCAACTGCAGCCAGTCGCGAAGTCACCAGGACCGAGATGCAGTGTACCTAGCGGTCAAGGAGTGTGGCCCAGTGCAGCGCGTGAGCGGCGAAGCCTCCGCAGAAGCCTTGCAGTTGGTGCAGCAGCTCCTCTCCAAGGTGATTTTGGACAAAAGATGGACAAAAACATGGATTTGTGACCCATTTCCGACCACACAAAAATAGGACTTGACATGATTCAGCCAGGCTTTTTAAGGCCTTTCTTTTTTTTTTTCGAAAAACTGGAAGCGTCACCAAGTGCCACGTGGCAGGATCCGTCGCAGCGCCCCAGCACCGCCGTGGCGCTGCAGTGGCCCTGGCTCCGCACGGCGCAGGCCTCGTCGCCGCCGTCCTCGCCGTCGCCGCTGTCGACGTCCAGGCGCCGCACGGTGGCCGCGGCCGCGGCGCAGCGCCAGGTGCAGCTGCCGGCGGAGACGGAACGGTGGAAGGACGGGGAAAACGGGGACTGGTGGTACCCCAGTGATGTTGGTTTAGAATCGCAGAAAAAACCATAGGTTGGCAAATTATAGATACCACCATAGGTTGGTAATTTCATAGGTTGGTGAATTATAGATATAACCGGATATAACCATCATAAACGCCAGTTGTTGGTGTTAAAAACCAAGTTAGCTAACTATGGTGCACCAACCTGTATGGAATTTCCATATATTTTGTATGTATGGCTTGAGTGGAAACATGAGCAGCCAGCCGTTTTGTTGTTCTTTTTGGTTGAACACAGTATAGTTTGGTGGATTTTTAAACATCTCTTGGGTGCCATGAAAATGGGGGATCTTTTTGTGTACAAAACCATACAAAACCCAATTTTTGACAGGTTGGTGATCCCAGCATAAGAATCCAGCCTTGTATTACATGCGACCCCCCAAAAAACAATCGAACTTCACACCGCCGAACAAGAGTTCTTTTGGAAACCAGGGTATTTGTGATAGATCCGTTCCCAGTATGTAACGGATAAAAGGCAGATACAGTATATATAAAAAATACCAAGAACATGGGAATATATAGTGGGGATTCACAACTAGAGTATCTGTCTCACTGCGCCCTCACCAAGCATCCCGTTGCCAGGAGCGATCTTTTTGGCACTCCTTGATGTTGAAGTCTTCAGACTTTTGGTCCAAAGCTGACTGAAGTCTTACCATGTGGCGTGCCAAAAAGGAAAGCCATGACATGGTTTGGAGCCAATGTTTGGAACATCCGTTTCGTAGGTGCCTGGAACACACTTTTGGACGCCTTTGGAGGTGTACAATTTGTGTAGCAAAATTCAGCAGTTCCGGAAGACATTTGACCCAACATTTTTCTAATATATGTTTCCTCCAAGCAGCTTTAAGCCATGATTTCACAGCTAGAGGGCCGCCCCATAGTGCCCGCTGATTCTGCATTTTTTCAGGGGTCAGGGGGTCACTTCCTTGTCATATCCATCTTTGCTGAGTCGGATACAGGGTACTTCCCTATAGATTTTCCATGTTTTTCCACGATTTCACACATTTTAACCGGTATTTTCTCCATGATTTCCAATTTCAATGGCCAGTTCCCTACATTTCCCAGTTCCAATGTCTGACACTAATTTTCAAGGTCGACCTTCATCAACAGACTGCTGGGTACGAGTGTGCAGGCTGCCTTGGAATCGGGGAGGGGTTGGTGAATGGCAGCTATGGCAGCTGGGTTTGTCTGATTTTTTCAGGGAAACCCTCAAAATCCAATGGTTTATGACCATTTCCCATTTAAAAGGACTATTTTGGGGCGTAGCCCAATTTTCAGACACATCCCATATTTTTCTTCGATCGTTGTCCTGCACTCTCGGAATAAAGTCGGAAACATGTCGGAACATGAACTCTTTTTGGACATCCAAAGAAGTAACAAACATGTTGATGTTAGAACTCTTGACGTACTTATTGGAGCAATCTCATCTTCCACTGGGAATAGCCACTTTTTTTTGGTGCCTCTAAGAGAACCAGCATCAAAATCGTGGTCCCAAGGAATGTAGGTCACTTTTGTCGATTGCGGGGCTATGCAGTCACTCACTTTGCCTCTGTTGATAGTTCCCATTTTGATGGGCTAAACACCATCACACGTCGCTGAAATCTGGGTGTTTTCCGACGCTGGCAGCACAGTCCGGATTCTCTCGGCCCAAGTTCTACTTCTCCATATCAAGTTCCGTCGCTCGTTCCATCCGCCGCGGCTTGCTGGGCAAAGTCATTGGACTGTATCGCGTGTGTAGGTAACCCTTTCCTAAAACAGGCAAATCAATGCACTCTCTAGGCTTAGGTGCCCTGCGGTTCTGGGTCCCTCATTTTCCTTGAGGTTCCTGGAGTAATGCTGGCGGCACTTGCGCTGCTGCTGGCTCCAACGACTGCGCAGGATTCGCAGTGCCTGTTGCAGAGATCGGCACAGCAGCGGTTGGCCACAGCGTCAACGCAGCTGGGCCAAAAATTTTCGGAGGTTTGGGTACTTGGAGGATCATACGATCATCCCACCTATATGGTTAGTAAGTGGGGTCAAAAATCAGTTGTACATGCGATACCCGATATCCTCACGAATTGGGGACTTATTCGCCAGGGTTGTTATAGAACCAGTTTGTATGTGGGATGATCCTCAAAGTGGGGGTCTTGGCAGTGTCAACGCATCCAATTTCGGTCGGGATCACGACGTTTCCCACTTTGGTGGTGATCATCTTTTCATGGGCGTGTATTGACACCCTGTTTGGGGGCCCCAATCTTGACATATTCTGTGTTTATGTAGTCAGTCAGCCGAAATAGTTGGTTTCTTTGAGGGGGACTGGTTCCTCAAGACATTCTGATGGTCGGGGTGACTTTTCAGAAGTTGCTACTCGCGACCTCTCAGCGACCTCAAAAAGGGTGGGGCCTCCCCAGATACCTGGCCCAGGTCAAAAGATCCCGGGGAAGGCTGGGGTCTCCTTGAACTCGGCAAGTATTCGTCTGAAGGACCTTTGGCTGAACTTTTGTGGTACCCCCGAGGCGGTGTGGGAAGTTGGTTCGGTCTAGTAATAAGGGTCCTCCTATGGATTCGTCCGGAGGGGTTGGCCTTAAATGGACATGCCGGGGGAAACTGTGTTGAAACCATCGCTTGTTGGTGCTCCTCGAGTGTTCCAGGTTCATGGGATTGGTGGAGCGAAGGCGACATCTACGCGCAGCTCCGATGGATCATAGGATCGCCTGTTGGGGATATTTAAGACCAACGATGTTTGGAAAAATCGGGGACTTCCAGAATCTTTTTTGGGGATGAACATCCACTGTATATCCATTTGCCACCTCTGGTTTAGTATTGAATCTCTTCATTTTTCGGTTCCTTTTTGGCGCGTTCAAGATCATCGTTGGATGGCATTGCCCTTGGACATCTCTTCCAGGGATCGGCCATATCCAAGCGGCGGTGTATCAGTGAGTTTGACCGCATTGAAGTGGACGATGGGGAAATTTGCATTGCCCTCTGGTAAACAAACATAGCTATTGAAAATGGCCATTTACAGTGGATTTTCCCATTAGAAATTGTGATTTTCCATAGTTATGTTAGTTTACCAGAGGGTAACCCCCAAGCAATTGCTGGCCAAAACCCATGGATTCCGATTTTCGATTTTCTGCGCAGAACCAATCAGAGCCTTCATGATTAAGATGCCGAGGCATGTCGTGCTGCATCCATCAAAATTCGAGTACAAGTCGGAGGCGAGGTGGCTGGGTGACACTGGGGTCAAGACCTTCTGACGCACCAGGGCAGGATGTCAAGATGTTAGGACGATCCGCCGAAACTGCCGCCGAAACGTCCCCTGATTTCTTGTTCGGACCCTCCCCGGCAGCCATCAAAACCTGAAAAATCCCGGTCGAAGTCTTAGTCCCCCGGCCTGCCAGGTGCAGTACAACCAAAACAAGGGGAATTTGAACCTCTACATCTACGTCCCAGTTACCACTAGCACCATCTCCATAAGCCTCTATGATCATCACGACTGGCCGCTTGGTATCCTTTGTTGGCTCAGAGAGTTGTCGACATGATTTAGCTGTGATTTGGCCTAAGAATCAAAGCATTTTTTTGCTGGGTATGGGTCAAACTTATTCCACATTAGGTGTGGGTAAATACTGCAAAGCAACCCAACGTGCTGTTTTTTGTCAACTTGTCCTTAAGCAATTTCTAGGGGAGGGTCAGAACATTTTAGGATCCTCCTTACAGGGGTTACTACGCTCAATATCATGAAACCCTTTCATAGTGGTTGGATTCTCCAAAGACCATCGTTCAAAGCAATCTCTCCCCATCATTTCTGCTTGGAATCACCCCAAAAATTGGTCCGGAATGATGTGGTTGTCAGATTTGCAGCTTCAAACAAACGGTAAAACAACACATATGATCAACAACCATCTTTATTGTACTTTCACCATCTTTTACCATCCATTTTGCCACCTTGAAGAACTCACCAAATTCGTTCACCCGCCCAGGTTCAGTCACGATTTGGTGGGCAAAGCCACCTTTAACCCCCAGACGGACTGCGGGAATGAGGAGATCTGCGCCTTCAGGTGCGCGCCTGTGTCTCCGCAATCATAAATGGCCCTGTTGATGGGATTTTATGGTGATTCATAGGGGATTTAACCAAGAACAATGAGATTATTCAATGTGATCGATGGTTTAAAACCTTGTTGGTTGGTTGATGTTCATATGTAGTCATTGCATATGGTTTGAACCATCAAAGATGATGGGGATATTTTTGTGGATATAACTATATATCCAGGCCGGGTGTGCCGCCCGAGGTTTATCACGTGACCAACTCTTTAGGGTTTATTTAGGGTTTGTTTAAGGTTTATTTAGGGTGTCATTCAGGGTTTTTAGGGTTTTTACCACGGGTTTTAATAAGATTTTACTTTCAAGGCGTACCTGGGGTTTCATGTCAGATGATGATGACGACGACGACGATGAGGGCACTTCTCGTCAACCATTGGGGTAGATGGCCGACATCCCCAATCTCATAAAACACTGGCCCTGCGCAGTCAAAATGCACTTCCCTGGGCAGCACACCCATCCTGGCCGCAACTATATAACGATATAACTGGTGCATGATAGTCGGTCGATCATTAGTTTGGGGGATTACACTATCCAATATTGGGGATTATCAATCACAATCCGTTTTGGGAAATCCATGGAAATCCTATGAACCAGCCAGTACAAAGGTCTTCTGATTCAATACGGATAGATACTATTCAATCAATTTCTGATCTCAGACTGTCATTCAAAAACATGCCAAAACAATAGTATTAATACCGATATGAGTTTGGATGTCTTAGAGTAAAACAGCATGAAATCAGCATGTTTTGCTTAAAGCCTCCATCAAATCCCATATTTTGATGGTTCAAACCTCATGAAAAACACTAGAATGCATGGTGAAATCCCCCTTTGAACAATACCCTGTGGTAAATTTTCACAGTTGGACATCACCTTTCTTAGTGGTTTTGCTATGTTTTGCTCATCTTCCAGTCGCCTCTGGCTATGTGTCGTCATCGCCAGGATGCGCTTCCACAGCTCAGAGACCATCGTTGAGGAGGTCGCCTGGGTGGATACACGCTGGATCAAAGGTACCCAGCTGCGACCGGAGGCGAGGTACGGTTGGGGTTGGGCTTTGTGGCCGAAAAAGGCCATGGTTTCAGGGTCATTTCTAGGGGAGCTCAGCCATGAAACATATAGGGATGAGTTAGTTTCCTTGTATTGTAAGGGGATTTTAAAAAAGTACCCCATAGTTAGCTACTTTGGTTTATAAGTCAAATAGCTGTTGGGTTTATGAGGTAATGGATATTGCAGATATATCTGCAGTTAGTTGGGGTTATAAACGATCTTCTAACGGGGGGGACCAGCTTGTAGGGGATCTTCAACCATGAAACATATGGCATGGAGGTACCCCCAAGTCATCCAAGTCATGGATGACCATGGCTTAGTGTTGAAAACCATGGTGACTTGGGGAAACCCCCATATAGGGGTGTAGTTGTTTGACTGGTATTTTAAGAATTTTAAGGGGATTTATCAGTGAATTTTAGGGGTCTATGAGTGCATTTTAAAATGGCAACATATGGAGATATAGCCTGGATGATGATTAATTTGGGGGTCATACTACCTCGCGTTATCCATGAACTGCGACTCCCGTTCTCAATCACCAGGATTGAATGGATTGACAGAGTTTTGAACACTGCTCACCTGGTCTATGAGTTCTTATAGGGGTTCAATCAGTCAAAAAAGCGGGGGTTTAAGCATCAAACGTAGGGGCATGGAGTTGATAAATCATGATCGATTGATGATTACAGGGGGTTCTACATGGTTATAGGACCTAGCTATATACACTGTAGTTCTTTTTTTTACTACCCATGAATTTGGGAGAAAACGCACATGTGTTGAAATGTTGTTGTTATATTGTATATGTACACACACACATATTTATGCTATTATATATAATAATATTACATGGACACTTGATTTCATGGATAAATCATTGACATCCTCTACCCATCAGGTGGAAGCCGCGAACAAGAGGGGCATTTGGGTGCACTACGACGCTTGGGCTGGTGGGATATGGGGGGTCCATTGGGGGGGAAGTTATTTCTGTTGGGGTCTTGAGCAAGATGGGGGATGTCTCAATGTTACCAAACGGCCGCAGATCATGATTCCCAGCTTTGACCTCCGGTATTCAAACGTGGCAATGGAAAATCCTCTATTTAGAAGGTTTTTCCCCATGACAAGCCCATTTAGTTCGGGGATTTTCCAGTCAGCCACAGGGACTTTTCGGTTTTGATGTTCCCTCCGGGAATGATCTCACGATAGCAGAGTGCCCCTGAGGAAGAGGAATCGAGAGAAAAGAGCAAGTACAAGCTGACGAGCGTTAAGGCCGAATCTTTCTTTGGCTCAAACCGAAAAAAATCGCGCTTCGAATCCACGAAGATGGTGGTTGAAAACGAAAGATCATAGACATTTAGCCATTTTGTTGTTCATAGCGAACTCACAAATGTGCGATTTTTGACCCATCCACAGATGATTCCCCGCAGGTTTTAGGGGTCCGACGCCCAAAAGCCGGTGGGACCCCTCCGCGATGACCAAAGTTGCCCCATTTAGATCGGGATCAAGAGATCATGATGGCTGGTTCAATCAACATGTTCGGTTGTTGACAACCTATCTTTGGCTGAATCTACAATGTATGTTTATTCTGTGAAATCCGTACAAGGTGGTGCCCCATAGTTAGCTAAGTTGGTTTATAAGTCCCATAACTATGGTTTATGGCAGATATAACTATAGTTAATGGGGGTTATAAACCCACTTATAACTGGGGGGCACCATCCTGTATGTTCATGGATAAAATCCCTTTCTTACATGATCTTCTTTTCTGACATCCCCATTCTGATGGGGTCGCTCCATTTCGAGATCCGCTTGGAGGCTGACGCTGTGGACAAGGAGCTGCTATTTGCCAAAACGGGATCGGTATTTCCAGCATCTTTGCATGGATTCCTTGGCTCGACTTATGTTGGGAAAACGTGATCGGTGATTTTACCACGGGATTTTGGGCCATCGGGCTGATATGGGCTGATCGGGGTTTCCTGCTTGTCCCTTAAACTACATGGGCATTTGCTGAGTGTGTTTTTTTTTTTTTTGGGGACACCTCCAGGTGATTCTGGAAAAGCGAAAAAGGTGGGACTCCCGGAGAGACCCAGAAAAAAGTGGCGTCTCTTTCGGTCCCCTGAGATTTGGTGGGTATATTCCCCCTAACTGATGCCAGCTGAAGGTGAATTCATTGACCAATGAACTGAATGCCGTCCCAGAATTTCAAAGATCTCGGCTGAGAAAAACACACAGAAGATGTGTTACTTGTTGGCTGCGCCTAGGACTTCATTGGATGGACCAGCGTGGGACATCCTTGAAAAATGGCCCATATCCAGAGGACAGGCCTCGGGACGATGCTCCTTCAAGAAGCAAAAAAAAGACACATGTGGCCATGGGTTCAAGAACTGCTGAAAGATTGGCCGCCTCTCTTCCTGCGAAATGAAGTCTAGAAGAAAATTTCACCGGGACTGCCAACTCTCATGCAGGGCCTGGGAGTGCAGACCTGATACACCATGGATTCCCTTGGGGGGTATATTTAATCTTAGGGGGACGGGATTTCTAAGTAGGCTTGTAACTCCTTAAAAAATGAGGTAGTCCAGTTGGGGACTTCTGACTCCAGAAACCACTGCTGCAGTTCCACAATCTTGTTGGGATGATCCTCCAGATATGCAGTTCTACTGATCGATAGTCAAAATCGGCATCACATATAGTTAAACTGGTTGGTGGTTTGGAACATTTATCATTTTCCATTTCATATATGGGATGTCATCCTTCCCATTGACTTTCATATTTTTCAAAATGGTTAAAACCACCAACCAGTAAACTATATTCCATGGATTGGCTGAAGGGAAAATCTACAGGAAACCATAGACGTTCCCTGATGTTCCCATGGAAACATAGGGGCTTTCCTGTGATTTTTTCCCTTAAACCAATCCATTGAAGATCTATAATTATAAGCTATAAGCTATAATTATAAGCTATAATTATAAGACCTATAAGCCAGCTTAGCTTAAGATAGGCACCTTACCTTAGCTGGCCTTAGCTCCTTCGCCCAGGAGCCTCAGTACCGCCAGACCTGTTCCCTGGCCGCGGATGAAGTCTTCCTTCACTTCGGGGAAGCTGCTTGGAACCCCGCCACGAAGTGTGTCACAGGGGTGAGGCGCGGGTGGGTTGGGATGGGCTGCTGAGAATCTGAAGGAAAAAAACATCACTTTTATGAATCTTGGAAACAGGTAGAAACCTCATTTAAAAAAAAATACCAAGTACCTAGAACTTTTTGGAGCATCTACCCGTCCCTCCTTTTTTTTTTTGAATCTTTCTTCCCCCGTGTTCCCCTGGACCTCGGCAGGCAGTTCGGTGGCGGCCCCCTGAGTGGCCACTGGTCCTGGCTGGATCAAGGTGGGCAGACCAGCGACCAGTGGACGGCGGGCGAAGGATGGAACATGAAGTACGACTTCTGTTTCCGGGACGAGGCGCGGCTGGAAGGGGACGGCTTCGCGCCCGCAGGGGCGCCGGGATTCCGGAGTTTTTTGGGGAGAACTCTCCCACAGGGAAGCACATGAATTTGCAGGTGAGTGTTTTGATGGGGAAGGGGTATCCAGCGTATGGGTCAAGAGGGATTCTGAACAAATGATGGGATTTAACCAGCCAAGAATAGTTTTTTCCAGGTAGATAGTGGGTCAAGAATTTGGAATTTGATGGGATATATATATATATAATATATATATATAATATACGCATATATATATATATATATATATTAGAAAATATATATATGTCCAAGAATCATTGGGGTGTTAGGAATGAGAGTCGGAATACATCTTCGGATGAACATCGTAAAATGGGTCAAAGACGGGCTCAGGGAATTGATGCCATTGATTTTATGGAATCCTTTCAATCCTTTCTATAGGATTCCCCCATAGTCCCTTTGCAATGGTGGGTTTGGTAGTGGATCTGGGAATCTCTGGGTCAGTTTTGCATCTTGCCTGGGATGATGCTCCTACATTCATTGTCTGGAATCCCAGTGTTTGACACTCAGTGAGTTTTTGTTGTCAGAATCCATGTATTCACAGTGAGAGAAAAATCCATTTTTTCAGTGCTTTTGAATCCAATTTCTTAAAAGGCCAGATGCAGATTTTGTTTGTTGATTTACATCCCCATTTTGGAGTTGAGTAGATATTCTCATTGTTTTGGGTTAAATCTATTTTTGAAGGGTGAACTCCACATCTTTGATGCATTTCCCGGCATTTTGGTCGCTGATGGCATCCCCATTTTTGGCTAGCGCCCGATGCAAAAGGCAATGACCTACGTCGACGTCACGTGGCAGATCTGGATTTGAAGCCACGTTGAGATGTGGGTATGGTGAAGAAATGACCCAGGGGACGAATGTCTATTTTTAGTTTGCTAACCATCTAATTATATCTAATTATTGGGTTACCCAATTTTGACCCATACCATACCCCAATATGGGTATTAAGACTATGGGTATATACCCCAATTGAGACTACTATCTTCAAGGCGATCCTTTGATTCCCCGTTGGTGAAATCACCAAATCACCGAATCGAATACCAAATTGAGTTATAATGAGCTATAAAACATACCTATATATGATTATATTATATTATATTATGCAATTTACCTGTGTACAACTCCAACTTGTTTGGTGATACCCAGTCAATTTCACCAAAATCTGCGTCCCAAACTTGTGTGGTGAATCCTACTTCGTAAGTAGGTTACAGAAGGTTATAGACCTCAGTTCGAAGGAGGCCAGGATTTATTTGCCTTGTACTTACCCTCAAAAAAGATCGACCATTCAAATCCTACTCAAGTAGTGATATATATATATATACATACTATATATATATATATAGATATCCATTTCTATTTTTTTTGGATTTCAAAACCTAAGGACCCACCATGATTTTCCGACTCACTTTACCATTTACCAAATCTCGATTTGGCGAATCGCCAAGTCGCCAGATCCAACGAGACATCAGGTGCTGATCCGCGTCTCCTTGAGCCGTGCCGTGGCAGATACCTTGGGCTTGGAGTCCATGTTCCCGCCCCATGTGGAGGTCACTGTGCCCGTATGGCTGAACAACGTGGGCATGCCACTGGGCGAAAGGTTGAAACATGGATAGGAAATGATGGGTGTGTGTTGGAAGCAAAAAAAAGGAGAGGACATGTCAATCACGATTTTACTTGGAGTCTACTTTTTCTTAAATCTTTTTGGGGTTGACATAGATATATGATGATATATGTACAATTAGCACTGAAATTAGCGGCATTTTGTAGTTGGAACATCCTCCATCCCCATCCCCAGGAAGAAAACGGCCTTCGGCTGGGATCGGGTGACGACCATTGGCCCCTCCTGGCTTCGAAATCTCATCCGCCACGCCTTCAAATCCTCGGTGGTCCAAGCTGTCTTCGGCATGGGCACAGGTGCTGAGGAGGGATGGGTTCATCCCCAAGGAGTCCCCAAGAAAAGCCACTGGAGCCACCTGTTGGAGCTAAGAATTTTGAGTTCCTGACTGATGGTAGAATTTTGATGAATTTTGGATGTTTTTACTGATGTCGTCCCATTTTTTGTTGATATAAAGGGGTGAAGCCTGTGTTCACATTGGCCATCGTCCAATTCTTGGGAAGGGGATGATGGATAAATCAAGAGTTATTCAATTTTACTGGAAAAGCATCGAACTTTATGGACATAGATGTGGGATTTTCCATGCAAGATGCTGGGAAAGAGATGATGATGGGGTGATGCGAATGGGATGGGATGATGGGGAATGAAGGGGGACGGTTGGAGTTGCTCTTCAGGGTTTGTGGATTGGAGGAGTTGTGAGCGGAAAAGAATGGTGTTTTTGAAGGGTGAACTTGAACTCTGCATGTCCTTTGTAAAGCTAGGGCACTGATCGCTTTTTGAGCCACAATGTCAATCCCCGGTTGTATTAACCCCCTGGTTCAAGTGGGAGGTACTGTTTTGATACTCCTCAGTAGCCATGAACGTCACTGCTCGACTCTTGGAAAGTGATTCAAAATCTATATGTATACTTGAGGCTGTCTCAAAATATGACTGGACTCTCTGGATTTTTCCAAGCATTTCAGATTCCAGACGGTCTCCAGATTCCTAGCACCTTTCAAGCACCTACCATCAGTGATCTCAACATTTGTCCTGCAGGTTTAGGAGCCGGAGATTTCCTCAGCGACGGTCTGGAGTGTCATTACCCTTTGCTGCAGATCGTGGACGGCCGCTGGGTTTGCCGCTGATCGCCCCAAAATCATCCAGCCAGTGTGAAGCTTGAATTTTGGGGGCTATTTTAGGTCAGTGCAGTGTTGATTTGGTATACCACATCTTCATTCTACCCGATTCCCTTGTTCGTAACCACGATTACCATGACTTCGCCAGAAGAATGGGACGACGACCCGCAATCTGAAAAAGTGTTGCCTTTTTCGGGCGCCTGAGGCAATGGCAACCGCACCAAGTACTTTCAAGACTATTTGAAGCTCAGAGACCACAAGGGCGCAGTGTCGGATCTGGGTCGGTTCAAGAATGGGTGTGCTGCTATACTATGCTATACTGTACCCCCAAAGCCACCATGGAAACAGCATGGGAACACCCTTGTGACTCGGGTTTGGGAAATCCTTTTTTGACAGACACCCAATCCACCGGTTGATCATCATCCCGACCAACAATGCTGCAAATGATGGGTATACCTAAATCATCCATTTTCAGAGGATTTTCCATGAAATAAACCATCCAGCTATTGGGGTCTAGGAGTCTAATCTCTGGTAATTTAACATAGCTATTGAAAATCACCATGCTATTAATGGGAAAATCCACTATTTCTATGGTCATTTTTAATAGCTATTTTGACATAACCAGGGGGTAATCTCTATGGAACCCCCCCATTTTGGCTTTCGCCCATTTTTTGGAGATGGCTGGCTCAACCACCAATCAGATCCGTGTGGCTTATGGATCCCATAATTGTACATACCATAGATGATTTTGCCATCCCATTATATATATATATATACACACATATATATATATATACATATCCATTTACGGATGGCTTTCCCATGAATTTTTCCCCATCAACATCAACCAGCACTTCCCCCCCGACATCCCAAGGAACTACATCAACCAGGGAACCACTTGCGAAGCCTCCACCTTTGATTGTCAGAAGAACCGGGCGCCGGGCACTGTGGTGATTGGGCGCTTGCAGAAATTCTGAGATGTGAGATCTTTGCAATAATCTTAATAGTCTTGATAGATAATCTATTATCATAATAGTACTATATAAATAGATGATAATAGTCTTAATAGTACATAATAATATATAATAATCGAAATCTGAGATCCCAACTGATGTGGGGATGTGACAGTCAATCATAATGAGAACACACCCACACACACGATAATGATGATAATGATAATGTGTCAAAACCTATGAAATACCATATGACAGGGTGGATGAATGTCCAATTTACCAAGCATTTTGATGTGAACAGGACCCTGGACCCTGGCGCTGTGTTTTAGTTTGAAAGGACCGAACCGATGCGCTCGGATACTGCCGATTCAAATTCTTTAAGTCTCGGTCGGATGCATGGCCTGCATGGCTTTCTCAGTTCAGAAACCAAAGCTGTTCTGAGTTTCACTGGGAGCTGAAGTCTCAGAAAAAAGCTCGCGTGAGCGCCCAAGCTTGGATGGGTAGGGCCTAGCTACCTTGATACCAACAGGACCTTGGGATAGAAGTTATCTATTGCTTGCCAACGATATCCAACTTACAAGGATACACATGGCAGAAATCACCAACATGAATATGAATATTGAATATTGACCATGAAGATCGAACATGAATATAGTATATTCAACATTAAGATTGACTATGAATATATTAGAATATGGTTCATATTAATCTCCATTACCCTCTGGTTATTTATTTCTAGATGGAAGCCATGGCCCACGGAAATAGATGGTTTACCTATTGAAAATGGGTGGATTTCCCCAAAGAGACGCCAGGAGACAGGCGTGGCGCCCACTGATGATGGCTTCACTGTAGCTCAGCTCAGGGCATAGCGTGGCTCATCATGGGAAAATCATGGGGAAATCGGATTTAAATGGGAGTTTTCAAAGGAACATCATCGAAGTAAATGGATCTAAATGGTGGATTATACCAAGCAACGTTTTGACCGAACCTCCAAATACACTCCGAACATGAGGTTAAAAACAAAAATATACTGTGCATATATATATATATATATATACATACATATACACATACATAATATGTACATAATGTACACATAATCAATGATTCTTGGTTGGTGGCTTAAAGATTTCTTCTCCACATTGAATTTTGGATGATTGGTCCCAGTCGACGATGATCTTTTTGGCATGGGTTGAAACCGGCACTGAGGGCCCCAATTTTAGGCCCCTCTTGGAGGGTTCTGATGGGCTGGAACTCCCCATCGGTGAGAGCAGAAGACAGAACTAAGTATTGGATGACGCAGCCCATTTCGGCAGTGTACAGAATGTGAGGCTTTGTCAGGAATGGCAGATACTGTATGTTTTTGAGACATGATTCTGGTATAAATCCCATTGGTTAAGACATGCCATGTGTCATCATGGCCACCCGGAAGTGGGGATGAAACGGCATCAGCCTGCTTTCTACTTGGTGGATCATCCCACTTACTAAGTAGGTTGTATCCCTGGTTTTTTGAGTGGGATAAGGCACGTTGATCCACTTATGATTGGGATAAGTCACTTTTTCAGTGGGATGACCCACCTGAGTACGGCAACACCTGTACAGGCCTTGACTTCACAGCATCGCAACTCCTGGCAGCTTTGATGTTTGCGTCCACTCCCCGGTACGAAGCCGGTTTTCACCGGCCCCCGCTTGGCTTTGGAGGCGGGAATGATGGAGCACAGGAACTTTCAAATGGTAGGAAAGTGATACCCTCTGGTAAACTAACATAACTATGGAAAATCACCATTTTAAATAGGTAAATCCACTAGAAATGGCCATTTTCAATAGCAAACTGTTGAATTACCAGAGGGTATCTGACTTTTTCTGACACCTGATCTGCTTGAGAAAAACTCAAATCGAACTTTGGTGTCTGGAGCACCGGTGGATTTGCGCATTGGGCAGGTGCATGTCAGTCTTCAAGCGCAAGGTCCACATTCAAATCATCAATTGTCACTCAGAGTCCGTGGGAACCTGGTGGGTGGGAGATGGTCGGTGACTGGTACGAAAAAATGGCATGGACTACCCTCTGGTAAACTAACATAGCTATAAGCTATATATTGAAAATGACCATTTATAGTGGATTTTCCCATTAAAAATGGTGAATTTCCATAGTTATGTTAAATTACCAGAGGGTAAGCAGTTCAGCCGGTCAGCCATGGTCGGTGAACCATGGAGCAAACCACCAGGGTTTTCCAAAAAACCTCCCGAGGTTCAGAATTTGGCCGTCTGAGCTTGGCGGGAGAGTTCTTCCATGGCGGTGGATGGGTGTGGATACCCAGAATCAGCCAGAAATCAGGTGAAGAGACAGGAATGATGCCAGAACTAGCCACGATATTTGAACAGATCTGGGTATGGGTCAATACCTATAGATACATTTTTAGTGGGATGAACATCCATTTACCAGCTATTTTGGGGTTCACTAGGGGTACCAGGGTTTTGACCCATCCCCAACTGTTTCGTTGTGCGAAGCATTGGTTGTTGCTGAAATATGAGCGCCACGAGCGCCACGATGTCACGATGAGGTGGGGAAAAGGATCGAAGAGATTGAAGAGGAGAGGGGGCAACTTGTGGGAACTCGGGGAACTTGCGGTGTAATGATTATGATTCTGATACACATATACACACACACATATACACGTATATATATATATATATATATATGTATATTATATCATATGATATCACACGCACACATATTAGATAGATAGATAGATAGCTAGATAGATAGATAGATAGATAGATAGACACGTATAATATGTATAGTATATCATATATATATATATAACCAATAAAACAGTTCAGTACTATTCAGTATTCCCTTCGAGGACGAGTAAATCCAGCCCCCTGGAGCTGAAATGATGCCTTCAGTGCGCAGGATGCTGGGCTCGAACTGGAGAGCCACGCATGGACCCATGGCCTCTCTGGGTATGTGACCTATCGAAACGAGGATCATACGAAGTTCCTCTGTCTCCTGGTGCGGATGCCTGGGATGCCTGGGATGAATCCGCCGTTCTGCTGTTGGGATTTTTCCATGGCGAGTCGGACTCACTTTCCACTGGGATCTGAACTAAGCTGGCGATGGGTCCTTGTGAAATGTGGAGAAAAAGAGCTTCACATACACTTAAAAAGATTCAACAAGCACTACAAAGCTGATCGGTGAAATATTTCGTGGGATCTCTAGCCACCTCCAGCCCAGCAATGGCCGTTTTATACGAGCTTCGGGGATGATCTGATCCCAAACTGGTGTGAAAGTCATTGAGGAATACAGAAATTAGCTCTTTGAGTCAGATCCGCCTGTTGGGAAACCTGCTGGATGTCGTGAGGGGATTTCTGTGTTTTTTCATCATCACTCTTTTCATTTACATGGCAACTTTGCTGGTAAATCCAGCATTTTCTTAGGACAAACCCAGATCCGTCATCAACGACCAGCGTTTTTCTCGATGGTGAACTCATGGCAAAATCATGTAGGATGGGGCCCCCCTGCTATGGTTGTTGGTTTATAAACCACAACAAAATTCCCATGGCAACTAGTTCGTTATACCACAGTCATACCAAACCATACAAGCCACTTAAAAGTAAGGCAACTTGACTAGTTCGTGATATCATGTTATATCTACCATAAACATCCATAAACCCAATCGAATTCAGCCACAAAAATCTACGGCAACTGAGCCATCGACAGGTGTCCTATCCACTGCTGGGCTCCTGTTGCTTCACCGCTCGCTTCGGGGCGCACCTGCAGTGGCTTGGAGTTGGAAGCCAAAGGAGAGCTCAAGGGATGTAAAATGGTGGTTAATGGTGGTTAATAGTGGTTAAAAAAGTGGTTAATAGTGGTTAAAAAAGTGGTTAAAAAAGTTGTTAATAGTGTTAATAATTAGTGGTTAATAATGGCTAATGATATAAAGCCTGGTTGGTGGTTTGGAACATGAATAGATTATGACTCTCCATAGATTGGGAATATCATCCCAACTGACTTTCATATTTTTCAGAGGGGTTGAAACCACCAACCAGAAGCCATCAGTTGATTTTTCTAAAAGTTTAAATAAGCAAATATCTATAGCTAGCTTGGTTGATATGTACTTAGGACCTAGGATTTATGGGAGATATTCATCGGACTAGTTAGATGGGGTTACCGTAGTTTTACCAACTTATGACTAGGTGGCCCCTTCCTGTCGGAAAAAAATTGATATCATGCTGGTGGGATTCATATCGGGGATCTAACCTAGGAGAACTGGTGATTGGGTGTACATAATGGGTATGTAATGGTTTATATAACCAGCGATAATTTTTTGGGTCTGTCTCCTCTTAGTCTGAAAGAGGGAGATTTACTTCCAGTATTTATGGGCCATTTTGACAGGTCTTAAACTAGTGGATTTTAGGGATACACCATGGTATCCCCGATTTTCAGACAACCCTACCATGGATCATCTGGCCATAGGGGAGCGGAGGATGGGATTGTGCAGCGCAGATTGGAGTTTCTGATCATAACTACGAACATCCGTGGATTAAGGTGATCAATATCTCCAAATCTCCAAATAGAGGTTTCCTAAACTGGGGGGACCCCCAGTCATCATTCATTTTCATAGACATTTTCCATGAAATAAACCATCCAGCTCTTGGGGTACCCCCCATTTATGGAACCTTAGCAGGTTGAGGGATCCTACAGAGCTGCTCCAGCGCCCTGCCTTGGTCGTTGGACATGGGGGGAGAGTTCGACTGTGGATTATGAGTGATGGATATGGTGGTAAAAATACTCCAGAAATACTACCAGAAATCTATCACTAATGAACCCTAATGATCCACTCTTATCTAGCAATTACTAGCCATATTCTACCAGAAGTGGGCGCTCAAAACTGTCAAAAGCATCCGAATGGGATTTTATAGGTATTTTATGGATATTTTCAGACAACCCCGTTTTTGCTGCACTCTTTTGCATAAACATCTTTATTGAACCGGGAATCGCGTCACCACCAGAAAAAGACATCGAGCTGGCCCCAACCGTCAGCAGTGAAGGGAGGGTTGCTGTAACACGAGCGCTTCAAGTCTTAGGGACGCCTTCCCGATGAAGAGGTTCCTCTGGTTGTGTTCCCTTGAATCTAACAATGTCAATGCATCTTTTGGTGGTGACATTCTGTTGTTGCTGAGACAACATGTTGAAACATGTTGAAACATAATGCTCAAAAGGCCTGTTGGCTAGATCCAAGTTGCCTGTGGGATTGATATCCAGCCATAAACCAGCTAGACTTTGATGGGTTTGTGTGAACACACGATGCTCTAAGATCTCATGCTTGCGGCTTGAAACGTTAAGTATTGTATCTTCCACACAAACATGAGAATGGGTCAACACTTTCAATCCCATACTTGGGATGGAGCCTCCATGGATGAACCATCCATCCATCCATCCCTGTCGATCAGGAAGGCACCCGAGTTACCGGAACCCAACCAGATGCGGAAAGCAGAAGGATGTGGCTGGGCGAGTCCGAAGGGCCGCTGTTGTTGATGTCGTGGGTTAAGAGGTCAGTGGTGATTGGTTCTTCTACCTACAAAAAATGGAGTTTTTAATGAATCATGACTCATGACATATATCTATATATATATATATGTATATATATATGAGCAACCGTAAAAACCCCGGAAATACTAAATATGTATTCGACGGACATTGGTTTATGGAAATTGATGGAAATTGTTAAAAACACGAGGTAAGCGATGGGACCTTCCCAAATTAGCGATACCCCTTTTCAAGGTTATGTCATCATATTTCTCTAATATCCACATTAGCGATACCCAAATGTCACATATTATTCATGGTTCATCACATATATATATATATAAATGCAGCAGCTTCCTGCAAGCGATACCCCCCAAGTTTACCATATATCATTATTGTACAAACGTGTGGTAAGCGATGGGACCTTCCCAAATTTGTGGATGTCTTTTCCGTGAACCTAGGGTTTTCACAATCGCTCATATGTATATATATATATACACACATATATATATATACATATGTATATATATATACATATATATATATACATGTATATATATATGTATATATGAATATGTATATATATATGTATATATAATATATGTATATATATATGTATATGTATATGTATATGTATATATATATATTTGGGTTTATTTGGATTATATAATAGATGCCGATATTCACTTTGTGAACATGTGGTGGTTGGTTTAGTGAGCAGTTTCAAACACCCTCGGGGCTTAGTTGATGATGTGTAACCCGGGGTTATTTGCTTTCTCGCCTGACCTTTAAATACGGTGGAGATCCCCGTAATCCATGAACTTCCCCATTAAAAAAAAACAACCATTACAGAATCATGCTGAATGTAGTCTTTTTTTAAGAAAGTCATTGTCAAAAGCCAATTTTTTGGGTCCACGCGAGGTTTTAGGGTACACCAAGTGACGCGTAACCATTGGACCTCCGTGGCGAAAATCAAACTAAATCCAGTGGGAATTTCAGGAGCCTAAAGAAATGAGAGGTATCCCATATAGTTAGGGGAATCTTAGTTTTGAAGATTCCCCCAAAAATTAGAGGTATCCCATATAGTGGGCGAAAATCCATATTATCAGGAATATAAAACTAGAGGTATCCCATATTCCCACTAAAGCATTGTTCCCATTAGAGCCACTGGTACCTCTGGAGCCACTTATTCCCATAATTTCCCATATAAAGCCAGATTTTCTGCAAAATCTTCCCTTCGCCCTTCGCCCTTCGGCCCTTCGCCGAGGTACCTGGGAACTGCTGGCGGTGGCCTCGCAGGACGTCATCGTGCTGCGCTGTGTGCTGCTGCCAGAGGATGCCAAAGGTGACGACTGTCATCACCGGATGCCCGGGGGTCAACGGGTCAACCAACAAAAGAAAAGGCAAAGAAATAGACGTTTTTTTTTTTTGATATTTGAACATATTTGAACTATGGGGATGAATTTCATGGGATTTTTACTTGGAATCATGAATGATGGGAAAAACAATTCATGGGATGATAGTACCAGTGCCAACGAAAAAGTCTCCAGGCCGACTGTCGCGGCAGTTCACCCAAAGGCTGCGGGAGGCCCCCTGGTGCCCTTCGGCGCAGCTCCGGACCGGGCCGGGCTCCGGGCTCTGGTGTCATCCAACATGACTGGATGATGGAAATCCGCGAGGTCTCAATGGAAATATCACGGACATATCATCTATAATTTTTTGGGATTTTCCAGCAAGCCATGTTTGAGGACCGGAGGGCATGATGATTATACATAGGTAATTTATTACTTCCAAACGCATTTTTGTTCATTTATGGATGTATGAGGCACCAAACATCACCAAACGAAAATTGTGATTTTGTATTAAAAACTTGGGATACGTGGATGTACTGTAACAAGATGTAACAAGTGTATAATTGCCTATTCGTGTCGTTTCAATCAGCTCGACAACAGTATCAGCTTTGGGATTTGTGATGGATTCATCCCAGGGTATCACAGATTGAGACTAGCGATGTCCAGATTGCATGGAATACTGTATCACGCCTGACAAAAGATGGTCCATGGAAAATCATTCGCCCTAGTGACAGGCCCTAATTCCATGGCTTGGAAACTGTCGTGTTCTTTTCTGGTGCCAGATCCCCTCCTGAACCCCCGAGCGTTGATTTTTGGTGGCCCACCTTTTCAGTACGTTGGGGATTATCATAAAATCCCCATGAAAACAAACCATTCTTTGGGAACATTTCCAGCCGGTGCTTGAGAACACTCACTTGTTTTATTTGGTGGGTTTTCCATCACCATTCCCCAAGGGCTATCTTTATAAGGGATTTCCTTGCGACAGCCAGCATGGGGCCGGGAATGGGATGTGCAATGTACTGTGCAAACAGCGCAAACTTTAGTTTGATTGCCTAATCCTATGGCACAAATGCAAGAACATACATACTATTCAACGCAAAGCGGCCATGGACTTTTTTCCTAGAGATTATATATCAGGGTAGCCTCTATACTCCGAAGAAGCATTTCTTTTTTTTGTTGTGTTTCCACCCTCAAACAATGATAGAAGGAAGTTTAGAAGTCAAACTTCCGACAATATAGACAGACAGATGAAAAAGCAGAGGCGGGAAGAGTCAGAGAGAAGAAGAGAAGAAGAAAGAAGATCAGAGGAGAAAAAGGATCAGAAGAAAGAAGATGCAGGTGCGCGAAACGGTAGAAAGTCGCGAAAAGTAGGCTCGCTAAAGCGGCGGGTGTGGAGCCATTGGAGATGAAAGATAAAAAATTGCATGCCATAGGGGCGCGAAGCACATTTCGAAGTCCAAATGTCAAAAGCACACCATTTTCGGACCACTTTTGGAAGTTGACATGCCGAAAAAGCGCACGCCGTTGTGGCGCGAAGCACATTTGGAACCCGAAATCTGCAAAACACACCAGGTTCGGAGCACTTTTGGAAGTTGAGATGTTGAAAAAGTGCATGCCATCGTGGCACAAAGCACACTTTGAAGCGATATGTGCAAACCACACATTCGGACCACTTTTGGAAGCTGAGATGTTGAAAAAGCGCACGCCGTTGTGGCGCGAAGCACGTTTCGAAGTCAAAATGTGTAAAGCACACCACCCTCGGACCACTTTTAGACGTTCAACCGCGCCGCACTACACTACGTTACAATTACAACAACGCTTCTACAGCTACAACTAAAACTACAACAACTACAGCTACAAGTACCACTACACAACACTACACTACACTACCCTACGCTACACTGCACTGCACTGCACTACACTGCACTGCATTGCACTACACTACGCTACACGACACGACACGGCACGAGACTACACTACACTACACTACACCTACACCTACACCTACACCTACACCACACGACACGACAGCACACCACACCACACCACACCACACTACACTACGCTACACTACACTACACTGCACTACACTACAACACAGCTACAGCTACAGCTACAGTTACAGCTACACCTACAGCTACAGCTAAAGCTACAGCTACAGCTACACTAGACTCATACACTACACTACATTACATTACATTACATTACAGTACGCTACACCTGACTACAACGACAACTACAACAAGAAGAACAAGAAGAACAAGACGAACAAGAAGAAAAAGAAGAACAAGATGAACAAGAAGAACAACCACAGCAACTACCACAACTACAACTACAGCTACAGCTACAGCTACAACTGCAACTGCAACTACAACTACTACCACTACTGCTACAGCTACCACTACCACTACCATAACCACAACTACTGCTACTGCTACTGCTACTGCTTTTGCGCTGCTACTACTGCTGCTGCTACTGCTACTACTGCTGCTACTGCTGCTACCATTGTTACCATTGCTGCCACTGCTACTGCTTTTGCTGCTACTACTCTTGCTAGCGCTACTACTACTGCTGCTACTATTATTATTACTATTACTATTACTATTACTATTACTAATTACTAATTACAATTACAATTACAAGTACTGTTACTATTACTATTACTATTACTATTACTTTTACTATTACTATTACTATTACTATTGCTATTACTACTACTACTACTACTACTCCTACTACTACTACTACTACTTATACTGCTACTGCTACTGCTACTGTTACTGCTACTGCTACTGCTACTGCTACTGTTACTGCTACTGTTGCTGCTACTGCTACTGCTGCTGCTACTGCCTATAGTTTCCTATCTTTGAAACTTTTGTAATATGGAGATTCCAACTACTGAGAAGTGAGCGAGCACCAAGTGTTTGGTGATGGAACCACAAAACAAAAAAACGCCTGGAACCTCTGCGTTTTGCTATAGATCCTTCCAAGATCTACCCTTGTGCTTGCGGGACCAGCTTGTGTCGATGGCTAGTCATCCCCACATGTGCAAGGACATCCTGGGAAGAACGAGCACCATGGTAACCGGAAATGGGAACACCCAAACATCCGCTGTCCACAGGTTTGCCGCACCCTTATAAGAGGTGGGCTAGTATCATAGCAGGTTGCCCCCATCCACTGGCGCGACTGGTGTGGCGCTGGGGTTGGGCCCTTTGCCGCGCCCCAGGACTTCGTTGCAGGATGCGACAAGGCATCTGTGCATTGAAGTGTGCAACAGGCCAGCTGAAGCCACGGTAAAAATTGGATTTGGAACCTGGCTGCGACTTATCTAATTATTTCGTGGAACAATTTTTCATGGAACAAATTGGTTGGCATATATATTTTCACATACTCCGCAAGGTTTTGTGATTTGAAGCATTGGGTTCAAGCTGCTGTTGCCAGCGATGGCAGATCTTGCTGCGCAGGTCCGGAGAGGACTTCGTTTTTGAGAACGATTGGTTTAGATATGGCGGTTGGCTCGCAACTCCTGCAGACCGTGGCTTGGCGGTTGTCATTCTATGGCCCGATTAAAACACTTGTATCAAATCAAGTCAAATCATGGAGTACGCAGGCGCCCTTGAAAACATGTAATCCACCGTGCGCTTTGTTTTCGGTGGTATCTTTGTTACCGCAGACCCCTATGCCCAAGCAGTGCAGCATTTGATATCATTGTTCTTGGCTGACGTCTCCGATTACCAAGGTGGTATGATGTGGTATGTATATTGTTGTGGTGACAACCAACTTCACCAGGCACAATTTTCTTCAACACCAAAGCGTTGATCAAAATGCCAGTGTTTTTTAGGTACACTGTTTAGAACCTACAATTTTTGGAAACCTCCTTGCCCCGGCGGTTCGTTCATCCCTAATGCTGTTGTGTGACCTCCTTACTGATGAGGTTTGCCTGCTGGTGCGAGCACAACTTTGAAACTTTGCATCTTGCCACTGCAGCTGTGGGACGGATTTTTCCTTTTGGGCGCAAACACCGGGAACGGGGGAAGGGAAGACTAGCCAATGGTGAGCCAGTCAGTTTCGGATTTGAATTAGGTCACTTTGACAGCAAAAAAATGTACTGTATACACGAACTGTACATTGCAGGGAAGCATAATATTGTGACACACGTGGATACGATGGTCACAAAATTACAAAACTAACAATTTTGTAACATGTTTAGCACAAAAAATACTGTGGCACTCTGTGGCGCCGTGCTTCAGCAATCAGCGCCGGTTCTTGTAGTATGACGTGAAACAGAAAACACGACACATCCCGCGGTCTCGTGGTGGTCATTGGGTTTGGTGGAGGTAATACCGACTACTTATATGGCATCAGCGGACTCTTCTGGTATGTCAACGAGTCGTGCCCTGCCTTGTCATCCAGCTCCACTGCCCGTGGCTCCTACTGATGCTCGTGATGGACCTTGCAACCACTAAGTGGGAACTGTTTCTGATTCGGTTTATAGGTTTATTGCCATACTTTAGCTGGCATTTTCGAACATTTCAGCCTCGTGATTGGGACTGCCAGGGACCATCGTAGTTTTGTATCAGACTGGGCCCTGCCCATCATGGCCTTGTGGTACCCCCCTTCCCACCCTGAGGAGCAGGGCATCACCAGTCGACGATTGAGGTCTGTCCAAAAATAGGCCATGCCCACGCAAAATGACAAATTTAGTAAGGAAAATGGTGACTTAGCATCAAATTTTGGGAGCTCTATCTTCAAACAACCCTATGGAAAACCTTATGAAAGTTGGAGGTACAGCGTCTACCTGAGCGTGGTGTTTTCTCATCCCATAACTGGACAGGTCGGGAGTCTTGGGGTGATCCTGGGCGTCTCACATGGCAAATTCACATATAACACATGTATCTCAGAACAATTTTGATTGAGCAGGGTACAGTGTACACTATATATATAGATATATAATGATATATATATATATATACATAATTATAGAATGGGCTAGCGCCCTGGTGCCGCCGACCCCCCTATTGGGGGTGGTCCGGTAGAGAGAGAGAGAGAGATCATTGCGCTTAGAATTGTGATGGCCGCCGAGGGGAGGGTTTGTGGAGTTTTGGCGAGTTTTGAAGGCTGGCAAGCGGCAGCCTGGGACCTCCGTAAAAGGACACTGCCACGGCCTCAGGAACTTGTTGGAGCTGCAGGAAAGGTCTGCCGCGGCCTGAGTGGCGCCTGGGAGCTGCAGGGGAGGGTTTGGCGAGTTTTGCGGGCTGGCAAACGGCAGCCTTGAACGTCCTTAAAAGGACACTGCCAGGGCCTCAGGGACTTGTTGGAGCTGCAGGAATAGTCTGCCGCGGCCTGAGTGGCGCCTGAGAGCTGCAGGGGAGGGTTTGGCGAGTTTTGCGGGCTGGCAAACGGCAGCCTTGAACCTCCTTAAAAGGACACTGCCAGGGCCTCAGGGACTTGTTGGAGCTGCAGGAAAGGTCTGCCGCGGCCTGTTGCATTTTGGAACGCCGTAGAAACAGAGATTGCTGTGGCATGAGTGGCTCGTGGGAAGTGCACAGAAATTGCTGTGGCCTGAGTGGCTCCTGGGCGGTGAACAGAGGGTGCTATGGCCTGGGTGGCTCGTGGAAAGTGCAAAGCATTGGGAACGAAAAAAAGTTCCACACCTGCGGTGGTCCCAGGCGCCGCCCCTGCCTTGGCTAAGGCGGGGTCGGCGGATATATAGTTCTATTATAGTTCTGAAAAGATCAGCAAACGTCATTTGCATTTTTGATGGGTACAACAGATTGTGTATCTCCCTAAAATGTAGCTTAATTTCGATGGAACATGGTGTAACCAGATTTGGTAAATATCAGATGGATAAATTTGGATCCACATTCGGTACGCCAGATAATTTTCCAATAACTTCTATATCTCCCCAAAGTAATGGGCAGAGAGTTCCAAGTTCCAAGTGACCTTTCTGCGACCTGGTGCAAGGTCACTTGATCAGTGAAATCATCGATCAGATTGAACTGCCAGCCTGTCATCCGAGTGAATTTCTGTCGGAACCCTCCCGGAACTGGACTTTAGGCACATGTTTTTGCAGGAAAACCAGGTCTTTTTGTGATCAACCACACTTTTTCCCGTAAATTCCTTTTAAACTGACCCAGAAACGGTTCAAGTATGTTCAAACTTTCTCTGTTGGCCAAGCACCTTCAATTTGGTGGGGCAAAACTGCATGGTTTCCTCTAACTGTTCCCTTAACCAATCCATTGACCAATGAACACCCGAAGAAATCTCCGATCTTTCCGCTCCAGGCTGCTTTCCGGGCCTTCTTAGGCGCAGCGCCACCCGAGCTACACCAGGAATGGCTGCAGGTGGGAGCAGGGAATGCGGGCTGATGCTTCATCTTTCCCACAAGTTGATGTTTTTTTTTTTCCAATCGTATCTTGGAAACCATTTTGGGGAAGGTTAGACGTTTTTATTGTTGAAACATGTTTCAATTTAGATATTTCGGTGGGTTCGTGGCTAAGCTAAGGGTGTGGGAAAAATCCATTCGAAAGCATCTGAATCATCATTCCCCCAATTTGTGTAGCTTCCAAAGCTTTCGGCTTTGCTGAAAAGTCACCTCATCTCACTCCCAGGCTCCACCCTTGGATTTCGACTGTCCCTTGCTAAAGGCCTGTCGACAGCGTAGGGGGCAAGCGACCTGGGATAAGAACATGTTTGGGACAGCCTCAAAAGAAGCGATAACTCCTGGGTATCCAAGTTATGGGCCAAATCGCCATTTTGCATCAAGAAAACATCTCAAAGATGGTCAGGCAGGTCAGACTTCTTGAACATTTCGTTGAAACTCAGATACATCAGATACTCACCGAAGCAACTTCCAGGGGTTGTTGTTCCACGTCAATCTTCCACTGTTGGCGCAGGTTCTATCCTTGGACCCCCGGCTGTCACGGATGGAGATCACTTTGCCTGAGGTCTTGCCCAGGTGAGGGAGCTGAATCTTACCAACAACAACTGTCACAGACCAAGAATGGCAACATAGCCACATATAGCCACCAAGTGTTTTTGGGCAAAACCAGAAATCATCGAACTTGCAGAATTCTGCAAACAAGAACTGTAGGTATGCTAGGATAGGCATATGACCAGCAAAATTGGTCGTTTGCATTCGTGGCATCCACATAAAAGGGCTGCCAATTTCGTGGCACTCAGAAGCTTCGATGTGCAGGAAGCTTTTCTTTTTGTGGGGTCAAAAACAATCCAGTAAGAAGAGCCCTTCTATCGGTGGCCAACTTACAGAAACGGTAGCATTCTAATAGAGGTACTGTGCCATATCAATCCATACCGTTGGCACGTGGCATCTGGTAGGTCCTTCCGATTTTAACAGAAAGCAGACGCACATGCCGAAACGTTGTAAAACAGCAAATTATGAGGTAAAAATAGGTATCATAATTCATAATTCACCATAATGATTACATATCAGTAATAATGGTGATGGTACCATTATGATACGTGGTATCATCACCATTCATCACCGACATCCTGGAGCCGTTTGAATAATCGCCAGGGTGACAGCCGTGACGGAGACGGCCATGGTGCCCCGGCGCGAGGCGATGGGAAATGGCTGATGTTCAGCCGATTGTCCCGTTATAGACCAGTATTGACCGGTTGGGGACTAAGAATGACTAATACAACCCATCAAAATATGGGATGACCATAAAAAACGCACAGAGATTTCACCAAGGAGGAGAGTTTCGTTGGAACAAAACCCCCCAACCAATGGCTTCTTCTCGGAGCAAAATTCCTGGCCGATCTTGGCATTTCCAAGTCTAGCAGAAATGGGTGGGTTGCTGTGCCCTCCCTAAATGGGAGGTTTACCCTCCAGTAAACTGACTAGATATCGAAACTCCAGCATCTACAGTGATTTACAGATCAAACCCCCGGTTTTCCATATCGTCTTGCGAATTTACTGGAGGGTATATCTCCATTACATCCCCATATGTTGATTCTTGACTCATTATCAAACATGTTGCTTAAATCCTTCAGGTTCTTCAAAGCGACCCTTTTGAGGTGGTTAAGTGACCCTTTTGGGGGTTAAGTGACCTCGAATTGGTCGTTTTATCAAGGTCACTTTGAAGAACGAGGATGTTCCATTGACTCATCATCAAATATGATTCAATATGATGACGATTAAATCACATACGTTAAATCATGTTCCATCCCCATTTTTTGTCAATTATCTTCCTACAGGAATTCCCAATGGCCTTCCGTAGATCTCTCATCTTGGAGGCGCTGGAGAAGGAACCCTCGGAGCCTGAGGCTGAACCAGGTGCCGAAATCCTCCCCCAAACTGGTGTTTTTTTTTTCTATCGGACTATGGGAAAAGATGGTGACCTCCTGGTGATAGAATGGTTTTTTCCAATGAAGATATAACCAGCCACCACGATGATCCATGATGTTAAAAATGTGTCTGAAAATGGGGTGTTTGTCCCCCCCAGCTTATGGCAAGTTTAAGAAGGAAAAACACCAGTGGGTGGAATGGGATCATTTTTTGGTGGGGAACTGTGTACATCAATAGATCCAATACGATCCAATCAAGCACCGGAAAAATTGGGGGTTGACTTTTCCACCTATACCCTCTGGTAATTTAACGTAACAGGTAAATCATCGAACTAAATGGGCCATCTATACCATAGCTATGTTAAATTACTGGAGGGTATAGCTATGGTCCACTCTTCATTCATCCATTATTTGGTGATTTTCCCATAGCTGGTGGGGGTCAGCAACGCTCCACTGGTGAGCTGCGTAGCTGCGTGCGTAGGTCTGTTAGATGCGACAAGACCTCGAGATGTGCTGGAAGGTCTAGGTTCAGGTCTCTCGACTGCAATGAACAACGCATGGGTTTGTATGAAAATCCGCTACCCGCAGATTTGATGGTGTATCATCATTTTCCTCCTTGAAATAGCAGTTTTGCGGGGGTATGAATGGTCTTCTACATTTTCTTCCGGTGCCGGAGCAGAAGAACCATTCCTGCAGAAACGATCGATTTCTCCAGAATTGTAGTGAAGATGATGATAAACTGGTTGGTGGTTTCATACATTTTTTATTTTTCCATAATATACGGGAGAATCCTTTCCATTGACTAACCACCAACCAGTAAACCATGACACATCAATATGGGCCAACGGGGGGTGCTGTTGCAGTACCCAGCTTGTGGGAGATTTGCAGTAGCGGCTGGGGATCCCAAATTTGCAGTCGGCTTTTGGGCTCCCCGAAAACTTTCATTCGAGTGTTGGAAAAAGCATTGCAAAGCTCAAACAACCCATCAAAGGAGAACTGTCTAGCTTTGGCAGACCGAATCCCAGATATAAATTGTTCACCAACTACCCTCTGCTAATCTAACAGCTTGCTATAAACAAAATCATCACTGAAATAAAAGCGGCACATCATCGAACTCCATGGACTGTAGCAACTTACAATAGCTTCGTCAGTTGGGATTATCATTCCGGATATTTCCATACTAGGAATCCATCAGCAAATCCGATCATATCCTCATTAAGTATGGCAATGAAAAAAGCCATAAAGCATTGCCATTGTATACCTGTTCAATTACCAGAGGGTATATTATCAATTACCATTATATACCATTATATACCCAGGAAATATCACCATTTTCCCTGATTATACTCTTCCGTTTTTCCTACTTTTGATGATCACATCTTGTATGTTTTCCCTAGTCAAATCATAATTTTCACCATATTTTGTGATGGCCATTTTCCTATGGTTTTCCTATGGTTTTCCCATTAAAACCTCCATTTTCCTATGGTTTTCCTATGGTTTTCCCATTAAAACCTCCATTTTCCTATGGTTTTCCTATGGTTTTCCCATGAACACCTCCATTTTCCTATGGTTTTCCTATGGTTTTCCTATGTTTTTTTTGAGGGCAAAAATCTCAACGGTCACGCGATCGACTGGGCCCCATCCTATAGGTCTCACCTGTGCGGGCGCCGGCTTCGCTGCTGGGGGTGCTGCGTTAGTGGCCATGCCGGCCGTGGGGCTGTCCGAGGCGCTGATGGTGATTCCTAGGGAGTTTAACCCCAGAAACATTGAAAGTCATTGATGGGAAAGGTGATTTCCACCTTTCTGGGTTTCTGACTCCCTATGGTCAATAAAAGACTCAATTGTTTGGTTGGTGATGATTCTTAGGGTAATTTAAATTTCATTAAGACTTTATTGGTTGGTTGGTGATTATAGTTCTTAACCAAGAAAAACATGAGGTTATTAAATGCAATTGATGGTGAAAAGATGATTGGTTGGTTATAGCATATGGATTTAGCAATCAACATACGGGGATATAAGTGTATGTAACTGATAAATGATGGTTGATTGATGATGAGTTCGGGGATTGTGATACGATCCATTGGGGGAATCTCTATCAAGTAGCCAGGATAAAGGGATGACAAAAAAGTATCCCTGGAACATAATATTCCCCATCTGTTCCCATCAGTCCTCAATTATACCACCACTCTTGATTAAGTCACTATTTTTCGATTGTCAAATCATCATATATCCCCAGTATATCCCCATGAAATATCCGCGTTATCCTATTGTTGGTTATATTCCCTTTATATCACAGTTATATTCCTTGTGTTCCCAATTCCCATATTTTCCCAATATTTTCTCATAGTTTCCCTCTATCTTCTGCTAGTTCCAATATTTTCCTACATCATATTTTCTGATCGTTTCCCAACATTCTCCCAGATTTTCTACATCTTCCCCACATTTTCCCAGAGTTGTCCAGCATTCTCCCAGGTCGTTTCCCACTTTGCCAGTTTTCCATCGTTTCCCCATGGGGGGTCTCCACCGCGCCCAGGCCGGCGTCCCAGGCTTCCTCCTGGGCGTTTTGAAAGGCACCGGCTGCGCTCTGGGGCTGGCCTTGGGCGGCTCGGCGGCGGGCTGTGCTCAGCTGCTGCGGGGCGTGCTCAACACACCGGAGGTGGGGATATGGGTTGGGATATGGGTTGGGTCCATGGGGATGTCTTGAGGTTGTTTTCTTAAGCATTTTCTTCATTTTTTGTGGGGGAGTTGGAGGTTTTTGGAGGATTTGTTTGGAAGTTCATGGCATTCTTTGAGATTGTTTTCTGTTTTGTTGGTTGGGGTTGGGGATGGGGGGGATTCAGGGATGGTGAGTGTATTGCGATGAACCCACTGTCTTGGAGTATCTTGGTCTTAGGGTAAACCACGGTGTAGGGTGTGGGTATAATTTCCCATGCCAGGATGGTGTTTCGAGGTTCCAGGGTTGTTGGGTTGATGAGATGTATTGGGGGAGTGGGGAATGTGGATCAAGCTAGATGATTCCTTTTTTCCTTGGGTTGGGGGATTTGGGAGTGGATCCATAAACTTTTCGACCTGGATCTGAGTTGCTGATTAATCCGTATTTTCCCATATACTGTATATATAGTTTTATTTGATGATCCTATACATATGATATATGATTATGTGTGTATATATATATTATGTACATATATATATAATTATGATTATATACTATAGATGTATGTGCAGATACTGTAAAATATTTATAATATGGGTGGATTCCTGAACTCAATCCTCACCCTGTGCTATGGTATATTTTCCAAAGAAAACACATCCACACTATAATTTGAATACAATACAATATACAGTACTATGAAATCATATGTATATGTATATGTATAAGTATACATGTACGTATACGTATACGTATGTGTATATGGATATGTATGTGTGTATATATATATAGTGTGGTATGTCTTCCATTAATTTCCATATACCTTTCCCCGATGTTCACGGAGCCAGGCCCTGCGGCAGGAGGGCCGGAGGCGTTGGGACACGAAGACGGGGCACTGGGTGGACGACTTCGTGGACTTGGCCGAGGAGGAATCCAAGGCCAAAAACTGAGCGGCTCAATGGTGGGATCCGGGTCAAACTCACATAGCTATAGAAAATGGCCATTTATAGTGAGTTTCCCATTAAAAATTGTGATTTTCCCATTAAAAATTGTGATTTTCCATAGTTGTGTTAGTTTACCAGAGGGTAGCTAAAGAAAATGGCCATTCATAGTTGGTATAATTACATATTAACCATGGTGAGTTTAGCAATGGTCAATTTACTACATGGGTTTGTCTGGAATTAGGATGTACCAATTATCGCATTCTTTTTTTGGCGGAAAATGATGATAATTGAAAGGATTTAGGGTTACACTATTTTCAGACAAACCCATATATAGGGTAAAATTCTAGATGGAATCCATATTTAAAATAATATATCCAAGTTCGGATAATCATTTTCCAAAGCCAGTCTTGTGGTTCCATGCTAGCTTTAGATGGGACCTGGAGTTCAGTGGTGACTGGAAGTGGATTCTAATCCATGAAACAGACCTCGTTATGTTTCAGGAAAGAACCCAGTTATGACCACCAGCTAACTAGATCCATTGCCCATCCAAGAACGGCACTTAAATCTGCTGACTCGACGTTTTCTTTTTGTCATTTTCCAATTGGCTAATCCGCCAGCAATGGAGAAACTGTTGTTCCTTTTTGTTTCCTTTTTTGGCAAGATCTTCTCAGCCAATTCAAGTATGTCAGCCTATGACTCAACCACCATATGGCTGAAAACCATGAGTTTTTCCTGCCAATCATCCTGGCTTTGGACAAAAAATGATGGGCCCTTCCGCTGGGCGCTGAGTGGAGGCGGCCGGTCTGTCGGAGGACATTGATTCGGATGAGGACTCACCACTCTTCGGAGGAGCGCTGAAAAAAGAGGTGGGAGCCAGAGATGGCCGTCTCAAGATGTGTGTTTTTTTGGGCATTTTCCAATTGAAACCTGTTATCCACCAGATTTCTGGGCTGTTGAGAAGACGATATCTACTAGACAGAAACACATGTGGCTTGAGCAACTCCAAGACATTGTCCGTTGGACCTCCCTGGTTTTTTTGGTCATGGAACGGCTCCAGGTGGTGGACAGTTCCTACTACGACATCTTGGGTGTGAAGCCCGGGTTGGGGCACCTCAGTAAACCCAATACCCTCTGGTAATTTAACATAGCTATTGAAAATCACCATTTTTAATGAGAAAATCCACTATAAATGGCCATTTTCAATAGCTATGTTAAATTACCAGAGGGTAAACCATCCCCAAGTCACCATGGCTTGATGGGATTAACCTACCATCCGCTGGGAGCTGTTTATGGCACGGCAATGGAATCCATTGGTCATTGAGCACACATGGAATCTGCTACAGCTGGAGGTCCCTCCCTCAGGAGATCAAGTTGCTTGGCTCTGCAATACAGGGTCTACCCCGCAATTGAATGCAGAAATCAGAGAAATCCACCGGGTAAAACCGGTGGTTTTTGTTCACCAAGAAAAGTCAATCCACATCTGGCGAGGAAAGCCTACTACAAGGCTGCTTTGCAGGTTCACCCCGCGTCTCGGCCAAAGGGGAACCACAGCCCTTGGACATGCTGCGATTTCCTATGAATTTCCAAATGTGGGTAGATAATGGTAGATGGCTTCAAAATGCTTCAAATATGTCAAGCATTCCATTTTTGAAACTGATCACATCTTCTCACTGTTGTGCCTTTGAAAAGAGACCCCAGCACTGTGGCCACGTCCCTGGCCAGGATAAGAATCCTGGAGATCAGGACCTAGTGGGCAGAAGGTTGGGTGGATCTGCATCAGAATTGGGGCACCCATGGACAATGGTCCCACCAATAGCTGGTCAATTTGACCGGTCAAAGATTTTGAGCCGACCCAAGTGGAATGGATTCTGTCCACCCGGACCGGATGTTCCAGCCACATTTGATCTCCATGAATCTCCATGGATTCCATCCATTTCCACCTCACATTCCAAAGGTCACAATGCCTTGGGCCTTCCAGAGATTTTGGTGATTCTTTATAGATCTTTATAGTATTGCCCATCCATTTTTGAGTGCAACCATGCGCAACCGCAACCAGGGTGGAGTAGGCTCTTCTCGTAAATTTCAGCTAGAATTCAGAAAACAAACTACACAGCTATGCCTATACAGTAACCCCAAATTAGATGCAAAAGTGATTTGTCACTATTTGAATAGGATTTCACTTTTCGGATCTTTTTGGCATCTTTTTGGGGGTTACCCTTTGCCACAGCTTCAGTTTCTCTTGCACTAGTATCCAAGTGTCCGCCAGATTTACAGGACACGTTTACCCCTGCCTATATAGGGACAGATAGGCTTATATACTATATTCCCCAAAAAAACTTTTCAAGTAGAGATTTTCCCAACCGAAAATCCCATATTACTAGACACCAACAACTTTCATGTTGAACTGTCAATGTCCCACAAAAAAGGACCATAAATTCCGGTAAGAAGACACAGCAGGAGGCGCAGCAGCGTTTCCAGCAGCTGGCAGATGCCTATCGCATCCTCAGCGATCCGGAGCTGCGTGAGCGCTACGATCAGCTGGGTCGCAAGGTCGAGGAGGGCGTCATCGATGCGCCCTGTGTGGATCCGCTGCTCTTCTTTGGCATCCTCTTTGGCTCGGAACAGTGCCACTTGATGAGTTTTTTTCACAAAGCCCAAAAGATATTAGGAGGTTTTCCTGAAAAAAATCAAGGTCAAAGACTTGTAGTGGTAAATTACACGTTTTTTTGGGAGGTCATTCTTGTCGGTCATTGTGGAGGTATTATCTTTGTGGGTTCATTACATTTCATTACTTTTTCCGGCAAATTTCGATTTTTCGAACACATTGATATCCCACGAACAATGGTTTTGCTTGCAGTAGCTACGGTTGGCTATCGGGACTGCACTGCTTTTAAACGGACCAACAAGCTGCAGCGGGTGTTGTGCCGAGGCGAAAGATATATTGGCAAACTTTACCTGGCGATGCAAACAAACCAGTGCCTTGGCTGCCTTGAAATCCGGGGGCCGCATAGTGTGAGAGAAGTGCTACTCGAATTTCACAATATATATATATATATATAGATATAACATATATAGTTATATATAATATATATATAGTTATATAATATATATATATAGTTATATAATATATATAGTTATATGATATATATAGTTATATAATATATATATAGTTATATATATAATATATATATAGTTATATAATACACATATATATAGTTATAGTAATATAATATATATATAGTTATATAATTATGATATATATATATATATCAATTTATAGTTTGGGATGCTGTGAGAAAGGAGGCCCGAGAACGCCACGGGTAGGGCATAGCACAAGGGCTGATATGCTGAGCTGCTGACTGGGCAGTTCAAAGCTGGACTCAGATCAAGCTTCTTATAGACTGCCACTCTTTCTGGCTGCTTCTCAACTGGATGTGTCTGGAAATTTTGCCCCCACCCAACTCTCATGGTTCATTCAGACTTCAGAGACTCGTTCTACCCAGCAAAATTGGGCATGAAATTTCACCAACCAAACCCAAAAAAATCGATGGTTTTAGATCCTCTCCCTCCAGTAAACGTTTCCATAGCTGCGAGATCAGTTTCGAACGGGAAAATGAGGGATTTCCATGGAGTTTTTCCTGTGTTTCCTAGGGTGGCCAAAGAACTTCAACGCGGGCCCTCCGAAAAGGTCAGCCATGCCACGAGGGAGAAGAAGCTGCTCGGTGGCAGGTTACATACAGGTTACAACTGATGAAGATATGAAACAATTAGGGGAAACCCTCCAAGATTTCATGGTGAATTAACATAATTCCATGATCATTTCCCTGGTTAGTGGCCATTTTGGGGTATACCCTATTTTCAGACAAACCCATACGGCCATGTTGAAAACATGTTTTTTTGCCATAGAAGGGGATGGTCATGAATGCATTGATAGGGACTTTTCATATACCCACGCTGCAATGACCAGAAACCAACAAGAAGGGTGTAACTTGACCATGGCACCCCAATGGACCAATGGAACATCATCATGATTTCCTCCCCTTGTGTGGCCATTACGGGAGCTTACCCTCTGGTGAACTGTCCCATAGCAATGGAAAGATCCACCATTTTTCATGGGAAAATCCACTATTTCTATGGCCATTTTCAATTGCTATGTTAGTTTACCAGAGGGTACTTGTTTGAGGTGTCAAACACACGAAACAAACAAACAAAAAAAAAAATCCTCGATTCTTGCAGACAGTCGAGGAACGAGAAGCAGCTGCAGCAGCGGCAGTTCCTGCGCGAAGTGCGCTGCGCACTGCACTTGCGGAGTCTCCTGGATCAGCGCCTTGGACTGGGATGGAGGGATGGAGGGATGGTCGCAGCAGAGCACGACATTTTGGGTGACTTGAAGCTGGTTTTGTGAAATTGGAGAACTTGGGGTGACTTTTTATGGCAAGTTGGTAACTATGATCAATGATACGCAAGAGAACTAAAACTACAAGTGAGATTAAGCGAGTAACTAAATATATGTATATATATATATTATGTATAATATGACATGTGTAACATTATATAAAATGATGTAGCCATACATTTCCCAAGATCAAAGTCGAGAAGGATCATAGGTAAAAATCTTTCGTCTCAGGTGGGCTGTTCGCCGAGATGCCATTGACTTCACCAAGAGTATCTCACACGAGGCGGAGCCGGACGAAGCGAAACGTGAATCGCTTACGGATGAATCATCCAGTCATATTCCAGTCATATTCAGTTATATCAAAAAGTATACCAAACTTAGTTATATTATCCAGTTATTCTATATATATATAGTTATACTATGTTCTACTTTATCCAGATATATCCCCTGCTATTCACTTGCGCGTTCAATGCAGGCCAGCCTCCTGGCACGCTGCAGTTTCGGGTCCAGGTGGCAAGTGAGGGTGGAGGAGAAGTAACAAACAGTAATTTATTAACTATCTATATATTGATCTTAGTATTCGATTTATAGTTTTTTTTTCTAAATAAGTTATTACTATTTTCAAACACAACGGACGCGAGACTTCGTCTTTTAGGTCCTGGAAGTGTGATTTGCATCAAGAAAACATCAATGAACTTCTGGAAGTCGGCTTGAGACATCTTGAGACCACTCTTTCTGAAGCGGAAGACCCCTGTATTCGTGACATCTGAAACCTGTCAGCCAGAGGTTGCTGAGTGCCATTGGCCAAGCGTATCAGAGCAGCGCAGAAGAGTTCATGTCAGGCGCGGCTGGTCATACCTGGTCGTAGCGTAGCAGACGTGGACTTGGAAATGATGCTAGTGAATATGGATGAATATGGGTAAATCCACTGGTGAATCCGAAACATCGCTGGTGAATTGGTTGATGTCCCCATTTTATGGCCATTTTTTTGGTGGAAGTTCTGATTCAACCAGTGCAGAGGTTTGCAGGTGGTTCTGTTTTGCTGTAAAACATCGGTGTTGGGATGCAGGACAGTGACATTTCCCAACCGAATCCAAGAGTCAATGGATTGGTTTTGTTGAGAACATCTGAACCGGAAACCCATGGGTTTTTACATGTTTTTACCATCAAATTATAGGGGTTTCCTGTAAATTTTCCCATCCAATTCTATGAAAAAGAAACATGGGGAGAAATGGACGGGGCGATCTCAGCACCTCGGCACGACGCACGAGGATTGTATGGACCTCTGACCCTGGAAGCTCAACTGACTCGCTTGAGCTCCAGCTTCCAGGCGCCTTAAGGGGAAGAAATGGATGACCGGTATGATAGAGATGGGTACCCTCTGGTAAACTGTCCCATAGCTATGGAAAATCACCATTTTTAATGGGGAAAACCCACTATGTCTATGGCAATTTTCAATAGCTATGTTAAATTACCAGAGGGTAGAAGCCATTTTTTTAGCCAGACTTTTGACATACTTGCTGAAAGAATCTGAAAGACTTATTGACTTTAGAATGATATCGGATGCGAATTACAGGTCACTCTTTTTGTTTGCGATGCCATGGATAAATCATAAGTTTCCCCATTCCCTTTGGTCAAATCACGCATTTTTATGCTCAAACCCCCGTTTCTGTTGCTTAGAAATCGCTGGTTTTAATGGTTTTAGTCTCCATTTTTCTCGATTAGGCCCTCGAGTCTTGATGCTTACAACTTAATACCACCTCCAATTTTCGAGCAGCTGAACTGTTATCCCATTGTCCCTCATTGTATTCTTAATATATATTATATATATATACATGACATTCCATTAATATCCCATATAGAGATATATATATCCCATAGTAAGTTGCTTATTATGTTGGTTGTTATCTCATCAGATCCCATTCTCTCCCATTCTCCAGCCATTTGTGTTTTTCCAGAGCCCCGCAGGACACGCACATGAAAACTGCCGTGGGCCTGAGCCTGGCCAAAGCGGCCTATGCGGCCAACGCGGTCTGCGCTGAAGCGGCTGAAGCGGTGGCCGCTGCCAGCACAGAGTGGCACGCGTCAGGCGCGTTTCGTGGCTGCGGTGAAAAGGTTCAAGGCAAGTTGTCGTTTGTCACTAGGCGAATTTTATGGTTTATGAAAGTTGATGGTAGATATATGATATATCGAAGTAATTATAGTGAATGGAGTTTATAAAGCAACTGATAAAGGCAGGAACACCACATTGCCGGGATCATGGTCCGAAACAGAAGTGGGATTCAAAATATAGCGATGATGACGATGATGACGATGACGATGACGATGACGATGACGATGATGATGATGATGATGTTGATGATGATGATGATGATTATGATCAAAATCAGGACAACCGGATTTGCAGCGTTTTGCCTCTTCTTTGATCCCAGGGGATGGCGTTTCTGAGTCAGATTCCGCAGCGAAGAGTGTTCCCGTGTCTTGGTGACAGTACTGGTTGACGTGGAAATGGAGATGGAGATTTTGACCATAGATGGGGATGGGGATCTGAAACAGAAAAGATAGATTTGATTCCTGTAGTAGAGTTTTCGCTAGTTTTGCTTACACAGCTATTCACATGTGCATATGCATTGTGGATGTACACAGCCACGCATCTGCTAAGCGGGAAGTGTCTCAGTGCAGTGGGACAATCATAGAAGGGTGGGTGAAATCTGCCTCAGATTTCCTGCCTCAGCCAGAAACCCAACCCAGTTAGGCTTACCCAACTGGCTGGTTCCCGGGTTCCCGGGTTCCCGCAAGGCACAAAGAGGTGGCTGCTTCAACGACAGCTTGGAGGGCAAACTCCCAGTTTCTCGGGCAACTGGTTGATTTCTTGGGGATCAGTTGGGATGCCACCAACCTACAGTAGATATCAGTAGATTAGATTTGCAAATGGGATCCCATCTGATGGCTAATCTAGCTCATCAAGTATATAATATACGTGTGTATATATATATATACATACATAAATAAATATCGATCCTGTGGCTTAGGCTATGGAGACCACATGAATTCCATGAAGAGAGGCTTGCAGTCACCTTTCTAAAGGCGCCCGTGTGGCCTCAGGTTTTCCTACAGACGCTTTGGGATGTTTGCCTATTGGACATCACCTCGACCCTGAAGAATGTCAGTGGCAAGGCCGGCTCTGGCAATCCAAGGTGAAGGCCACGGCCACGGGTGTTGGTCCACACCATTTCTTCTTTTGTACCTAAAGAAATCCAATTCATGCCAATTCTGGTTAAATGACATGATCAATTTGTTCAAACACATTTTCTATAGGATCCAGGAATCCATCCCCCGAGAAGGAGATTGAAGATATGCAATTGTTGGCACAGTGGATCAACATTTCGACTGGCGTGGGTTGCATCCACTTGAAAGATCATCCCACTTAGTGACTGGGTGAACTAGCCTCGGAAACGACAAGCAGGCAGTGACTTGTTGGGTGGATACCCCCATTGTGCCCCCGAATCCCATGGGTTTTACCATAGCTTTTCCGCCATTTTGTGATGGTCACCGTGGGGGTCCAACCCCTAAAACGCCCAGGTGCTGAAGGATGTGAGCGTCCCCTGGCAGCTGCGACTGCGCCGGTGCCAGGCGCTGCTGCACGTGGCGCGCAGCTTCCAGGCGCATGGCGCCTGCGAGGATCGGAAGGTGGGAGACATGCGGAGGGGGATGGAGGGGGCCATCAATGAGGGTATTTGATGGATCTGGGGATGCATAAGACTCATAAGCTATATAAGTATATGTATATATATATAGATAGATCCAAGTTGACCGTTGTGACCCCGGGAACTAGGGAAACATTTCTATAGGCTTGGGCCTCGTCTTACGACATGCTCCTGTAGCATCTTGGCTTACCAGCCTTGCTGCCTGGCCTGGGCCAGTGTCGCCGGGGAAACCCGTGTTACCTGGCAGGAGCCAGAGAAGGAGAAAGAGAAAAGAAAGGAGGAAGGCCCCTCACCCACTGAATGCCAGGTAAGTGGGTGGGGGGCCGAGGGTCACTTGCCTGCCCGACAAAAAGGCAGCTGATAGAGGCGCATGTCCATGATGATGAAGGTCGTCCTCAGGGGACAGTCTTCTTAAGAGTCAAGCGCCTTTTTGGGACAGGCAGCACGGGACGAAGCATCCTGTGCGACTACGTGACCGCATCAGACCCCTACTACAGGTGGTGGGTGAGTACGGATGAAGGAGTCGGGACCACCGTAGACGGCCTCTACCATCTTTGTAGCGGAGACCCCACCAAGTGCACAGGAGGAGGCAAAGATGAGAGAGTGGTGCACCTGGGCAAGTGGAGGACTTGGACTGAGGCCGAACTGACGGAAGGAAAAGCTGAACACCTGGAGACAGCTGCGCAAGAACAGCTACTTAGGTATTTCAAAGCTGCCGGCCACCGGCCGGGGGGGGCTGAACCTGGAGGCTGACCCTGGGAGGAGGGCCCCTTGAGCATTGCAAAAGAGGACAAGAAAAAGGGCGCCCGCCCGCGAGGCGGAGATGACGACAAAGAAAAGGAGCGTAAGAAGGCTAGGATGGCCCGCCTCCAGCAGGAGCTTGACGCCCTCCGAGTCGAGGTGATGGGTAGCGAGGACGAGGCAGCAAAGCCCAAGAAGAAGAAAAAGGAAGAACGAAAAGGGCGCCCAGCCGCCCCTGGAGGAGGTCGTTCGCCCAGGGATGTCTTTAAAGGGGCCGAGGTCAAGGGCCACATGAAACCTGATAGGAAGGGCGATGAACCCGAGTCCTCCTCTTACGGTTCAGAAGATGAGGAGTCGGACTTCGAGGAGCCTCTGACAAAGAGAGAGAAAGAAAAAGAGCGCGCCATCAAGAAGAAGGCTGCGGCCGTTGCCGAACAAAAGAAGGCTAAGAAGGACAAGCAGAAGAGAAAGACTGGGCGTGACAAGGAGGGGAAGCGCGACAAGAAGCCTGTTAGAAGGGCAAAAGATCGTGGACCCTTCGGTGTAGCCCCATCAGAGGAGTGGGAGGAAAGGAAAGTCAGAAAAGACGATGAGTCCCACGAGTCAGGTAGTTCCAGTGATGACTCGTCTTTTCAGAAGGCCCCCTCGTCGAGATCTCACCACCTGAAACTGGTGAGGTACGCGAAGCGGTACCCAGGGAGGTTAGCGGCCCGGTTGCTGAAGCGCATGGAGAGCGCGACCGGGTTCGGGGGTGGGGCCGAAACAAAACCGCGTCAGACCGGGAAGCCACTCCAGCCGGTGGCACACATGTACTACCTGGCCATCATGACACCTCACATGAGAGATCGGTGGACTCAACGAACCCAACGCGAGTTGAAGGTGGCCACCACCCTGCTCGATCTCATGGTGAGCGGGCAGGGACCGGAGGCCGCAGACATACTAGCCCAACGGATAAAAGCGTTGGAGAAGTCAGTGTCGGACAACAACCAGTGGTTCTGATAGACCAAGGAGAAGAGGATATGATGACTCGGGAGGCAGATCGAGAGGAGAAGGCTCGCCGAGGGCCGAGCTGGGCCGAAGGCGATCCGTGGAAGAAAGGCCGGGGCAAAGGCCAGTTTGGCCAAGACCCGAGGAGGAAGGGCCAGGACGGCGCGAAAGGAAAAGGGAAGAAGGGGAACCCAGCCGACCAGGGGACCCCCAAGAAGGGCGAAGGAGCGCCATAGTCGGAGATCCGCGGCCGGGAAGTCTCGCTCCACCCGAGCCGGAGAAACCCCCGCGCTCTAGCAAAGGAGACAAGGAGCAAGAGGGCCACGATGGGCTACGGATATCATCTGAAGAAGCCGCGCCCGGGGTTTTCCCGGAGGAAGGAGGCGAAGGCGCCCCATCCCGAAAAAGGCAGAGGCACGACAACAGAAGGGACTTTGAGAAGCACATCCTCAAGGAGTTGCTTCAAGGAGGGATCCCTATAAAGAAGGTAGGAAAGAAGATCTTGGAAGCTTTGGGGCTCTTGCGGACGAGATTTGGGAAGCTTGAGGAAGCGTTGGATGAAGGTGCAATCGACGCGACCAAGGCGCCGGGGCCGGCTGCCCCAGACCTGCTTCCCATCTCGGTGGCCGCCGTCCGGGAGGCGATATGGCTCTCTGACAGTGAAATTCGGGACTGGATGGCGTTGGCCTGCCTGTGCCTTAATTTCTGGTACTGCACAGGGTGGGATCGACCCACGCACACCGCACACCCGAGAGTTCTGACCGGTGGTCAGAAAGACTTTCTTGTGACGCACCTGCAGCCGGCAATCGAGCGCATGGTTGAAGGTGATCCAGTGTTGCCCTCGTACGAGGAGTTGGAAAGCGCCCTGTCAGCAAAGGGGCAAGACTATGCCGGGAACTCTTGGGTGGTGATGGAGCAATTGGAAGCTGAGAAAGTAGCCCGGTGCTGGCCGGAGAAGGGGCGCGCAGCGGTTCAACCGTTGGTGAAGTTCCTCAAAGGAGATACAAAGGAGCAGGTGGAAGCACCGTGGAAAACAATCCTTCCCTTCAGCGAATGGCCCGATGACATCCCGAAATCTTATGTTAGGGCCACCACTGAAGAATGGGAGAAGATTGTCACAGAAGGGTTCGCTCGAGGACTCTTCCAGGCTTGCCCAGATGAAGAGGTTTTGAGAGGGCCCACTGGCGAGAAGATCCTGATATCCTCGTCGACTCGGAGGACCTAGAGTCCGCCTTCAACCTTTTCGAAATGCCATTGGGTTGGAGAGGTTTGTTTTGTTACGAGAAGAAGGTCCGAGGAGATCTATTGGGTTTGCAAAGCCAGGACGAGGTGTTTGTGTCTTTGAAGACCGTCCCTATGGGATGGATATCGGCGGTGGGCGTGGTGCAAGCAGCCATTCGCCACCTGGCCTTTGACATAGCAAAGCTGCCCCTCGATGGAGAGCTCCAAAAAGAGCAACCCATACCCGAGGGTGACAAGTTCCTCCTCTACCTGGACTCGGTAGACCAGTTGAGGATTGTGGACAAGACCTGCTTAGCAATCCTGGAGGGGTCGCCGTCTGTCGACCACGAACGGTTTGAGGAGGCGTGCATAAAAATGGGGCTTCCCAGAAATCAAGGGACGGCTTTGGCAGGCGCCCTTCGCGGAACTATCCAAGGAGGAGAGCTCAGAGGCGATGAGGGAGTGTACATGTTGCAGCCGAAGAAGCTGCATCAGAATGTGGGCTTTTGCTTAACCTTGCTGGCTACCCAAGGGTGGAACCAGAGGAAGACCTCAGGAATAATCGGGCGCCTCATCTTTGCGGCGGCCTTTCGCAGGCCGTTGTTGGCCTGCCTGGCCGAAATCTTTCATCATTTTGCAGACTCAACAGAGCGTACACCATCAGATCAAGTGTATGATGAGGTGCTCGGCTTTTTGGGCCTCCTGCCCTTTGCCTACACCAACCTGCGGGCCCCAGTCAGCCCAATGCTTCACGCGACAGATGCTTCGCCGAGCGGAGCCGGGAGTTGCGTGGCCAAGCAACTGAAGAGGGAGCCAGGGACAGCTAGCTCAGCAGACCTTCTCTGTGCTCGCTGTAGACGCAATATCACCGAGCTAATGGCAGTGGCGGAGGAGATTGACTGCCCAAAGAAGTGCGGCAGCCACTTTTGCAGCCTGGAGTGTTATTTGGAACACAGAGACGCGTGTCCGTTATGGAGGCTGGGGGTCCCATGTTTTAGTGAAAGATGGAGTGGTCCGGAAGCACCGCTCACCAAAGCAATGCTGAAGCGGGGCTTCGACGTAGTGGCGCCCTTTGATGTGAAGAGGGATCGCTCCATGGATTACTTTACAGATGAGGGAAAGCAGGTGTGGAGTGACCTGGAACAGGAGGATCCCGACTATGAACATCATGCCCCGGACTGTAAGACGTTCTCGCGGGCTAGAGGGTGCCCTTTTTACATTGATGGCCAGCGCCATGATGGGCCACCTGCCCTCAGGGATGAGAGGAACGTGATGGGATTCCCAAATCTGCGAGGTGAAAATGCCGTCAAGGTGCGGCAAGGGAACAAAATGGTGATGGCTTCTGTGAGGAGATGTGAGGAGCTGTATGACCAGGGAAAGTATTTCAGTTTTGAGCATCCCTACAGAAGCCTAGTCTGGTACCTCAGGCGGCTCAAAGACCTGGCCAACCGCCCCAATGTGCGCATGGCTGTGTTCAGCAATTGTTGCCACGGGGGAACCCGTGAGAAATGGACAGCGGTGCTGACCAACAACCGCAGTATCTTCGAATGTTTGGATCAAAGAGACTGCCCACATGGTGCCGGTGAAAGCTATCAGCCGTATTGGGAAAACGGCAGGATCGTGTATCCAACAGAGGCCGAAGCACAGTATCCAGCTGAGCTGTGCAGTCGCTATGCTGAGGGGGCAGCCATCAGCATTGGCCTGGACCAACATGTGGAGGCGGCACATGCCGAAGCTCGCAGGGAGGTGATTATGCGTGAGCTGGCCGCCTATCACCGATGTGAGGACCTGGAACTTCGCCGCCGCATGGCGTGTACCATCTTAGCGATCGAGAAGACCATGAGACCGGGTCAGGAGCAGCAGCATATGAACTGGCTGCTCTCAAAAGGGCACTACAGGGGGTCGGATGTCCGCCTGTTCTTGGAGCATCATGGTGCCAAGCACTTGGTGCCCTACCCAGCGCTGCGCTGGTTGTGGCGCGAGACCCTTTCCTTCAAATGGAAACGGGAGGCCCATATCAATGTGCTCGAAGCACAGGCTCTTTTAGCCCATGTGCGGCGAATGTTGCGTGATCCCTCCATCCGCAGCTGCCGCATGATGGTGGTAGTGGACAGTCAAGTCCTTTATTACGCCCTTGGAAAAGGGCGTTCCGCTTCCTCCCAACTGAACCGCATCCTCAGGCGCCTCATGGCGATGGAGCTTGCCGCAGACATCGCACTGTTTCCAATTTGGACAATCAGCCCGTGGAATTGGGCTGACAAACCATCTCGCCGGGCATGACAACCCTGCAATTTGCCGGGCTTAAGCCCGTGACGGTGCGAAGTTACAGGCAAGCGTTAAGACGGTTCTTTAAATGGTTGGAAGCAGAGGAAGAGCAAACACCCGCCACCTATAGTGCGCTGGATCGCCTGCTCAGTCACTATTTGGAGCATATGTGGTTGGACGACGAGCCAATCATGTATGCTGGACACCTCTTGAGTGCCCTATGGCGGTTTTTGCCGGAATCGCGCTGGTGCATCCCGAGAGCCAAGCAGTATTTTGCCAACTGGCAAACTACCCATGTTTCACATCCAGCAGCTCCTTTGCCCGCTATGGCGGTGTTGGGAATGGCAGGTTTGGCGATGTCCACTAAGCAGCCCAAAGTGGCTGCCATCCTGCTGCTGGGCTACCTCGCCTTTTTGCGTACAGGGGAGATGGTCCAGCTGTCCACTGCCAAGATCACCGTGGATTACCCACGCGGTCGGATTCTGATTGCTCTGCCCGGAACAAAAACCTCGCGCGGGAGGGAGGAAACCGTGTGTGTGGTTGATGATCGGGTAGCAGCTTTAGTAAATTCTTTATGTCAGGATCCGTCTTGTACCTCTTTGTGGCACGGAACTGCCTCAAGTTTCAGGGCTTCGTTAGCTGAATTTTTCACCTTCTTTTCACTGCAGGAATTCAATTTTACGGCTTATAGTTTTCGCCGTGGGGGGGCTTCACACGCCTTTGCCACGGGGGTTACTTTCGATGAACTGTTGGTAAAGGGCCGTTGGCAGAATGCACGCACTGCACGTTTGTATCTGGATACAGGTAGAGCGGCCTTAATTCAAACTCGTTTTACCCCCCCGGCTGCCCACCTCTTAGCACGCTACGCAACCAAGTTGCGCGTTTTTTGCGATCAACTGCGTTAGAGGCGCACTGCTTATGTGGGAATTGTGCTTAGGTGGGAAATGTGCCTTAATGGTAAAGGGTTGCCTGTACCGTGTGCTGGTACCGCCAGGCCAAGGCCTGCGTATCGATGTACAATAGCACGTGAGCGTTGTACGATAGAGTGGGATCACTCGCTGTGACCCTTAGGCACATTTGACAGCCTTGCCTTGGTCGCTAAAAGTGGCATCTGTGCCTATAGATCCAAGTTGACCGTTGTGACCCCGGGAACTAGGGAAACATTTCTATAGGCTTGGGCCTCGTCTTACGACATGCTCCTGTAGCATCTTGGCTTCCCGCCTCCCTCCCCTTCGCCTGCTGTTTTGGTGCAGTGTTGCTAACCGCCAGGTCTCCTGGATAGGGGTGGGCGTGGCTGCCTTAATGGTAAAGGGTTGCCTGTACCGTGTGCTGGTACCGCCAGGCCAAGGCCTGCGTATCGATGTACAATAGCACGTGAGCGTTGTACGATAGAGTGGGATCACTCGCTGTGACCCTTAGGCACATTTGACAGCCTTGCCTTGGTCGCTAAAAGTGGCATCTGTGCCTATATATATATATATATGTATATACTAATATGATCTAATATTGGATGTGGGGGGATGGAATGGGCCTTGGTTTCCTTGGTAAACATGATGGACATTCTACAGGGCATGTTTAAAGGGATCTGGGTTTACATCCTCTACATTGGCGGGTCAAAAATGTGACATGGAGGGTTTCAAATCCTGACAATGACTGCAGCCAGAAATGTGGAAAAAAAACAGGGTACCGCAATGACTGCAGCCAGAACGCCCTTTCCAGATTGTTTTCCCACAAGTTCTTTCCATTAAAACACCAATTTGCAGGGGATCCCAATTGTGATTCAGACTTTTCGGTTGAAACCGCCAAAGCTATCTAAACCAATTAACCAACATATATTTTGCAGTTTATTCCCACTTTGAACCCATTTCTATGCCAAACAAAACAACGACGAACATGCTGCACGGTAGGTGGCGGTCCCCGACGCCAAGCGACTGCTAGAGGATGCATTAATGGGACGAAGGAGCAGTAGAAGCTGCTTGGATTATTTGAGCCTCTAAAAGGTGAGGCCAGGCAGATGTTTCTTGGTTTAGTTTCACCTCATGAGCACGATATATATATATATACATACACACACATACATATTATACAATAATACATATTGTATATATACACATATATTATATATATTACTGTTTTCAACCTAAAGGTGAAACATGGTTTCACATTTTTTTGGTCAACTTAGCTATCTAGGCAGCACCTTGTGGTAAATCAACATAGACCCCTGCCCAAGAATGGCTCGGAAGATTCACGTCCCCGAGGTCGTGCGGATAGCACTGAGTCCTGAGCCCAAAGTGGCGGGGGGTTTTCGGCTAAGTTGTTGATTTAAATCTTGATTTTCATCTCAGTTTTCTAAGGTGGGTCAAACTTGGATGGGTTGTTTAGGAGAAACATGGAGAAACCAAGCTTGCCACAAGTGGGGTGTAGATGGATTATATATGTCTATACCATTGTTGTTGGGAACCTGAAATCTATCACCACACAGATGATTTGAATAAATCATCCTCATGACCAAGTTATTGTTCATGTTGGTAAATCAACTGGTCACCATGTGCTAGTCATCCTGCTAGTCCTTGGGAGTGTGGTTGCAGATGTGACTGCAGCACTCCCAACAACTTCAAGTTTCAACGTCAAGTTGTAGCCCTTCAATCTCTCTGTTCCCAGGGCTGCCAAATTGATGTCCAAAGTGACATCCAGGCCACTGCTGGGCCACAGACGGCCGTTGCGTGGACCCATTGCTTAGACTTTATTTTTGAGGTTTCAAACGATGTGCCATCGCTGCCCTGCTGGTTATTTTGTTGATGGGCGGATATGGGCGGTGAACTCTTACGAGGTCGCCCGTTTTACAGATTTGTGCCGCTGAAAGACCCACTGCTGGGAATTCCGGGTTGATGATTGAAGGTGAGTTTGACTGACTTTTGACCTCCTAGCTAGCTTTGTTTACTGAGAAAGATGAGAAAGTGTGGTGGTACATGTTGCTTGCATGCATAGGGCCATGTGTCAGAGCCCAAGTCGAAGTATGTGGCTGTTTTCTTGGGGGGTTCGCAAGGTTGTTCATGAGGAGAATATCACCCTTGGACTGCTGCTCTGGTGCACCAAAGGTGTACAAACAACATGGGAGAGTGGAACATAACCAGGTGGAACTCATTGGACATCAAAAGCGGTTCCGCTCGTGGAACCCGGCGAAAAAAATGCAACACTGCCAAACTACCGTTCCTACAAGTTACTACTGCTCAGAACCTGTGCGCCCCAGACACCCGGAAGAAATACTGCAACTCGCAAAATTCAACTTGCAGACAAAGACACAGCTGCATGCAGCAAAGACTGGAGCATCGAAATGACTTCGAATAAACTGCTTCCCCAAACAGCTTTAGGCCACAAAGTCATGGCCATGTTTCGTGCTCCTTTGGCGGCCGCAGTGCAATGGTCCAGCCCCACTCCCAGCCGCCCAAGCGCTGAGGGTGCCGTAGGCCGCGTTTACAGCAGCGCCGGGCAGCACACAACGGGCGGCGGACCAGGAGCGCCCGCGGCCTACGCCTGCGGTGCCGCCCAAAACCTGCAGGCTGCCCCTCCCTCCGCAGCGCCCCAAGCGCAGCAGCCGGCGACGGCGCCAAACTCGGAACGGGGTGCGGAGACGGAGCGGGAGATGGAGCGGTTGCGGAAGGATCTGAGGAAGACAGAGGAGAAGGCGAACTTCTTTCGGAACCAAGTGCTGACCTTGCAACGACAGGTACGGCTCTGAAGGGGGGGAATGTGAAGGGAGTTTTTGACCTTTTGAGGTTTGGGGGGTGAAGGCAAGACGCACTGTGAGAGTGTAGGCTTGTGTGGTCACCATCAAAAATGGCGGAGTCAATCAACAAAGATCATTTACACATAATTTAATCATTCAAAAGATCCAAAAAAGAGCAGGGATATCTAGAATATCTAGACTGGTTGCATGTTTATCCCATTTTATCCCCCTGCCAGGTGTCCTCAATGAGTTCCCCCATCATGGCGCAGCAAGATGCTACCGCGCTTCCAGAAGAGCTGGGGAGGCTGCGCCAGGATGTGGCGAGTTTACGTCAGGATGACGCTGCACCAGGGTGGGGGGTGGCTTGTCTTCCCTTGGAGACCCAAACTCCGACCGAGCGCTGCAGGAGTTGGGTGAAGAGCGGATGCAACGCCAAAGTTTGGAGATTCAGCTGCAATCCTTTCGCAACGCTGGCTTCAAGGACCCTGAGGTCACTGGTGAACACAACTTGGGTCATGGGATGCCATGGGTGATTTTCAGATGTTCTGGAACTCAAGACTGAAGGAAAATCTGATTTGTTGTTGAAATAAGGTGAACACATGTGAGAACAGAGTCAGTTTTTTTGTGTATCCAAGGCTAGCCATGCTTGGGGCAGGTATGTCAGGTAAGTAACAGATGGCCAAGATCTGAAAGCACATCCAAGCTTCGTGTCCTCCGGGAATCAAACTGGCAGTGGAAAACCGTTTGTTTTTCCTTCGCCATGTTTATCCTCTGGTAAACATACAAAAAGCTATTGAAAATGGCCATAGAAATAGTGGATTTACCCAGCTAGAAAATGGTGATTTTCCATAGTTATGTTAGTTTACCAGAGGGTAATTGCAAAAGGTAGCGTTCATTTTAACAGTTCAGATTGTTCCTCCCAACTCATCTACCAGGCAATGCAAAGTGCAGTGCAAAGCGCGGTGCACAGTGCCCGGCAGGAGCTGCAAGGCAAGGGCTTGAAACCTCCAATCTTTTTTGGTAGTGATGATCTCCTCCATTTTCACTTCATATCATAATATCATATCTGAATATTTCTCTGATATTTTTGCTGGTTCCAGCAGTTTCATCAAATTTTATCAGTTGCTTCCAAGATTTGTCTCCTGTGCCCATCAGTCAAGTACTATTTTCCAACCATTCAGAAGCATTTTTCAAGCAATTTTCTCCACTTTTTGCTTCCCCCCCATGTGGCACCCGGGGACGCTGTTCTTCCGAGGTCAAGTGGAATCCTTGCGGCAGCAGCTGTCGACCACCCAGCAGCAACTCCTGGACTCCGAAGCTGCGGCGCAAGCGGCGTCTGTCGCGCGCGATGGGGCCAGTGCCATGGCGGGTAAACCCTCCAGGGTCACCAGGGTTTCCAGGGTCCAGGAAAAATGTCGGAAAATTGGGTCAATCTTGGGTTGCGGAAGAATCTTTTGCCCATGTTGTTTTGGAGGGATGTTTACAAAATAGCTTGAAAAGAAACTGCAGAGTGTCGAAAGTTGGTTCATCAGGTTCCATCCCAGATTTCTATCAGTCAAATCCCCAATTTCATCAAGTCTACCACTGAAATCCCCAGGATGCCCAGGTTGAATTTCTCCTGAAACATCTGAAACCAAGAAGAGGCTCACTGCCGATCCCTGGCTGCTGATCTTCACATAGGTATTTGGGTTTGTCTGAAAATAGTGTACCCCTAAACCCAATGGTTAATGATCATTATCCCTATTAAATGGCTATAATTGGGAATATACCCTATTTTCAGACAAACCCATTTGCCTTCACACAATTTTCACTCACCAATATGATTCCATTTGCCTTCACATAGACCCAGTACTTCGATGGGCCATGGGATTAGCCAAGTGGTTTGCAACTGGGTTGTACCGTTCAACCACTACTATATCCATCTATCTCCCCAAAAAATAATAACAGGCTTATAAATCCACTAGATAGACATAAATAGACTATACTGTTAAGCCACTATATCCCATGGTTATTAAGCCACTAATTAAGCCACCTTTCGGAGGTCCATCTCCGAACTACTTCCGCCCCAGGTTGGACCTCCGCCATCACGGTGCCTGCAGGCAGCTTCCCAACGCTGATGGACTCGAGCATTTCGCAAGGGATGGTGTCTTGGTGATGAATTTTTCGGGGGAAGCAACCGGGAAATCCACCAGACATGGGGAATCGAAGAGGGGAGTCTGTTGAAGTTTTTGTGGTCCCTTTAATATAATTGAATAAGCAGAAGCATCCCACTGTAATTAAGCAGATCCAAGAAAGGAAGGGTCCATTGAAGCATCATCCTGGGTGATTTTATTTAGGCCCAAGTTGAAACCCTGGATTATACAGTATATATATATATATATCTATCTGGTTGGTGGTTTGGAACATTTTTTATTTTTTCCATCATATTGGGAATGTCATCATCCCAACTGACGAACTCATATTTTTCAGAGGGGTAGGGCTCAACCATCAACCAGATATGGACCTCACCAACTGCCGTCGTTTCAGAGGTCGTTTCAGAGGTCTTTGGAGTCGATCGTGATCTCAAGAGTGGAGGGCCCCAGCGGGCCTTGCAACTTGGCTTCGGGATTTCCAGGGGCCCGGTGGTTTGGAACCATGGAATTTTATGACGGTGTATCATAAATATATGGTTAATAAATGGACATATATGGTTAAGTTAATATATGGAATTTTATGACTTTCCCATCATATTGGGAATGTCATCATCCCAACTGGCGAACTCCATCATTTTTCAGAGGGGTAGGTATACCACCAACCAGTAATGTTCTAGGCCAACAAACGATGGGATTGTTGAGCGGAAGTACTTCCAACATCCCCCCTAACTAGGGGAAATATATTATATCCGTTTAATGGGGTTCTGACCCAATTTTAGTCCCACTCCAATATCAAATGCCCCATAATCGAAACCCTGGTTTTGGGATCTAGGCATTTTGGAGTCAATACGAGGGTATGTATTTGAATTTTGGTACTTAAATTCAGTTGGTAATGGAATACTGCTGGTGGTTATCAGGTTTATAACTAGCTTGAGTGGTTGAGTATGGTTTATTACATATTCTTCCCAGTGATTAGAAGGGATCTGTAGGGCTGTATCCATATTTCCAACCAAACATGGGGAGCCAGTTGGAGCTAGTATATAAGAGTTTCCCAATCATATGAGAGATTTATAGAAAATTCATCAAGATTCCAGCATCCCAGTATTGTTATGTTTGTTGATCATAAGTCATAAGTCAATCATATGATAGTATTGAACTAATTCATGGACTTTATAAACCAACAAAGGCATTTTTGTTTCGTGGCCGCAGGATCGTGGGTTGCGATTACCCTCAGAAGCCGGGGACCATCCGTGCGGGCATCGTCGACGCCATGCAGTGGCAGCCTGGATGCTTTTCTGGGGTTGTCATACCTGGGAACCCCTGGGAACCTGCAGAAACCCAAAGAAATCCCAACAAATCCCACAGGATGGGACCCCAGTTCTATAGTTTATGGTAGATATAATGAACTAGGTAATGTGGTTTGGAACTGGGGGGCACCATCCTGCATGACTTCTCATGATATTTCCCCATGAAGATCGCCTTTGGCAAACATGTAAAATGATGTAAAATGTAGAATAAGGAGTTCTTACAGGTAGACTCCCGACTTCCATCTAGCAGCCATATATGACCATAAACATGACCACGAACATGACCATTAAAAATGACGATAACAATGACCATTAACCATGATCATAAAAATGACCGTGTGAAAATGACAATGAATATGACCATCAAGAATGACCATTAAACATGTCCATAACAATTTCCATCAAACATGATCTTTTTTTTGAGAACTTCAATTGATTTTTCTCAGCAGAAGTCGCTTCTCCATTCCGAACTTCTCCCAGGTATCGCTTCTTCCAGTCGCGCTGCGGCTTCTTGGAAAAGGACATCCGCGTACTGGCGGACGACAGCAGCTGGGATTGACCGTCTCAACGAAACATGGGGATATCCTATGGGGATGACAACATGATAAAATGGAAGGTGGTGTATGGATATGGAACCAACTTTTTTTTGATATGCTTTTTGGCTTTGTCTGAAAATGGGTATACCCCAATTCATGACAATTTATGGCTGAGAAATGGTGATCAATCAGTGCCTGCAAAATAACTAAGAGGGAATTGGAAGACATCGTTTTTCTTTTGAAAAAACATAATCTCAGGGTCGCACGGTGATTTTTTTCGGGGCTGGTACCTCCTAAATTTTGGAGGGTGACCTCCAGATCATGATACTCATGGCAATGTTCGCGAGGAAAAAACAGGATTTTTTATACAGGTTATGAACATTAAGGGTGCATCAGCAGCAAGGGGCGAGTTTCTCCGTGCTTTTTGTGGTCGATCTCATTGGATATGATTTGGTTTAAAGGGAGAATCATCTGTGCCATGGTCAAAACTTGGTGCATGCTTGTGTTGTTTTCGGACGATTTTCACTTTTACTCACCTGTACCCGCCACCAGAGCCTGGGGCAGCAGTTTTTGCGTTTTTTCTTGTCCGCATGCGCGTCAAAACTGGGAGTTTTGTTTCGCATTTATAGCCATGTGATCTCACATTGGATGGGAATAGGCCATCCTCAATACTGGTTGGTGCTTTGGAACATGGCTTTTATGACTTTCGCATCATATTGGGAATGTCTAATCATCCCAACTGACTTTCACTCCATCATTTTTCACAGGGGTAGGTTGAAACCACCAACCAGTTAATTTTTTTGATACTAGTTGATCATAATTGTTTTCATACCACCAATCAAGTATCAATCATGATCATCAATTAATTGTAATGTCAACTCCGGATTAATAAACAATGGTTTATTAATTGTGGGGGTACCATCCAAATAGTCACAATATGATACATAAATGGTATCCCCCCAATTAAAAAGCCTAGGGGTTTATGAATCCAGGGTTGACATTATAGGGATTTTCAGAAACGGATTGATATAGACATGCTGCTTCAACGGAGATGACCATGGATGACCAAAACAACACCACTCATAGCTAGATCAGAACGGTAGAAACAGTGAACCATAGCTATGGAAAATGGCCATTGATAGTGAGTTTTCCCATTCAAAAATTGTGATTTTCCATAGTTATACAGTTACTAGTATATGTTAGCTTACAGGAGGGTATATAATACATGTTAGATATGTGATAAACTACATTCATCAGAGATGTTATACAGTAACATGTTATAACCATATAAGAAAATATATATATATATATATATGTTGGCTATCTCCAGTTATAAATTCTTGATTATTTCATATATTTTCATATTAGAACTATATATATATAGATAACCATATATATATATATATATATATGGTCACCCCCCCCCTACGACCCCCCAATGTGTCATTTGTATTGTTATTTACAGCATAAAATGCGTATTTTTAGTATTCCATTTTTGTCTTCTTCGTATATAGTCATAACAATACAATATCTTAAGGCACTTTGGGGAAGGCCCCATAGAAACACAATTGACCGCCGACCCAAAATCAAAAAAACATCGGGAAAACAAAAAAAAAAAACAAAAAAAACAATATTTTCCGACTCCTCTGGGGTCACTCCATGAAAAAAACAAAAAAACCTTGAGAAAACCAAAAAAACAAAAAAAAACAAAAAAAACCCAATATTTTCAGACTCTTCTGGGGTCACTCCATGAAAAAACCAAAAAAACCTTGAGAAAACCAAAAAAAACAAAAAAAACAATATTTTCAGACTCTTCTGGGGTCACTCCATGAAAAAACCAAAAAAACCTTGAGAAAACCAAAAAAACTAAAAAAACAAAAAAAACCAATATTTTCAGACTCTTCTGGGGTCACTCCATGAAAAAACCAAAAAAACCTTGAGAAAACCAAAAAAACAAAAAAAACAAAAAAACCAATATTTAGCGCTATCTCGAGGGCCCCCCCCCCAAAGAATCGCTAAATATTGTTTTTTTTTTGGTTTTCTCAAGGTTTTTTTGGTTTTTTCATGGAGTGACCCCAGAAGAGTCTGAAAATATTGTTTTTTTTTGTGTTTTTGTTTTTTTTGGTTTTCTCAAGGTTTTTTTGGTTTTTTCATGGAGTGACCCCAGAAGAGTCTGAAAATATTGTTTTTTTTTTTTTTGGTTTTTTTGGTTTTCTCAAGGTTTGGTTTTTCCCGAAGACTACCGCTGTGCGCGCCAGGTCAGGCCTCATCACCAAGCGAATTGTAACCCATTGCTCATAAGTTCTTGGACTCGTGACCTGATCTGCATACTGCATCTGTCCAGCCTCAAGATGAATTGTCCGGCGTGGTGCATGACTGGTAGTGCAAGAAGAAGCAGGTTTTTTGAAGGTTTCATGTGTGGGTGAGCCTCATTATACCAAATGTGGACTCACAATTTGCCAAATTTCAAAAATAAAACACTGTCTGTCACTCATGCATCATCCCGCTTGGGGAATCTGCGCATCCTTTGAACTGCCTTCCGCGTCTGTCGGGTCCATTGCGCTTGCCTTAAGTTCGAGCAGCAATGGACGTGCTGGCACGGATCCCGCATTTGATCTTGTTTTGGGCAAAAAAATGCAGGATCTGCGCCTTTGATCAAGATTATAAAACATGAAAACTCATATTTCTTTTTCCTTGTTGCACTTCCTCATCAAACATGTGTCCACCTTTCTCTTCTGTTTCAAGAAGAATCTCAAAAGCTACAACTTACACTGCGCAATCTTCACCAAAAAATTGCATGCCTGCTGTTTAACCGTTAGTTTCTGCTTTTTAACGTCATAGTCTTTTGACAAAAAACAAAATGTAGTGTAATATAGTGATACGATGTAATACGTATAATTTGTCTAATGTACAATAGTCCTCTTTGCATGCCCCTAGGTTATATGGGGCTGGCGGTGTGTACTGTAGTTTTTTCGCACTAGTCTTCGCGGTCTGGACAAATATCCATAACGCTCGAGCTTTTTGGCTTGTCAGCTGACTTCTCCTGTGCCCTCTTCAATTTCGCCTCGCCTCGACCCAGGATCTGCGCGTTTGATCAAAGACTGGCTATGCAAAAAAGATTCACCGCTTTGCATTCTTCGCTGCAGTTGCTCTTCTCCTGTCGTCAAACATGAGTTCATATATCTTACTTCCTTAACACAATGGCATTTGACATGTGTCCACCTTTCTCTTCTGTTTCAAGAAGAATCTTCAAAGCTACAACTTACACTGCGCAATCTTCACCAAAAAATTGCATGCCTGCTGTTTAACCGTTAGTTTCTGCTTTTTAACGTCATAGTCTTTTGACAAAAAAACAAAATGTAGTGTAATATAGTGATACGATGTAATACGTATAATTAATCTAATGTACAATAGTTCTCTCTTGCATGCCCCTAGGTTATATGGGGCTGGCGGTGTGTACTGTAGTTTTTTCGCACTAGTCTTCGCGGTCTGGACAAATATCCATAACGCTCGAGCTTTTTGGCTTGTCAGCTGACTTCTCCTGTGCCCTCTTCAATTTCGCCTCGCCTCGACCCAGGATCTGCGCGTTTGATCAAAGACTGGCTATGCAAAAAAGATTCACCGCTTTGCATTCTTCGCTGCAGTTGCTCTTCTCCTGTCGTCAAACATGAGTTCATATATCTTACTTCCTTAACACAATGGCATTTGACATGTGTCCACCTTTCTCTTCTGTTTCAAGAAGAATCTTCAAAGCTACAACTTACACTGCGCAATCTTCACCAAAAAATTGCATGCCTGCTGTTTAACCGTTAGTTTCTGCTTTTTAACGTCATAGTCTTTTGACAAAAAACAAAATGTAGTGTAATATAGTGATACGATGTAATACGTATAATTTGTCTAATGTACAATAGTCCTCTTTGCATGCCCCTAGGTTATATGGGGCTGGCGGTGTGTACTGTAGTTTTTTCGCACTAGTCTTCGCGGTCTGGACAAATATCTATAACGCTCGAGCTTTTTGGCTTGTCAGCTGACTTCTCCTGTGCCCTCTTCAATTTCGCCTCGTCTCGACCATGTCCAACCAGCAAGTGAGCAGTGGCTCTATTTCAGAACAGGCGACGGAATGTGTTCCAAACCCTGCCCGGCCTGATGGGAGGGCCATCCATTACGGAGATTTCTCGCGTCAGCGTAGTAGTTCACCTCCATTTGTTGGTGTCCGCAACCCTGCGCGCCCCGGAGGTGGTGCCATAGATTATGGCAGTTTTGGGTGTAAGAGTCGCTCCAGGACTCCTCCACCATCCGATCGCACCAATCGTCTGATTGGAGGATAGAAATTCCCGTAAACAAATGCAATGTAAAATATACTAGTCTTTCAAAATTTAAAAAAAAATGTTAGTAGGAAAGTCTCAAGCGCAAAAATTTTCCTATTAGCGATTGGTGCGTAGAGGCAGTTTTCGCAGCAGCATAAGACCTCAGCTTAGCAAAAGTGATGCTGCTGCGGCAGGGTCGACTCGTTGGTGACTTCAACGTGGTTCTGTGCAGACACAAGTCAAGCATAGTGAAGCAGATGGCGGGTTGAGGGGGGTCGTTGGGGGGGGGCTGAGCATATATATATATATATATGTCATATAAGAACTATAACCATATATAACCATCAGTATATATATATATAACCATTTCATATATAGCCGTTATTTTATGGTTATTTTTTTGACGGTCTCCATTGCCCCACCTGGCACTGACCGTTATAGGTCACGTCCCCGTGGAGAGCTCCATGGCCAGCAGGGACAACGTGCTGCGCGGATTGACCTGGCTGGCGCCTGGGGCATGCGGTCGCGCCATGGGATGGACAGACTCTGTTTATGGTGAAGCAGCATTAACCAGCATTTATAAATGGGATATTGTTAATAAATGATCATCTATATATAGATGATTTATATAGATGATTAGATCACCTAATGAGCTATATAGATCATCTAACCAGCATTAACCAGCATTAACCAGCATTTATCATTAGGAATCCAGATGGTAACCATTTATTTATTAGTAACCATTTATTTATTAATGATGGTTAATATTTTCTAATGATCTATATAAATATAAATGATTTTGATATATAGAACAACCATTTAATGGGATATTTTTAAAAATGATCATCTATATATAGATGATTTATGTGGATGATCTAATGGTCTAATGATGATTTATATCCAATTTCTAATGATCTTCAGAAATGTCCGTCCATCAATAGTGGTTTATCTATGATGGACATTTCATGGGATGGTTTCTTCTATATAGATGATTTTAATATATTTCAATGGGAGCTAAGTGAACACATTTTTTCGGAAAGTCTTTTCTTGGAAGGATTTTACCTAGGTATCTGAGCAACAGGTTTGGGATTGAACCTAAAGAGACTGTTGGATTTCTCGGGGAACGATCCCCTCTTGGATCTGCATAAACGGCTACCAAACATGGAGGGGAAAAACCCACTCTTTGGCAAGTGGTCGACTTGCCCTAGTTAGCAACAGTCTCCAATTCCTAGGGTATCCTAGGGTTATATATATATATATATCAATAATATAATATAATATAATATATATATATATATATGTATATATCGTATTAATTACCATACCTCAAATGGACGTTTTCGAAGCGTGGAAACTCCTCCAAGTCGCAAAGAAGTCGCGTCCAGGTGTCGAATTGCCATCCGGGCGATCAGCTGTTCTTTGTGTTTTGTGGCCATGGAGCGCAGGTGCCCGTGTACGAGTCTCTGGTAGCTTGGTGGACTTGATGGGGGGTACTGTACCATATAAGGCCATATTTTGTGGGGATATTCCCTTACATAGGCCTTATATGGGCCTTATATATGATAGGTACCTCCAATTTAGGATCCTGAAATGGCCATTGATTGAGTGGTTGAGTGGTTTTTCGTGGTTGAGTTCTGGGATGAAATGGGTTGAAATATTTAAAAGGACACCAATAAGATCCAATAAGCATGGATGATCCTGATTGACCTTAAGCATTATTGGGGGAACTCTAGTCGGATCTACAGCCAGCTGATGCCAGCTATACCTCCGTGCACCATATATATCGGTCAGCAAGACATATCCCAGTTGTCATGGGCTCAAGCTTCATTGTCAGGCTCCCAGCCCAGTTTTTTTTCGGATGGCTACCGGGGGTCAAATCCATCGATCCTGAGGACAAACGGCTCTGTGAATGTGCGCTGGTCCCGACTGATTGCATCGATGGTAAGGATGGGATGGGCTGAGGACAAGAGCTTCCTTCCGCGATTGGATAAAGATTGGAAGACTATGGAAGAATCATGGGATGATAATTGGAAAATAGATGAACCTAGTTTTTTATATGGTTAAATATGGTTAAATATGTGATGTAAGACTATCGAATGGTATGCTGTAATCCGATGCCCCTACGATCAAATCCCCATGGGCCCCCATGGGCTGACTAGATCAAAACAGGATCCAACGATCTGGAGAAAATGATGGGAATTGGATGGGGGGTAGCTATCCCAACATCAAGTGACAATAAATTATATTCGACCATCATTATCTATAAATTACGTACTTGATGGATCTTGATGATCACCTATCCCCGACTAACTGGCCTTAGACAATGGATTCATGTCTGCCATTGTCCCCTGGGGAGCCCCAGGCCTGGGCCAGTAGGCCCGTTTCTTGTTAATTGACAGTGGTTATAAATGGTAATCCATTTCCTGATGGTTATTATACCTATGGTTACGGCAAGACCCTATGGTATGCCCGCAATGTAAGAATGGAGTTCAAATATTATCCTTCAGCATGCTCAAAAACCTGCGCAGGTCCAGTGTTTTGGTATTTACCAGACGACGAACCCTAAACCCTCAAACCCTAAACCCAAAAACCCTAAAATCCTCAAACTCTAAACCCTAAAACCCTGAAAACTCTGAATCCGAAAGCAGAAAACAGTGTGCATACGCAGTATTTTCTGCAATTTCTCTTCTAACGTAGGGTGTTGCAGTCCGGGCAAACCACGGGGTCTGTGCGTATGGTTAGTATCCATTGCCGATGGATGGAATTAATTCTAGCTAGTATCATTGCTTATTATAGTTGTAGTTCTGCTATTTGCTATCATTAATGGTAACAAAAAGTACTGATGGTCATCACTGATGGTTTTTTAATACGTATAATAGAGTTAGTTATTAGTTACTATAGTTCATCCATTATCCCATGCTAATTAAATTTTGCGCAATATACCATGATCATGTCTATTTTTATTATCATCCCATTACATCATATCCCATTCACCTAGCTAGTTCATCCATTATAGTTAGTTAATTAGCTAGTTAGTTGGTTAGTGAGTTAGTTACTTAGTTTACTTTAGTTTAGTTTGGTTTAGTCAGTCACTTAGTCACTTATTTAGCTTAGAGTTTAGTTAGTTTTGTTAGTTAGTTATCCCATATACCATTATAATTTACTTTATTGCTGAAACTAAAACAATCCACTATCTCAATCGTTATAACTGATTTATTCTGATTATATACCATTATCATGGTTATATAGTAATAGAACATCATGCAAAACCACTATAGTGGTAACTTATGATGACCATTAAGGTAACTTCTGACGGTTCATCCACTTCTCCCGTTATCTTCGCGCAGTTTTTCGGCACCAAAAAGCCAGGAGAACCCGCGGCTCATCCGGGACTATGAGGTGCACCAAGCGTTGGCCACCTTGCCTTCAGGTGCGGTGCCGCAAGCGTTGTGGTGAAACAACGAGGGCAAGGAGGGGGAGGCTTGGGGAAGATGGGAAATATATGGGAAATATATGGAAACATACAGTAGTTTTTTTTTTTTGAGAATCATCATGGATATATTGGCTTTGTAACCTGGTAGTGACTCAGAGTTTGTGAACTGGAAGCTTCTTTTAGGTAAATCATCAATGGGTCACCTTCCGTTGCCATGCCCAATAATCGTTCTCCCATTTAAAGATCGTTTATGCCACCCATGTCTGGTAAAATTGAGGATGGTTTATTTTTGGATATTTTTGGGGTTTACCGCATTATTCAAGCACATTCAATGATCCATGGTCCATATGTGGATGGGTTGCAACCTATTGCACCATATTTTGGGAGGAATCACCATCCATTAACAAGCTATTCTACCCTGTGGTTAGGAGGGAGCTAAGGAGCCATGGGTATCCACTTTTTCCCTACAAAAATGGGGAGCAAATGAACTACTAAGAGTTTCCTAAATGTTTATAACCAATGTTAGATAGTTCTTAGACAGGTAACTCTTAGGCATCCCAGTGTAATCCCATTTTTTACCGCTTGGAAGATGGTTTCATCAATGCTTTGGTCTCCACCATGACGGGGCCGTACTGCTCAGGTGTCCAGGTGACAATGATTGTGGACGGCTGCCACGCAGGGCACCCCTTGGATCGCACGTCGGACCATCGCTTCCCGGCCATCGGCCGTGGGCATGTGCCCAAGCTAAGCTGCTGCGTGGGCTGGGGATCATCCCAAGATCTTTTTTTGTGGGGAATCATCCAGTGACCCCCTGGCAGCTGTGCCAAGAGTTAAATTTTAATGATTTTATGCCCATGTTGGGCGAATATGGGGGAATGGGATTGGTTAATAATTATTAACTATTATTAACCATTAATCCATTTGAACCCCTTGAGATTTGGATCAAGCATCAAGCCATTGGGTTTGGATTGGAATGGGATGACCATAAGCCATTCCAGCCATTCGTACGGTGTGAATTGACCATGACTCAGATCTCATCTGGATTTGATACATATGGATACATATGGACAAATTAAAAATGCATAGATGGATGGATGGATGGGTGGATGGGTGGGTACGTACTGTAGGATGATGCGGATATCTCCAGCGATGTCACCCATGGTGCCTGCCCATGTGAGCTAATCATAGTTAATCTTAGAAACGGTGTAATTGTAATTACTGTACCCAATGTATCTTGTCAATTTGACTCTAGAGGGCATGATTCTTATATCATATAACCTTTATATAATTATATATATATATGTTAGATATCTAACTATAATATAAATATATATAATAACATATATGTATATATATATTATATAATAATATATATGTATATATATATATTACAATGTTATATATATATATTATTATATATAATGTTATATATATATATTAATATATATTATTATATATATATATATTATAATATAAATAAATACTATAAATAAATAAATAAATAATCATAAACATATATATATATGTACATTGTAATATATATATATGTATATATATTATAACACACACATATATATATATATATTACAATATAAATATCTATTATCTCTATATATATATATATAATTATATATATATATTATGTATATGTATATAATATCAACCATTTCACTCTTTGGGGTCCCCCAATATATTTTTCAGCCAAAAAGAAGAAACCCATCTGCAAGCGGAAAAGCGCTGCAGGTGGACTACGACAAGCTGCGGCACCACCCAGTGCTGCCGCGCTTCTTCGAGCTGCCCCAGTGGAAGGTGCAGGCTCCGTCGCCGCTGGCGCTGAGTTTGCTGCGCTGCCAGGTGACGGGAATGGGGATTTTAACCATGGGATGGTGGGGAGTTAAGCGAGAAAAACGATGATTTCACCAGGGAAAATGGGGAGTTTTTGATGAAACAAGCGATGATTTCACCAGACAAAAATGGGACTTAAATGAACAAAAATATGATTTAACCATCATCAAAAGGGATTTAACCAAGAACAGCTGCGATTTATGCAATGAAAGATGGATTTAACGATGGGAGATGGGGGATTTAACGAAGAATAGCAGCGGTAGAATGGGGATATTCATTATGTGCATTTAGCTAACCAACCATGATTTCCGGGTGGAAAGTTGCACCAATTTGTGTCCATTTAATACGGAAAATGGTGTTTTAAACCACTGGACGGAATGCGGTGCCCTATAGTCAGACAAACCCTTAAATCTTCAGTCAACAGACCTAAGATGAATGGAAACTCAAGATTTCAATGTGATTCGTGGCTCAAGGGTGTTTCAAAGGCATTTTAGGGTGCTCACGTTCAACCCACTTCAAATCTAATTTGTCCACTCAATCCTCCCATGGCTTATTGTTTCAATTCCCTAGTAGTTTGGTTGATGCAACTCCCAAAGAATATACTTATACATCCTCATTTTTTTGTTGGTTCAAATCCCAATGTTTCAAATCAGAACCTCATTTTTTTACATTTTTTTCCAATTGAATGCCGTTCCTGGTTGAGATCCTCATGTGTGTCATGGTCAACATAGGGCTTATCCCAGTTCGTGGCGGATTGTCATCGATCCATGTGATGGCTTATACCCAGCACGATTGATATCCCAGTAACGATCCCTATTACATCCTTTGATGAGATACCGTATAAACTTTATACAAATTCCCATGATAAATTATCATCACGCCAAACCCAATAAACCTAAAATCCACAGATATTTGCCAAAAGTGGGGAAGCCACCCAGTCACCGAGTCACAGGCAGTTCTGTGGCATGCCTGCGCCAACCACCAATTCTGTGTGGAACTGCCAATCGACGAGTGTCCAGCACGAGGAGTCTTCACCTACATCTTGATGAGTGCCTCAGGACCAGAAATACCCATGATTTACCCAATGAGTCATGGATTCTTTTTGGAACATAGTGGTGGGATATGGGTGATGAGAGTGGTGATTTCTCATTTTCGAATCGGTAAACCACCCAGAAACTGGGGAATCTATTGGGCCCAGGCGACAGAAGCGCTGGATTACCAGCGTCACCATGGTGGATGTGACTTACAGAACCCGCAAAGCGGGATCATGTTGGTCTGTTTCATGACGGGAGATGGGATTCAACAATCCATTCACCATTCTGCTGCTGAATCTCCCTAAAATTCTCCGAATCATTGGTGACAACCGCGATTTCATGGCGAGAGGTCAAAAGCCCCAAGGTGTAAAGATGTGTTGAGTGGGGGGGATGGTTGCCAACTTGCTGTACCTGCATTGAGCATAGGTAGATACCCATGAGTTAACGTGGTAAACCCAGTCATAGCACATTCTCCACAATATTCAGGAGTTTTTTTTGGGAGAACGTATCCTAGCGGTTTTTCGTTGTTGGGCCCACTGCAGTGTTCGATTTAGATAAACCCAATTCTGGTAAGGTGAAGTCAGCCAACTCACCCAAGTGCCATGAGATTCCTGTGTGCCATAATTCCTGAATGTTTTAGGTGTCCAGGAATCAACAATTGAATAGGTTTGAGACAAATCAAGCAATTTTCGAAAATTGCAATATATTGCCACGGAGGCAGACTGTTTCTACATGTTGTACCCAAAGATGCTGGGTTCAATGAGTCTGGTTTCACAGCAGCAACGCTTACAAACTATTTGGGGAATGACAGCCCATAGCTTACAAACTATTTGGGGGTATGACTACTTGTGACTAACTGAGGGCAACGAATTGCGCATTTTTTGCGTTTCTGGGTTCTCCTTCGCAAGTTCTGGGTACCATGTAACATCATGTAACCATGGTTCGTTCACCTATTTAGGGTATAACATGGTACCACTGTCGTAACCCCACGAATTGGGCACTTTCTAACTATGGCTAGAAACACCAGTTGCGATCTGTGGAACGATCCTCCAAGTAAGGATCAGATGAGTTGGCTATAGATGATTTTTCGATGTGTTTATAATACATATATATATATATATTATATACACATGATAATATATGCATATATATATATATATCCCAGTAATAATCCCAATCATATCATATCATCATGGCAATTTTTCTTATCCATCGCAGCCTCCAAGGCGCCATTCTGAAGGTTGGCATCCAAGCGCCCTGTGGTCAAATCTTTCAGGAAGCCCAAGATCTCACGGCGCGCCTCAAGGGAAGGCCCAGCGGCCGAGCCCATGGGCGCGCGTGGCGCGTGTTCCGTTTTTTTTTTTTTTTAAAGGGGGAAGGGTAATTGATGGTTGTTGAGAATTATATACTATCTATAACTTTCCTAGATGAACTTATTGTTATTTGTTAGCTAAGTAATTTAAGTAACTATCTAACAAATCACAGGAATTGATGGTTCTTGAGTGTTATTCAAGTAACTATCTAGCTTTTACTAGAATTACGAGCATGAATTTATCAAAACAAACATTGATTCAAACTATGTTTCTTTTTGAACTCATAACTGGCTCAAAAAGGCCCCTGCGCAGTTCTTGATGTCATTGCACCTTTGGCTCGCGGCACCCTGCACAGGTGGAGGTTGCAGCAAGAGATGCAGTTTGCCTATTGTCAAGCCACAACTGAACAGCGGCCCTTTTTCCGCTTCTGAACCGGAAGGTTCATTGCGCAAGGTGATGCCCAAACGTGATATTTGTATGTATTTGTTGGCTATTACAGTACCCATCTAACTATAGTCATCATCACCATAAACCCGAATGACTCTGGCTACCACCTTGAAAGGGCCAAAAATTGGCAGCAGTCCAGCTGAAATGCGCATCTGAAGGCTGTTAGACCTGTCAGCTTGAAACATCCAAAGAATGATTTTGAAAACAGAGGCGTGATATGTAAGGTCATCTGAATGATAACCAGAGATTCAAAGATAAATCGATGCAACCCAGCATGTTTCCTCGAGCCCCTTGAATCTCCTGGGGCGGAAAAAGACAGCGGGAGATGGGAGTCGCCCGCAGCCAATGATCACACTGCGTCCTGGTGTAGAAGAAGATGCCAGCGTGAGGGTTCTTGCAGCTCAGATGTTCTTTGATTTTGGAGCCACAAAGGGTTCATCATTGATCATTCAATTTGATCATCATCAAAGAATTCATCTATTGATCATCGTTAATGTTATTGAATGATCATTTCTTCAACATATCAAATCGTTCAATTTCTATCAATTTCTGGCGTGAGTGAATTTCATTGCAGTCGCACAGCGCACAGTGCGGCCGAGAAAACCCAGCTTCCGAAGGCTTCCGTTGATCTCCTTCTACCGAGGTCCTACAGCGTCATCCAACGGGCAACGAGGTGCGGATTTTGCCACTTCGCTAATCAACGATGTGGAGTCCATGGAGGCCATGGAGGCCACGGTTTCCAGGGAATTTTCCATACTGGTTGGTGGTTTCAAACACTTTTTATTTTCCATTTCATATATGGGATGTCATCCTTCCCATTGACGAACTCCATGATTTTTCAAGATGGGCACATCGCACCACCAACCAGCCATCATTTTTCCATCTTTTCCATGTTGGATGACTAGTGGATCCAGTGGATACCGCCATCAAAATCCCATGGTGAAAAGAGCCAGGTTGAAGATGGCCCAACGCTGCTGAGCTGCCCTGAGAACCGACCCTTTAAGGAGTTGGGGAGCTCTTGGAATGTCCGGCTGGGTTCAAGGGTTGATCTGCGGTAAACTTTTTTTTTTTTCCATACTTCATTAAAGAACAAACGCATGCCATCTGAATTTCCACTAAGAATCAATTTCGGGAATGTGTGGTGCGAAAAAAAAGTGACGCCTGAGAGAGACTAATGAACTTCATTGAAAGCAACCCGGCCGATACCCATCCTAAAACTTTGTATCCAATGACATTGTCCTTCAAACGCATCAATCTTTGTGACAAAAGCAGAACATGGAGAAATAGACCACGACCGGCTGAAAGGTACATATGAGCACATTTTTGATGAATCATGATTAATCCATGACTGGAAAGAACGGATAAACAAATCATACACAAGGAGGAAGAACAGCACTTTCAAGGTAACTACAACACTTATTGTCTGTCTTGGGGTATTTGATTGAGAAACACGGTAGTTTACATAGAAATCCTATTGTCTTAGTCTTTTACAACATCAAACTATAGTCAGTGAAAGTTGAAGTGGAATAGGTAATGATTTTGAAACGTAGAGACACAGAGAACCAATGAAACATATCATGAACTAATCACCGATCTAAACATATACATTACACTTGAACCGCTACAACAATGATCCCCTTATTGAACAGAATATCAACCTATCACTTTAGCATCAAAATCTTCCCACAACCCTCGCGTGGAAAAACATCAGCACCAAGGGACATGTTGAATACCAACATCAAATCATAATAAACCACATTCAACCATACCATGACTCACCAGTATCATCCAGTATCATCCAGTATCATCCAGTATCATAATAAACCACCTTCTACCATTGGCCCATTGGTTTGCTCATCAACCCTCAGCATTTTTCATGTTGATGGGTAGACTCTGGATCACTAACCATAACTATGGAAAATGGCCTATTGATGATTTTCCCGTTAAAGACCTCCATTTCGTTCGGGCTTTCCCTAGCCAACCATGTTTGTTTTTTACCCCCAATTCAATGGGTTTATCAACAAAATCCCCATTTAGATCCATTTACGTCGATGCATAGCCCGGTGCTAAATTACCAGAGGCTAACTGCATTCTGCTAGTTGTCCCCATTCCATCCCTATGAGAAGTCCATTTTCCCTAGTTATGCCCCCATTGTCCCTACTTTAAACATACAATCGCTGGTGAGGAGTTGCAACGCTTCGGGCAGCCCTTCTGGGGCCACTTTCGACGCAAGAAGCTCAAGTTGCCCGAGGTCAGCGTTACACCATGGGGCCCTGGGGCCGGTTTTGGTGAGGATTCGTAGATTTAGGTCTTAGAAAAATTGGAGTTGTTTTTTCCTCACATTTGATTTTTGGATGATTTTCGACACCAGAAAAAACTTGGTGGATATTTTTAAAGTGCTACTTAAGGTAGTCAGTGGATGTGTTTGTTACAGTACAGTTGAATTTTTGAGCGCTATCCAGGCTTCGCCACGTCGGCAGGACAGCATGATGCTCTACGGACTGCAAATTGTCGACACCCCTGGCATGCCCGGGTCCGAAGAAGCTGCAGTGGAGGTCAGCATTTTAGGATCATAGGAATGGTGGATATATGCTGGTACCCCAAATCATCCAAGTCATGGATGACCATGACTTGGTATAGCACAAGCGTCATGGTGACGGGGGATTTTCCATGACTTATATAAGAACCCCCATATAGGTCGAGTGTGAGGAAAAATGCAGTCTAGCATGTCATGTTGAAGCCTTCGAGCCGGCTTGCTGGAAAATCCTCCATTCACTCACGGACACACATCAACCAATTCATTATCCACACTATATCCCACGAATTTATCGTCATTAATCACGAAGACATGTTATATTGAATGATATTCCCATCATTTTCCACCATTATCCCCATGATTTTCCGCTGAAAAATCATGAGCAAATCACCGTTTTTTGGTCCTTTAAGTCGCCATCCAACAGCCCCCTGTGAAATGCCGAGGATTGACATGCCTGTGAAGTCGGAATCCATGGCTGGCGGTAGAGGCAGGTGCAGTTGCATTGCGGAATCGTTTCTGCTATAGTGAACATGAACGGTACACCCCTAGATGGTAAACGTTTATTAGGACAATTATGAACAACCATAAGATTTTGGGGTACTTTTTTCAGACAAAGCCATGGTCTTTTTTGGTACTGAGATGGACAACAGAGATGTCACGCACTCTTCTTACTCAACGGAGCTAGTAGCAAGCCCCAAAAAGATAGAACATGTCATTTCTCACTATTTTATACAGTATATTTTAGTAGTGTTTTACTCTTCTATCTTTCTGGGGTTTGCTATCGTACAGTTTTTGGAGATGAGTGGAATCCCATTTGCGGACACATTTTGGCCCAGCGTTGCAACGGAGAACCTCGTTGCGAACTGAGCAACGCACAGCCAACGTGCAGTGCCTTGCCGCGCGGCTTTGTCAAAGAAATCCCTGACCTTTGCATTTAAAGGTCAGAATGTTCAGAATGCATGGCCACAAAATGCTTCGAGAAGTGTCCTGGATTTACATGGATTTACTACAGTTGATATTTCCATTTCTTTGTTTCCCTTCGGTTTTTTTTGGTCAATTTGGATCAGCGAGCCCAGGTCTGGACCGGAAATTTGCAGCACGAATTCAGCCTCTTCAGCCAGTGCTTGCGATCTGCTGCGGTGGTGGCGATTGATACCGAGTTCCCAGGCGTGATCCAGGAGAACGCATGGAAGGAATCGGAGGAGACGCACTACAGGGCGATGAAGGACTGGACAAGTTGTTGTTTTTTTTTGTGCTGGATAACCACTGGCAATTTCAATGGGTACCGGGTAGCCTATTTTTTTAAAGTGCCCATCCTGAGTCTGGATGATGGGTTGAAGCCCAGGAGAGCGTTGAGTTGTTACCATTGATCCAAATTGGGCTGGCGGTTGCTAGCAGCGATGGCCAGTGCCTTGGGGTTTGGAATTTCAACCTGAACTACAACCTGGCAACAGACTTTCACACAGATGCGGCCGTGAACTTTCTGCGAGCTTGCGGGGTGGATTTCGATCGCCATGCTTCTGAAGGGATTGATGCCAGCTCTCTTGGGGCCATGCTGAAAAGTTCAGGACTTTCCTCGTGCGCATGGGTGACCTTTGCTGGGATGACGGATCTCCTCTATCTCATGCAGCTGGTGCACCCAGAGCACGAACTTCCGCAGACGTTGGGTGGATTTCAGAGCTTGCTGGAAGAGACCTGTGCGACTCGCCAAGAGTTGAGAGACCGAATGCCCTTTGGATCGTTGTCAACGTTGGCACGGAGCCATGGTGTGATCCGCCACGGACAAGCGCATACCGCTGGAAGTGATGCCTTGGTGACCCTGGAGCTCTTCTTCCGAAGCAGAGATGAGACTGCTGAGCCAGGCACCTTTGGACCAAATGGCAGCGCAGCTGCTGTCCATTTGAACCCGGAGTTCGGCCGAAGTCACCATCCATTGCAGGCAGCGATGGAGCCGAGACTTGCTTCGGCATGCTGAGAGATCGCATGAAACTTGCGTGAGGAACGAAAAAAGAGCTTCGGATCCCAAGCTGCAGACGGCCTCGGGATTTCTGCAAATTCTTCGCAGAAGAATTGTAGCTGAATTGTTTTTCTTACGCTGATCACCGCTGTGATAATGTATATTGATGTATATTGAGGGATGGTCATCAGCCCATCAAAACCCATTCATATATGACTGGTTGGTCGTTTCAAACATTTTTATTTTCCATAATATATGGGATAATCCTTCCTATTGACGAACTCATATTTTTCAAGATGGTTATTGCACCACCAACCAGATGGATACCTCTGGTAAACTAACAACTATGGAAAATCACCATTTTCAATGGGTAAATCCACTATTCAACCAGTCAATCTTTGGTCCAAAAATCTGTGATTTTAAAAGCACCTGGAGGCTACAACTTCTTGGAAGTGGTGCGGTGGTTCGCCAAACGTTGGGCAACCCAGTCAACGGGCCGTGGAAGTTATGGAAACCGGGTCTCATGGGGATTGGTACGATCAATTCCATGGGATGGGAGGTACTTTTTATGTGTCAACACATCCAATTACCCTCTGGTTATGTCAAAATAGCTATTGAAAATGGCCATAGAAATAGTGGATTTTCCCATTAAAATGGTGATTTTCCATAGTTATGTTAGTTTACCAGAGGGTATGTTGTCTTTTTTTTGATAATTCTGGTGGAAATTACCAAGCTGGGGGTGCATCCAAGATGGCCGAATCTGGCATTCTTTCTGTGTAGACACGGAGTGTTGCGCTTGCGTTCCTTTTTGGGCCGGGATTTTCTGAAAATCCTTTTGTGGTTTTATTTTCCATTTGAAGCTTCTTGCACAATGCATCGTCATGGATCTCAGTAGATAGGATTCAGTTTCGGAATTGACTATGGACATCTATGGGCATCTATGGATCATGAAAATCCATGGTCCCAAAACCATTTCTTCTGTGGAATGGAACAGCAACATGTCAGTTTTCACCCCATGGAGCAGTGAAATCTTTCATCTCCAAGGAGCGGATCTGATTCTGTTGCTCTTCGATCCAGATCGGCGGGAGTTCCAAATGCTTCCGCGCTTGGCGTCGGTCGTTGCGGCCACGTTCAGAACCAGGAAAAAACGGACATGGGATGACCACAGAGTAGATTTTTTCGCGTATTTTCCATCTCTTGGTGGTTTGGAACCATGGAATTTTCTGACGGTTAATCATAAATATATGGTTAACGTATGGAAATATATATGGTTAATATATGGAATTTTATGACTTTCCCATCATATTGGGAATGTCATCATCCCAACTGACGAACTCCATCATTTTTCAGAGGGGTAGGTATACCACCAACCAGATTTGTTTTTGGAGTCCTAGAATTTGGTACGTCCAAAGACTGGATGGTTTGAACATGGGAACAACATCAGCGGCGCCGAACTGTCCGAACACTAAAAATCATCATAAATCATCATTAATCATCATTGGTTAGATACTAGCTAAAAATCTCCTGTCAATGGTAAAGTGTAAACTGTACTAACCAGCACTAATCATCACCCGGTGAACGTCCGCCATGTTTTGCTAGGCCTGGCACCACGGGTGAGTCGCTGGATGTGCTCACACGCTCGATGGTCGGAAGTCAGCTGGGGGATGGAGTGGCTCCCATTTACCTGTTAGAAATGGTGAATATTCATGAATTTTCATGATAGTAATATCTATTAATATATCTACATATGATTATATCTACATACATATATATATATTTCATATTTTAATATCAATGAATATCTATTAATATCTATTCATATCTATTGATATCTATAGTGAATATCCATTCTGGGTAAATTTGCTCACGACCTCACGCTTTTTTAGCCCAACTTTTCAGCTTGGATTTAAGCAGCAAACGTGGTGGAATTTCACCAACGAAAATGATGACTTAAACATCCAACAAAAAAGGAATTTCGCCGTTTAGCACAATGGTTTTTTTCAAGCAGCTAAAGTTGGAATTCAGCCACTGGAATGCTGATTTAGCCAGCTAAGATTGGAATTTCACAGGAATTGCGATGAAGTTTCAGCTGCAGTTGGGATTATGGGTGCACCAGGCCGGATTGGATCACAAGTTTGTGATTATCCTCAATAAGGCTGGGGCGCTTGGGCCACGTTGCTAGGGACCTTTTCTGGAAAAAAAAAATCAAGTACATCTCTATTAAACTAGTGATAAATCACTTTTGATTATTTTTTTGAGGGTCAGTATATAGTTCAGTCATGTTTAGTACTTTCATATGCAAATGACATGGAAACTCTCTGAACTCTGGATAAATTGGATCACTTTTCGTCACGAATTTCGTGGACATTCACGGTGAATGCTGGGTTTTTCTCAGGGGAATTCTCATGAATCCCCAACTGGCCATGGATTCGAAGGATTCTCGGCAGATGACCCAAGAACAAACTCTTTGTGGACTACACAGTAATACATTGGTTTGTTAAAAAAACAACTGTGAATACATCTACCATAATCCCATATAATCCCCAATTGTTATTTGGTAATAAACCAAATTACCTTTGTTGGGAGTCCTGATATTGCACACCACTTTTACTTTTCTTCATCACATATAAATCCCAATTCTTGCTGGCTGGATCCTGATATTTTCGCTGGTTATATAAAACATCATGTGAAAAATTTTGGCTGCTTAAATCATGTGAAAAATCATCATTCTTGCTGGTGAAATACGAATTTTTGGCTGGTTTTGATCCACATTTTTGCTGAAGTTTCTGGGATTCCTGACCACTGACCTGCTCAGGTAGACCAGCTCGACAGCAGCGTGGACTTCGCGCGAGCCTATGGCACTTTGGGTTGGGCACTCTCGAAGGCCAACGCGGAAGTCTCATAGCCGACGATTTTCGATGGGGATTAATAGAATGGGAATATACAATATCTCATATATATATACATAATATTCTGGTTGGTGGTTTCAAACATTTTTTATGTTCCATTATATATAGGATAATCCTCCCCATTGACTTTCATATTTTTCAAGATGGTTATTGCACCACCAACCAGTATTTAATGGAATCCATATATTATAATATTTGGATACTATATTATATGGATAGTCCAATATACTCCTAGTGATATCTCCTAATGGGATATCAATGGGGATAATAGTGATACAATGGGAATATATATATAATGGGAATGATCAAATCATATGATATGAATGGGATCTTTGTTGAGGATTTAGCCAGGGGAAATGGAGATAGAATATATGATATATAATGGGATATAACCAACCAAAATTATATTTGTATTGTTAGGAATACCACCCCCCTAACCCCAATCTAAGGTTCCAAATATGTGCAAAGACCCTACTAGACCATTAATTCTTGGGTGTGTTAAATATTAGGGACATTGGATTGAGTCCCTTAAGTGAGATAAGCCCATACAACAAGCTCACTTTCATCTAGGTGCTTCACCCATGTGAAGAGCTTGTATAATTCTTGCAGCCCAAGCATCAAAGTGACAAGTAAGTAATCCCATTTGTAGATGGTAATCCTAACCTGTTACAGTAGCAGTTGTGAGTCGTGGGATGATCCTCCAAGCAGAATCTGCAGCGACTCCCATAGCCACAGAAGTCCACCCTTTCGAAGCGGAAGTGATATACTGAGAGGGTACAGATCTGGGGAAACTGAATGGTGAATGGTGGTTCTTCCATGTCATTCACCAAAGACATGAATTCTTATTTCCATGGTTATTCCATGTTATTCCACCATTATTTATTTCTTATTTCATTCTTTGGTGAATGGTGGACTATGTGAATTTTCGGTGAACATGTCATGTCGTGCCAAGCACAGCCTTGGAAGGTGATTCCTCGCAAGGCGCGGGCGGCGAAACGGGCGGCGAATGGGGTGCAGATGGGTTGGGATTGCTGATGTCCCACCTGAGATCTTGAAACCATCAACAAAACATCATGCCTTAGATCCTATGGAATCCATAGATCCCTATAGTCCGATTCACTCACCTGGATGAACTAACTTGGCAAGACATGCCTTGCGAAACCGCGCAACTTGCGCAACGGTCAGGATATCCCACAGATCTACACCATGTACAACGCTGGGGTGGAACAAGAGACGCTGGGACCCCCAAAAAAAAGATGAACATGGTATTGAGGAGATCCATGGAAATTTCACGCTGCAGTTCCCTGGTAGGTTATGTTGGTGGTTATATAATGTTATAGAATGTTATACAATGCTATATATTATAGCTATTCTAGGAATCTGATATTTCTATATAATCTCTTCTCAAGATAGTCTTAGAGAATAACTAGTAAAACACTGAATATACCATGACATATCTCGGTTCCGTGCCAAGGAATGGAGTGCGGCAGCACAAGCTTCCACTGGAGGCTGTGGTATTGGGATTCATGATCCATGGATCAATAGCTCAATGGATTGGTTTTTCATGGGAACATCTACTCTACAGGAAAAACCCTATATGTTTTTTTAATGGGAAAATACAAATGGAAAATCCGATTAAGATGTTCCCTAAAATCAATCCATTGAATTGCAGTGATGATTGGACTCTCCACGATTATTGGGTAGTACTATCATTATTACTCTTCTTGCCATTAGCATCAATGACGTGTCAAACATGGAAGATTAGAACTAACAGATCTTGAACAAATATTAGTGATGTCAACCATTCATAGAACCTATAGAGATCAGATGATCAATGATGATCACTATTTGGGGAGTATCACCCCAATTGGCAAAGCATGGGATCAGATGAATCTGGGCTTGACACTCTCGGTTGACACTCTCCGAGAGAAAACACAAAAATGGTACCGTGAAGATCATGGGAAGAACCAGCTCTGGTGGTTCCCAGATGATCCTTGCATGAAGAAATGTAGCATTGTAGTATAGTAGTTGGATCCATGGAATTGGGAAATTGGAGAAATGATTGTTTTATTATGGTTATTACATATTTAAATCCTTGGAAATCCCCGTTTATACCTGACTTTCCCGTTGAAACCTGCACTAGAAACAGGTTTTCCATTGCCACGTTTGATTACCAGAGGATACCCGGGAAATCGATGGGGATGGTAGGTTGATGATCCAACAAAAGCAGGGATGAATCACCAGTTACTGGTGACAACGAACTGCTTCCAAGTTCCAAGCCATTCAAATTTCTTCATCAAGCTGTCCAATTTACCATCAAAAACAGATTCAACATCAACTAAGCCCAACAAAACCCCAACTAACCAACCATTTCAACCTCCCCAACTAACCCAAACAACACCCAGATCTAAACCCAGCACTTCCCGTTGCGGATCCCCCGAGATCCAGCGCCAGGCCTTCCGCCAGAAGCGCGAAGAGGTGGTGCAGGAGGTACTCCGCGCGCGCACGCGGCACTGGGACAACGTGATCACCGCGACGGAGGCGCCCGGTTGAGGCTGTTGGGGCTGTGAAATAGTAGGGATTCATACTTGGGGCAAACATTTACTACATGTACTGTTGGGATATATATATATATATATTATATATGTTATATATATATATAAGTTATATATATAATTATATAATATTTATGTATTTATAATACAATTGGGCAAATTTATAGCGACCTCACTGTTCTTCTTCACTGGAATGGTGGTTAGTGAGGGGAATCATCCACAATATAGCCTTAATTCAGGTTAGTGAAATATAATTATTTACCCAGATTCACTGGAGATTAAGCGAACCATTTTATGAGGATATGCTAGATAGATACATTTATGGGGACATACTAGATACACATACACTGGATATACAGAGTTAGGGTATTATATAGATAATATATAGACATCATTAGTAGATAATATACACTCATGGGGATATACACTAGATATACACAGTTGTTTATATATTATATATGTAATATCATATATATATATGTGATATCATATACATGTAATATCATATATATATAATATTATATATATAGTATCATATATAATATCATATTTATACATATATATATATATTATCATATATATATATATTATCATATATATATATTATCATATATATATATATTATCATATATATATTATCATATATATATATTATCATATATATATTATCATATATATATATATTATCATATATATATTATCATATATATATATTATCATATATATATAATATCTTATATATACATACATAATATCATATTTATATAATATTAGATATATAAAATACATGATATTATATAAAATAATATAATAAATATATAATATGATATAATATTATAGTATTGTAATACACACACACATATATATATTAAAAACTTTATATGATAAATATTTTTGTTTTAATGAGTGGCTCATCCCCGTCGACCAGGACACCCTACGGCAGCTTGAGATGGTGTGCACTGTCTCGATGGCTGTGCGCATGCGCGTGCGGAGGCGTGGCGATTCGGTCGAATGGGATGTGTTTTTTATTGGTGGTTTAAGGGAGTTTAAGCGGATTTCATATTGTAGTTTTTTTTGATTTATATGTATGTATATATGGAAGTTTACCCTCCAGTAAACTAACATAATTAGCTATGGAACATGGATAATTTATAGATGATGTACCTATTAAACTACATAATGATATATAATGGTTTTTCCATAGTTATGATAGTTTACAGGAGGGTAAGGGAGTTTAAGCGGATTTCATACTGTAGGATTTCATCGGATTTCATCGGATTTATGTTCTTCCTTGGATTTGAGATTTGTGAATGGCGAATAATGGTGACACTTTGTATTGGCATTTCATGAAATTGAATGGGATTTAACGAGATTTAACGGGATTGAACAACCCACCGTGAATTTACCATCTTGTAATTTAACCTAGCTATGGTATAGATGGCACATTTATGTACAATTTAATTTACCAATCTCTAGATTTCTAGGGGATTTCTCACCAACAAAACCGTATACTTTGGACAACAACAGATGACAACAATCAGTGGTCACATCACCAACATCAAACATGGGTTGCCAATCCGAAAAAATGCTATGGACAACGGATGATGGGGATGGAACTGTCCATGGTGTCTCCATGATATCCCCCATGGGGTACCCCAAGAAAGGCCCATGGCAAAGCCCAGGCAACGGAATGACGTGTGGTTCTGGAGCTCCAGTCTACTAGGCCGCGGAAGTGGTAGATTCATTGTTTGTATGTAAAATTATGTAACTATAGTTACAATACAATGTATATATACATACTATATATACATACTACATATACTTCACTGTGTAATATATACTATATACTACATACTATATACTTGATACTATATATATATACACACTATATTAACTATATATATATATGTACATATATATATATACAAATGATAGATTCTACATGTACCCTACTCATAGCTATGCCTTACGACTCCATACTGCTAGCTGGTGGCGAAAGAAAGTCACGAGCAGGTATCCCGAGCCTCGTGGCTGGAAAGTTCATCTACGAGAAATGGCCAGGCGCGTTTTGTCATAATAGGATCTGTGCAAAAAAATCCATGGGAAAGATGGGGAAGATTGGGAAGATGCTCAAGCTGAAGATGGTGGTTTATGATTGTCTTGAAGGAGTTTAAGATTTGAAAGATTAAGCAGGAAATACGTTTCCACTCTCTACATGACTGTGAAGGGCAATGCTGCGGGACCGGGAACATTTTGCAGACTGTCTCATGACTTTGGAGCCACAACTTGTGACCTGTGGGATTGAAGACATGAAGGTGAGAGATTTCTTGAACATTTTCGCTTTCCATTCTGATTCCAAACTATGAGTCTTCACAGTCTTCCCAGTTTTTTGCTTAAAAAACAACAGCAACAGCCATTTTTTGTCTTCTCCCTGCCACTTTCATCTGCCAGAAAATTTGGACAGGCAACCGGTGGCTCCACGGTGGTGTGGCTCCCATGTTCAAATCCCCAAAGATGCTACCCCCGTGGTAAACTATATATATAACATAACTATGGAAAGATCCACCATTTTTAATGGGTAAAGAAAAACTATTTCAATTGGGCCATTTTCAATTGCTATGTTAAATTACCAGAGGCTATTTCAATCTATTTCAGAGGTGTTGATCCATCCCCAAATGCGAAGGTTCAGCATGCCTCACAAGTATCACGACACTTTATGGTGCTTTTTGCGGGACCGCAGCAAAGAACGGGCATTGAGCAGCCATTTTGGTTCAGACCATTCTGTTACTCATATTGAAATAAGTCATCAATATATGTTCATACATGTTTTCTTCACCATAGAGATGCATTTCTTATGGTTTCATGACCAACCAACAAAAATGATAAGTTTATTGAACCTCATAAAACATGGGAAACAAAAACAATGGGAACAAGTAATGGTCAAAAAAAAAGTCCCAATGGTTGGCCACAAACCGACCATGAAAAAACATGACCCATCCGTCGAAGTCCATCGAAATCTCAGGCTGCCTTGGTGCCTTTGGCCTTTTGGCCCTGGGTGTTACCAGCTTCATCTGCGAGTGCCCCCATCACTAACTGGACGTCTGACATTTTGGGCGAAAATCCACCGAAAGTCCATTGGTTGATCATCGTTTTCCCCATTAAAATGGCCATTTGGGAGAGTTTTCACCACATTTTCAGACGCACCCAGTAAAACACAAACTTAGGCATTCTTAAGCCCCCAAGTGGGAGCATAGAATGAGATATATTTTGACACTGGGGACAGTAGTGGACCCTGAATTCTGAGATCAAACCCAGCATGTCTTGTTTGCATGGACTCCTCATTTTTTCAAACACATATATTTACATATATATATATATCTACATATATATATATATATATATCTACATATATATATATATCTACTACACATATATATATATATCTATCTATATATATATATCTACATATATATATATATCTACATATATATATATATACATATATATAGTACCTGAACAATGACTTTAGTATTGGATACCGAGAAGTGCTCAGGGTCCACGTGAGTCTTGTCAAGGATGTATACTTCTTATCAACTTCATCACTGCCAGCGCTGCCTCTGGGGTCTCAAGGTGGGATTGACCAGCAATTCATGGCAATTTCAATTGGAAAGCTGATGGATTTTGGCGTTGGATGGTTTTCCGTGGCTGTCTCAGCTTCGGATTCCTTTTTTATCACTGAATATCACTGATGACTGATGAAAGGATCATGGTCGACGAGTTTTTTTGGGACCTGGAATCAGTGCAATTCACATCAATTCACATGACTCCGACGATGATCCCCCAACGAGTTCCTTTTTTTTTGCCCGGCTCGGCTCGTCTCATGAACCTCCAAGCGGTGAAACGACAGGACCCAGATGTCATAGCCGTGAATTGATCCGGAGATTTTCTCCTCCGTTGAGGAATCGAACAACATGAACATTCTTATTTTCCATGTGTTTCCTTGAGGTTTTCAGGAAATCATCAAACATCCAGGTCAACTTCCAGCTAACGAATCTGGAAATCCAGCCCCGCCATGTCCTGCAACTGTGCTGAGTCCACCGCCGTGTCTTGGCTTAGGTTTCCATGAGGGATCTCCAGTTTGTGGCTGGTTTATAATGGAACATCTTATTTAACATATTTTGAATGGATGATTTGGGAGTACCCCCATTTTAGGACACCTCTAGATGCTGAATAACAGTTATATAGCTAGTAATTTTACTAATACTAGCACATAATAATGGTTGATAATAATATTGCTCTTAACGATAGTCAATAACCGATAAGCACCAATGGATAGGAACTCTTCATCTGGTTTCAGGGTTAATGCAATGAAGATGTATATGAGAATTTATCCAGAACTCTATAACTGACTTCGTATGAGATTCGGGTTCCATATCCGGGGATTTTTGTCCCCCCAACCGCAAGACCTGGCGGGGAACCTCTCGCTGACAGGTAAGGGGACCCCCCAAAATTCAGCGGCACATTCAGGTACCCAAAATGGAGGTACTGTACTGTAACAATTTCTTCGGAGATCTTTGGAGGATATTCCACAGGCCTTAGATAGACAAACCATTACATTTAGACCTTACATAAGTTAGGTACCTCCAATGAAGGTTCCTGAAAGTTCCCTTCAACAAAATCCTCTTATTCTGTGGGAAAAAAAATCGCCAGTCGACAAAAGTTCGCTGCTTCACCGGTGGAATGGGGTACCCTGCTTTCAGACCCAGCCGTTTCCTTGTTGGATAGCGGCGAATCCAATCCCTTTTTTTGCCGCAGCTGCAAACATTTAGATTGGACTGATTGGACCCTAATCTCTTGCTTTAGTAACATCGCCAATTTTCTTGTTGGCAGCATCCGCATTCGAATTCTATAGATCGTCATAGAATCCTTGGTGAAACCATCCCATTCTTGCCGTAGCCTCGTAAACTACAATAACATATTTTGTATCTTTTTCTGAGTTAAAATCCTCATCCTATCATCCTTGTCTTTGATCAAACATTCCAAACTCATCATGTTGATACTGGATTAAACTCCCTGTAACTGTACTAAACATAGTTTTCACAGAATGTATATATAACTCCCTATAACTCCTTATAACTCTCCATAGTTCCCTATAGTTCCGTAAAAAAAAGATGTGTATCTTCTGGTTTTCACTTCCGAACCTCCCCATGGTGACCGCTTTGGTGTACCCCAGGTCGCGGATCGGCGCGACGCCTATGAGGACTTCGTGAAAAAGCAGCTGGATGCGCTGCGACTTGGCAAAAATGACAGAATTAGGCAACTTGGAGGTTTTGAAAAGGTATATAATAGCATAAATATAGGTTAATAATGGTTGAAACTATGATACTGATTTATAGGTTAATAATGGTTCACAATGATTAATGATTGTTAAGAATGGTTACTATAGCCATGGAAATTTCATGAAATAGAATTGGAGAATAATGGGACATAATCAAGAATAATGGATGAACAACGGATAGCATAAGTTATAGCCTCTGAGACTCTGGTACTTTTACAGTTTCCGAACTGTTTTTTTGATGGTTCATTTATACATAAATAAATATATATATATATATATATTATATTTATATATAGCTCCATGATTTTACAATATTTTCCATAACTATGTTAGTTTAAAAGAGGGTATATGCAAATGGTTATGACTACCTTGATACATAGGGAGCTCATTTTTTGTCAACGATTCATCGATCAATGGTCATAGTGGATTTCAATCTTTTTCAGAAACACGGTGAATTTAGCCAACTAAACGGGTGAATAGGATCTAAAGGTGTATCCATATTCACCTAAAAATGGGTCCAGCAGTTAGCTCGCTATACTCATCGAGTTTCCCAACAAAGCACGTTTGATAGATATTGAGATAAGCTGGGACAGGGCTAGGGGCTAGGTACAACCAATGGAAAAAAGCCCCAGAAGTTGGGAAGGGGATATGGGCCCTGAGCAGAAATCCCCATCTCGATGGGCATGGTCAAAAGGTCAAGTCATTGGATACGAATCGATCCATGGCGCCATGGCTTCTTCTTTCCTGACCCACTGGGTACAGAAAAAAATGACCCATAGCCATGGATTTCATTCAAGATAAGGCTTCAGTTGGGCTGAACGAATTGCAATTCCCCTCAACATTTATGGGCGTTGCTTGTGAATAGCAGGGAAACTTAGCAAGTGGGTTGTAACTATAACCCTAGTTATATAAGTAGGCTTAATCCACTTACAACTGGGGTTATAAACCACTTACTAAGTCAGATGAGCCACCAAGTAATGCGGTAAATCATGGAACTAGCCATGGAAGTTTCCCACAATGGGGGTACACCGTGTCTCATCCAGCTATCAGATTGGGATTCTCCATGAAATATTTTTTCCACCCAGCGATTTAAATTGGGTACCCCAATTTCATCCAATTTATGGAACCCCCCAAATTGGATTAAAACATATTAAAACTAGATTAACTAGGGACATTGCTAGATTTATGGATCCCAATTTCATCCAATAAATGGGCCATGTCCCAGGCGCTATGTGAGTTTTCTCAGGCGCCAGAGCTTACTACGGCGCTACGACACGGAGCTGCTATATGGCTCATCTGGCCACGTGGTGAGGGACGACGAGGTGCAGGCGTACGCGGTGCGCTGGGGATCATGTGGAAAACGAATGGGAAGACAAGCAACAATCATGGATGATCATGGATGAACTTAATATTATAATATATATGTATACATAAGATTAAATAAGTATAATAGACATTTTTTTTTTTAAAATAATGTAAAATGGGGATACACTTTCACCTCTTGTTATTTCACATAGCTATGGTTTATAGATGGCCCATTTACTTATAGCTGATTTATGATGGTTTGCCCATTGAACATGATGATTCTTTCATTGCCACCGTTGAACCGGAGGCTTTCCAAACTATGACATGTTCATACATTTTCAATGGGATGAAGATGTTGTTTTGTCGTCTTGTACAAGCAAATCGAGTAGTACAAGATATCAACTAAACCCAATTGGTTTTCACACCAAATGCGGGCACAAGATGGCACAAGTGAACCACAGCGAAGCGACAGTAAAGCGATGAGTCTCGCTGGTGGGGTTGATGCAAGAAGAGGCGACTGATTTACGCAACTCTTCTACGTACATGATGTTGAATCATGCATCTCCCTAATAATAGAAATAAATATCCGGTAGAAACTCGAGTTTAGTGGATCTATTCATTTTTGGGGTCCCTTTTGCGGGGTACAAAATTTGACCTTTGCCCACGCGAAAAACAGTGCGTGATGGGATCAGAGGTCTAATCTGGAACTTTCGGCGGAAGTCTCCCAGCATATTCCCATTGAAATCGCCAGCATTTTCCCATTGAAATCCTATTAAAAGCCTCATTTTTCATGGGATTCTCCCATTAAAACTGCCCATCATTTGACTACCGGAGAGTATATGATTCCCGAAATCTCATGGATATTTTCCATGTCAGGGGAGGGCTGGTTACCCTGGTTGAATCCCTGGATCAGAAGATCTTTGGATCCTTTGGAAGGGAAAATCTGAACCGGACACCATGGGTTTTTAAGCAATTCATAGGGCTTAAACCATCTTAAACCAATGAATTTCCCCTTAAACCACTCCAGTGATGTTCAAATCACCCCAAGTTCTCAGGTGGGCAAGCGCCACGTGGTGTCCGTCACCGTGGACGACCGGCTGCGGGGAGTGCCACCGCTGGAGCGTAGCTTGAAGCATCGACAGCTATGATCCACCATATATCGAACATTGGGATTTAGCCATCAAACATTGGGATGGCTGTTTGATGCATCAAATGCTGGGGGTTCACCATCATCGGGACTGAACTCCTGTTGATTGATGATGAACAATTCATTGGGGATATCATGGGATATAGTGACTATAGTGGGATACAAAACAAGCAATATACGTGAAATGAGTGCGTTATTTTCCGCTCAACAAATCGACGAAACGGACAGGACTTGTCGTCCGGTGTCGAAGAGGTTGGTTTCCCAGAAAACCGGGACCCAGTCGTCGTGCTGGAAACGAGGTTCTCACGAAGATTCAGAGGACGCTTTCTTCTATCCACGATGGATCGAGTTGATGCTCGACGAAGTCGCTGTGTCATAAGGGACAGGATGATGATCCATACAGACATACAGACATACAGACATACATACAGTATATGTATACCTCTTGAATTCTCAATACCACTGATATGTCTGAATATTTTCCCCAGGTTTTCAGTTTCTGTTTTTCCCCAAAGGTGCATCCATTTTTCCAATGCTTAGCTTTTGTTTTTCGTTTCCCCAGGCCGTCCAAATCCCCACAGCTTCACCCGAGTTTTTTTCAGGCGTTCGATTCGTTCCATTTTTTCAGTTTTTTTTTTTTCCGACTCTGACTCTTTTCTCTATTCTTACATATTTTTCCCAATGTTTTGTCCATTTTCTTTCAAAAAGACCACCAGTTCAAAACCTGCTGAATTGCGGCCCAGGACTGCGAAGATGCTTCAGATGAAGGACAACGACGAGGGGAACAGTCAGGATGACTTCACGGAGAATGATTTGCACATGCTGCCCATGTGGAACATCTCTCTGCAGGACGGACGCGGCGAGTCGATGAGATCGTGGGATGACACCGGACACCAAAAATATGGGGAATCTGTGGGGAATATATCCACTATTTGCATCTTGGACTAGGAATATACCCTCTCTTTTGGAAATCTATAGCGTATATTTCGTGTTTTGGGTGTTAGCATATCCAAGTGACTCAGGGGATTCCATTGGTTCGAAAGCCATCTTCTTGGTGTCGCTTCAAGGCTGTTTCAATCCCGACATTTTCCTGTTTTGCGTCTTGGTCACATTTTTTGTTGATTAGATCCAGATTTCGATTCTAAGATCCATAATTTTCATTGCTTTCCAGCCGCATTTATGAACGCCAGGACTTGAAACGCCGTACTCGGCCCCGCAACTTTCGCACCATGTTTACGCATGACAAGATGCTTGGCAGAGCTTTGTCAGCTGGGTCGACTGAGTGGTGTACAGTCATCTTTTGCCCAAAATTGGGGGCGTAGTATACACCCAGAAACAGCAGTTTAATGTTGGACAATTATTAGCAACCAGTTGATTTGGGACAGACACATAGTCATAGGGTTCAACCGACGAGTTTCAGAAATTGCTCTCAATCGGGTTGTTTTGCTAACCCCTTTTGAGACAGCCATAGACAGCTATTATGGTTGGCAATGCATCCCCTTAACATCCACACGATTATAGATTTAGATGGTTTCAATCAACATTTTCACCGTTTAGCCCTTCCATATGTTAGTCGGAAAGCTCGATAAAAATATCACCAGAAGCTTCCATTTGTATATAACTCGAACATCCCCAGCATATCCCAATTGTCATACATATGCATGGTGAAGTCCAATTTTTTTTAGGTTTAAATCCCCATAACATGAGAGTGGGACACCCCCCTCCGCGGGCCAATTTTGACCGCGAGGAAGGGCAACCTGAAGATGAAAGATACAATCCGCGAGGCTGATCTGGGTGGAGGGTCATGGCAGGTTACGGCAGGTTACTTTTTTTTTTCTCTAGATGTATTATACGGTATGATGTTTAATTTATAGTGTGTATCAAAGATGTACTGTATATGATATATTATAATAGAATATATATATATATACAGTATATGATATGACATGATACGATCTGATAGGATATTATCTGATCTGATCTAATATGATAGCAGATACATACATCTCCATCAAAATGCATGGTGGCTAAATACTGAACATTATATGTTGGGTCCGTTAGTAGCCCAGTTTTGAGCCACAGCTGTTCTTGTCCGGATGGAAAGTAACAAGTACTTGGAAATCTTGGAACCAGCAACAGTAGCTGTTGTAATTTGGTACAGTTTGCGAAGTGGTCATAAGTGGTCTAGATGGGCCCATGGGCCCATCGATTGTTGATGTTTTACCATGTTTTACCTATCCAAAATGATGAGTTCCCACAATGGAGCCATGACCGGGGCCGATGTGACCATCTTTTATGGATAGCTGGGGATAGCCAGCACCACTTGGGGTTTCGAAGGATTTCCCCAGAATTTTCCGAGGTAGATTCAATGTGTACATGAAAGTACAATCCACCTCACACCTTTGCAGTTCAAACAACACTTTGTTACCCTGGGGCAAACATAGATGTGGAAAATCACAATTTTAATAGATATTTCATCCAGGAATGGGTGATTTTCCACAGTTCTGTGAGTTTCCCCTACAGGTTTGTTGGTTAGGCAGGGTGCGGTTCGGAGCGGGTCTGGATGGTTTCCCAACCAGATGTGCTATGGTCATCTATGGTCAAGTTACATCAAGTTACATGGTTATGGAGGTTTCCGTCTTGTCATGGGAGTAGGCCAGTCATTCAAGTCATTGGATCAGTTGAGTATTGAAACTGGCGCATGGTGACTAGGTCAATCTTACATGGGTAATGGGATGTTAATGGATATTAATAATGGATGTTAATAATGGATGTTAATGGATGTTAATGGGATAATCGTAGATGGGTAAGTACTAATCATGCTTTAGTCTTTTGGTATTAATGGGAATATCTACGTTCACCAGCAAAGAATTTATTCTTGTGCAGGGTATCTGACAGATTGGCAATGGTGACGACTGATCCATCTCCATCTCCAAAGCATTTTTCTTCGGGGATGGTCATACCGTGAAACTGGACTTTCCAAGGGGCACATCTTGATAGATAGCAATAGAAAATAACCAGTCTTAATAGGAACATCATATTCATCTCTAAAAGGGCTCATTTTCCATACCTATGTCAAATAACCAGAGGTTTACTCACATATTACACAAATACCAGATATTTTTCTACTGATCGTCTATTGATCGTTTTGCTGTTCGATTAGCAGGATCTCCATGTTGTTTTCACGGCGCCAGGAGCTGTCGTGTCTCCATCGCATGGTGCTCCAGCCGAATAGCTGGCAACAACTGTTGTGGACGGCCATTGGGGCAACGTTGCCGCTCGGAAGATGGCTTGGCTATGGCTATGGTTGGCTATGGTGAGGAGTCCTTCAGAGGACACTCTTTGGTTGCAGATTCCGACGAGTTTCTGAATGTTTTTTATTGGATCATCCGAAAATGCGTCGATTCTTGTGCCAAGAACTTTGGACATTGGCATCACTTGGGGCTGGTTCTAGAGTGATTTGTTAAGGGTGGATTTGAGAAGAAAAGGCAGGATTTGACCCAAAGGGGAGACGAAACTTGGGACATTTCAGTGAGATTGTACAGAAATGTATCTCATGGATTGCACAGAATGCCACTGCCGGCGTAAATGCTGTCCCGTAGAAATGGCCAGGATTTCCTCATATCACTAGAGAATGGCCAGAATGGCTCAAGGATCTTGTGGGACCTCATCACCATTCCCTTGGGTTTCTTTTCGAGCGCATTGCCCACGTATCTTGGCGCCAAGTTAGCCTGGATCATGGTGCATACATCAGGTAGGTATTTCCTAGGGGGTTCCATAAATGGGGGATTCCCAATAGCTGGAAGGTTTATGATGGAAACCCTATTAAACATGGATGATTTAGGGTCCCTCCCTTTTAGGAAACCTATATATATATATATTATGTGTGTATATATATATATACATCTACAGTATCATGGTCAATAGTGGGATAATAACTGGAATCCATGATGGTGAACCATGGTGTTTTATAAGGGGAACACCATCAATAATAATGGATGAACGGGGGATCTCCAGTTTTTTCGCCGTGGCTTAACCGTTAATACAGATGGTCAATGGCAGGTCATCCATGACGGGATGAGAACTGGACCCCCATGGCTTTGGAACATTTCAGGACGTCTCTGAAAGCCCGTGAAAGTACACCTACTGGCTACTGAACAATACTGAACATGTGCTTTCTGTCTCTTTCTTGACTCCTCAACTGGTCAAGAACAACCAGAATGGCTCATGGCTTATTGTAATTTCTCATACTTCTTGCAACTAACATAGAGGCCCTGCCTCAAGTTGGGGCTTGGAAGACAGTCCTTTCGTCTAAAAATGCTAATGTGAATGTTGGAAGAATGGTACTACTGTATGCGCAGATTAATCAACATTATCTCATTCCCCCAACCAACCCATGGTTCCATTGAATTCCCATCATACTGTACATTCCCATGGAATGTCCCCACTACATCCCATTTGACCAGAATTTTTCCTGCTTACCCTTGGCAAACCAACAATTTCTGATGGAAAATCACAATTTTTCATCGATTTTCATGCATCGCAAACGGTATCAAACTGCCAGAGGAAAAATATCGGTATATCGGTATATCCGTATATCTTATCCCCATTTTTCTTGCTGAACTCCCCATTCTTCCAGGCAAAATGGGTCGGAAATCCATGGAAATCCGGCATCCCAAAACACACCACTTTTTCGTCGGTCGTCAGGTTCCTGGACTTCCTGCGGATCTTCTCGCGCTTCAGCTTTGCGTACTGGAGCCTCTCGGGGATGGCCCTGGTGCGGTTGATGTTTGGTCGGATCCGATTCGAGGGAGAGAAAGTGATGCTGTTTTTGTGGAGCTTTCTTGATAAGATGATGTTTTTATGTTTTGTTTGCTTTGTTGATTGAAGATATTGAAGATGAATTTTAAAGAGATTTAACCATTGACATCCATTGACATAGATATGATGAAAGGGATATTATACCAAGCAAAATGGGAATAATAATATGGGATATTGGATAAATTTGCTCACGACCTCACTGCGACGTCACTAGAAATGATGGTTAGGATGGGGGGAACTATCCACAAATGACCGACCTTTTTAGGTTTGCGAATCATGTTGAACATTTTTCAATTATCCACTCATTGAATATACATTTATATATATACATGATACAAATGTATATTATAGTTACACACATATATATATATATAATATGGATATGGATCATACATACTATCTACCATTGAAGGTTGATAATTTGATGTAGCAGTAACCGCTCAGAGACGAAAGACACGGATGCGCTATTTGTAGTCACATCCAACTGTTTTGCTGGGCCTAATATGGCACTGTAACATCCCCCGTGAAAGTAGATGATGTCCGTGAATAAAAATTCGGGTTTTGAACATCTCCCTTCATTTTCGGTTGAATTACCTTCATGTTCCATGCCCCCTTGATGTTCCCTTCATTTTTTTAAACAAGCTATAGCTCTTTCCCACAGCATGTTCCCCGTTCCCCTTATTTCCCATTCGTGTTCCGTCTTATTCCACTTTCCCTTCATTTTTCCATGTCCCCATCCATTTTCCACTTTCTCCACACATGGATTTCCCCCAATTTTCCATGCCCCCGGTCCATGGTTTTCCCCGACGAAACTCCAGGGTCACCGACATGCCATTGCACCTGGTTTTCGGCCTGGAGCTCAACGGTGCGCAAGAGTTGAGGCCCAAGAAGCTGGCGCTTCTCTATCTCAGCTTCTCAGCTCGAAGCAGCGCGCCATCGCTGGTCGGGGATTTGGCTCACTCACCGAGAAGTGAACATGAGTTTTACACCACTACTGTCTCAGAAACACCACTTGTATTCCATTTGCCATTTGCCTCTGAGAACACTGCAAGTGCACACCACTGGCCCCTCGTACAATAATCTCTCGGAACATTCCAATAAGGTAACCCCCCCCAGAAAAAGGCCCAGTTGAGGGATGGTTTATACATGTTTATACCACAGATTTTGTTTGTTTAATTTCTTCATGGGTTTGCCACATCCAAGCAGAGGATCTTGGTTCTTGATGGATCTAGTCCTTATTTCCATCGATGCCACTATCTTGATCTTGGAAATCTTTGAGGCGTGGCACAGATAGGGAGACCCCGATTCGGGATGATGACGGGATGACAAATCCGGAAGATAGGAAAAACATGATAGACAGTGAATAGATTCCCATTTTTACTATGAAAAAACCTTTGTGATATATTCCCAGGCATATTCTGTCATAGGTTATTAACCATTTTATGGGAATAATGGGAATATCGCTTCAGTAGTTGGACGACCCTGCATATTCCATGTAATATTGTATAGTAGCCTTAAAGTGGGCTGTTTTCGTAGCCTTAAATATTGTAGCCTTAATCAAACCTCCAACCAGTTTCCCAAGCGTATTTTTTCTGGCTTCTTTCTCCATTGTCATCAGCTTTGTGGCCACCATCAATTGGATTTCAATTGGGAAATCCCTACAAGGTGGTGCCCCATAGCTGGCTGCTAAAAGCCAAGTTGGTCTACAACTTTCCGGCCACCTGTGGTTTGACACGGTGGATATAGTCGGGTGGGTTTATAAACAAACATAAGTTGGGGGGCACCTCGCAATGACTTGGAAGTGCAGTGACCCAGTGAGAAGTGGAAACATCACCATAGTTATAGAGGGTTTTCCATGGTTTTCCAAGAACTTGGGGTGATTTCACCATCTTTTTTGAGCCATTTCGAACCATTTTTGCTCAACTGCCCCATTTCAAGTCCCCGTTACGTTCGCCAGGAAAGCGTCCCTAGCTCGGCGCGGCTCTTCCGCGTCATGCGGCTGTTGCTCGGGGAAAATTTCCTGCGGCCGATCCAGTGGGTTTTTTTGGGGTCCAAATGGCTGGAACTGTTTCCACAGAAAATTTGGCATTAGCCTCTGGTTATGACTAACAGTTCGCCATGGAAAATAACCCATTTATAGATTATAGATGGTTTACCTGGGTTTACCTAGCTATAAAATGGTGATTTTCCATGGCGAACTGTTAAATAACCAGATGGTACATTGAAAGAAACAACTATATAAAAGATGGCGATATTATATATGTAGGTATACCGATATTATATGATATATATATATACACACCATTGACAAAGCCAGCGGTGTTTGATATATTATAGGTGTTCAGCGGGGATTGTTTTAGCACATTGATGGTGGATAAACATGGTCCGACATGCCATTATTCTCGCTGTGGGATTCCCCGGTTATATTTAACGATCTTCACAGCCACCATTTGTCTCAGAACAGTATCGCCACGGATTTTGGAGAACACATCTTTGCATCTTGTGAATTGTTGTTCTGACGAAGATGTTATTGAAACTGCCAATGACCAAGAAAACAAACATCAAATCTGTCAAGATGTCTCAGTCAACCTTTGTTTACAGGTGCTAGCAGTCTGCATTATTCATTGGTAGGACAACGGCTTAATCTTCTGCCACATGTATGAACAAATACATATGAGCCTATGAGCCATTAAAAATACCTTTGTTGATTGGTTATTATAGGGAATTGTACTACCTAATTGATTGATTATCATAATCCATAGTGGGAAAACCTATCAACCCAATAGTAGAATGAGATGAGAGGACGGGTATTTTTCCTTGTTCGTGTGCAAGCGTCCAAAAAAATCAATCATCCTTTTTTTGCGATGCGATAAGTATCTAGGCCATACGACTTGCCATAGGGAATCCCCATCGATCGATCCATTTATCAATTACGCTAATCGATTAAGTATCTCTAGAATCCATCTACTGATTGGATAAGTGATGGAATTACTACTCATAAATGGAACGATATCCCATTATCCTCTGGTAATTTAACATAGACATGCACAATCACATAAACTCACAATTTTTAATGAGTAAATCATTTTTTCTAATTATATCACATACATGGGCAATTTCACCACCTAGTGCCAGAATACTACTACACTATCTAGAAGACGAATCGATTATATCATCACTATGAGTTTCATACTAATATTACTTCTTTACATAACACGAGTTCCGAGGCTGCGCTTGCTCCGTCTTCTTCGACTAACGCGGCTGCAAAACAAGGCAATCCTAGAGAATTCCTGCGGATTTTCATGGGGGAAACAACACTCTATGGCATTGAATGGGAATGGTTTATAATTCTCCCATTTATATAGATAATTTTTTGTTATTAACCTGGAAAAACCTGATGTACCCTCGGGCAATCTGGTGGGAACATGATCTATAATGGTAAAACAACATATTATTTGTAATGGAATGTAATGGGAGATCTCAACCATCATGGGGATATAATACGAACTTAATGGGACACAAACCTCTGGTAATCAAACATGGAAAAATGATCTATATAGATGGTTGATATTTGTTGATGATGGTGATTAATGGTGACTAATGCTTAATGGCTTCATAATGGTCATTCATGGAATGACCCTCCGGTAATCAAACATGGCAACGGTTTTTAATGAACGTTACGGTCCTACTACGGTTTGTAGGTGTTTTTCTATGGGAATCAAAACCCCACGTTTGAGAAAACCAGAGGGTAGCTATGGACAATCATCATTCTTGATAGGTAAATACCCTCTGGTTATGACTAACATAGCCATGGAAAATGATCCATTTATAGATGATGTTCCCATTAGAACCTCCATTTATAAGGGATTTTCCATAGCTATGTTAAATAACCAGATGGTATCGGTCAATGATTGAACTAAATGGGCCCTTTTCCATAGCAGTCACTGTCATTTTTTACCGGAGGGCTGTTACTGTGAACAGAGCTGCAAAATTGATGATGGTTGACACTAGTTAGAAAACACCCCCAACAAGATAGAGCATTTTTTTATCCCCTGAATATTTCGTGATGTTCGTTCACCTTTACCATCTTGTGGGGTGTCACTAGAACTATACCAAAAGGGTGATTTTTTTTTGCATTATTTCACCCATTCATTGCATATCTTTAGTAAGGGCCCATTCATGTGGTGTCTTGTGATTCGAGATCATATGGGTGTGTCTCAAAATGGGGTAAATTGTAATAACCTCACTGCAACGTCACTGGAACAATGGTTAATAGAAGGAATCATCCCAACATTAGCCTTATTTCAGGTTAATGAATTATGATTTATTGTTGATTTACCCATTAGAAATGGTGATTTTCCATAGCTTTTGTATGTTTAAGGCAGGGTAATCTATGTGATGTCACTGGTTTGTCAGCTTTCAGGTCATGGTGTTGGCAAATCGATTGTTGAGCACCAACGCCTTCTTGATTCTGAAGGCCCGGGTCGATTTTTCGGACGCGAGCTGGTTGTTGCTGGAAGAAACCAATGCAGATTTTTGATCATTAGCATTTGGATTGGGAATATTAAGGGCATATCAACATGTGGAGTTTAAGATGTCTTCATGGGATGTTTCACAGTTTTTCCTACCAACCAATATGATTGGGGTTGTCTGAGAAATATCAATGGGGATATCATGGGGTATAGAACCAACCAATATCAACCAATATGAAAATATGATTTGGGATTGTTTGAACATGGGGTTCAGTATACCCCAACTTTACTTACGGCCGTGTAATGGGGAATCCGGGATGAGAAACCATAAAATTTGGGGTACACCTGATTTCTAGACAAACCCTAAACCCACCCCTTTTTTGGATGAGTATCCAAAAGAAGTCATATTGTGTTCATAGGGATTGGAACCACTCGCCATCTTGGAAGATATGCAACCAACTTTCGGGACAGAAAGTGTCTTGGCTGCTCCCCGAGGTGACATGATGCCCACCTAGGATTTTGAAAATGGTTAGCCATAGATCCCATAGATTGTACCAAGGTGTGGTGGAACATCTAAAGCCTCAGATAAACCCTGAGTTGGCCTTGAGGGCCTACCTATCATCCCCAAAAGATACCAGAATTGCAGGATTCGCAGGGTTTGCGACTCTGTTTCATGGTAAAGAGCAAGGTTTCCTGTAAAATTTTCCTTTAAAAAATCTGGGGTAGCTGGGGACCGGTCAGGTGGCAGGTGGACTCTGTATGATGATGATCACCAACCACATCATTGCTTGCTGCTGGTTTCTTGGCATTTGGGCGTATGCAACAGTTCAAAACCACCTTAGAGCTAGTAGTTCGTGTAGATTTCTTTTCTAAGCTTGTTTGTCTAGACCGATTTCATGCAACAAAGAGAACAGCAAGAACAGGGAACCTACTTGGCTGTGCATAGAAATCAGTTGGTACGTGGCGACAAGCATGGTTTTTCAGCCAGCTACAAGTGCACAGTATAAACAAAATGATATACGTGGATAATGAACATGGAGTGACTAGAAGACCCAGATGGCCAATCGCACCTGATGCATGGTCTGTGGCAAACAAGCATGGTATTGCCCGATGAAAATGGGATAGCCCCAGCCTCAGCTATATATACATACACCTTATGATATATATATATGTATATATATATGTATATGTGTATATATATATATATGATATGACGTATGAAAGACATTGCATATGAATAAACACATACTATATTATATATAATAATGATCAATAATGAATATATATATATATAATTTATATATAAATATTTTTTGTATACATATGTATATACGTATGTAATCACATCTCCGTAGATATCATTCATTGACCACGCACTCCCAGGAGACCGTGCATCAGGTCCTTCAGGCCCAAAGACAGGCCGATTTGCGGAGTTTCACGGAGGAGCCATGGCAGCCTCTGAGAATGGTGGGAATGAAACCGCCGAGGTGGATCTAAAGGTGATTTGCTTGACAGGTGACTTGGATTCGCTGAAGTTTTGCGGAGGTTTTTTGGCGAAATTGGTAAACATACAGCAGAACTAGGGAATGGATGGGAATGGTAAATCCACCAGGAATCTTCTAGGAACGCACCCACACACACCTGCTATTTTTGGTCCCCAAAAACACAAATCCAAGGTGAAGGAATTTCTCTGAGGCTTCCCCTCTCAGCCACAGGCTGGCAGCTCCGCAGTGAGATTGTGGAGCAGCTACCCCCGAAGGCAGGAGCCAAGCTAAAGGTGCACTGCGGAACACGGGAACTGAACTTGAGCGCCTCCTTGGAACAGCAAGGCATCTTGGAGAACGGAGAGCCCAAGCCAATTTCCTGCACATACCTGCCAATGAATTTGGCTGACGCTTGGTTTTTCGTGCGAGGCATCCCAACTGCAGACGACAGGCTTGCATTGGAAGGAGTCAGGGAGTTGGCAACTGAAAGATGTGGTCAGTACTTGGAGCATTTACCTCGAAGCCTTCAAAATTTGACTTTTCTTGGCGATGGCAAGGGCAATCAGAGCATCCGCTTTGCTGTGCCAAGCGGTCTTTTACACTTGACCTTTGGTCGGCTGTTTAACCAGAGGCTAGATCATCTAACTCTCCCAAACAGTCTTCAAAGCTTGACATTTGGTTTCAGCTTCGACCAAAGCCTCGAACATGTGACTTTGCCCAGCAACCTCCAAAGCTTGACCTTTGGTTGCTTGTTCGACCAGAGCTTGGAGAATGTGACCTTGCCATCCCGTCTTCAAACCTTGACTTTTGGCGAGCAGTTCAACCGCAGTCTGGAGCAAGTAAACTTGCCGAGCAGCCTCGTAAATCTAACTTTTGGCGAGCAGTTTAACTGCAGCCTGGAGCATGTAAAGTTGCCAAGCAAACTTCATACCATGACTTTTGGAAAGCATTTCAATCAGAGTCTTGAGCTTGTGTCACTACCAAACGGTCTTCGAAGCTTGACATTTGGTGCTTGGTTCAGCCAAAGCCTCGAGGGTGTAACGTTGCCAAGCAGTCTTCAACGGTTGACTTTTGGTTTTTCCTTTAGGCACGGCCTTCAACACGTGGCTCTGCCAAGCGGCCTTCAAAGCTTGACCTGCGGCTATAAGTGCAGCCAGTGCAGGCATGAGCATGTGACATTGCCCAGCAGTCTTCATAGCTTGACCTTTTCTGCTTGGTTCAACGACAGTTTGGAGCATGTGGTGTTGCCAGAAGGTCTAAGAAACCTCACGTTTGGTGAGAAATTCAACCAACAGCTGGTGCAGGTGTGTCTACCGGGCAACCTTCACAGTTTGAAGTTTGGACAGCTGTTCAACCAGAGCCTTAAGCATGTCACGCTGCCAAGGAGTCTACGTGAGCTGACTTTCGGTGACCGTTTTAACCAGAGTCTGGAGAGCACAGTATTGCCAAGCCGCCTTCAAAGTTTGACGTTTGGTTCTTGGTTCAACCAGAGCTTGGAACATGTGACCTTGCCAAGCAGCCTTCAGAGCTTGACGTTTGGTGATCAATTTAACCAAAAGCTGCAACGCGTGGCCTTGCCCAGCAGTCTGCAGAGCTTGACATTTGGTGATGGCTTTAACCAAAGTCTGGAGCGTGTGATTTTGCCACGCAATCTGCAGAGTTTGACTTTTGGTGCTGGGTTCAAACGAAGCTTGGAAGCTGTGAACTTGCCAAGCGACCTGCAAAGTTTGACTTTTGGTGCTGGATTCAACGAAACCTTGGAGCATGTGAACTTGCCGGTTGATCTGCAGGCTCTTATTTTTGGTGCTGAATTCAACCAAACTTTGGAGCATACCCATTTGCCGAGCGGTCTTCAGAGCATGACGTTTGGTGATACATTTAACCAAAGCTTGGAACATGTGACCTTGCCAGACAATCTCCAAAGTTTGACTTTTGGTGAGATGTTCAACCATAGCATAGAGCGAGTGAAATTCCCGAGCGGTCTGCAAAGTTTGGCCTTTGGTAAGCAATTCAACCAGCGACTGGAACGAGTGAAATGGCCAGAGGGCCTTCGAAAGTTGACGTTTGATACGCAATTCAACCAGCGACTGGAAGGTGTGACGTGGCCGCCTGACCTGGAACTTCTGAAGCTGGCGGGCTTCCAGAGGAATTTGGACGCAGACCCTTTCAGTGGGAAGCTGCCAAGAAGTCTGAAGAGCCTGGATTGCCAAGGGGTATTGGTGAGTTGCCCGTGATTCGCAGGCTTTGAAAATCCAAAGTCTCTCAAACTATTCAGTTGGAAGATGCATGTGGGGGGTTTCCTCCCCCAAATCATCCATTTTAGTTGGATTTTCCATTATAAGCCGTTGTTCTGTGAAGGTGTGCTACTAGTCATGATCGACCCTCTATGACCAGCCTTGACCATTCATGACCATTATCTTCTCAATCTTCTCATTTTTTTCCTATGATTTTTCCATTCTTGGCAATGTTTTGACTATTTTACACAGTTCTTGCCCATTCATCTCCATCATTTATGAAATTATGAAGGTGTCTTGCTTTATTGTGGTGATTCGATGTTGTGGCTTCCAACATCGCCTGAGGTTTGGGGTGGGTTCCTTCGACGCGGAGAAGAATTGGATCAAAAATATGGAGTTGGACAAAGAAGGCGGGGACGAAAAGCATGGGCCCGACCGAAATGGCTATAAATATGGCTATCTGGTTGGTGGTTTGGAACATGAATTTTATGACTTTCCATATATATATATATATATATAATATATATATATAATATATATATAATATATATAATATATATATATATATGGGAAGAATCATAATCCCAACTGACGAACTCATATTTTTCAGAGGGGTTGAAACCACAGACCAGCTATGAATATGGCTATGAACGGTGGATCTAACATGATTTAACGAATAAAACATGTTGCTTACTGAATGGATGAACTGTGTGGGATTCAACTGACCTTTTCAATGGCGATTGGTTGGTGAAAAATGGTGGCTTTAAAGGTTTTAACCAAGCTAGTAACTGGGGATACTTTGTGGGAATTTCAAGGAAGAATTTCTGGGAATCTATCATGAAGCCTAATGATCCTAATGATGATGACTGGAATAAACGTGGTGGATTTTGCCAACAAAGGTGGCATAGAATATCATGGGATATCATGGGATAGCTACCTTTTGGTAATTTAACAGAGCTATTGAAAATCACAATGTTTAATGGGTATATCATATATAATCATATATAATCATATATAAATGGTCATTTTCCATAGCTATGTTAGTTTACCAGAGGGCAAGCCCTTTTGGAGGTGCCCCCCAAGGCCCTTTTGAATCGAGAGGGATGAAAGGTCAGCATCTTCGGGGAGGTCCCCTGTCGCTTGGATGAAGATCACCTTGATATAGTGGATGATCTTCAAAGAACACCCTGTAGTCGGGTGATGTGAAAAGAAGAGACCTTTCACCCCGAGGCAGAGGAATGCGGTTTTGTAGATTTGACCAAGCAAACCGGGACTTTTACCACCTGAGGAATACATGATAAAAAAAGGCTGGGTTAAGAGAAGACTGCCCAATTCATTGGACGGATTTTGACCAAGCTATGCATGTTGGTTTTGTTATGTCTCCTTTTTTGAAACGATAAATTGCGACTGGGAAGTAAATCATCAGCAAGATTCAGCAAGTGCGAATATTCAATCCGTTCCTCTTCATATTAGATATCCGACAGATGGGCTCCCAAATGAATACATCCAACACTTGACTATGGTTTCGAAGGGGGTATTTACTATCAGGGGAGAGGGATGATTTTTTTTGGCCCCTGGGTTTAAGACCGCTTGCAAATCACAGATGGACTGCCAATTCTTAAGTATTTTTTTGTGATATGAACGAAATGGAGATCAATTAACCAGAAACTGTGGTTTGAAATATACTGGGGATGATCACCCCTAACGACCAGCTACGATTGCCAGACTTCGCAGACTCCTATAGCGCTGCTCTTCATTGGCAGCCTAGCGGCAGCTGAGTTCACCGTGGCCTTTTTGGGCCCTTGAAGGATGATGTTCACTGGGTCTTACTGGGTTACACCCCTTGAGGTTTGTGACTGATATGCCAACAGAAATGCCAACAGAAGCTACCGACAAAAAGCCTGACTGGGGATGGTTGGAATGCTGAGCCCAGAATGATCATCATATTTAAGCGATGGTTTCTGGCATTGGCTTTACCACATTCACATACAACCATGATGAACCAATGATTATCCCATCATCCCATCATCATCCCATCATTTAACAATTCTTAGGATTCACAAGTGCAAAGAAAAGCCCATAGGATCCATGGTGCTGCTATATATGGTAACATTTACCATCAATATACCCCCTTTATGTTAGCATATATACCAGCACCATGGATCCGTCATGGGAAGACATCCGATCTTATGGATTTTTGTGGAAGGCACAAGGACGATTCGTGGGACTCTGATCCTATGAGCTCTCTGGACAACCACAGCGACTAAAGATGGCTTGAAAAATCCACCACATATTGGTGACGCTAGACTCTGGGTAAATTTCACGACCGAACCCTGCTCTCCCGAGCCCTGGAATAGTGGTTAATAAGGGAAATCATCCCCAAATGGCCTTATGCCTTAATTCAGGTTGGTGAAATATTATACTTTACCCAGATAGACTCCATTGTATACCATACTCCACTCGAGTGTAATTTCACATACCCTCTGGTAAACTAACATAGCTGTTGAAAATCACCATTTTTTACTGGGTAAATCAACTATTTCTATGGCCATTTGCAATAGCAAACTGTAACAAATTACCAGAGGGTAGCATATAAAACATTCCCCTTGGATGATTTACCGATGATTTTTGATGCTGATTTAAAACATGGACGAACTCTCATCGCTGGCAATGTTGAGACAAACCAGGTCTCTGACGCAGTTCACACCTGCCACAAACAACATCGTCCCAGATAATGCAGTGGAACGTGGCTGGACAATTCATTTTGAATCGGGAAAGATGTGGGGAACATTTACAAGAATCCGTTTTATGGGAAAATCGAGGGAACATCGTCCAAGATTGGGGGTTTGGAGTTTTTCACGCATTTTATTTTCTTCAAAAGAATCCACTAATAGACACTTTTGGAAGGTTCGCATCAGATATGCACTGATATTGGTAGGGAAGTCTAGACATCTTGAAGGGAAGATGATTGACAGTTCTGCGGGATGTCCGTGGTGACTTTGGACATTGTTTCAGGGCAAGTGGACCGTCATTGCACTGCTGGGAAGTTTCCAAAATGCTTTGGAGGCTTTACCCTCCAATAAAATCAACATAGCCATGATGGACAGCAGCCACTTTTTTGTAGATCATTTTCCTTGGAAATCCTTTTTCTTGGGGTTTCCCATGGGTTAAACCCATCTGTCAATTTGCTGAAGCGTAAAGTGGTGATCCCAATTGACAAGCGCCTGAAAACATGTTGCATGATCCACCTGAATCCACCTGTTTTTATCCATGCAAAAATGGAAGTTGTTGAAGAAATAGGTATGTCATGGTATATAATGTGATAGTACGTATTATAATTTTTTCGGATACTATAGGATATTAGTCACGGTATATGTCCTAGGCGTTTTTCTAGGACATATCATAGGCTATCATAGGACATTATAGATATACCTAGATAGCCTATAATATATGAACTTCTATGGTAACTATAGATATCCTATTATAGGCTATCATATCATAGTTATAGGTATATTTTTTTAAAGAATATCTATCATAGGCTATCATAGGACATTATATTCTAGGACATTATGGGTATATTAACGTTATCCCATGGTAACGAGCCATCTCTGCCATATCGCTGGCAGGCGCCTTCGCCTCGGCGGTGATTCTGCTGGCCATTGGGGTTTTCAGCTCCTTCATCGCATCCATCAGCAGCTCGGCGATGGGATCAACGACGGATCCATGGTGCTGCTATATATGGTGTGCCATGGATCCCATCAATATACCCCCAGTCATGTTAGCATATATACCAGCCCCATGGATCCGTCATGGGTTATAGTGCCTAATTTTTTGGGGGATATAAGTGTCATGTCACTAACGTTATTTTGCCGTTATTTTGTTTTGGGAGAGTGTTTGGGGGTTCAAGAAGAAGGAGAAACACTGGGAGAGTTGGTTAGATTGAATATGGTCGGATCTGTTCATTTTCGGGGGGTTTTGATGGTTGACATCTCCACATCGGATGGCGCCAGAAGAATGGAAATCGGCCCCATAGCCCAGAACCCATAGCCAAACTGGTGAATGGACGATGACTACAGGTCCCGCCCCGAGGTGTGGTATATAGTTGAAAAATGTTGAGCGTGTATTTCCAGGATATATCTATACCTGGATGGGTTTCTAAGCCAACCCACACCTGGGGTACGACGTGTTGCAGGTAGTACCCTCAACACGCTGCGAATGTCCCGCCTGGAGAACTCCAAGCACCATGACGACGGTGTGACATGTGGCGGGTGATGATGGTTGGGTCATGACGACCAGTGTTCATAGGGGCAGATCCCAATTGATTTATGGCCGTTCAATAAGGACAATGAGGATCAACCATTAAATTTAGGGCTACCCTATTGACAGATGTTTGTCCCCATGGGGCCCATGACTTGGGGACAAAAGGCCAGGGACCTTTGATCCCCGGAATAGCTGCGAGGATGATTGCTTAAGGACTGTGACTGAACACGATTTTGGCTTCAAAATGGGTTCCCAATTTCTAGACATCCGAAACGTATTGAATTGTATTGATTGAAGTAGGGTTCAGCAGCCGGCCTGCAGCCAATTCACCCAAGCTAAGCCGTTCCCGAATGCGTGGTGTCCAAGGAACTGAAAGTGACAATGTTTCAATTTTTGGGATGCAAATTACCAACCAGGGCCAACCAGCTTCTTCCTTGCCCTCTACCCTTCTTCCATTGAGGCACTACTCGAAGCTCTTCCAATTCTTCAACGAGAGGCTGCCACGCACAAGGGGGAGCTTCTCATGTTCCATCATATTCCGAGAGATTGCCAGAGACATTTGAAGGTCACAGTTTTAGTACGTAGATACATTGTAATACCAAATGGTAGACTGCTACAGTGAGGGTTGTACGACCTAGCTGTCCAAGGATTATCATGATCATTCATGGGAACCCATAGCAATCAGCGAGTACAACGATATGATATGGTGCCACGAGAAAGGGCATTGCACATTTGTTTTGACTTTTACTAGTTGATTGTTGATACTGGTTGGTGATAGCCGTGTGCGAAGAAGGACGTTAGTTTCCCGGATATCTGGATCACTAGTACATAGGTTTGGGACACCTGAAGAGCAGGCTGTCAACGTCAGACTTTGGCAGCGTAAAGTGGGATAAAGTGGTGATATGAAATATGTTGTTTTTTTCATCCTAGAATGATGATCCCGGGAGGGTGTCTCAACATGTCTCAACCACCAACCAACTGGACAAACACATGGATTTTATGTGATTAACAAGCTTGTTCGTTTTATGACATAATCATGGGCATCTGACCATTTTAATCGGACGTAGATGGAGGTAGTATTAACTAATTCCAACCATGCTAGAGATTTTATAGATGATTTTCCCCGAAACAGTCGAGTTTCTCTGCCTTCTGACCGGGGCCGTTAAGATGCACCTTGAGATTTTCCCGTTGCAGGAACCTCTCTGTGAACCTCTACGCGAAGGTCAAGGAGGCTGTGATTTCAAGTGTGGAATCCATGTGTATCCATGGTAATCCCACATTTTCCGAGATCATTTTGTGAAGTTCGCCGAGTGAATTCTAGTTGGGGGGGATTTATGGGAAAATCACCCACCAATTTATGCTGATTTGATGATGAAACATGATGACATTCATCCCCGACTCACCAGATCCTGAAGCTTGGCAGGTGGTTCGAAACGAAAACTTGGCGGTGCGAGTGCAGGAGCCACTTGGCCAAGTCCAGGTGCTGGTGACGATTTTCACATTTTTCCATATTTGTTCCATATATTATATTTGTTCCAAGGGGAATAGCTATGAAGAGCTGCAGAAAAAAACCATTTTGCTGGATTTGATGGTGATATCACTGGACTTTCGAAGCCAACAGATGCCGAAAAATCCATGTGCACTTCGCCAAGGAAGGATGTGACCTTCATCCAGAAGATTCCGGAAAGGTTGAAGATCCAACTGCACGCGGAGCCACGGATTGATATCGATCAATGGAGGGTTCCCAAGTCATGGAGGTCCCCCAAAATCGTCATCCAGTCATGGATGACCATGACTTAGTATTGAAACAACCATGGTGACTTGGGGTACGACCTCAAATTTCTTACACAACTTCATGCAAAACTTCAATTTTCCTACAAATCCTTAAAAATTCCTACACATTTTCCTACAAATCTTCAAACTTTCATGGATCTGCAATAGATTTTTCATGAACAAAATTGTTTTTTTCCCCATATTTTTTCAATAAAATTTCCATGAACCAAAATGATTTTTTATTAATTTTGTTAAGTCGGGACAACTATTCAATTTGAGTTGGGTCGTGAATCGAATTCAGTTGGGTCGAGAAAGTGCCATTAAAGTCGTATCAAGCAGAATTCCAGTTGTGCACCATTTTTCTCCATTCTTTATTTTTGACGCGGGGATATTTTTGTACCCCTAAAAGTTATTGGATTTGTAATAAATCGCTCCATATCCCATATATACATTATATACCCTCTAGTAAACTGACATAGTTATGACAAATCATTAGACCATCGGACTTGGACAAACTTAGTTTACCAAGGCAATTTTAGTTTACTGGAGGGTATCACCCCATCTATTTTCATGCGGAACTGCGGAACTTGACCCTAGGAGATGTATCTTCCAAGCTTGCTCTCCATGAAAATTTGGCCCCACAGTGGCATTGATGACGCGGATTTCTTCTACAGTCCCTTGTTCCAATGGGAGATCAGACCTTTGAGCTGGGGAGGATTGTGTACCCTCTGGTAATGACTAAGAGTTTGCGAACTTGAAAATGGCTATAGAAATAGTTGATTTTCCCATGAAACATGGTGATTTTCCCATGAAACATGGTGATGTTCCCATGAAACATGGTGATTTTCCATAGTTCTGGGATGTTATGGGACATTTTACCAGAGGGTAAGTTTTTAAACTACATCAACGGTCGCCAAGGTCGACATTGAGATTTCTTAGGGGTAGTGGTTCTCATCTCCATAGGTACTCGTATCTTACCCTTTTCTTTTGGTTAGATCAGCATGTTCGAAAGGTTGGATATGGTGTGCATGGGTGTATCTCTATCTTGGACTATTCCTAAGTTCTGACAATGTAAACGACCTCTGGCTGCTGGTGGGGTAAACCCTTGGTCTATTCGCATTCCAATGGGCATGGGTCAAACTTGGCTACCCAGCAGTGCAGGGCCTGAGAGTTTCACAATGGAAAATCCATCGATGGATGATTTGGGGTACCCGCTGTACAGGTGCTACTGCCGGCCTAGGCAACATGTGTCATCGCGTGTTGTGTGAAGGCCTTGCTTCCCCTGGACAGGAAACTTCTCAGGGGAGGGCGTGGTTTTTCCTGCAAAAACTCATGGGGACATGGATCAGATGGAGAGCAGCAAACATAAGTGAGATACATCGAAGGGCGACTTCTAAATACTTATAACATCTTATAACATCCTGGAAAGCCATAATCCCATTTTTTTGTTCATTACGGCTTTTTCCCATTTTTTGACCAGAAAAAAAATGTGTTTTTGGCTTTCCAGGATCTGACAAAACATCTTATAACTAGCTCATGGCAACATCGCAATCAAGACGGGTTTCATGTTTTTAAGGATGTGACAAATGATGGTTAAGTCGAGATGTCCTGGGTAAACACATGTAGAAAAGGAAACTTCAGGTTGAGTGATTTTTGATACCGTAATTTATCCAAAAGTGGGATGCTTCGAGTCTTTCTAGGCAAAGAATCACAGGGGGGATTTGAGACCTTCTGGACCTACCATGAGACCTGACAGTAGCCAGGCCAATAACAACACAAAGAAATGTTAAAATATTAGGACTGTCAAATGAGTAGAAATAGCCAAGGGAATTGGTCCAAAAATTGGTGGGTCGAAACCCATGATCTTCCATATTGACAGGTGGGATGAACTATGTACAGTAACCGTCCCACTGTTTCTCATATTTTATCCATCCCCCCTTCAGTCTCTTGGCAGGACGTTTTCCTGCCCGGCACAGATTGCAAGGATGTCTACTTGTTGGAAGCTTGGCGACGCGAAACTACCCGTGAATTTTCGTCGGTTGCCATATCATTGCGACTAAGTCCCTGGGGATAAAGCGAGCACTGAGCAGATAGCCATGGCTGCAGAGATGTTTATCGGGGGTTGGGTCAAGTGTATCTAACTTGAGCAGTGCTCTGTGTATGTTGATGCAATGGCTTTTTGCAGCTGGCTTCAAAACCTACCAAGTGCGATCATTGAAAAATTATGAACAATTGCCATTTTAGGTACCAAAACTGGAGGTACTGTACCATTTATCGCCATATTTTGGGGATCTAACGCCTTACATAGCCCTATGGGTCTGTCTGAAAATGGTATACCCCCAAGTGGTACTTTTGAGGGGGAAAACAATGATTCACCGATTATTCACCGATTTAGAGGTAGCCTATTTTCAGACATAATATGGTAGGTACCCTATGGTAAACAAAAATAGCTATATATTGAAAATGGCCATTTATAGTTGATTTACCCATTTAAAATGGTGATTTTCCATAGTTATGTTTGCTTACCAGAGGGTACCTCCAATAAATCGTTTCCTGAGTCATGGCCATCAGCTGAGGAATCTGGTGACATGACCTACGTCATGCGACACTTGGGCCCTGGACGTGGAGTGGGCGTCATGGGGAGCGGCCGGGATTTTGGGGATTTATGGGGATTCGAAGCATCAAAAATGGTGATTTCAATGATCGAAGCATCAAAAATGGTGATTTCAATGATTTAAGCAGTCAAAATAGAGATTTGTACAATGAGGACAAAACCACCAGATATGGGGTTTAAGCACTCAAAAAACTCGTTGATCAGCGATTCAATGGGGATCTAACCATCATTTATAGGGGTTCAGGGATACTGATTCGCCATGCAGTATTTATCTGGGATAGGGGTATTTCTGATGGCTCAAATGATACACAAGCAGATTCTGGCCGATCATTGTGGGCTGAACAATCCTCCAAAGTTTCTTTTTTTTGGGATGCTTTCTTGACACTTCCATTCATTTGCCACCTTAGATTTGACATGGAAGCCAGAAAGTTCTAGGAGACAATGTTCCTCTAAAGTCCCTAGGCATTTACATCAAGCCAACTCTTAGGAAGCAGGTGGAACCATAGCTACAACATGCTATAACCCATGGGAAAACACGAAGTTGGGGGACTTCCGCTCGGGTCATGGCCCTGCAAAATCTGCAAATCCCAGGAAGAGATACGGAAGCGACGCGGATCTGCGACCAGCAACTTTGTGTTGCATGCCTGTGGGCAGAGTGGCACCACCGTCCCTCGCTTCGCGCACGTTTGTCCGTTTGGGGCGCCTAAGGTGTGGCAATGCACACTGACACCAACACGATTTTTTTAAAAATACAACTCACATGTCTGTTTACCACACACACACATGTCGATGCAGAGAATATCATCTAAGAATACGGGGATAGCACGTTTCCCAACTTTCTGGGATGGTTTCCCTCAAAGTCGCAGCGAGAGCAGCAAGAAATCCATCCTTATTTGGCAAGCAAAACCCGGGTACTTTGTTGAACGCCAACAAAAAGGTTGGCACAAATTCACGTTCATCTGCCCAGTGAAGCAATATCATATCATATACCCTCTGGTAATTTAACATCGCCATGGAAAATGGCCCATTTATAGATGATTTTCCCATTAATACCTCCATTTATAAGGGATTTTCCATGGCCATGTGAAATAACCAGATGGTAAGGGTGTGTTTGAACATAGGACAACTCCAAATCATGGGGTATCATCATGTTCCAACTTTTTTTCACAGGATTTTGGGGGTATCCCCATATCTCCCAACGATATTTGGATGTGTTTGAAAACAGGACAATTACGAACTCTCCCAAATTCACTGTGAAATATTTCCCCAGGTGCTTTTCAGAGCATCAACAGCACATAACATGCCACTCAAGACATTAATTCTGTTCATTTCAGTTTTTTTTTTCCGAAAAAAAGTACATTTCCATCGCAGCGTCCATTTTTTCGGATGTCAGTTTGATTTTCTGTTTTCAACAGCAAGTTTTTCCAGGTTTTCAACTTTTCAGCATCTTTTCGGGTACCAAAACATGTTTGTTGGTTGTCCATTTCATAACATATCAGCACAAGAGATTCCTGTATAGGTCAATTAACAATAACATTATGATATGATATGATATATCATATAAGTTTCCCATCATTTTTAAAAAATGGTTGCATATGATTCCAGGTTTTTCCATTCTTTCTACGACTATCCTTTGAGGCGGACGTCTCTCGGCTGGGCAAGGCATGTGCTACTTCATCAAGGCGGCGGAGTTTTCGTGGATTCCATATGGCTTTTACTTTAAAGTCGGGAAGATTTGATAGGGATCATACATGATCATATATGATATATATATATATATGATATATATATATATGATATATATATATGATATATATATATATATGATATATATATATATATGATATATATATATATGATATATATATGATATATATATATATGATATATATATATGATATATATATATATGATATATATATGTATAACTCAATTAGTAGGGTTTCATGATTTCACTTTTCTATCTTTTTGCTACAATCAATCCGAGGATCATAGGGGTGAGTTTTGATGTGTGTCCGGGTGCTGGCGCTATTGTGTTTTCTAATCCGGTGGTTGTGCCATGAAGTAGAACGGGAATGCCAAGGCTCATTGTTTGTTTTGCAGTATCAAGTACCTTCAAATCATCCATTTATAGATGGATTTTCCATTATAAACCATCCACAAAGTGGGGTACCGCCATGACTATGAAAAACCCAATATAAATGTACTGTACTTTCTTGTTTCTATAGCACCAAGTATTACTCCGACGTACTTGATGTTGCGCACAAGGTCAAGCAAAACGATTTCAAGGGACAGAGATGTCAAGAAAAGACTTTCTCAAGGCACAGGCGTTCTGGTTGCTCCAAGTATAAGTTAACCAAAAATGGTAAAACCACTTAAAATACTTGGAGACCTATACTTAACAATTAAAAAAAATACCCAACAATGAAAAATCGGAGCGCTACTTTTGGTGGGTAAATTGGTGACTTGACCTTTGCGACTGAGAATTTGGCCCCAAACTTCTCCAGGTGAACTGCGACGCCTTCGGGCAGGTGGTTCTGAAGTATGGGGGCCCCTTGTATCGTTTCCTGGAGATTCATCAGTGACAGCGGCAGATGGGGCTGAGAATCCATGGATCATAGATAGTTCTCATAGTAATTCTGGCTTGTAGATCTATAGTTTCATATATCTATGATTATCTCTATGGAAGATCAATGAGCCGCGTATCATCATCTATCTTGAAACTTGCTGTACGACACTAATCATCTAATGACTTCACGGGTGATCCCGGGCTTCAGTAGCTGGCAACTAGTGATGGCCTGGCTTCAGTTTCAGTTCCAGCTAAAAAGTTATGAGCACTTCTATCCTCAGCTAAAATCGATGATTGTTTTTGCATGGCAAAGAAGGTTCAGCATGGTTTTACCATGGTTTCAACCATGAGAAAAGCTTGGGCACTTCCTGGCCGCCGACTTGGTGGAGCTGAGGTTATTTGCAGATCTATGGCATTCTGTTGGTGAGTTCTTTGGCAGGAGCCGGTACCCGGGCCTAGGTGGTTTTAACCACCCGTCACATGGGCGATCGAAAACCCGGACCCGCAAGTCATTGGTTTGGCTAGGATTTAGCCGATGTAGCCCGTCCATTTGTTGGGATGATACTTATATATACTTATATCTTGAGATTTTTTTAGCCTGTTAGTTAAATGTTAAACTGTTAAACCTTAATTTTTATTTAATGGGGGTTGGTTTCCTGAGAGAGAATTGCCAGCCCAGTGTGATTTGCTTGGCAATTCATCGCCCATTTGGCTGCGATAACGTTGTTGGCTATGGATCAGTGAATTGGGTATCCCAACATGCCAAAAAATGAGCCCTTTGGGGCCTGAGAATACATGACCATTATGTGGATTATGCTTCAAGATAGAAACATAACCCCCCCATGAGAACAACAGTCAACTAACTTACATACGGTACATCACGTACTTAAGTTACATAGCTTGCTTAACGTACTTATATAAATTAACTTGAATAGCTGACGAAGTGACAAACCAATTGACTTCGATCTTTCTGCGGGCTTGTTATCTTGGAAAAACGGGGATTCGACTACTTGATCAAGGGGATTTCACCCATTTCAGGCCTGATGATAACCAATCATAAAACGAGGGTTTCATCCAATCCTTTCCCGTGTTTTCTGGTGATTTCGTCCTGTTTCGCCCCATTCTTCTCCCCATTCTTTTCTCTTTTCTTCAATGTTTCCATCATTTTCGTCCCAGTATTTTCTCTTACCCTGTTTTACCGATGATTTTTCATATATTCATTCTCCAGATTTTTCCAGGTTTCACCAGGTTCCACCAGGGTGATTTCTCCATGTTTTTCCAGAAATTTTTTCTCCAGATTTCTTGGGGTTTTCCCCATGATTTCTCCCGGCGAGGTGAGATCGAATGGCTCCAAGAGGACGGCTTTCTGATGTCGGACCTCAATCTGGATGAGGCGCCGGGGATTACTATAACAGTTGTTGGTAGTGAGTCATAGTGATTCATAGTGATTCAATAATAGTAGTGGTTAGTGATATGTAATGATTATAGTCAACTATAAATGGTTGATTTATGATTCATAGTGATTCAATCATAGTAATGCTTTAAAATGATGAATAATTAATCATATAGACGAATTATAACACATGACTACAACAGTTGTTAGTAATGATTCATAGTGATTCATAGTGATTATAGTTAATCATGATTAGCGATAGTGGTCAATCATAAAAGAATTGTAACACATGATTACTATAACAGTTGTTAGTAATGATTCATAGTGATTCAGAATGATTCATAGTGGTTAATCATGATTAGCAATAGTGGTTAATCATGATATGGGAAATAAGAACGGATAATACTGCGAAAATAGCGGATAATAGTGGTTAATAATGGGTTAACAGAGGTCTTCAACTGGTTAATAGTGTTTAATCATGCTTAATAATGATAATATTTACAATAGTGGTTAATAATGATCAATGATAATGAGTGATAGTGATTAATAGTGGCTAATAGTATATAATTACCCCTCGTCAATAATGGGTAGTAATGTTTAATAGTTATTAATAGTGGGAACCAACCAACAGTTCTGGATGAATGATGGATTATGGGGATATACCGACAGTTTGCTATGGTATAGATGGCAGATGTTTAGATGATTAGAATGATTGATGAACTAGGACGATCTATCTATTAAACATGGTGACTTTCCATAGCTATTAAATTCCAGAGGGTATGTCAGCCCAATTATTGGATGAGGGTTTTTGATGTCATCATAAATCCCATCGTCCTTTTTTTTTTACACCCCCCGATTCCATGGTGCCAAATATGTGTGAATCCCTTACTAAACCATGGTTCTGCGGCGTGTTGAAGGGCTTAGGGGGAAAGGAATAGTAGTCAGTTTGGATCATCATTTCAAATATGGTTGAATATAAAAACATCATAAAAACATATTTGATGATTGACATTTTTCACCAGATGGAGTATAGGAGCGAATATTTTCCATGTTTTTTTTTGCATGTTTCCGGGTTTCACTGGGACATTCCTGAGGAGCAAATGACCAACCTCTCCGCGCAAGCGGAGCGCTTTGCGAACCTCGTGGCGGTTGCGCCCTCCCCAACGGCGCCAAAGGAAAACGCCTTAACGAGGCGAGGTCGGTGTCGCTCGAGCCATAGCTGCTGGTTGTCCTTAGTAAGTGGCATATAATCCATATTATATAACCCATATAATTCCATGTGTAAGTGGGGATACTCCATGTATAACTGAGGGAACGACCAATTCAACGCGTTTTTTTTCCATTCGGAAAATGATCTAGAAATAGTGGGTTCTCCATATCTATGGAAACGTTTTAGGGGGAGAGTAACTGGGTTTTATTTTCAACAAACATATGGGGTTTCATGGGGTTAAGCTAAGCAGCTGAATGGGGTTAAATGGGGTTGAATGGGAGTATCATATCACTGATACAATCATCAAAACTAGGGTTAATGTCAACCGAAGATTCATCAACCCCAAGTTTACTTCAATAGAGGGCATTGTCACTTTTTGGGGTAACTTCCTGATTCTCAATCAATAGAGTTTATCAATCCGGGGTTGACATAAAATGTTGATTGTTGATTAAATGGGGGATATATAATGTTATATAACTATATAACCATCAACAATGGGGACATCACTGCTATATTATTCTGATAAAAACTATCAAGAAGGGGTCTGAACAAAAACCTCCAGAAACGAGTTCTCATCCCGAAATGAAGAAACTTTTCAGCTCGGTGAATTAGTTTATAATTCAGCCAGTGGCTTATCCCATTGATTAAATCAATGTATCTGGGTATATTTCATCACGACCTCACTGTTCTCCCGAGCCCTGGAATCATGGTTTTTATAGGGGAATCATCCCCAAATGGCGTTAATTCAGGTTAGTGAAATATTATAATTTATCCAGATGTATGGATTGCTATTCATTAATCACTGCATGGATACCTGAAGTATCATCTTGGTCGCTGAATTATATATCACCATTTAAGAGTTGATCAGAGCGGCCCTTTGCGTAACAAACTTGACGGCCATTGGAGTAGATTTGTTCATGATGTAAAATATTGATTACATTGATTAATACGGTTTATTTGATGATCATGAACTATATTATGTATAAACATATATTGTAATCAATATTGAACAATTGATCATGTAATAATAGGTTGGATCGGGTTATATGATTCATATTGATGCCTTCCGTATTCTTGCCCATCGCATTTCCCAATGGTATCAAATACAATCAAATTCATATCCCAAACGAAGCCTGGTACGTTTGGAATGTCATGAGAATCATGAGCCATGAGGCACATTTTTGATTTACCCTCTGGTAATGACTAACATAACTATGGAAAATCACCATTGAAATAGTGAATTCACCCATGAAAAATGGTGATTTTCCATAGTTATGTTCGTTTACCAGAGGGTAATGCCTTGAGTTATGGCAGCCACCAAGCCCTTCCAAGCTGTTCGTCGCAGGATCCTCAGTGGCATGAAATCCAACCCCTCCATCTCGATCGGTGAACGAGTTTGAGACCTGGACCAACTTCGCTATGCCCGGCGGAAAACAAGGGAAGCGGAAAGCACCGCAAGTGGCTACGGGATAGCCCAGGATAGCTGTTGGGGCTTGGGTGGAAGGGTGAAAGTTCCAAATCTATACTTTCTTCAGCAGGAACTATTTTCGCGTAGAAAAGACCTTTGATTCGGTGTCATCAAACGTGGCGTGCTGGACAATACACCCATGTAGGATTGCTTTCCCATTAAAGCTGCATTAAACCAGACAACATATTAAGCCCGGATTTTCAATTGTCACGTTTAATTACTGGATGGTATTATGTATATATATAATATATAATATATAATATATATAATATATAATATATATAATATATAATATATAATATATATATATATAAAATAATATATATAGTATGTACATACAAATTGAATATATACACACACTGCAACTTGCTTCTGCAAAAACATCACTGGGGAATCCCCAAGATTTCGATTCGCCACTTGCAACGTTGCTGTGCAGGACGGGTGCGCGCGAATTGGTACATGTTTCTCCGTATAAATCATCAGAAGTCCCTAACACTGAAATATTTAGATACCCTCTGGTAAACATACTATATCCACTATGGAAAATCAATGAAAATCACCATTTCTAATGGGTAAATCAACTATTTCGACTGGGCCATTTTCAAGTTCGCAAACTGTTAGTCATTACCAGAGGGTAGCCGGGCATATTCCATAAGTTTCATCCCAGTGGGGATATTCCATCTATAACTATTCCCAAACATTGACATATTTATTAGATACACGCGTGGTTTCAAACATTGGACACCGCGACAGAAAGTGACCAAACAACCAGGATCCGCAGCCAGGAGCCGATCACAGGCTGCGCATGGATCCCTGTCAACCAACCAGTATAATGACAGAGGGATTCTGAGCACTGCTCAAATGGTTCAACAAAACTATCCAATGTATTTCCAATGTTTTTTTGTCAACCAATGTTTAGTACAACTTGGCATCAAAACGAGCTAGCGCTAGTTTTTACAGGTCATATTTTTTTGAATGTCGAAGATCTGACATGTTGAACATCCTGCCAAGGTCTACTCTGTTCATTCAACAGGGATCAAACATACAAGAACAACATGTGCCCTGCAGTAAGATCCAGATGGTGACCATGTTCATGCGTCTCATTTGTATATTTTTGCATCGCGAAAGAGCAAAATTTAACAGTAGATCAAAACTACCATCATTTTTTCAAACAGCAAAGCATCCCTCGAAATCAAAAAGACACTCTATATATTATCTACTATATATATATATTATATAAGTACGTTAAAGTTTCCGGTTTCCCCCCATTTTTGTGGAACCTCCATCTTCGTTGCAACACAGTTCCTTGTTGTGTCTCCCCGACTTGTGGCCATGTCGTGCTGTGTACCGGAAGCGGAACCGATGTATTCCAGCGTGGCGTGGCAGATCTCATCCCCCTAATATTAAACACCCCCTCAATGGTCCCAATGATGTAGAAACGCCCCCACCTAAACCATGGTTTTGGCTAGGGTGTTTGAGAAAAGGGGGAAGGGAATTGGCTAAGTTGATGAAAAACAACTTGGTTAACGTTTGGGTTTACCCACCTTGTATCCATGAAATATGATGAAATTTGTGTCTGAAAATTCTGGACACCCCATTTTGGGCCAATTTTCATAGGAAGAATTGGAATCCTGGATCAACCTTGAATGGCTTACCTTTTTGTGCACACAATTTGCGGCTTTGAAAACATGGATTTCACCAGGAACCTCACCTCACCAAGGTTATGGCGATCGAAAAATTTGGAGCCGGGCAATACCCGAAAAAACCATCCTATTGGTTATTTTTCGGAAAGTTGCAAGGTCCAAAAATGAAGCATGATGATTCAAACTGCTTGGTGGTTTCAAACATGGCTGGATTATTTTCCATTTCATATATGGGATGTCATCCTTCCCATTGACGAACTCATATTTTTCAAGATGGTGAAACTGCACCACCAACCAGTCAATAATGATCAATCATGATTAGCCTCTGGTTATTTAACGTAGTGAACTGGGAAATCATCATTTTTCATAGGTAGATCATCAACCATCTATTTCTATGGGTTAGCTTTTCAGAAATGGAGCTTTGCGTTTTGTGATGGCCCCCCCCATCCAACATCATCTAACCCCTGGCGAAAAACAGGGGAAAATAAAACATTAGATGAGCAGACGCCACGGGGGTATCCTGGTATCATGAAGCCAAGAATAAACATATACCAATTGGGGATGGTTGAAATCAAACCATATCAAACCATATCAAACCCATTTATGGTTATATATTGAATCAACTACTGTATTGGTGATGGTTTATCATTGGCACCACATGAAACCCCCATTGGGATGGCTTAGTATGCGCTTTACCTCATTCGAACCATGATTATATGCAATTAATTTGAATGAATGATAATGACCTGACTGTGACGTCACTGGAAGAAGGTTTAGTAAATGGAATCATTCCAAAACGGCCGCAAGTTCCAGTTATGTTCAGGTTTGTGAATTATTATCATTCAGCCAGATTATATTATAGTATATTATAGTTAAATTGGATATGATCAATCACCATACCCCATTGTATCCCATTCCACGATTTTTCAGATCAAACATCCATCTTTTGATGTTCAATTGGATTCCATTTCCGAGATGAGCAGCCGAGCATTTTCTGATGCGAAACGTAGGGAATGGATGGGTTGCTGGGGGTGGCTGGGGGTTGCTGGGGGTTGCTGGGATGAGATAGTTAGTGATCGTGGATCACTGCCAAAAATTCTCTACTATCAATGGATTGGTTTAAGGGAAAATTTACAGGAACCCCCCCATATTTCATGGTAACATATATGGTAGTTATAGAAAGCGACACTGCCGTTAGATAAATGCCACAGCATCATCCCGTATATACGCTCTCGGCATGTTCACTTAGGAATGGTCAGTGACTTAAATATGGTAAAAAACCATGGTTTCCTTGAGATTTTCCCTCAATCCGCGGGATTCCGAGGCCGGCGACTACCGCGATGGAGGTTCCTACGAGGACTTCGTGCTGCGACAGCTGGACCTTTTGTCTCCCGGCGGTGAAGTTTCTTGGGTTACTAAGGGTAGATCATGAATGGGACATCTATGGAAATCTATGGAAAATCTATGGAAAATGTATGGACATCTATGACATCTATGGAAAATCTATGGAAATCTATGGAAAATCTATGGAAATCTATGGAAAATCTATGGAAAATCTATGGAAATCTATGGAAATCTATGGAAATCTATGGAAGATCTATGGAAAATCTATGGAAAATCTATGGAAAATCTATGGAAATCTATGGAAAATCTATGGAAAATCTATGGAAAATCAATCTATGGAAATCTTTGGAAGTCTATGGAAAATCTATGGAACATCTATGGAAAATTTGTGGAAAATCTGTGGAAAATCTCTGGAAATCTATGGAACATCTATGGAAATCTATGGAAAATCTATGGAAATCTATGGAAATCTATGGAAGATCTATGGAAAATCTATGGAAAATCTATGGAAAATCTAAAATCTATGGACAATCTATGGAAATCTATGGAAAATCTATGGAAATCTATTGAAATCTATGGAAATCTATGGAAATCTATCGGAAATCTATGGAAAATCTATGGAAATCTATGGAAAATCTATGGAAATCTATGGAACATCTATGGAAATCCTATGGAAAATCTATGGAAAATCTATGGAAATCTATGGAAAATCTATGGAAAATCTATGGAAAATCTATGGACAATCTATGGAAATCTATGGAAAATCTATTGCAATCTATTGCAATCTATTGAAATCTATGGAAATCTATGGAAATCTATCGGAAATCTATGGAAAATCTATGGAAATCTATGGAAAATCTATGGAAATCTATGGAACATCTATGGAAATCCTATGGAAAATCTATGGAAAATCTATGGAAATCTATGGAAAATCTATGGAAAATCTATGGAAAATCTATGGACAATCTATGGAAATCTATGGAAAATCTATTGCAATCTATTGCAATCTATTGAAATCTATGGAAATCTATGGAAATCTATCGGAAATCTATGGAAAATCTATGGAAATCTATGGAAAATCTATGGAAATCTATGGAACATCTATGGAAATCCTATGGAAAATCTATGGAAAATCCATGGAAAATCTATGGAAAATCTATGGACAATCAACTAATTAGTTGAGATATGGATATCTTTCATGGATCTGCCATTTTCATCACGGGGTTGAAACACCACGGGGTTGAAACTCATGAGGATTCATCCAGCCATGTTTATTAAGCCAACGTGGACGTGGGAAATAGCAGTGTGAAGTCCCCCAAAAAAGGAGAATTGTTTGGCATTTGCCTGGAAAAATTGCAAATCCCCAGATGTTCGATGATGTTTTTTTATGTCTTTTCCCATCCCATTAGAATTGGTGACTTTCCCTTTGCAACTAAGCTTGGTCCCTCTACTATTAGATACCCCCAATCAAGGACATTAGATCGAATAGATTGAATAGATATAATAGATGCAGTACATTGCAGTACTAAGCCTTTTGATTGGAGGGTATTTCATATCTGGGGTCTCAACATTTTTCCACCTTTTTCATCCCGTGGTTCATCATGTTCCCCATTTCAACTTGCCAAATCTCTGGGACATTCATGGGGACCTGGTCACCGAACCACGGGGGACGTGGGTTCCGTCGCTTCCGCGAAGGCGAAGCTCTTTGTTGCAGCGCTATGAGATTGAAGTCGACAGATGGTGCTCAACTGATCCGCCCCAAAGTGGAAAGGAGTGAAGATGGCTCTGAAACTTGATGATGTCTTGAAATTTAGTTAGCAACCTGTCGGATATAGCCCTGAAACTCAGTAATTATAGATTCTATAGATCCCTTTGCCACTTGACATAGACTCTAGACCCCTTAGAGTTTCTCATCCAGCATCCAGAAGTGGATTTGGAAAGCCAGGGTTTGTTTCCGAAATGACCATTGGGGCTTCAGATCCGTGAAGCCTCCACTTGAAATCAGTTGACCAAAGATTTGGTCCTTGCATGGTACTCGTACCATGGGTTTCGCTCCATCCTTTGTGTTGCTGCAAAGTCCACATTGGATGGTGGCTGAAATGTCTTAGGTCCCATTGCATTTGTAGCTTAAATCACTTCAATCCCGAAATTTGTAATACCCAATTACCCTACAGTACTCAAACATGGCTTGCTGGAACATCCACTATCTAGTTTGTTGATGATCCCAGCTATAAACCTCCATTTCGAGCTTAAATTTCCCAGCCATGTCATCCATATTTTGACGCAGGGTCTACTCGCTGGCAATCCCCAGGGGCCCCAGCTACGCAGGACCGTCCAGATGTCTATACTGCCTCACTAGACGAGTACGCCCCCTTACACCGCTGGATACAGCTGTTGCTTGGCCAACGAGGCCAAGCCTCCAACCTCGGCTTCAAGATGTTTCCAGAGATTTTTCAGAGGATTTTCCATATGATCCATGAAGATCCATGAAGATCCATGAAGATCCATATTTTTTTCGTTTGGGATTTTCCATCAACCAGCAGCATCCGATTTTGACCATTTTTTGACCAAGGACCAATCGGATATTGGAGGCGGAAGTGGACAAAGACAGCGAGGACGCGCCTCAGCTGGACGCCGAGCTCTCGATGTTGCCGGTCTGGAACTTCTCCTTACAGGATCGATGTCTGGGGAGCATGGGAACACCAAGGTTGTGGCTGTCAAATCATGTCAAATCCACCATTTTTGTGTGAATTCAGTTCTGAATGTTCTGAATTCATGTTCAATCACATCAAATTCCATGCTTTTACAGTATCATTGAAGGCCACGCGTCTTGTTAATCACTTCCCTAGATCTGTTGATTTTTTTTTGGGCGCCCATTAACCTGCTTTTTTGGTTGCGAAGAAATCACCATTCTTTTCGCAGGTTTTGTCCCACTTAGACGGGCCATGGGATTAGCTCACTGCTTAGTAACTGGCTCAGACCCATTTACTAGTCCCAATTATAAGCCATTTATAATCCACTGGTTCGTATATCCCAATTATATTCCAATTATTAATCCATTGACAAACTAGTTAGCTTACCCCATAGGATCCATGTATGCTATATATGGTAACATTTACCATCAATATACCCCCTTTATGTTAGCATATATACCATACATGGATCCTATGGGTACTCCAGGGCCCATCTAGCCCATGCAGTTCAGCCGTTTCTTGCGTCGGGTCCCCGTGACTTTGGGCTTCAGGAGATGCAAAAGCTCAGCCGGCCGCGGAACTTCCGCACGGCCCTGACCAATGACGAGCCGCTGGGTGGCAGCTGTTGACGTAGTTGACATGGAGCCCCGAACAAAACATGGAAGTTTCCATAGTGTTTCCATAGTGTTTGTTGTTGACGTCCCGATTTTTGGGTGAGTGATGTGAGTGTATACGTATTACATACGCATTCATTTCTTTGCATGTGATGCTTCTATCCCTATCTTTGGGGTGCTTACATACCCATCAATTACGTCGCATGCTTGGTTCTACCCCACTCCTTGCTTGATGATATCCCACCCCTTGACCAACCCTTTGCAATCCCGAAAGCCGTGCTGAGGGTCTTGAACGTCATGAGGATGAACGACCCTATCAAGGAGGCACTCCGTCACTGAATAGGATCCCCCAATTTTGGATCCAATTTTTTCGGGTTTGGTGATGAAGCAACAGCTGGTTATAACATGGTATAAACCATGATTAATCTAGGTATTCACCGACCTAGCTATCCTGGTAATCTGAGATGGTTGTTGTTACTCCGTAAATTGTGTGACTGGATCCCTCTTGGTGCTGGCCACCGCCTGGTTGAGACTTCATCTAAGCATCAGGGATATTATCATGTTATGAATAAGCCTGAATGAATATGACATATATATATATATAAAGCAAAGATATGTTCACATTCAAATTTAACTTATTATCAAATTGGATGTTGTCAACTATCAACATGTTCAAAACATATCATTGTAACAGTATAATATACATAGCATAAATACCTACTGAGATCTGATGATTCGTTTTTGCATTCAACTGACAAGGCGCCCTTCTGGCTGCAACGACTGGTCTTGAAGCCCAACAGCTGGCAACAACTCTTGTGGACCACCCTAGGGGCGATGCTGTCACCCGGCTAAGAAGTTGCTGCAGCTGGTGGATCAGAAAGCCCCAAAAGGGTTTTTATATTTTTAGACATGAACTATAATCATCTAAATCGTTTGGTAAACTAACATAACTATGGAAAGATCCACCATTTTCATGGGAAAATTCACTATTTCAATGGTGATTCTCTCCATAGCTATCTTAGTTTACCAGAGGGTAAATCATCTGGACTCATCGAACTTCTCTAAGTCCGGGGATCTGATTCAACCCATAGGATCCATGGTGCTGCTATAATGGTAACATGGATCCCATCAATATACCCCCTTTATGTTAGCACATATACCAGCACCATGGATCCGTCATGGGCAAGAACATCTGTTCCAAATCGTGTTGGGGATCACGATATCAACAAAGATGACCAACAAAGATGGTGATTTTTCGAGCTGTCTTTGGGCCCAAGGTGTGGGGTGTGATGACAAGTTTCTCGGATTATGGTCATATCATGGCGTATCGCAATTCTTCGATTGGCTCCCAACCGTTTCCCTAAAGCCACATATTTTGTCGGTCAATGTTCACATGTTTTGTCGGTTATACATGGTTATACCATGTTATACCTACCCCAACATTTTCATGTAGAAACATGTCCCATGATGGATGAAACGGGTGTGTCCGAGAATGGTCTTTACCCCAAATGGCTATGTTAGAGGGAACAATTATGATCATCGACTATTGGGTTTCAGGATGTTTTAGTTTTTTTCATCTCATTTTTCAAGCACCTGACCCAAATCAGTTCCAAGTACTCTAGGATCTTGTGGGACCTCATCACCATACCCTTGGGTTTCTTTGATTTGCCGCAGTTACTTGGACAGCACGCAGAGGGATGGGTATGGGATGACCACAGTCATTTTACCCTCTGGTAAACAAACATAGCTATTGAACATGGCCCAGTCGAAATAGTCGATTTATGAAAAATGGTGGATCTTTCCATCGTTTTTTGGGACAGGCCAACTCCAGAGGAGCTTCCCCCGTTCTCAACGCAGGTTTTTGGCGTTCCTGACGCTCTTCGCTCGATTCTCTTTCGCCTATTGGTGGCTTGGCGGGCTCACGACCATCCATGGCTTTCCCGGTGATGACTTGGGGAAATTGAAAGAAAACAAAGCCGAAAAAATACTAGTTGCTAAAAACCGATTGGTTTTTGGTTGTACTATTTTCAGGCACCATTTGGCAGTCTGTCGGAAGTCTTGGCAGTCAGACTTCCCATTTCATGTGAAAACCTTCAGACTTTTGGGGACATCACAGATGACACAGATGATCCCATTGAAATGCCCATGGCTAGGGGCCATTTCTTCGCCATCTTTGATGACACAAAAAGGTGCATCGATGTGCCGCTACACGTGGTCTTCGGGGTCGAGGTACCGCAGATAGGGAGGAACGGAGCCTGGCGAAAAATGTGGGGGGGGCCGGCCATCAGGGAGGATGCAACCTATCGATGTGAAAAACATGTTTCAGCGGAATACAATAGAAATCTGGTTGGTGGTTTGGAACATTTTTTTTCCATATATTGGGCATAAGAAACCCAACTGACTAATATTTTTCAGAGAGGTTGAAACCACCAACCAGAAATGATTTGTCATAGATTTTAATCATGGTCTGAGTTGCAACCAGCCAAGAAACCTCATGGAACCTTGGGCCCCTGTGACAGGTAAATATCTTTATGATCAGGCCGAGGCTGAAAGCCGAACTTGTCATTTATGATTATTTATCATTTATTTATCAGGCTGAACTATCATTTCGTCTTCATTTTTCCTCATTAAAATATATTAAAATAACTGTTTTGTCTCCTCCCATTCTGTTTTTTCTTCACTCCCATTCTGTGGATGGGAAAATCACCTCCCTACTGATCCCAGCGTGGCAGGTGAATGGAGCGCAAGAGTTGAGGCCAAAGAAGCTTCTAATGACGTACCTGAGTTCCTGGCTGTGACGCTAGTTACCCTCTGGTAAACTAACATAGCTATGGAAAATCACCATTTTTGATGGGTAAATCCACTATAAATGGCCATTTTGAATAGCTATGTTAAATTACCAGAGGGTAGTTCTTAAGTTAATTAGGTCATGGGGGATCTGAAAACCATAGCTATGATAGGTTTTTGGGGAGTTTTCACCGCCAAGGTCAGCTAATTGCCGTTGTGTAAACTGAGTACGTCTTCCAGTTTAGGCCTGACTCTTCATGTTCAGACGGAATTCTGAGCACAAGTGCTTGACCACATGCATTGAAAACATCTAGAAGTTTAAACAAACATACCAAAGATATAGAAGTTTAAACTTACCAAATTTACTAAGAACATGTTTAAACTTCCCAATTTTCATTTTCAGTTTTTGCTTTCGGACCCATGATCTCAGCACCGAGGGTCCTGGTTCTTGATCGACCTCTTCATCATTTCGGTGGATGCGATCATCATCACTCTGGAGGTACTTCAGGTCAGCCACTAGCGTCACTAGCGCCGCGTTGTCGCACGGAGCAAAAAATATTGGATCCTAGACATCCCAAAGATGATGGATTATTAACTGGACATGTTGGTTGAAAAGTGTGCAATTTTGAGACCTTGAAAATGCTTGAAATGTGGTTTTGTCCGAAAAAACGGGGGAATTTGGCAACCAGGAATCCAGCAACGATGAATTCTCGATGTGGCGTTCAGCCCGTTTCTTTCGAATCCTGCGCTTGATGCTCGGCGCAGATGTGGCCTCACCAAAATCCGCCTGGAAAGAAATGGCGGAAAACCTTTGTCAGGTTTTAAAGCCCCAATTTCTGCCTGAAGGTCCCACTTTTTGTTGGTTAGAGGTTAGAGTTATATATAGGTTATAAGATGTTATAAGTATACGCTTATGAGTTCGAAAGTATTACAATAATGTTATATCTATGCCATACATTTTTCATGCATTTTTCTACTGGGTGAGTTTCATTGAAGTTCCACCTTGCCTTTGCAACCCAGGCTTCGTTTGCTGCGGTTGCTGCGCGTGACCAAGCTGCAAAACGAGGCCAGGGAAGATGAATCCTATCCCCCATTCATATTCGCCAGGGGTTGGTAAAATATCCCGTTTTAGGGATTTTGGGCATCACTGCATCACCTTCAAATATCTGGAGATTATATGAGATTATACCATATGGATTATCCCCAATAGTTGAGTGATGTGCAAAATTTATGGACATTTACCAACCCCTGTTCAACACCCCATTGTATGGTGCCAGATATGTGTGAATCCTGTACTAAAAGATGGTTTCTGAGGGGTGTTTAGGGGAATGAAATTATTCTTGGAAGAGTAGTACTCGGATTATTTTCCCTCGTGAATCGCATGCTGGCATTGGGAAACCTTGGATCTTTGTAGCCATACTTTGCCGATTTCCCTTAACATTAAACGCCGCCATTGTATGGTCCCAGATACACGGCTGCTTATATTCCGGGGAAGAGATTATAAGGATTTTTAAAACATATTTTCTCTTGTTTGGGTTGATGGTCTCCAATTGTCAGCGATTCGGGCAAGACCAACTCGTTTTTCGGGTTTCCTCAACGTTGGCATGACTGCAGTAAAATGGCTGTAGCTACGGCTCAAAAAGCTTGACATTTTTTGACCCTCAAAAACTAAATGTTCTGGTCCTACGGAAATAGACAGCCATGTGTGGATATGTTGGTCCTTTAGTCCTTTTGGGGCTGGCGAAGCAAAACCGCACTTTTCGCTGGTTAGATCCAGAATCCAGAATGTTGCTAGTGCAATCCCAACTTGACATCCGGTCATGTTTCAAGCTATATCTTCCCAAGCTGCTGACCGCTGGCAGTTGATGATCTTGGCCAATCAGTTCCTCTCCACCAACGCCTTCCTCATGCTGAAGGCACACTGAAATCTGGTTTCTTGAGCCAATCCCTTGCCCCATACGGGGACCCCAAGATAAATAGATCCAGGACAAAAACACGGCTTCATTTGAGGGGTGCTAAATGCATTGGTTCATCATCATTTGATGACCATTTGTAGGGGTCAATCCCCCACATCTTCAGACGCCCAAAGATCATATTACTGTTATAGTCTTAGTTATAGTTGGTTAGTCATAATATGCTATAAAATACCCAGCTATATTGTACCCATTAAATCCCAATCCTCATCATATTTCCATTTTAGTTGATGATTTTCCCCACCATATACACATTTTTCATCCTTAGTTCAACTTAAATCATTCAGTTTTGATGATAAACCCCCAATATATCCCAATATTCCATATTATAGTTGGTTATAGCTGTATCCCAACTATAATAATGATACAAAATAACTATCACACTTGGTTTATCATCACTATAGTTGGATACACATGGCTACACATAGCTATTGACAATGGCCATAGAAATAGTGGAATTTCCCATTAAACATGGTGGATCTTTCCATAGCTACGTTAAATTACCAGAGGGTATCACAATTGGTTTATTCCATGGTTCATTCTGTCTCCCCCTCAATGATAAAAACCCCTTGGCCTTCGCTTTACCTTGCCCTGGCAGGTAGGTGCCGGGCTGTTTATGATGGTCATCACCAACCACATCATCGCTTGCTGCTGGCGGCTCGGTCAAAACTTTGGCTCCTAGCCAGATCCCAGCCACGTCGCCGAAGTTGTCGTAGCTCATGCGTTGAAAGCAGAAAATTTGTTTGGCAGATCTGCTAATCTTCTAAGATTACTGATCTGCTTACATATTCTTTGTTCAGTCTCCACATTATCCATTTTGAAATATTTTGAATATACATTCTTCAACTGGCGACATTTGGGAGACTGAACATTTCAGCCGAAGTGATGTGGCCATGGCAGGCATTTGGCAATTAGGGTCTGAAAATGGGATACTCCATTCCATCCACTGCGAATCATTATATATCTATTGAATCACATTGCGATTTAACGGTGGCATACCGCATTTTCAGACAAAGCCATTTGAATGGTATTGCAAGATCTTCCAAATAGGCTTGAATATTGATACCATTCTACCTCAAACTTGTTTTAGAGATCTTAGAGGAGTTATTGCATGTATGTAAATCCCATTGATTGATAAACCCTATACAATGCAGAACTTATCAGCCAATATATAAACATCCATAAACCCTGTCCAGAAACCAAGCCCTGGTCATAAACCATCCACAAACCGTAGTTGAACCCTGGTTCCAAACCGGTTTGCTACATCGTTCTACACCAGTTGGAGGATCGTCCCACTGACTAATAGATACCATAGATATACCATAGATATACCATAGATATACCATAGATATACCATAGATATACCATAGATATTATCACCCATTTATAGATTCGCATAATCCAGGTGGGGGACTTACCCTCTGGTAAACTAACATAACTATGGAAAATCACCATGCTATTAATGGGAAAATCCACTATAAATGGCCATTTTCAATAAACCAGTTGCGATCCGCGGGATGATCGGATGATCCTCTTGGGCCGTAGGTATGGCGTGGGTTCCTTCGGCGACGCCGGGAGCTCGAGCCAGAGCTGGCTGCACACTGCGCAGCTGGACAGTGGAGGTTGGCTCAGGGGTCAAAGGTGGCTGGAAAATCATGTCAAAGATGAGTTTCCCAGCTATAAACCTTCATCTTTGATGGATAGACCTTCATCTTTGATGGATAGACCTTCATCTTTGATGGATCGACCTTCATCTTTGATGGATAAACCTTCATCTTTGATGGATAAACCTTCATCTTTGATGGATAAACCTTCATCTTTGATGGATAAACCTTCATCTTTGATGGATAGACCTTCATCTTTGATGGATAAACCTTCATCTTTGATGGATAAACCTTCATCTTTGATGGATAAACCTTCATCTTTGATGGATAAACCTTCATCTTTGATGGATAAACCTTCATCTTTGATGGATAAACCTTCATCTTTGATGGATAAACCTTCATCTTTGATGGATAAACCTTCATCTTTGATGGATAAACCTTCATCTTTGATGGATAAACCTCCATCTTTGATGGATAAACCTTCATCTTTGATGGATAAACCTTCATCTTTGATGGATAAACCTTCATCTTTGATGGATAAACCTTCATCTTTGATGGATAAACCTTCATCTTTGATGGATAAACCTTCATCTTTGATGCATAAACCTTCATCTTTGATGGATAAACCTTCATCTTTGATGGATAAACCTTCATCTTTGATGGATAAACCTTCATCTTTGATGGATAAACCTTCATCTTTGATGGATAAACCTTCATCTTTGATGGATAAACCTTCATCTTTGATGGATAAACCTTCATCTTTGATGGATAAACCTTCATCTTTGATGGATAAAAACCTTCATCTTTGATGGATAAACCTTCATCCTTTGATGGATAAACCTTCCTTCATCTTTGATGGATAAACCTTCATCTTTGATGGATAAACCTTCATCTTTGATGGATAAACCTTCATCTTTGATGGATAAACCTTCATCTTTGATGGATAAACCTTCATCTTTGATGGATAAACCTTCATCTTTGATGGATAAACCTTCATCTTTGATGGATAAACCTTCATCTTTGATGGATAAACCTTCATCTTTGATGGATAAACCTTCATCTTTGATGGATAGAACCTTCATCTTTGATGGATAAACCTTCATCTTTGATGGATAAACCTTCATCTTTGATGGATAAACCTTCATCTTTGATGGATAAACCTTCATCTTTGATGGATAAACCTTCATCTTTGATGGATAAACCTTCATCTTTGATGGATAAACCTTCATCTTTGATGGATAAACCTTCATCTTTGATGGATAAACCTTCATCTTTGATGGATAAACCTTCATCTTTGATGGATAAACCTTCATCTTTGATGGATAAACCTTCATCTTTGATGGATAAACCTTCATCTTTGATGGATAAACCTTCATCTTTGATGGATAAACCTTCATCTTTGATGGATAAACCTTCATCTTTGATGGATAAACCTTCATCTTTGATGGATAAACCTTCATCTTTGATGGATAAACCTCATCTTTGATGGATAAACCTCCATCTTTGATCCTCCATCTTTGATGGATAAACCTTCATCTTTGATGGATAAACCTTCATCTTTGATGGATAAACCTTCATCTTTGATGGATAAACCTTCATCTTTGATGGATAAACCTTCATCTTTGATGGATAAACCTTCATCTTTGATGGATAAACCTTCATCTTTGATGGATAAGCCTTCATCTTTGATGGATAAGCCTTCATCTTTGATGGATAAGCCTTCATCTTTGATGGATAAACCTTCATCTTTGATGGATAAACCTTCATCTTTGATGGATAAACCTTCATCTTTGATGGATAAACCTTCATCTTTGATAGGTAAACCTTCATCTTTGATGGATGTTCACTCATATATATATATATATATTTCGCATGTTTTTCTCAGAATTTTCTCATGATTTTTCAGCCAGTCACGTTTGATTAGCAGAGAGGGTACCATCTGGTAACCTGAAAATGGTTTTTTTTCGTGGAACCTCATTTTGCAACCCTTAAAGAGTCCCCCAAATTGACATGACGCTGCCATGAGTTGGGGGTTGGGAAGACAAGCCTATCCTATCCACTTAGGTTTTTTCGCCATTTTCACGGTGTCAATTTAGGGGAGGCTATGAAATTCTTCATCAATGAAAAGAACCTTAGATTTAAATCAATTGACCCTCACAAGGGAGCCAGGAAGATGATTTTCCTCACCCTAAATATGGGTTCCATGTTCAATTCAGGGGGGTATGACTAACCAGAGTTTGGATGTAAATCAATCATCCAAATTTAGGATTTCATGATAAAAGACCCAAACCTGGAGTCTGGGGCTTTTTTGGTTCCTGGGTTCCTGTTTTGGTGACTTCAAAGCCATCCCTAGCTGGGATCCCCGATGATTTTGGCAACGCCAGATTTCGGTGCGGCCTATGCGGCGTCGCTGCACTGGTGCCTGGGCCATGCTTCGTAGACCACAAGACCACAAAGGGGTCAGGCGTTTCCCGCGTTTCCCACCCATTTTTTTTTGGGAGAAACACATATTATATGGAGGTTTCCTAAGTCATGGGGGTACCCCAAATCATCCGAGTCATTAGACCATGACTTAGTATTGAAACCAATGGTGACTTGGGGACCCACCATTTTAAGAGCTCCCCATATAAAAACACAAGATGGATGGGGCCGTGGAATGGGGGTGTGAAAAATATGAACGGGGGAAAGGATTTGTAGAATGTTCATTACGTCCAGTCCCTGATGAAGAGAGGTTGAGAGATGCTGGCAATGCGAAGAGAGCCAAACCTTCAGACAAACTCGGCTGTTTTCTTGGTAAAATCACCAGTTTTTTGAAAGTTAACTCCGCAACTTTAGCGTTGGCCAAACTCTCATTTTCGCTGGTCAAAGTCATCATCAGTCATAAAAACCGATGGTTGTTGTGACGACTAGACGAAGTCTCAATGCTTGCTGCATGATTTCTGATGTTTCTTGTCGATTATGTATAGAATTTAATGTTTTTTTTGGTTGCTGTGGAAAATGGTAGAAATCCATCAGAATTTCCAGCAACAACTCCCGAGTCTGGGACATGTGATGAAGTCATTGGGTTTGTTTGAAAATAGACTACACCTGAATCCATGGGTTCATCCGTTTCCCTCTTAACAGAAAGAATTTCCAATTTTTTGTTCAAGCCATTTCCAGACAAGTCGGCATACTGGTTGGTGGTTTGGAACATGGCTTTTATTTTTCCATCATATTGGGAATGTCATCATCCCAACTGACGAAGTCCATCATTTTTCAGAGGGGTAGGTCAACCACCAAGCAGTTATGTTCTATATATATATAATCCCATCATATAACCATATAATATTATATAATCACTATTATTGGTATTATAACCACTATTATTACTAATAATACCAATCATTATTATTAGTAGTATTACTATCTCCATATATAACCATATTATAATGACTATAATTGGTGTTGATAATCCCTATTATTGGTGTATTTCACCAGCATATCTTGGCGATCCAGTCATCTGGTGACATCTCCAATTCTGTTTCGTTCGCGCGTTCGCGCCATGCTGGGCCATGCTGGGCCATGCTGGGCGAAGAGGTCCTTGACGCAATTCACCCCAGCCACCAACAATATCGCCCCTGAGAGCCCATTGGAGCGAAACTTGGATCCGATGGCGTTTACAACGTCCAGTTGGACCTTCGTTGGGTCCAAGCTGTGAAAATAAAAAGGGGGGTTCCATAAATGGGGGTACCCAATCGCTGGATGGATCTGGATGGTTTATTTCATGGAAAATCCCATTTATGCCATAATCTAAAAATGGATGACTGGGATGGGTACCCCTATGACTTAGGAACCCTCCATATGTGCTTAGCAAGTTAGTTAAATCCCAATGGAAATCCATATGTTGGTCTGGTGGCACTGTGAGACCCTCGAGACCGCCGAGATGCTTCGAGGTTTAACAAAACCCCCATGGTGTACCTTCGAATGTGATGTAGAATTACTGGTTGGTGGTTTGGAACATGGAAGTTAATGGTGGTTGATAGTGGTTAATAATGGTTAATAATGGTTAATGAGATATTCTGGTTGGTGGTTTGGAACATGGCTGTTATTTTCCCCAATAATTAGTTGGGATGATGATCCAATCTGACGAACTCCATCATTTTTCGGGGTAGGTCAACCACCAATTAGATGATGTAGATCCCAACACTTCGAGTAACAGTTGGGCACCCCAGCATTTCCAGCTTCCGAGGAGTCTTTGCTTTGGTGATCATTCTTCTGGCTATTGGTGTCTTCAGTTCCTTCATTGCTTCAATCAGCAGCACCTTGAACATGCTCCGGGCCTCGCGCGTGGAGAATTCCAAGTCCCGCGGCCTCGATCTTCGAAGATGTGGCACAGGGGATCGTTCCATAGATGGAACGATAAACAGCACTACTGGTTGGTGGTTTGGAACACGGCTTTTATTTTTCCATATACTGTATTGGGAATAATAATCCCAACTGACTTTCATATTTTTCAGAGGGGTTGAAACCACCAACCAGACATAGTCCAGAATCTGTGGTAAGAATTTTACTACTCTTTTTTACTGTATGTAATATTATGTAATATGATGATAGCGAGAATGAATTGAAAAATACGGTTCCACTAATCACTAATATTTATCATACTCAACATATACAAGTCATAACCGTGATAACGATACCAATGATGATCATTAAGTTCTCGGGCCGACATGAGCCTTCCTCATGCACTTGCCGATTTCAGTTCGCAGAGTGACTTTGCTAGGCACCTCAATTCCCTTCAAGTCTGCAGTTGTTCTCCAATTTACGGTATGTGAGGCCCAAAAAATACCAGTAGATCATACTGGCCGCTGGACAAACCATCAAGATGGAATCTCAAATCTATCCAGCATAAAAGGTGCAAATACGTTCGAAGGCACATCACACAGTGATAGGGTCCCTCTTGGGGCTTTTTCCTCCAACTCCCAAATTTTGTGTCGTCCCAGGCACTACTCGAAACTCTTCCAATTTTTCAATGAGAGGCGCCTGGAATCGGTGCCAGAATTGAAGCTGCCCTGAGATTTGGGAGCTTTCCATGGAGAACCAGGCATTTTTGGGTTTTCAGATGTTCCATTCTAAACGAATCCATTGAGTTTTGGTGTTTTCAAAGCTGGTGAAAACTTCCCCTGATGCAAAGCTGTTAGGAATCTGTCGGTGAATCTGTACGGCAAGGTGAAGAAGGCGCCGGAAACAATGGGACGCGACGCAGTCGTGGTGTTTTCGAAGCATGTCCCAAATTCCCATTGGTTGCGAACGATCAATAGATGATAGATGGGATTAACAATGATAGATGGGATTATCAATTGATAGATGGTTTCTGTTTGAAGAAACCCCGAAATAACAACAGGTTTCTATGATTATAGATGAGATTAACCAGCTCCCGGCCCCTCTATTTTTACCAAAAGGACATTATTAGGACACCTACTATCTCATTCCCGCAACATTAAATGCCCCCTTTTTTTGGAGAGTGTAACGCTTTCTTTTTTTTTGAGACCTCCAAAATGAATAGATCCAATACATTTCCAATACTAAATCAAGGTTTCATTTGGAAGGTATTTCATTTAAGGAGTCCAATTTATTTCATTTTTTTTTGATCAGGTTTAGGAATCTTTGGATTCCTGCTGTTCCTGCTTCTCTGCTTCTCTGCTTTTTTGCTTTTCCGCTTTTTTGCTTTTCCTGCTTCTCTGCTTTTCCTGCTTCTCTCTTTTCTGCTTCCCTGCTTTTTTGCTTTTTGCCTTTCCCGCTTTTCTGCTTCTCTGCCATTCTACTTCTACTTTTCTTTTTCTGCAGTCATGCGTTTTGCTCCTCTGCTTCTCTGCTTGCTTTCTTTATTTACTGTCTCTTTGCTTTTCTGTTTCTTTTGCTTCGTTCTCTCCTGTTTGTATCCTAAATAGAACCCTAGAGAAACCCTAGATGAAACCCAAAGACACCCTAAAGAAACCCTAATAAGAACCCCCAAAGAAACCCTAATAAGAACCCCTAAAGGAACCCTACATGAAACCCTAAAGATACCCTAGATGACACCCTAAATGAAAGCCCTAAATGAAACCCTAAAGAAATCCCAAATGAAACCCTCAAGAAACCCTAAATGAAACCCACAAGAAGCCGAAAGAAATCCACATGAAATTTGAAGTACCAACATGTAGCAACTACCATGCAAAATGGAAGGTGAACATGTCAAAATGTGGCAAATACCATGCAACATGACAAGTTCTAGTTCCAGACTGTTGCAAATACAAGGCAAATGGTACCAGGAAAGAAATCCAAAAAACAATACACCTGATCCAAAAAGCACCTAAAACTATTCTTCACCCTTCATTTAATATTGGGATTGGGACTATGGGGGGATAGAACCCATTGACGATCACCAGTTCACTGACTGCATGGCCCGTTCAAGTGGCCAAAATTAAAGGCAGCCAAAGCACCTGGGAACAGAAGCCATCACCCTATGGAATCTCATGTTAGACTTGGCACTTGAATGTGCATGCCAGTTACTAAGTTGGGGGAAATACGGATGACCCTATTCTAACCCACTTATAAATGGGATATACGAACATACCCTAGGCTTCTTTCGGGTAATGGGGCACCCCCAGTTGTTACGTTGCCACTGGCCACGCGAAGCGCAGCGCCAGTTGTTACGCAATGAGCACCTGGTGGTCCGAGTACAAGAGCGCCTCGGATTATGTGTGCCATGGTGAAGTTCGATTTTATTAGATTGGCCATTAATGTTAGTAAAGCAATAATAAAACACCCATATTTTGATGGTTTTAATACCACAAAAATGGTAAATTCGGGGATGGTTTCCTATTGCTTTCCCAACATTCATCCAAAAACCCTCTAATATTCAAGCCTAGTTTCTATATGGGGGAAGGGATTGATTGGGATGGATGATGGTGACACCATATTCATCCCATCTGAATTGACAGTGGCCCCTAACTTTGGAAATGTCCATAGAAATAGTTGATTTACCCAGCTATAAAATGGTGATTTTCCAATATTTTCCGTGTAGTTATGTAGTTTTTTGTATGTTTGCCAGAGGGTATGTCGTTTTTTTGACGTATCGCCAGCTCCCTCTGGTAGATCTGACGTTGCCAAAAATCCCTGCCGTTGTCCCTGCCAGGGCCGAAGTGGCGCTGATTGAAAAGATCCCCGAAAGACTGAAGATTCAGCTTCACATGGAACCGCGGCAGCATTGGATGGTGGCGAAATCCGGTTAGGAAAACCTGTTGATAGATGGTAAACATCCATGTTTATCCCATGATTTATAGGGTTTCAACATGTTTCAACCATCCAAGGTGGTGTAGGATTTCGCAACCATCCACAGTAGCTTTAAAGGGAAAACATTAGAGGCAAGAATGAGTTTTTTTGAGTCGGTTTATGTATTGAAACACACAAAGCTACGATTTATATATCTATAGTATAATAATACCTTGGTAGTCTCTTGATAGACCTGGATCATTCTTCACAAATGGGTTTCCCTCTTTATGTTTTGGGCTAGACAACTTCAATCAGAGTTGCATCCATTCTGAATAGATTGGATAGTATGATCCATGTCATTATGCTGTCGCTATAAATATGGAATATCCACAAATAGTTTTACAATGATGGTACATGATGGTACTGTACTTTAATGTTTTTCCTTGCATAGAACGTTATTCATATCCTCATAGAAATCTGTGACCTTTTTGCAGTGTATCTTAGCGGCTTTATTTAGGCCTTCCAAACCAGCTTGTCTTGAGGAGATGTACATGCCCACCCTGCTATCGATGAAAATCTGGCCCAAGACGAAAATGTCGGACGTGGAATATTTCTACAGCGCCTGGGACAGCAAGAAATTGGATGAAATGGGCACATCCCTTTTTTTTTTTTTGCACATTTACAGGCTTTACCCCCAACAATTTGGGAGGCCCAAAAAAATCTCAAAAAACCATGGATTGAAGAGTTTCAAGCTCAAGAATTCCCCACGGACGGACCCACGAAAGTGACGCACTTCGAATGGGGACAGTGGTCATCAACCATCATTTCTTCCCTGTATGTTCCGACCATCCAACAACTGGATTGCATGTGGATTGCACCCAAAACTATCGCAGTTGGTGCAGGCCACAAAAGCCTAGAAATCATCCAGAAATCAATGGTCATCAATGCAGAGTTGGATCACAACTAGTGTGTTTAAGTCATTAGTTGCAACATATTACAAACTAGCTATGTAAATGACAATGATTTCGGATCCAACTATTTGTTCCATTGATCTTGGTTCATATTAGTTTGTATATCCTATAAACCACCCCCATAAGCTATCCCATTAAATGTAGTTGTAATTCCACAATAATATGTGTACATTCATATGTGGTAATCAATATATATATATATATGGTCCATGATCCCATATCATTCCATATCATTCCATATCATTCCATATGATTCCATATCATTCCATATGATTCCATATCATTCCATGATGGTACCTGATTCCATAGGATGGTGAAATTCATGATCCCCTTTTTGTGGTAACCTATCACCATGAACTCTCCCCATAAAGATTCCACATATCTATGTATGATGGTAGTAATTCCATCATAAATTATCTATACTTTATAATTACTGTACCCATGAATTCTCAAATCCATATTTTATATGCCATGAATGGATCTATAGGTATTCGATCATTGTAAACTACCATCAGGTGGATTTATATCATATGCTGTCCATATCCCCATTATCAAATATCCCAAAAATATTCCGTTTCTATGCAGAACATATTCCACAAATATCCGCATCAAAACCTGCATCTTCCGCTAATCAAACGTGGCTAGCTGGAAAATTCCCCAAAAAATGGGAGATTTTCCATGCGATGGCCATGATTGCCGGTCCGGGACAATATCTATTAATGACCATTAGAAAAACCCATTAACCATTAGTCACCATTCATCACCATCATTAAGAATTATCAGCCATGATTGATCATTTTACCATTAGATCACTGCGAATCCAGCCATATCAATCCATATCATATATATATATATATCATATCCATAAATACTGTATAATAATCCACATATATATATATATATCATATCCATAAATACTGTATAATCATCCATATATACATAATATCCATACTGTGGATGCTGAAATTCTGCAGCACTGACTGAAACCATGGGATCCAGCGATCGGTGCAGGCAATGTTTGCCACCTGGCCATCTCTGAGGGCCTCGCGAAGCCTGGCCAGGCCCGTTGAAATCCAAAGAACCATGGGTTTCTGCGGTGTTCAATAGTGGAAAATCAGGGGGGAAAGGGACTTGGATTTTTTGAACAAGAAACAAGATGTTTTCGATGTTGTCCGGTAAAATCCACCATTTTTAAATGGGGAATCGATTGGGAGAACTGATGCCGTTCACATACAAAAAAAAACAAATTTCCGGTGTCCAACATGGCCAGGATGTATTTATGCCTGGCACTGATTGCAAAGATGCGTATATCTTGGTGGCTCGGCGGTGGATGAAGTGTGGCTGGATCGAAGTCGTTTTAGATCGTTTTTGGTACCAGTTATAAGTCATAAGTAGATGGATTTCACCACAGTTACAGGGGTTATGTCCTAACTTGGGATTAAAATCCCATATAGCTAGTGAGAACCCCAACTGCATTCCCAAGTAGCAACCTCCAAACGGATGGAAAAAACAACATCCTATGAAAGAATAGTGTTCGATGCCTACTTTTATTGGGGGGATTACTGCTTTGGGGGTGCAGTTGAGGTTTTTACGAGTATATTTCGATACAACGGTGGTTACAACCCTCATAATTTGGGATATCTTGGGATATAGGGCCCCTACAACTAGGGTTGTATATCAACTTCTACCTGGAACTGCACCCCTAAGTAGGGATTTAGTTTGGCTCCATCTTAAACCATGTTAACATATCTTAGCAATTGTTTGGGGACAAATATAACCATTTTATGGAGATATGCTGGGATATGGAAAAGGATATTAATGGAATCTTTTCATATATCCCAATTCGACATACCCCAGAAACATGGGTTAAATATGGATTAATTATATGGTTCATATTCCTCAATTTGATGGTAGATTTAAAAGGGTAATGCCCCTTTGGTATGTGAAAATCATCCGACCGAGGAGTCAGGCGACATGTTCTATCTTCCGCGCAGCTCGACGCAGCAGCCTTTTCGTTTGTTTTTCTGTTGTGGGGTTTCCTTGGCTTCCAAAAAATGGGAAACCCTGGCTGCCATAAACAACTACCATGCCTGGGGATGGTTTATACTACTACACATTTATGGCATTCGGTTTGGTTGCATGTTTGATATATCAGTGACTTTGTTCTTTTTCAGCGATTTAATACTCAGCCACACTATTTCAGGATGTTGGGAGAGTGTGGTTCCTGCTTTGTTCAGGACAGGGGCAAAGCTTTGCAAAAGAAAGAGGCAGGGTCTGGGGGTCCAAACATCTGAGATACCAAATATCTGGATTTGCAACAAATCAGTGATTTTTTTTTACTGTTTGACCAATAGGACATCCATTACTTAGGGAATCTATAGGGAATTCTTTTTTAGTGATGGGGAAATGAGGATCAACCATGACAAGTAGCTTAGCCGGATCTTAGCTCCAGATGCTGAACGGTTTTCATCATGTGAAATCCCCATGCCTGGCCCGTATCATTTGGGTGCTTGGGATTTATGGATGTTCATCCCAGTTCAGATCATGGAAAAAAACACCATCAGTTTCCCCGTGAATTTTTCCATGGGGCCATGCCCCAAGTTTGGACAAACTCATTGCATCCCATGGTATCCAACTCCCATAACTTTGTTGCTTAAGGGTAAAGTTTCAAGTAAGTTTTCCCATATGTCCCAATAAACATGACATAAATTGGAGTATGACCGCAGCTTTGTTGCTCAAATCCTCCACTTATTTGGACTAGCACCAATCTTAATCATCTCAGGTTGACATTTTCCCATATTTTCCCTTTTCCCCTGTGAACAATGCCGTATCTTCACAGTTTCATACCCGTATATATTTTTATTTACATACATACTGTACGATATGTAAGCTGGTTGGTCAACATTGTAATCCCTTCCCTAGTAGGGGATTAAACCAAGAGACTGGGACCTTTTCCACCAAAAAAAACACCATTTTTCCATAGGAAAACCACATTAGATCACCAGTTTTATCACAATTATTCATATGGTTTAACTATGATTTTTTTAAATGATCCACTATTAAGATATACCATCTGGTTATTTAACATAGCCATGGAAAATCACCGTTTTTAATAGGTAAACCATCTTTAAATGGGCCATTTCCCATGGCTAAGTTAAATAACCAGAGGGTAGTTAAATCTCCATCTTCCCACGACGTCTCGCAGCTTCCTCTCGAGGACCTGAAGGGGTGACCCTTTCCAACGAGCACCTCTGTGTGGTGTGCCTCTGGGCCGAGTGGCATCATCGCACCTTGGCAGCGCAGCTTTTCATGGGGAAGCTGCAGTATTTTCTTCACGAGAAAGCGATTGGATATGACTGGATGCTTCAGTGTACATATATATATAATAATAATATATATATATATAATATGTATGTATGTATAATGTGTGTATGTATGTAATATGTATATACACATAGAATTATATTTATACCCAAACCAGATAGTGCCCGGCCCGCGCCGGGGCGGAAGTTTCGAAAATAGGAGATGACTATAAGAAATCAATGCCCTATAGGAACGCTTTTGAGATGCAGAAGCCCTGAGCGGTTGAAGTTGTGAGGTGCATCAACGAAGGTGGAAATGGTGGTTGAGATGCCAATGAAATGACAAGAAAGAATCCGTGCACAACTGAGTGAATGAACCAACACTGCATCAATGAATCAGTGAGCCAATGAATCAATGAATCAGTGAATCAACGAATGAATGAATCAATGAATCAACGAATCGATGATTCAGTGAATCGATGAATCAATGAATCGATGGTTCAGTGAAGCAATGAACCAATGCATCAATGCATGAATGATTTAGTGGGAGGGTGAATTTCGCCAAGGGCATCCAAAATTTACATAAATTTACAATGTTATTCGGTTAGGATAAAATTCTGTGATTTTGGGGCATCAGCTGGGGATATTTGGCATGCTATAGCCAGTGTTGATTGAGATCATCCCCGAGTCGACGAATTGTGGGAGCGAACTCGGAGATTTCATGGAGGGGTCCGTCAAACTCCGGGAGGTCCATAGATGTTGAGGAAAAGGTAAATTTACCCTCTAGTTATTTAACATAGCCATGGTATAGATGGCCCTAATCGAAATAGATGGTTTACCTATTAAACATGGTAATTTTCCATGGCGAACTGTTAGTCATAACCAGATGGTAATTCATTCGACATCAGGCAAAGGTTTCAAGGGGATCCCTAAAATCGCCGGGAGTTTGATCAGAAACTGATTTCCTCTATCCTTCAGACAAGGGGGACCCCACCGTAGCCTTTCATGACCCAAACACAATGCAGTCTGAGCGACCAACGCTTTCAGGTGGTGAAATATCATGAAATATCCACATCCTCTTGAGACTACCTGCAAAAAAATCAAAAAGATGGCATATTCTCAGGGCCCTGATACTCAAAACATCACACATACTATCGGTGGTTCGATCGTGGAACATTTCCGGTGATTGATCCCCATCAGGTTTTGTAGCAGAAAATGGAGGTTTCCTGAGTCATGGGGGTACCCCTAATCATCCATGTTGCTAGGATTTTCCATTATAAACCATTATAAACCATGATAAACCATCTATAATCTGGGGGTACCTCCATTTATGAAAACCCCAATATGGAAATGATAAGGAATCCTGCTTTATGATGTCTTATGCCTAAAAATCCCGTGGTGAAACATCAGAAATCATCACCCATTCCAACCCATTCCGACTCTCGCCAGGTGGTCGCCTCTCTTCGGGGCAGAACATGAGCTACTTCATCAAGGCGTGAGTGCGGATTGGATTCCTATGCGCATAGGAAATTAAAACATTTGGATATTAATAATTGTTAATAATGGGAATATAGCTATCATGGGATATTAACTATATAATAGTGGGGATATTAACTATCATGGGATACTAATACTATTATCATGGGATTATTAAACTATCATGGGACTATAATGGGGATATTAACTATCATGGGATACACTATATGACTATATGATATTACAACAGGTTTTTGTTGATAGGATATACTATCTATTTATATAATCAAACGTGGCTGGATGGAACATACCGGAACTAAATGGGTGGATTTTCAATCAAGCCACGTTTGATTCCCGCAGGGCAATCATCCCTGAATTAGAAAATGGGACTTTCGAACGCGAAATGGCAATGTAGTGAGGAGTTTCTGAAATTTCCATATTCTATCTGCTCTAGGATGGCTACATATATGTTGTACACACACAGATCACAGATCTTTTTAAATTTGATCACGACCTCACCTCGGGACGTTGAGCCATCGGAATGGAGAATCCGTGGTAACTTTCCCTCCCAATCAACCATGGCACCATGATGCCATGGCTGGCTTTGAAATGGCTTTTCCGATCGAACTATGGGCGATTTTCCAGACCAAAGACGACTACCGACTCGATTTCGGCTGGTATTCTCCATCAATCTGCAGGTGAATTGCGAGACCTTTGGGACGATGGCGATGAAGTTTGGTGGTCCGCTCTTTCGCTATTTGCAAATCTTTGGCATCCTACTGGTGAGTTTCTGGGAATCGATGACGGACGATGTTTGATTTTTTTGGATCTTTTTGGGAAGGGAAATCTATAGGAATATATTGAATATATCCAGCAAACATGGGGATGTTTGATTTTGTGGGGTCATTTTTTCAGCAAATCCAATATGTAAAGATCCAGTTAGGGATGGTATGATGGTATACAATAACCCACCCATTTCTGGGACGGGGTATGGTTTGTGGTTATGGGTTTACCACATTAATCATTTACATGGGACCATTGTGAACTGTCGTATTGGATGATCAGAATGGGCATGAAGCAACAATTGAGATTTAATGTCAACCCCAGAAGAAGAATCTCTGGCTTGGGGGAATTCCTGGCAATAGTGATGTCATTCGCTACTTCAATGGTACCCCTCAATGATCAACAGCCCAGGTGTGATTAAACATTCGCTCGTGACATTGGGTAAAAATCACTCTCAACAGCGAATTTTGATCGTTCCAAACGAGGTGAGATTGAGTACCTACAGGAGCAAGGTACCATTGTCTCTGACATGAACCTGGAAAAGGACTAGGGGGGAAGGTCAGCGACTAGCCATTTGGATCAACAAATGGATGAGATATCGGACAGAAAAGGTGTGATTGTAGCTTGAGGACGATGAATATGTGCAGAAAATAAATCGTCGGGAATTTGGGATACCAATATTATTAGGACATGAGGACATAATTTCGACATGCGACATAATCTACTTGAAGCAAGACATGGGGATGGGTCAAAACCTATTATTACCATATTTGGAAGAATCAACATCCATTAACCAGCTATTTTAGGTACCATCCGGGTGCCAGGGTTTTGACTCACAACCACATATATCCAAGATGTTGATGGTTGATCATCAGTTTCCCTATGAACATAGCCCCTTTTCAGAGAAAGCCGTGAAACGAGAACCAAGCAGCTGCACCTGGTCCAGCTGGTGGGAACTTCACCAAATGAGCTGCCAAAAAAGTAAAAACACATCCAGCTTTGTCATGGCTTGAAGATTTTGTTTGGCAAACACCATCTCAAAGCCTCAAAGCCCATTCCATCCAGCGTTTTGACTTCCATTTTCCTGGATTGGATGGGGGATATTCGGGGTAAATCTACCCCGAAGGCCAGGGGCAGGCTCTGAAAATGCGGACCGTTGACCCACGTTTTTACAGCCATGAAATCATGAAATGAATGATGTAGTTTTCACATTCTCAAGAGAACAATTAAATCACTAGCGCTCAATGAGGTTTTCTCCTAAATTTTGCAGGCACCTTTTAGCTATCTTGGCCAGGAGCAAATGATACAACTTGCTGTGCAAGCAGAACGCTACTCAGATGTTGCAGCACCGAAGTCCTCGCCCAAGGGATTCACACAATCCCTGTCCAGGAGTGTTCGACGAAGGGGAGGAATGAGGAAGTTGCCAAATAGCCATAATATCTTCATGCATGCTGGTTAGTCATGTGGGTAAAACATGGTAAAACAATGTCATAAACCACCTATGACTGGGAATGGTAACCAGTCACCACCTAATTGATGGTGATTTGGGGGATGGTTTATTGTTGTTTTACCCACATTAGGGGCAACTATCCCATTTTTTGGCGCGTCAATTCATTCAGGTTGCCTATGTCTTATGTTTAAAATATTTCATCAAGATTAATGAGTTAAACCTAAGGCCATAGTCCATCTTCAATATGAGTTTATGGCATTGGTTATTTGGTATATATGTGTACATAACTATTGTGACTGAGAAGATTCTTCTAAGATGTAAACTGACGCCCTATTGTGGTTGGTTATCGAGATGGTTAATCATTGGCTTTGCCACATTACTGTAGGGTTATCTTAGCCAGCACAATCAGCCACTGGCAGACGCAGCCACTGGCACGGAGTGATTTTGAGTCAGTACCCAGTCATCCAGCATTTGATGCTTGATTTACGGCATGGGTAAAGCATCCTCGCAAGACTCTCCTGTCATTTTTGCACTGACTGATCGTTCAAGGTTGCGTTGGTCAAAACTTGGGTAACGTGTGCAAAAACATGGGGGATAGTCATCAATCCAGTGCTAGGGATTCAGATATAATATGATATAATTACATTTTCCGTACATTTCCCAATATATTTGAATTTCATATTGTGGGATGGATGACTACACCACATTCATCCCATGTTTTCTGCCGGAATACCAGGATGTCACTAATCTTGGGCGTTCTCACTTGGTTCGGAATCGGACATTTAAGTCTCGACCGTCCGCGTCTCCCTGACGGCGATTTTTCGATATTTTTCTGGTAATCTAAAAGATATGAAATGCTATGTAAAAACGGCACGTAAATGCATATGAATGTAGATCATTTACCTTTTTTCGAACTGGTGGTTTTCCTATGGCCAGAGGGTCACCGGGGTTTTGCCTATCCAAATTCTCCCATGATTCCATCAGCGTTTCAGGATCTTGACCATCAAGCGCGCCTCCACGCAAACTGAAAGCTGAGCGGAGGCCACGCCACGGCGAAGCGAAAGGTGGGGGATGTTCCAGCTGACCGGGGAAAAACAGCAGCTGACCAGTGACTGATTCAGGTGGTTTCAAAGATGGGGAAAATTTTCACCAGAAAGTTGAGAGAGGTTCAACTTTAACCCAACTGACTTTTACATATTCGGAGGGTTATTGAAACCAGCAACCCCACGAAAACTTTGGTTTTCGCGAACATTTCCAGCATGCCGGGGTTGATTAATTACTGGAGGCCACCATAGAAATGGGACCATTTGATGGATTTTTTCAACTTCCAAATTGGCTACCCAGAAGATACCTTGCTGTTCTCGGACCTGAGCTATGCGACTGGTGATTTTAAAGCTTCCTCATTCTCCATCCGACTTTGGATGATTCCTGATTAAGCACAAGCCAATTGGAATCACCGCCGGTTTCGTTCGCAGCCGCTGCGCAGGAGTAAAGTACGTGCGCTGAGAAATCAGTCAGCGCCCAGAGCATGAATATTTCGGAGAAGGCATGGAACCCAAAGGTGGACATGTCTAAATCTCTTTTTCGTATGGTCATTTTTTTTCATTTCCGATGGATTCTGAGAATAAAATTGACCTGGTCGCTTTTTTTTGTACATCGTTTTTGATGGTTGAATCAATCATTGCTGGTTAATATCACCATTTTGACCCCAAGATACCCCAAGTTATATTACCATATTGGGCTTACCATATGTCATCATTTCGATGGGTTTTAGTCAGCTTCGCCACTCACAGCCCCCCACCTGTGACCCACAGAACGGGCTCTCGCACGTCGAATGCCGGCGGGAGCGGAAGATTTGGGGTCCTTGCCAAAGTGCAAGGACCATTAAGTCACAACTTAAAAAATCCAGTCTTTGACGATGATGGTTTTTCGGACCGTATTTGATGATGATAGTACCCATAAAGTGAATCCCATAGGTTAATCCCATTTTTTCCAGGATATTCCCATGAAATCCCATGATGGTACAAAATAGTACAAACATCCATGAGTCATCATCAGTCAATAGATTCAAGTCAGATGTTTCAATATGGTGATGACACGTGGAGCAAACCATCCCAGAATCACCCAACATTTCAGGTGTCTGGACGGCGGAATGATCATAATCATATGAATATATATATATATACATATCCGTATATATATATATATGTACGTATATATATATACTGGTTGGTGGTCTGGAACATTTTTTATTTTTCCATATTCATATATTGGGAATAATAATCCCACCTGACTAATATTTTTCAGAAGGGTTGAAACCACCAACCAGAATATAAAGCACATGGCCCATGAGTAAAGTGAGTGAAGGAACAAAGCGCTATGGAAGAGCCATGGGGAATCACCTGGAAAAAATCTATAACGGTTGATTTTCCATAGTTTTCCATATATTCCTTAATAATGTATGTTCCATATATTCCATATATAACACTAGGGTACGTCCATGGATCTGGGTGATCGCCAGTTTGCATCCATTTGCACCGCCAGTGCGGGCTGATCGCCCGACTTAAAAGTTGCTGCGACTTTTGTCAAAAGATCTGGGATGATCTTGGTGAATTATAGCGACCCCATTTGACCTCAGCATAGATAATGGGAATTGGAATGGGGAAATCATCCCCAAATGCTCAGACTAATCTGGAAAAAAGGACATCTAGTCTAGTCATTCCCTGGTCCAAATTTTAGGACTATTCTGGGAACTTCTTCTGGTTTAGGTAGGACATCTAGTTCAGGAAAAATCTAGGATTGGGTTCCCAGTTCCCAGAATTCCAGAAAATCCTTCACAAGTTGGAAGTCTGAACATCTTCTCCAGTGAACGGAGCATCCAATGGGCATCCATATTCTTCCCACAGTCATGGTTGGAGCCCGTGGGAATAACATATGGCTATGGATCAATACCTATGAAAATACCATTTTTAGGGGGATGAACATCCATTTTAACCCAATATTTTGATGTGAACTACAGGGTTACAAGGTTTTGACCCATATGCATATGTAGTCATATGTACATATATCATATATTATTTTCATAAACACCATCCTGGACAGACGTGGCATGGAATCTTTTTTGGAGGTTGCAGTACTATACAAAAAATATCCCACACCTGTTGTGACGGTCTCTCTGTTCGCATGGTCGCCCGAGGTACATGCGCCAGTTCGAGAAATTTCAGGTCTCGGACCTGGACAGCTACTTCGAAGAAGCCTATGTCGGACGCACTCAGTCGTGTTTTTCTCGTGGAAATTCCACTGAGTACACTGCTTGATCTGCTGCTTGAGTAGCGAGTAAGGCGAATAATGAGCATTGCTATAAGGGTATGGGTCAAAATTAGGTACCTCAATAATTGGATGGTTAATACTAAACTAGACTAACATCTGTGGTCCCCTAGGTCTTCCATTTTGACCCACATCCATAAGAATAACGTGGACGTGGCCCCGGCGAACAATCCCGGTTTTTCGCCAGGATGATCAGGATGAACGTCCATGGGCATCCCTTAAGGGACCATCCTCCGATTCAAAACACGGCCCACTTTTGCCGTGGTTTTTTTTCTTGGGGATTAGATAGCCAAATAAGACATAATAACACTATATAGTCATATAGTCGATGTTTTGATGGATTGTTTGAAACATATATATATAACAATGATAATGATGATAATAGTAATAATAACATAATAAATATCATAAATAACAGTTAGTAATAGTCATAACAACAATAATAATATATGTAATATTACAAAGTAGACACTATAACAATCTATTGATAGCCACATACTCAGCATAATGTTTATACAACAAGGTTGATAACTATTAATCAAGGTTTATATATCAATACCATCGCTGTTATTTATCACCATTCATATATGACATTCACAACTGAACTACTCATAATGAATCTTCTGGTTGGTGGGTTCAAACCTTTTTTATTTTCCATTTCATATATGGGATGTCATCCTTCCCATTGACGAACTCCATCATTTTTCAAGATGTGTATTGCACCACCAACCAGTTGATGATTATTGTTCACTCTACATTCACTATAGTAGTGGTTCACATTGATCAATGATTAATACATAATTAACATGAATTAACATTAATCAACTATATATATTATATATTCACAATGATTATTGTTAACTCTACTAAAAATCATGACCGCATTTCACTTTGAACCAATGGATACCATCAATTTTTCTCGGTGAGGCCCCCAAACTAATCAGGCGTAGCCGCTGACGATGGTAACTTAAGGTGATTTCTATGCTATATGGTAGATATAACATAAGATAAATGTATCGTATTCATGGGTTTATAAGACAACAAATATAAACTAGGGGGCCTCATCTTGTATTTATGACCTATTAATCATTATTCATCACTATTCATCATTATTCATCATTATCAACCAGTATTAACATGTATTAACCATTATTAACCGGCGGGAACTATTAGCAACCACAATGACTCTCCATCGCTGCACGTTGCATGAATACCCAAACCAAGTCCTGGTTCTTCATCCACGTTGACGCGGAAGACTTGCGGAACCGCTGGGCCACTGTGAGACCCAGAGTCGGGTGGCCAAGGATCGATGAACTTTTCCTTCGCCGAGGGTTGATCTGTGCATGAAATCACTTGATGGTGTCTTTGAAAGGGGGTTTCCATAAATATGGAGGTACCCCCAGATTGTAGATGGTTTATAATGTTTATAATGGAAAATCCGATTAAAATGGACATGTCGGTTCAATCGGGATAACATGATGATTATGAAGCCATGGGTTCAGGCGTTTCAATTGAATTGTTCCGACAAACCCATCTAGTGATTTCCCTGGATTTTATGACTGGTGTTTTTTTCGTACTGGTTGATTGGTTACAAGAGCGGCATTTTTTAGCCCCGATGAAACAAGCAATACAGATCAATACAGTATATTTGACAGACAGATGGTATGCAAGTGGCCAGGCCCCCCAAAATTTCTTTTACCACTCCAGTGGGTTTTGTGATTCCACAAAGCGGTCTTGGAATCCGGACCCGAAAGGACCATCTTTTGGGTCCCTGTCCATCCGGTGGTCGCAGGTCTCCAGCATCTTGAAAGCAGCGAGCGCCTCGGTGAGTCGCCTACCAGAGATTTCCAGCTGGGAGATCCAAAGGCTGTCCTCCCGGGGGCGCTGGAAATCATGGGGGACGTAAATGTTAGGGAGATCATCCCAAGATAGCCGCGAGTTTCAGGTTAGTGAATTAGTATAATTTACCCACATATATATATATATATATGTATATACCCCTATTATTAGATAACCCAGTGATGTAGGTGTACTATTCCTGCACAGGAATGATAGTTCGATCATGTGTTTCCAGCCCAACTTCCGGGTTTCATGTGATCATCCCAATACCTTTTGTGAGTTTTCGGGTTTTTGTGCCAGTTTCACTACGAGGGAATCTGGGGGAAGATGAGGGGGCCGCAAAAGATGAAGATGGGAAAACAGGATTTGTTGAAGCAAAAATGGGAGGGGTGTAATTTGCTGAAGCGGAAAATAGGCGTGAATCGTCCGGGGAAGAACTATTGACCCATTCCCAATGTCTCAGAGTGCTGTGCAATGGCCGCATCATCCCAGATGGTTTCAGGTTTCCAATGCCTCTCCCAGACTTGTTGAGGGACCATTTACAGGACTCCCCATTGATGGCAAGAATCGTGATTTCCTGTACAATCTCCCCTCTGTCGAATCCATTGACATAGAATTGGTTGATGTTACATCCACACTTATATCCCAATGTTTGTCCCATTGTGATTGATTTCTGTGTTTTACATCCCCACTTTTAGTGAAAGGTGAAAGGTGAATCCCGCACAGCTCCGGACCCGGAGCCAACGGTGCCAGGATCGACGAGTGCTTGGAGAAGGACGTTTGGTACCTGAGGCCCAGAGCTTTCATGGGGTCAGGTGACTTCTCCCATTAGGGTCCACCCTTGGAAATTAACCAGGCGATTTCGCCCA